AGTAGCAGGAGGAGTTGATGGCATTGTCAAAGGTTAGCTGCCAATTTGATTTTTTTTCCCCCACAAACTTTATTAGACAATCTGTCAATGTGTGTGCACCATTGATTTAATTAACGTGACATGACAAAACTCCAAGTAAAACTTTACTTCATGGGACCCATGAGACAGGATGGCAATCCTAATACAATCAGTAGACTAGTTGTAATTTATTTGGGGGGTTTTGAAAAATGCAGAATCGGTGACTTTTACTCTCGCTGTTCCTCCTTTGCTAATGTAGAAAATCCTGGAAGAAGACTGAGGGAGCAACAGTGGTCAGAATAACTTTCAAAACACTTCATACATATTTTATTATTTTGTAACTGGTTTATACTTCAACATAAAGAGTATTACCTACATTAACAGGGAATGAATTTTTAGGTTTATCACTCCATTTTTATGTAAAGTTGCTTTTGATGCCCTATTTATAGATAAAGTTCTTCTTATCTTATCTTCTTATAGTTTCGTTAAAACCAGTTACGGCAAGTTATTCTGACCAGTTGCCTCAAAGAACGAAGAATCGCATGTGATGGATTCCCTGTCCTGAGGCAGATATCGGGGTGTTATTTGGCTTTACTGTATACATCAGTCTGGAAGTAACTGTCGGGCATTTTTTGTGACTGATTTTTGTACATCCTCTATCGATCACTGGACACATAGCTCTTAAAAAAACCCTGGAGCATGTAGATATCCGTCACCTTGTTCAGCATGATGGAGGCTTTAGTCTTGAACATTTGCCTTCTGGTTTAACCCAGACATTGAAACTTTACTTGAAGACTTAGACCAACCGTGTCCACTGGTCATTTTTCTTTTCACTGTTGGGTTTTCTTTATTTTTTGTTGGATCACCTGATTTAGTTCATGATATTTGGTCTCAATTAATCTAAATTATTCCACCTGTTTTTAACTAGAACTGCTGGAAACAGGTGATTGATTAGTCCATACCCAAGTTTAAACTGATTATGAGAAAACCACATGGCTTTTTCAGGGATTTAAGTTGATAATCTATTCCAGTCCCCTCTCAGCCCACACGTATCACTCTCAAATAGATTGACAGCTCTTTTAATACAGGGTATAACACCAAACAACAACTGAATCCACGTTATTAATGTTTGCTGATGCTGTTAAGTTTTGTTTACACCAATGTGGGGAAAACTGAAGCCATGTGAAGTCATAAAATAGCCTCTCTGTGGTGTAGTTTATAAAGGCTTATAACTAAATCGAGCATTCTTTCATGGATTGGAGCAAAATATTTGGAATAATTTGTACTAAAATGTATTTCACTGCTGCATGTAGAGTAATAAAAAATTGAGTTTCTTAGTAAAAGTAACACAGCAATACAGAAGCTGGCATTTGCTGCGTGCAAAGAAGTGTTGCATGTCCACTAAGCCTTTAACATGAAGTTGTCCCACAACACTGTGCACCAGTCCCACAGCTTTTAACTCTGTTTTCCACAGTATATTCTCAAAGGTCTCCCTGACAGACTCTTCAAACGCAACTTATCTCCCTCACTTGGACCCCAAGGAGGTTGTCCACCATTTTTACACCTCGTCTTTGACAGTGTGTTTGATGTTGTCACCGCTTTCGAGAGCAGAAAATAGAGGAAATACTACAACTGAGCAGAGCCATCTATTGATTGACTGTTTTCCTTAGTATTAGAAAGGTATATTCTTTTTCCTAAAACCTCTACATTTGACAATATCTCTGGATAATCATGTCTGATTTGTATTTTTTCTGAAGAAAACAGCCTCATATTTAAGTTTTGGTTGAGCTATAAATGGATACACCCCTCTTTAAGAAAACAAAACTCTAACCTTGATCCTCCGAACTTTGCCTGTCACTGAAGTGCTTTTAAAGCACTTCTGGTTTAAATAATAACTTTGACAAACAGTTTCAAGGAAACAGAGCACAAAGACTGCTCTTGGCCTTGTAGTTCGGTAGAAGATACAAGTCCTACAGTGCTCCATGTTCTTACAAATCTCAATGGCCTTCAGTTGTCTGTCTTCTTCACCGCATTTTGAATGCTGTTTAAAGAAATGTAAGGCTGTGAATAACAAAGGTACAACATGTGGTTCCAAAGTTTGGCATATTTTTTAAGGCTCTTATTTTCAGGAGTGTGTCCAAACTTTTGAGCTGGGGGGGCCAAACCCATATTCTAACTTTTGCAAAGGTGGAACTACACTCACAAATGAAGATCATTTATTACCTGATGCTGTCTTGACTAGTTTTATCTGTCTGAACCACCAGCATTCAATTATCTTACAAATGTGATAATCTGTGTTTTTAGTTTTGACTGATAAAGTAATAGACTGGAGTTGCAACAATTGATAATTTCAAGCTCTGCTCTTTGAGAATTCAAAAATGATGGAGGTCCAAAATCACAAAAGCATATAAGAAATTGCGCTAACTATAAAAATGTATATATTGGCAATTTATGAGTGCCAATCTGATGACAATAGGTATATTTTAGATACAGTGCTGAAGTTTACTTTAAATTTTTGATACCCTGATTTCTTTTTATTCAGCACCTGTCTAATGAGATAAATGAGGGAACTATTTTTCTGTCCTTTGAAATGCCAAGAAAAAAAAAAGAAACAATTATATGCAAAGAAAGCCTCCAGCAACCCATTAAAACACAGTCCTAATAGTTGATTTTAACATGAGTTTCATGGGTGACGGGGCAAGCAGCTAATCAGAGTTCAGGTATTGTTGTTGGATATACCATGCCACCCCAGCCTCCCCTTTGTACACACCCCTGCTGATTTCCTCATGCAATCAATGACAATCTTGAGGATCATTGAACATTTCTCAGAACAGCACAGCAAAAGAAATTTTCCACCACAAAAGAGACAAATCCGCTTTTTTTCATTCCTGGTGATCTACCAAAAGATCATCAGTGTATATTTAGCTTATTTTCTGTTTCTTAAGAGTGGTTGCACTGAAATTCAGAATTTATTTAAAGATGTCAAACATCTGTCGGGGCAGCAAATCATACACGTGGAGCTTACTTACCTTTTAAAAGTCATAGTTAACCACTTGATGTTATGTTGTAATGATAAATCAATTGTCCTTTCAGTGTGCTTCTGCATTATTGATGTCTTGCTTTTGTTCCTGGTCATGCAGTGGTTGTTTTACTTTCGTTCTTTTTTTTTCAGTGGCTGCAGCAGCTGAGAAAAAGTCTTGACACTTATTCTGGAGGCATTAGATCAAACTCCACTCTTCCATGTTGGCGAATTAATCATCTCAATGAACAATTGGATTTTGGAGATATAGCAGTTTTTCACTTTGCAGCTTTTGGCCAGTAAGTGAGAACTGCTGAATCCTCATAAGCACTCAAGGACATAAGAACCCTGGAGCCTTGCCTGGTGGGTCTGTCTGTTAGCAGTTAGCAAAGTCCCCTGCCAGCCTTTAGCTCCAAGGGCGGTCTCTACAACAGTATCACTGGGCCGCGTAAGCAAGGACCTGCTCCCAGATGCTCGAGTGGATGAATAATGACACTGTAACACCACTTCTTTCTCTCTCTCTCTCTTTCTCCTCTCTCTCTGATAATGAGGAACAGAAGAGCAGACCCTCCCTGAGGCACAGCACCTGGACTGATCTGCCATCCTGTCTCCCTCAACCTCTGTCTCTCTCAGGAGACATAAAGAAAAAGAGTGAGACTTTGGCCATTTGCCAAGCCCTTAGTCTTAGTTTCACTCAATCACGCTCATTTTGGTCAAATTAAGAAATTACTGAAATATTTAATTAAGTTGCTGCGCTAAGTTTGACCAACTGGACCGTACATAAAATATCCAAAACTTAAATTTTACCTCTCCAAACTTCAGTTCTGATACTCTCACTTTGGTATAAGTTGACACCCAAAACTCTTATTCCTGTGTTTTAAAAAAAATTATGAATAATGTTAGAAGGAAAATACTCATGGCTAAAATTTGGCTTCATTTAACGTGCATTACACTCTACAATAAAACTGTTGCATTGCCACCTGATAATTTTGCTGGTTTTTGGAGGTCTAAGAGGTCATAAATTGGGATAGGCCCATTTAATGGTATAACCTTTTGTCAGTATTGGAGGGACATACAAATACCAGTGTTGGTATTTCGAACGACCCTGACAAAAACACTGTTCAACCGCATGTTTCTGTGTCAAACATGTTTACCTTTAAACATATATGCTGCCTGGTCTCCTCCATCCACACCTCTTATTCTCACTTCCTTCCTCTAGAGAAAGGCTTTGCCAAGTGGAGTCAATTAAACATGTACATCTATGTGAGAAATGTCTGTTTGAATGTACATATCCTGTCATGCTCTTACTGTGGCACTTCTTTGTGTGAACGTGTGAATTTGAGGTATTTTCAAATGTATTTGTGTGAATGTGCATGTGTCGTGTTTGTGAGTCAGAGTGTTGAGGCGGGGGGGGGGGCTCCCCAGAGACCTGGCAGTATGGCGCCGCAGAGCTGCACTCTCCTTTTGTGAAAACGCCTCCGATGGGACCGGGACAGCTGTGGCCAACCTAAACTGCTTCATATGTCAAACAGGCCTGTAAAATAACACACATTCATGCGTACACAGAAACACACCTGTAACTCCAGTCCTGCCAATTCTGTCTGACTGCCAATCCTTGTTTTTCCAATAGCTTTCTCCCTCTGTCTTACATAAGAACATCCTGTTTATCTCTTTGTTATGCAGGCTTTATCATAAGAGATGCTTCCCTACGTATGCAAAGGTACATTTTATTTATTTGTTTATTTTTTTTAACCATTTTTTATTCAGCCCACTCTTCCAACCGCCCACACTGTGACTTAGTGTGCCGGTTAAATAAAACTGCCAGGAGGGGTTGTCTGCATGTGTGAAAGGAGTTTGCTTTTAATTGTATGGAAAAGATCTGATCTATCATCAAGGTCATGTTCGCACAAACGCGACGACAGATACCATCTTTCTTTTAATTTCATTTATTTAACAGTCACCAGATGATGAGATACATTCTCTTAAAAAAGAAATAGACAACAAAACTGTTATTATTATTTTGAAGTTTTAAAAACTATTATACAATATTCTTAATATATAGATTTTGTACAAAATTAAAAGTCAGTAAAGGGGCAAAGGGAGAGTGACATCTTTAAAAACAGAGAAAAAAAGAGGAAGGGGATAGAAGTTGACTCAAACAACTAGCACATTTAGGAGTGACAAAGACCAATCTCTTTTATAAATAAATATAGGAAAATTAGACATCATATATAGCTCTCTTTCCAATGGCAGGGCGTTGCTAAATGTCTTAAGCATATAGGTTTTAACATAACTGCTATGTGAGGCCCGGTTGCCTAGAAAATTCCACGCATTTTCCTTAAGGAGATTAACTGGAACCGGCGTGGCTAAAAGCCCTGAAATAAAGGTATTTACCTCAATAATGGGTCTGATAGTCTGTAACGTGCTTGACCTTTGGCTGTAATAATAACCCCAGACCCTACCCGTACCCTCACTCCTCTTTTCCTTTGTGTACTGCACTTGGTATAGACCGAGCACAGAGTCTCCTTGAGGGAACTAGAGAATAGGGGTGTCCTCTTTTTTTCTCTCCCAAGGCCAGTGAGAAGCAAGCCTCAGACTCCCCCCACTCACAAACACAGAGACAGTTGAGCAGAGCACATGTGGGAGGGGTGCACGGTATCAGAGCGTAGGAAGGTCATACTGCACTACCAACATCATTTCACCATTGAAATCCATCGGTATACGATGAATGTTTCACGCTGTCTTCGTTGGTCCTTAGAATTTTAACAATACAACAACAACTACAAGACAACCGAATAAACACACAAAAAGTGAATGTTGATGGCTGTGGGTATTACAATCCCTTTGACATTGACTCATGCCACTCAGACTGATTGATTGTTTTCTCCTAAAACCTCTCCCTTTGCACCTATTTGGGTATCTGAAGCTGAGGGTAAAATATGGGAGCAGGGGAACACAAAATACAGAAAATGGAGATGATTTACAACACAAATACACTACCAGTTTTCAGACACACACAACCAAAGAGCATGGAAACTGAGGCCTATGATTGATCCCACTGCAACAATAGACTTTCCTTCTACATCTTATCCTTTTTGTACCCTCTGTGAGCAGGCAAGTGGACAGTGACTTTGGCCCTTCTCAGAGCAGGACAGCAGGCAGAGTGAGTCGGTGTTAATCACGGTTTTGTCTCGCTTTCCTGGCACATTAAGTTGGTGAGGTGAGCGACGGCCCGGACGGCCAGCGTGAGGGATGGGAGGACAATGCATAAGAGTCTCAATAATGACGCATCGCTGCCGCATCACTTTGGAGATTAAAAGCAAGATGCTGAATTTCAATCAAGCCCACATTAATGGCTTGGTGTGAGGAATGGTCACTTTGTCTCCACTGGCAGGCAGAGAGAAAGCGAGAGAGAGAGAGAGATAAAGGGAGAGAGAAAGTGGCATGAGAGGCCCAGGTGAGGCAAGGTGATACGACATTTTAATTCACCAAATTGCATGCGCCCTTAATGGCAGACTCCATTTAATGATGCGCTGAAAATATTCAGTCGCCAATAGCAAAAAGGCATCAGCAAAATGTTGTGACCAGTTAGGTCAAAGCAACAAGGACGACATATTTAAAGCCAAACATAACAAAACCGTTGACAAATGAAAGTGAATACTGGAGTCCTAAAAGTACAACCTAAAAGTACGGTGAGACCACTGGCATGTTAAAGTTTTGATTTAATTCTAATTTTTAAAAAGCTGCTTCATGTTTTTTCTTTCTTTTTCTTTTTTTTTACAAAAATAAACTGATTGTCCTCTCAACTGACAAGAACGTTACATGAATAGGTGTAAAGAATAATAACTCAGGGTGGAGATCTAACGCTTTCACATCACAGCGAGTAAATTCCTCATTTGTTTCTGACAAATCCCGCAGCCACCTTAAAACACATGCCAAGTTCTGCCTGAGCTGCTCTGTGAACGCCTTGCACTGAGAGATGTGACCCACTTGCAATAAAGTGCATTGAGAGTTCAGTTCTCATGGTAGATGAGAAGCGATGTTGGGCAAGCACAGCTGAGAGATTGTCATCACAGTATAGCTGATATGAATAAGAACCTAATGTGACATGAGCTCGAGCTCTCAGGGGGGTAGGGAAATCAAAAGAGAACAGGGTGACAGAAGAATTGTCAAGACAACAAAGAGAGACGGGAGTGTTGGTCCTTTAGTCTCTGTGTCAGGTCAGGAATGTCACAGTTGAGCACAGTGCTTCATGGGTAGGGTAGTTCATTAAGAGGGTAGGATGTGGTCTCCTAGACTTCAACCAGGCACCCAGCTCTGGTTGCTGTGGGCTTGCTGTGGACCAGCAAGACCACTCATCCCCATACCCATGGTCACACCCATGCCCATACCCATGCCGATGCCCACCCCTTGGGCTAGAGAGCAGTCAAAGTTGAAGTCCATCTCCTCCCCAGAGTCCATTATGTCATGGAGGAGGATGGACTCCACATCGCAGTCCAAGCTACCATGAAACATGTCAATGTCCAGGTCAGCTGGTAGTCTCTCATGTAGGTGAGGTTGGTGAAAGGCATGGTAGTTGCTACCAACACTGCCATTCCCTGCTCCCTGCCCAAGGTGATATGGTCCGTTTGTCATGCCTTGGTGTTGTGGCTCTGGGTAATGGTTGTGACGAGGGTGTGGGTGCGGGGCAGCTGCCACATGGCAGGAGTCCTGAGGCATGCCAAGCATACCTGCTGGGTTTGGGGGAAGAGTGGTGGAGGCGGGAAGATGGGCATGTGATGGAGGGCTGTACAGGTAGGGAGCTTTGTGGTTGTAGGTCTGCAGCTGATTGCCGTTGCCACGTGGGGTCAGGGCTGCAGACCGGGGAGGTGTGTTGTTATGGCTCTGGCTGAGGTTGTGACTGTTGTGGGTGAGGCTGTGAGGTGAGTTGTGGTTGTGGTTGGTTACATTGTTGTGACTACGACTATGACTGTGAGTTCTGTTATGGCTGTGGGCTGAGTTGTGACTGTGAGGTCCATTGTGGCTGTGACCATTGAGGTGGCCAGGGTGGTGGCTGTGGTGATTGGGGCCTACTCCATTGCTAGCTTGACCTAGCATAGGATGGTTGTCCCTGTCCTGTCCCAGCATCATGTCCTTGGAACAGTATTGCTGCCCTGTCAGACCCCCTGTTAACAGACTCTGCAGGGCATTGGTGCTGGAGTAGGCCCGCATGGTTCCAGAGAAACTTGCTGGCTTGTTCTCCTGAATGGTCTGCATGGGTGAATGGTGGCACAGCATCCCCATGCCTGTTGCACCATAAACACTCACACCATAGGGACTCTGCCCTTTTACTCCAGAGCTGTAATGGTAGACAGGTGTTTGGTGCTTGTGTCTTCCAACAGCTGGATGCTGCTGATGTTGCTGCTGTGGCGGGTGAAGGTGATGATATCCATCCTCCAACAGGTGCTCATCCAGGCTGATTGCACCTGTTAGGTTAGCAAGCTGAGGCAGCTGCTCTAAGGGGGGGCAGCGATTCCCTGTCCCCATGGATGGAGAGCGAGCACTGGTCGGAGAGGGGTACAGATGTGGGGAGGTGGAGCAGGATAGGCCACCCTCCTCTGGTTCCTCTGGCTCTCCCTCAGCAAGAATAGGTGACAGACGCCCACTCAGGGTGGAGGCTGATGAACTAGCCCTGGAGTGGAGATCCGTCCAGGCATCAAACTCTCCGTCTGTTCCAGATGCACCTCCAGTTCCTGGGAGGCACTTTCGTGGTGGGCTACCATGTTCAGGGGAGCCCTGAAGACCCACCACAGCAGACACTGCTCCTATCCCAGGTCGGCCAACCCTCTTGCCTCTGATGCGGCCTTTGCTTTTCAGGTATTTGGTGCTGTTGTCCATGGAGACAGCTCTCCGGCGGGGAGCCTTTCCCATCTTGCCCCCATCTGGGTTGAGCATCCACCATGAACTTTTCCCTGTTCCCTCATTCTGCACCCTGATAAACCGCGTGTGGAGGGAAAGGTTGTGTCGGATGGAGTTCTGCGGAGAGAGAAGAGAGAGGCCCACTGTGAGTAAGAAATTAAATTACATTTTGATAAATATCATATGGCCTATCAGCTGTAGATGATCACTTTTCAGAGGAGAGGATAACTATTAAAATATGTTTCAGATTTGCACAAAACAGATCTAAGGAGATACATTTCTTTATATATGTGTAAAGAAGATTAAAAAGCCTAATGTCGACCATGGCTGTCATGCCTGTTGAGAAATCCATTTTCTCTGTACATGCTGACTCATAGACGGTATATGCCATATTATCAGGTCGCTTCAATGCCTATTATTAGACATGTAGAGCTTGCTAAAGTAGATACACAGCGCTCTATGTAATCAGTGTCAGCCAAAGATGAAAACTAAAAGCACACTCCATGTTCCAACAGCTACATCTGGCACTGAGCAAGACCCTGTCAGCCTCAAACTAACCTGAAATGACCTGCAACTTGGTCTCCAGACCCTCTCCTCTCATACGTCAATCCTCCTACTTTCATATCCATCAATCCATCTGTCCTCCTCAACTTTTCCTTGCAACCGGGCTGATGTAAGCTGCTGTGGTTGAGCGTACTGTATGTTTGAAGTCTGTGCCAGTCTGGCTTAGTGCCAGCCCTGTCTATTTCGCTCTCAAAGCTTGAACGAGGGGATGTATCGCAAGATTGAGCCAGGAGCAAGGAAGGCTAATGGATGTATCCCACCCTCCAATATCTACCTTCACTTCCTATCTTCCTCCCTCTCCCTTGTTCTGTCTTGTGATTTTTTTTCTCTTACGTTACAGAGTCCCACTACTTTATTCCCTTTGTCTTCTTTCATGCACTATTTTGCACACAAGTCATTTTCCACTTTTGCTTTCAGTCCCTATGCCTTCAATTATAGTTTGTCACCAATTATTTTCCCATTATCTTCTACACTGGCATGTGCAGTGACTGATTTAGTGATTCATAGGATATAGTTGTTGTTTTTTTATTACCATTTACATCTCATGGTTTGCTGAATGCCAAAGGTTCCTGATGTGCAACAGAGTCTGTCTTTGCAATTGTGCTCTTCATTGTGCGTGAGATATTTTGACGCTGTAGCAGAAAAATATCAAATCAAAAGCACCTCCTGTGGTTAAGGAATATTCTAGTACAATAGATTGTTTCAGATTGAGGGGTTCTCACACATCCCTGTCTCTATTGTGTTGCGGATTATTTGTATTCACATTGAATTGCACGGCAGGGAAACAAATAAATCAAATTGCGGCAGAGAACACATAAATGGAAGGCGGACTGAATTCAGGTGATCTGTGAATGCCTCCTTGGGTTATCTCGCTGTGACACCGCCAGCATTGGGTAACCATGACAACCGGGTAAACGTGCAACAGCAGAACTATATCATATTGTGGTGAGAGTCAAGAGAGTGAGAGATTGAGGGAGAGAGGGGGATGGGGGAAAGGATGCAAGAGGAGGCGGTTGTTTGATGCTGCTGCTCCAACACTAAACAGCCTTTCATCTCGGCAGTGCAGGTCCGCAGGGGATGCCCGCTCCCTGCTTCTGACGGCTCCTCTACGTGCCGCGCCAACTCCCTGTCTAACCCTGGCTGGATCATCCACCTAACATACCACTTCGAATCATCCCCATCAAGTCCCGTGCACGCCTGAATTAAAAACATATGTAAGCTTTCATGCCATCCACCAATGCCAGTTGAAAATGGGGCATCTCTCTGGGAGCTCAACCACTTCCTGCCGCAACTCTGTGTGACCTGTCTGATTCAAATCATGATTTTATCTCCGTATGAGGGAAGAGCAGCCCCATTGAACTTGAGGGGATTTGTCATCATCCCAAACCCTCTTTATCTGATGAATCCACCTGCTAGGGAGATTTGAGAGATTTCAGATGGTGGCCAGCCGCGGCGTCATTATCATCACGACGAGCTGATCGTCCCATTACGGAGCCTTTGCCGCGTTTTTCTCTGTGGTCCTGTTTACTTATGCTTGAGCGTGTGTGTTTAAAATCTAAGAATAGCTCAGGTTGCAGGTGGTTGTACCGTGGGTGTGGCTCTGTTTGCCTCCTGTTCCCTGAGTTGAGTCAGGGGCAATTTGGCCAGCCTATGGCCCTCATGCCCCCGAAACAAGCAGTCACTGCTAATCCCTCTCCATCCCCGAGTAATCCCAGACAATCCTGGGCTAATCCCAAGTTGATTCAGGGGCACTCCCAGCTGGGTGTCTCACACAGTGCCATGCCAGGTCACCATGGACACAGCAGGCTGTCCGGATATACTATGATCCATAGCGCTGAAGCAAAGAGGAAGTTTGCACTATAGGAACCAGGGAAACTATGAAGCCTTTACAGGATGCGGTGTTAAACATTATTTATATTTTATGCATTTTAATGGATGATTTCTCGGGCCATAAACTGATGTTAACCAGAGTTCTGATGCCTCCAATGAATGAACTACCTTTACTCTTTGTTCTGTCCTTGAGGGTTGGCTTTGCCACATTTTTACTCCTACGGGTTGAGTAGAATAAAATTGAAAACTTTATTATGTATTAAATATTCATAAAATGGAAATTCTCTTTCAGCCCCCTGGCTTGCCGAGGCAGACGGATGAAGCCCACAGAAACATACAATGACAGAGAGGAACACACACATCACACGCCTGGGTCCAGGAAGCTACTTCCTATTCAAATCATACCCCTTTAATACAATGGGCCTAGTGGAGAGGGCTCTAAATAATGAATGAAGCCGTGGCTGGGCTTATGCAGAGAGATGCACTGCCTGGTTCAATAATTCTGAAAAGAAAATACAGTCATAAGTACCTGTGTGACTTCTGTGTTTTGTTATCAGAGACACCCACCTTCATCCTCGGTCTGCAACACAAATCAGACTAAAAGGGGTTAATTTGGCCAAAAAGAAAAAGAGGATAAGGGTCGTAGTTTATGGACCAATCAAAGCCAATTAGGATGAACAAGGTTCTTTTGGTTGAAGGGAAACAATCAGCTTAGGTTCAACTCTCGTTAAAGCCAGAAAATCCTGATAGCTGATTTAGATGTGTAGACAATAGATACCAAGCCTCAGTTTAGTCCTCTTTGTCCTCAGATTAGCAGCTTAGGCTCTTTTTGAGCAAATCTGACATGCTGACACTCTATCCAGAACACCCGGGTGGATAACATGTTTTTTTCCCCCCTCAATTACAAGAAATAAGGTGTTCAAATTATAAGAAAAATCTTGTTTGACTCTGATCCAGGAGATTATTTGTTGATAGCAGAAAGAGGTTCCTGGTATTCATCCATAAATAACCTCTTAAGAACCATTCATTTGGCTCTGGGAAAACATACAATGCTGATCAATCGCTCTACTGTTCCCCTTCACTCTGAAGCTTTGTTGGATTCAGAGACTAGACAAGCCTATTTAGCGTTGGGAATCAATGAAGTTTAATGGCTATCAGTGCTGAGGCTTAGCACACATCAAGGTCTGACTAACTACAAGATCCACCTGCATTATGATGCCAATATGGGTGCTGAATATACAGTAACCCCACTGATTGCACTATAATGTCAACCACAGACTTAGGAGTTAGCCCAACACGTCCACCTTTGGCCTCTTCCACGATGAAAGCCAGACAGGGGCATTGGGGCTAGATGTAGAATGGGGTCGGGGTTGTTATGTTGGGTCCAATGGTTCATCTGGGATAACCTTACTGACTGGCATAGGAGGCAGCTGTGGTGGGAGGTACAGCAGGAGGTGGAGGGGCCTGGGCGTAAGGGGTGGGAATGTAGAGGTACCGCAAGGGGCCCCTCCAAGCGACACAAAGGGGTGCCCTCAAAATGCCCCACACTAACCCCATCCCCCTCCATTAGTCTCCCCATCAGAACCCACTCAGGGTTTTTCCCGCTCACACACCCACACACACACACACACACACACACACACACACACACACACACACACACACACACACACCCACACACACACACACACACACACACACACACACACTCAGGGGCGAGGAAACAGGTCAAACGGTTTATAGGACCCATCTTGTGGCGAATGCGCACTCATTCAAACAGAACTGAGTGAGGAACTAAGGACTGTGAGTGGGGTCTGGGAACCAGCAAAAAAGAAACCACTCACCCGATTCAAACAACCTCAAGGGTGAAGCAGCGTGGTGCGCTTGCCCAGCTAAGAACACAGCAGCTGTTCTTGTAGTGGCACCGGGTAAAGCCGTTTGCCACACTCGACTGGTATTACCAAACCATTTCATGCAGAATGGAGCCATTATGTATTGTCAAAGGGTATCCCTCTATGGTACACATTCATTTGATAAGCCTGAATCAAGGGGGAGTAACAGAAGCACTAGATGTGTTTATTGTGATGCTGTTTTTGCCTGTGCAGAAGGCAGGAGGGATCAGGGGGAGGGGAGGTTTCAACACAAGCAGTTTTGTTCAGCACAGGAATGAGTTTTGTCAGCTAAGCCTGTCTCCAGGCTATTGGTGGAAATTAGCGCCGGCTAAATATTCGCTTTCCATGATTGATGTCACGGCTCGCGTTGTCCCTTTGAAGGGAAATAAAGAATTTAGAGCCATGTGGATTAATGGGGACAGGGTAGGGGGAATTTTATGTGTCTGAGGGGGCCTTGAAGAGGGACTGAAGGGCCTAATGGTTGCACAGATATGGCACAATAGAACTAAGACGATCTGCTGTATCAGAGAGCGAGGGAAGACAAGTGAGACCATGACAGTGAGTACAAGGAAGACATTGGAAATTGTTTGTGTGTGTATGTGTGAAACAGAAAGGAAAGGAGGGAGGTATGCATGTGTGTGTGAGGGAGATAGAGAGAGAGAAAGAGAGAGAGAGAGAGAGAGAGAGAGATGTAGCTATTTGCCTGAGAAGCTGAGAGTCAGATGATTAAAATCCCTTTAGGAGGCTTCTTTAAGAGAGACAGATGGGCAGACAGGCCTGTTTTTGGAATGCAATCAAATTGAAAAGATTAAAAAGGACTCTCTTTTATTAGGAGGTGAGAAACAGTTACTTCTCTGCCACATGCCATCATCGCCTCCACAGCAGTGGTCACGACTGCATTGGCATGCGAGGCACATTGCAGCCCTTGTTGGGGAGGAAATAAACCTGGGATTAGGAAATGCATCTATCTCAGTGTATCACTGTGGGGTCTCTGAGGATTGGCAGCATTTGTAATTTCTTTTCAAATAAATATGCTTTGGAAGAAAAAGGCCAAACTTCAGAGTTTCCTATAGGTTCATTATAGAAAAGGCTGAAGTGGGCCTGAGTTTCTTTCTAGAGGGCTTTTCACCAATAGTTGTCCTATTACAGACATAACTCTCACTTAATCTCAATGCCAAACATGAACAGGTGCAATTCAGATGTGCATTCCCTTGGCTGCCATTGTACTCAAATAGACCGAGTTTGCACAGTAGAGTGATTCAAGCACTGTGAAAGGTGCTCTGAATTCAACCCTATTATTCCACAACGCTGCAGGAGTGCCATTTATAAAAAGGCTTAAAATGGAAAGCAAGTGTGTGACAGTGTGTCTGGTAGCCTTAGATCAGGAAGTGGCTGTGGAGAGGGGTGTAATGGAGTTGGTAGGGGATTCCTGCCTGACTGTGCACTAATTGCATCCAATGGCTGGCGAGTCATCAGCCGTGCCCACCCTGGCGCCAAGGGAAGGTTTGGCATCAGGGTTGCAGGGTGTGGGGTAGGGAAAGGCTTGCCACGGCTTTGGTGAGTAAAAATAGATGCTGACAGATTAGTTGAGCATCTGAGACCCGGACAGGGGATCGGAAAATCCGCTCACTCGATGCCAGGGACAGCTGAGTGTTTCCGGTGGGCACAAAGGGGGACACAATCTGGGCATCACGTCTGACTCCCACGCACAAAACGAGGGAGCCTCAAAGTTGCTGTGGCCACATGAATGAGCACGTGTGACAGTATAGCCTGGGTGTGGTTTCTTTTTTTTTTTTCTTTCTACTGAGACCCGCAAGGTAGGCAGTGCTCACACACTCCCACAGAGAATTCACACAACAGGTGTTTGGGCTGGGCCACCTGTGGGGCCGGCCGCCTGCTCGCACTTCACACCTCGTCTAGGGAGCAAACTAACATTTTCCACTGGGCTTGCCATGCTTTTGTTAAAGACCAACACGTTTCTGGAGAGGCTTTTACAGCTCTTTTTACGAGATCGGCAAGATACGCATGTGTGCTCAAGTCAATCTGCATTAATGTGAGTGCCTGTGTGTCTATATTTGTGTATCAGTCCATTTAATAGCCAACAGGCACAGTGTGGATTTGATTATATTGAAACCTCCCTCTGCTATATACAAAGAAACTGTGGGCCAACAATGGAATCAATGCAGGCCTGAGCTTTTTTTTTTTCACACTCAGCCTCCACATAATCTCATTCATAACAATGAGAATCTCATTTCCCACATTCTAAAGGTCAGTGCACACCTCTGATCACACTTTAATAAACATCATTCTCGGCGTTTAATTTAATTTCAGCAGAGCAGGAAACTCTTAGGCAGCCATGCTCACGGCATGCAAAATTCATCCGATCATCTTTTTAATTGCTTCAATTTTTACAGTACAGAGAGGAATGACCGCAATCACAGAGAAGGAAAAAAATAATGCACCAACACACGGAACGACACACACAAACATCCGCCGATCACAAAAGCACACACACACACACACATACCCGGAGACAGAGACAAGAAGTAGAGTCAGTCAAGTGCCAATTTGGTTGCATTTTAATAAAATGAGCTTCAAAAAATTTTGGACCATTACCAGGTAAAGGCTCCACATCTCTTTGTAATCACACATTTTAACTCTCACCTAAATTGGCAAACTGTAACTAACAACCACACTTCCATGCCCAAACACTCACACACCTTTGCACACACACTCTCCCTTTCGTACACTGCACACACACATGCCAATATGACACAAAGCCTGGCACACCGGGCACGCTCATTACCGCAATGCCAAGCTACCAGTTGCTAAGGAGACCTGTGGGAGAGGGAGGGTTCCTTGTTGTTGCCATAGCAGCCAGCTCGCTCCCTGCCAACTCTCTCCCTCGGGGAGAAACAAGGCAAGAGGTGGGGGGTGAAGTGGGTAGAGGTAGGGGGCAGCGGTTTAATAGGGCTATGAGGTGCAGAGGAACTTCATTAGCCGTCAAGGCGCGCCACACCAACCGCCGCTCCCCGTGAATTCCTGCAACACTTCAGGCTGCAGACTTCCACTTACACACGCACAGCCCATACACTCCCACTTATTTGCACACCTATATGGAGAAGAAGATGGAGAATGGCATGCTTAGAATAAAAAGCAGGGAGTTTGGAGGGAGTCTAGATTGTATATACTGAGGGAGGGGCTGAGAGGGTAGAGGTAGGTGAGGGACAAAAAGAGGATGGGGGAACAAAGAAGAGTTAGAGAGGGGCTTGTTAGAGAGTTATAGGGATGTGTATTACAGACGCTTGTGTATTTAAAAGCTGTATAGGGCCCATTTTCTCTCTAACTGTGCCTCTTCTTTTACCAGCCTTGACCCTCAGCAACAGCACCTACCCTTGAAACCATGAGATAGCACTGAAAAGTCAAACACAACATATTGTACTCGTACCTTCGCCACTCTACTGCATATCCTGCAACAGTACAAAGGAAACCGTTCTACCATTTTGGATGATATCTTTCACCTTTGCCGTATCTATGATAAAAAGGGTTGTTTTTATAACGTCCCCTAAAGTTTTCTATGCACATTGAAGACAGCACATAAAGCAAGCAGGGTAATGTCCTTCTAGCATGTTCTGGCGGTAGTTCCTTCACATTGTCTATTCAAGACATAACTTAGACATCACCCTGTCGATGTAAACATCAGGGAAGTGTAGTTGTGGCAAAGACCTAACAGAAGATTGAAAAGTGTCTCTACATGGAGGAGCTGAATGGACGGTCCACGGCTGTGCGAGCGTGTGTTCCTGCGAGGCTTTTGTGCTTTCGTCACATCTTTCGTGCTTTTGCAACGCCGTAACCTGATGTAAAATCACCCACTGGGACACCAATATTGAAGCTCCTGTGAGAGGTTTGTAGCTGGTTGTGAAACAGACTGAAATTTACAGAGGTGCTTTTTGTGAATTACGTAAGAAAACAACCAACTGCAACAAGATTGCCAATTTCTATAACTTGAATTTTTATATTTGTAACTATTACAAGCGGGTGAATCTCAACCAGATGATCAACAACACACTAATGATATCCTTTTTCTGCTTTTTCCACTGCAAACATTCACCGTTAGGGATTTTTTTTTTTTTTTCTTTGACAGCTAACTTAATTTGAGTCTTGGATGAAAATGCCTTTTCATTTCATTTTAGTGATATTTTAGTCTTTTTTGCCCTTCAGAATTTAACTCTGGTTTTAGTCAATAAATAGTCAAAACATCTGAGTGTAGTTACAGTCAATAAAGGTCATTTTTTTATCTTCATTACTTTCAATCAAAACATTTTGTCTTCAAACTAATTTAATTACCTGATCCAAAATTGGTACCAAGGTTGTAGAAAATGTTAAAATCAACACTGTAGTGTTTCTGTATTTACACTCCTGCATTTATAATATTTGGATCATTCATCTTATTGGATGAATTAGTTCAATCTCTCCCACCAATGCAATGTTGCTGTGCTGCTGCCTCTACTGACAAGCGAAGGTGATGAGCCTCACTCCTCATGAAAACTCCAAAACATCTTTTTCTATGAGCCACTATGGCTATATTTATTCTTTATGACTTCCTCTTTTTGTATGGTGGGGGCTTCTAGACTAGAGCCCATGTCCTCAAGTCCAAGAAACACCCCTGCGCAGGCACATCGGACAGACACGCGCTCTCAGCTGCATCCTTATCTTTGATGATTTAAAGTTGATCTTAACTACAAAGCATCTGTTTAAACATAGACATGTCCTAATAAGGATAAATCGGGGTTATATCATAGAGCTACTTCTTTAAGCTGTCGCCTTTTATCTGAAATTGCAACCCTTATTCGAACTTTGAAGGGAAAGTTTATAACTATAATGAGTTCCCTATCATTCCTGAGCAGACGGTCCCAATACTAAGAGCTGTCTTTACATCCCCATATGAGGAGGTGTGCTCATCCGTGGTGCCTCCTTATATGGGGTCAATCAATTTTTTCAGCTGGCCCTTTAAAGACCCACTCCAATGAAAATCATGTTTTTCTTGTTTTTTATATGTTCATATGGCATTTTGTCTGATGCTACAGGACATATCATGAGAAAACTAAATGCGAAACTGCTTTTCTGAGTATTTTTTCATTCAAATTGCTGTGAATCTCTGGCAGACCCAGACGGCAGGTTCAGAAATTGTGAGATGTTAGACGTAACTAATCCAAGCTCCGCAACATCTTCATGTCATGTTCCATATTCATTCATTGTTGATATTTAAAAAATAACATAACAGTCCTACTTCCAATAATAACATAAATTATAAATATAAAATTTTAACCCGATGTTTCCTCAGCGGCTGGTTTTGTCTTCATCACTGACATGCTTCGGGACAAGTTTGTGAATGAAAGTGAGAGAGATGAATGAAGGCAGTGAAGATTTGTACTTTTTTTAAGCTGTAGTATTAGACCGCATCTTTCAACCTGTTACAGAAATAGCGTGCTTGTATTTTGAGTGAAGGATAGGTAGGTAGTATTATGGATTTTGACTTCTTTCTCCTGTCAACGTCTCATCAATGAAAACAACCTGAATTGTCTTTGTCTTGTCGACTCCAAAAATCTGGTTGCTGAAGAGCATTTGTCTTCACAATTTTTTAAGAACAAAATGAACGCCAGAATAAAGGACTCTGTTTAAATGGACACAAACAAAGAGTTCCTCACAGGACCTGTAAGCCCTCTTGAGGTCCAGCGTGAAAGCTCAGGTACACAGGTGCCAGGAGGATAGAGCTTAGAGTTTTGGTACTTCCATTTGTGTTTTTTTTACTGTACCAAAACATGCAGCAAAGATGTTGTCACATTGATATTTTTAAGTGTCTGTTGTCAGACTGTCAAGCTATGATTTAATTATGATTGATGGCTTTATATGCAACCTGTAATTGAAGCTGTCAAAAACACTTGTGTACCGCTTGGACACGTTTTTGAGCTTTTGCAAAAAAAGTAAAGAATTAAAGGACAGTTTTTAAGCTTTTGTCTCTGCAAACGATTTTTAACTCTGCTGCTTTTTTTATTGAACTTATTGGGATAAAAGTCAGAAGCAAAAAAAAAAGTAAAAAATGAAGCTGGAATTACTCATACTCAAGAACGTCACCATGAACTTCGATTATTGAGAAGAATCTAACTTGGTCTGACTTCTGCGCAACAATGTCATTTAGAGATAATTTTATACATGTGCTGGGGCCTTACAAAACTGCTAAAAGTGTAATTTCTCATATTGAAATCACTTCAACTACTCCTCAAAACTGGAGTTTTGCCTGCTGTACACAGAGAGGACAACAAAGGATTTATAACAAAGGACGTAGAAATAAAATTGATGAGACCAAATGAAAAAATCTGCTTATAAACAAAACCAGATAAACTTTTTTTTTCTTTTTTTTTGGCCAAAAGTTCTGCCTCAATGCAGAGAGAAAAATGTTTCAAAATCAATCCACATCACTCTGGACATGACCCCAGGAGAAGTATGCTTGAGAAATCAAGAACATGATCTCAACTGTTGGGTCAAAGTGATTTCTGTATTCAGGTGCGCTGCTTCAAATATTGACTGCCTGATAACCTGTGATGCTCCTGTTCACCTCAAATTCCAAACAGCGGTGTATCGTACGAATGAAGGGGATTATTGATTCAGTCTGAATGAACGCTGTGTGGCTACAAAGAATTAAGGATACCACCCACCTCAACCTCTCAAACCCAGACCCGAGCTGGAACAACTCAACGCTTGTAAGGAGAGAAAATGAAGAATGGTGAGAGAAAAAGACACTTCTAACCAACTGAGACGAATGAGGAGACGGGGGGGACAAGAAAAGACAGGATTTACCCCCTCCTCTCTGCATTTCCTGAAACAAAAAGAGCCCAATTAAGTCAGTTTGAGTTAGGGTCTTGGGTGTGTGTGGGCAAAAGGGTGCATCCAAACCGTGAGTGTGTACGCAATAAATGGAAATAGGGGGGCAACGTAGTGTAAGTTGTTGTTTGAGAGGGGCCGAGGGGGAGGAGAGGGAGGATTTGTTGGGGAGAAAGGGAGTGTTGATACACTCCCTCGCTCCCTCTCTCTTTCTATCTCTCTCGCTCGCTCGCTCTTCCCAGCCTAAGAGGGCCAAACTTGCTCTCAGCTCCTCGACGGGAGACGCTGAAATATTAATCGCCACGCTCCAGCCGCAGACTAGTGAACACAATCGCTTCAAACTCCCACCCTAATGAGTGTGTTCATGAATGGCTAATGTGCACAGATGGGGGGCTGATGACTGGATAGATCGCAACTGGGGAGGTGAGGGAGGGGGAGGAGAGGAGGGCGGGAGGGAGGGAGAAGAAGGGGGGAAAGTGAAATTTCGGCGGGGCGTGGTGGTGGTGGTGGTGAGGGGCTGCAGAGGCGTGCCATGACCTTTTAAGAGCCTCCTGAAAACTTAATTAAGACTAGCTTCTCTCTACTCTCTCTTTCTTTACTCCCTCTCCTGCACACACACACACTCTCTCTCAGGCCCAAGCTTGCATGCCTCCACACACACACGTTAATAAAAAAATTCTCTATGATCCCCCATCCTCATCCCCTCTCCCCCCACTGCAGGCCGAGTGTTTACCCTCGTGCCCTTTGCTCACATCCCACTGAGCCGGCGTACAATAGATTTCAGGGTATAAAACCCTCGAAATGACTCACGCAGGCTTTTTATGAGCATGTCAATTCTGCTGTAATGTTAACCAACGCACTCATCCTGAGATAAACAAAAAGTAGACATTAAAACTGCAGAGGCAGGTATGTCTTTCCTGGACCCCTGCATGGAAACAGCTCAGAAAGAGAGAAGAGCAAATCCGTGGGGCTCGAGGTGAAGAGCTCTTCCCCCCCTTAAATGCCATTTACTTCCACAGAGGAGTTAAAGTTACATCTCAGTCAGGGGGTTGAATTCTAACTCTATCCTAACCTTCCCGTAACCCAGGGCATGTAGGCCAAAGCGCCCACTCGACTGGAGCTTGTTCTTTGGGAATGTTAATGCTTCACATGCATCTTTTATGGCTGAATCTGACCTGTTCTCTCACCCCTGGGAAACAGTTTTTTTTTTCCTCAGTATTTTCATCTCTGACAATTCCCCTCAGCATCGTTACATGCACTGACGTCAGAGACATTTTAAAACATGTGCAGAGAAACGGGAAATGAGGGTTAACCACATCTTCCCAAGACTCCATTACCATAGAGGCCACCTAAGGATTAAGGGCATCCAGCGTATGGACGCACATACAGACACACACATGCACAGACATTCATACACTCTCAGCATCTAATTAGAGGAGTGAGATGCTGTGACCTAATTCCTAACCTCTCCTCGACTGTCGGGATCGGGGCCTCCGCTTGGATCGGTTGGATTATGGCGGGAAAATATGGGAATGGAAAAAGATTGGATGGAGGGAAAATGATGGGAAGCTTTTTTTTTTTTAATGAAAATTAACAGCCTATGAGAAAGTTGCATATTCAAGCACTGCCAGTTTAGGATAAATTTCTTTATATGAAATGTAAGACTCAGCACTATGCACGAGCAGGACAAGAGTTTACTTTACTGCCTTTGCAAATTAGTTGCATATGAAGGGGACAGGGATGAGCCAGAGGAGGTTGAGATAAAAATAATAATAATAATAATGAAAAAAGGGACAAAGTGGTTCAAGTGCCTCCAATTCAATGATTCAACTCTACCTGCAGACGACTCTATTGCACTGTGGTTAGCGGCTCACTTATAGTGGATTTACAGCAACTGTTTAACATACTGCTGATAAAACTTTTAGCAAAAGCTGCAAAAATGGCAATTTAACTCACGTTTTAATTCATGCAAGGACACTAAATCTGTTGCCTTAAACTTCCCAGTCTGATTTAACAACTCCTTCAAGAAGTGTGCAAGTAATGCATTCAAGATTCGTGCCCGGATATTTGTGTTTCAGTTTTATAGTTTATGATCCGTCAGAGGCAATAATGTAAAAAGAAGCTTGTATTTATTGTAAAAGGAGGATTTACTACCTCTACATCCTTCTATTTCTTGCCTACAAATGCCAACCAAATAGGGATGCTCCCATGCAAACCGGCAGAGCCACAGGCTATTGTCCTGCCTTGACTCACTGCTCACTCTAGGAATAAAAAAAAGGAAAACCAGTGGAGGTACTGAGAGGGGAATTAACCTTTGAGAAGGAACTGCATTTTCGATGCTCACTGTACTTTAAAAGGTCGGGGTCAAGAGAGATTCTGTATTTCACTTTACTTACTTCAGAACACTTCATGCATTTAGCACTATTTTGCTCTAATGTGTCATTTAAATTGCAAAATAAAGTGGATTACATATTCAGTATTACAATTCAGTCATTCGCGATGTTACTGCGGTATACCGCGAGTGCTGAGACACAGTTTTATCCTAGTGGCACCGTTTCTTTCCATATCAATCATATTTTATCTTTTTTTCCTCGTTTTTGCATGTCCACCTTTACAAATCCATTCGTCATCAAGCTCATAGGTCAAAAAAAAAAGAGAGAGAGAGACTGGTAGGATCATTACTGAGCCGGCTGCACCTTGTGATTACCTCCATGGCCCACATCTATCCATCACATCAAAATTCCTGAAGACAGATGCGGCTGGATGGAGGCATATTTACAGTATGTGCGTGACTGAGCGCCACTGATGGGTGCTGCGAGTGTGTGTGTGTGTGTGTGTGTGTGCAGAGAGGGGTGATGGTCACATACTCACACATATACACACACACAAATACACATCTGTCAGCAGCTTTGCATGAGCTGATACATGTATGTGAGAAAGTGCTACACCTCTGTATATCATGGGTGTATGTGTGTGGTTATGTGTGTGTGTGTGTGTGTGTCACAGCACTCCTGGAAGGGGGGCTGCAGCGTTTCCGCCTGAATGCTGCTGTCAGTGGGCATCACTCAGCCTGGCAGTGTGGCAGGACGCGGGGATCATTAGTGGACACGGAGGGAGCGAGAGAGGGAGCAGAATGGAGGAGGGTAAAGGAGTAAAGGGGAGAGAGGGGCACTGACTGTGCGAGTCGGGGCAGTGCGTCTTAATATCCGTCTTGAGAGCATTACACACACAGCAGTGCACTTTCCTCTCAGTCACGCAATCGCCCCACATCGAAGACCCCCTCCTCTGTCATTTTTCTCCCCTCTGTCACACTCCCTCCATCTATCCATCTCTCTCCCTTTTCGCCTTGCATCTCTGATTGACCCTCTCTGTCCGTCCCCATATCTCTCGAGCCGTGCCCTCACTTAAGCACGGTGCATTGCAGCTTTTCATTTCCTCAGCTCCAGATTTATCCGTCCTGCTTCTCTTTCTTCGCTTGCATCTCTCCACTCCAGCCCATTGCTCCCATTTTCACCCACTCTGCATTGCACAGCTCTTCTCCTTCTTCTTGAACGGAGCATAGTTGACCTACTCTTAACTGCAGCAAGGTGAAACAAGTGTTTTACACATGTGGGGCATCAGCTCCTTTCACTTCGCTCCCTTCTCACATCATCCTCATCCGTGCGAGCCTTCAGCTTCTTCAAACACCCGCTCGTTCACTTGTACATTTACCTATCAATGCATCCACTCATGTGTCACTTTGTGTGTCAGTATGCTTCACATCCGCTACTATTCGTGCACCACTCCTCCTCCTCCTCCTCCGTCCCCCTCTTCACTCTCTTTCGTCAGAGTGATCCCTCTGATCTCCATCCATCCCTGCAGGTCTGTGACCTGTGCTGTGATGCCCTATGCTGAATACCAGAATCAACATGCCTGACATTTAACAAACAGAACAGCTTCTACAAAGCTAGCTGTGTTAGCACAAGTGCTAAATCTTCCCTAGTTTGCTTACTCAGAAAAAGGTTTTCCAAGTTCAGGGATCCATCTGTTTGCAGCGCTGTAGCAGCATTCATCACACACAGATTAGGCCAATTCTGTAATACATTTGTCCCAGTGAAACATTTGCGAGCTGAGTTTTGGCACCTGCTGTGAGTGTAGTTTAGCATTATAGCCCTGCTGATGACAACAGCGCAATCTGGCCTGGTGCCAGCGCTGACAGAAGATTGAAGGTTTGCGGATGGCGAGGAGGCAAAAACGAAAGTGGCATGTGAGCATATGCATGGGAACATGTGACCAATCAACTATAGTGAAGTCTGTATGACAGCGACAAGGCAAACAAGGCCACAGAGGCTTCTGCCTTTTTAAAAAGTGGTGCATTGGTCTTGATTGCCTTTTTCTTGAGAGCTGACTCAGAAGAAAAATTGTTGCATAACCAATGAGCAGATATTATGATCACAGAAAATTGGCCAATAATGCTTTAAGTAATCAAGAGGTGACCTTTGGTCAAAATGAAGGTGATGCACAAGTCCAAAAAAAGTGTCCATTTAAGGCCAGCTCCTACAGCTGAAGAAAGAACCTCAAGATTCATGCTGAAATACCAAGGACTGTCTATGGAATGGACGCCGTCTGCCTCCTCGCTGGGTGAAGCCACTCCGAGAACAGCGCCCTCTGGTGACGGGCTGCAGTATAGGTCACAAATCCCGCCTCCTCCAGCAAAGCTTATGGAGTTGTGGACAAACTTTAGAAATTGATTGTGATGTTGACTTGTAGTTATTGGAAGACTGGTTTGTTCATGTTTTCGATGATTGACACTATGAAGATTGCGTAGCTCACCTGAGGGATACGCTGTTTGAACCGAGCGTCATCACAGCGACTCTCTCGCCAAATGTGTACAATGCAACTGCGCAAGTGGTGAAGTGCGTACAACGATACTGCGCAATGTTGGTTTCAGGAAATGGAGAAAAATTGTGAAAATACCGATAGATTTTCAGCTTCAAATCCGTAAACTGGTGGAAGACGGAACCAAGTTGCCATAGTATATACAGTCAATGTGAAATGCCCGTTCTTCACAACAAAATTCAGGCACAGGCAGCAATGCAGCACATTTTAGATCCGTCCCAAAAGTGTTTCACTATTCCACATTTCAGACACGCCTCTGATGGGTCAAAACAAGAGTCATCAAAAGTGTAGCGCTAATTGAACCAGCGCACACGCTCAGTGTCATCAAAGTTTGTTGGAGTCAGAATTACAAATACGACGCTTCTACAGAAACCAGTGAGTGACTTGCAGAGACTATGTCCACATTAAAAAAATCTGTCAGCATGTTAAAATTAAAATGTTACTGTAGTTGATCCTTTTATTTGCATGTATGCTGACTCTGGTCTCCTGGATCACCTTTAAAATGGCAGAATTAGTGGGAATAAAAACAGCAGAGAGAGTACCGATCGGTGTAAATTTATTTCTCAACTATTGTAATAATTTTGTTTAATCTCTACCTGAAGCTTAGTAGAAATGGAATGTAACATTATTAAGTATGTTTTAATCAATAAATTAAAATCTTTCAGTTTTTGTCAGTCTTTTGTATCTACATAGGATCAGGTCCCCTTACACCACCTTGCACCCTTGATGTGTCTATCCAAGAAAAAAACCATAGTAACGACCACAGAGCTCACTGAATATTCCCATTTCTACATGTTGTATCATCAAGTATCGCTTTTACAAAACGCACACCGACTGTTATGGTGATTTTGGCTTCTTTAAACGACTTAGTTACAGAACTTTGAAAAAACGGATTTCAAGCAGTTCATAGCTTTTAAAGGTTCAGTAAGGATTTCATCCCACACACTGTAAGGTTACAAATCTCACTGCCAAGCAACATTTTTGGCAACTGATAGTGAATAACAATGCGTGTTTATTCCTTCTGAGGATTTGCACTTATTATCCTTCACTTAATGCAATCTGTAAATTGAAATCAGACAAAATAGGCAATTTAATAATGACCAGTGTGAGAGCTCTGCGGCTGGCTTTTATGGCTGTTTTTTTCAATGTTTTTAGGGATTTACAACTAATCCGTCAAATAAAATAATCTATAGACTAAGCATGATTAAAAATAGAAATGAGTTGAAGTTCTTTTAAAATCTGACTTGCCCTGATATTCAACATTTTCAGCAGATCACGATCAAACCCTCCTGATTCCTGACACCTATCCATCAGTTCCTGCTCTGTCATCATGGGCATGCAAAGTCACACCTCTAACACACATCCTAAACCACAAACAGAGATGAAGAGGAACCTCGAGCGAGCCCTGTATACTGCCTCTCTCTCTCTCTGCTCTCTCTCTCTCTTGCACTCACTATTTCTCTTGGATGAATTGCAACCTTTTCCTAATCACCATTCCAGACACACAGCTCTGGAAATATACAAAGACAGCTCCCTTAACACACTCACACACACACACACACACACACAATGATTCACACATGCACAGCCCTGACCCCAGATGCATTCCCTCCGCTGAACCTCTTGCACCTCTTCCACACTCATCTAGATCTCTCCCGGGCCGCTCCTCGGGCACAGATCACTTGTGAGGATTTGAGAAAAGACGTCTCTAAGCTGATTGCTGACGACTGGGGGGATGGGGGGGTGGGGGGTAAATTACGGTTGCACAACTGCGTTAGAAACCTTCTTGGCGAATGCCATTCCTTATGTAATAGATTGTGTGTGTGTGTGTGTGTGAATGTGTATGTGTGTGTTCCCGAAATACCACTCCCCCAGCCGCAGCCCCTACTCCGCGCCATTTACCCATTTTGCGCTAATTGAGGGATCTTTTTTCAGAAGCTGTTATTGCGCTCATTTAATTATTTATTTTGACGGGAAGCAATCTGGTAGCTAGTGAGGAGATTGTGATTGTGCACGTGTGTGTGTGTGTGTGAGTGTGTGTGAGACGGCGAGAGGTACTGAGAGACAGGGCATGACTGGGTCAGTGTAGCATTTGTGGGGTAAAAGTGCGTGAAGACAGGGTTATACAGTGAGCTAACCATACCGTGTGTCTGTGGGGCTTTGCATGCATGAACAGTATGTATGGTATTCTCAGTGTGTGTGTGTGTGTGTGTGTGTGCGTATGCATGTGTGTTGCATCTCAGAGTGCACAGCTTCCTGAGTGCAATGGGAGTGCACTAATGGACGCACACTTGAGCTGAAGTGTGCAGAGTGTAGCTGAAGTGCAGCCAAGTCTGGCTTCCAGTCCTGCTTGGAAGCCCTATAATCTACTCTCTTACTATTCTAGCTCTCGTCTCTCCCTCCCTCCCTCTCCATTTTCCTCACTTCTCTCGTTGTCTTTCTATCTCTGTCTCTCTATCAATTTAATATTTTCATCCGCTCTTCATTGACTGTGCCGGCCGCCCCCGTCTCCCCACTGTCTCCCTATTAAATCTCTTTATTCTGGTTCTGAGAATGAAGACACGGATCAGCATCATCGCCGGCTGGACATGGACTTTTATTTCTACTCGTTCCCCCCTCCTCCTCCTCCTCCTCTCTTTTCCCGCTGTGCAGCGAAGAGAATGAAATAAGGGAGGACGACATGTAACCACCAGTAGTCTTGACCTTTATCAGGCTCCGGCGCCTGAGGCAGGGTGAATGAGACATTAAGAAAATGACTGAGCATTATTAACCCCTACTTACTCTCACACACATACACACACACACACACGTGGCACACTGTCTGCTCTGGCTCTAATGCTTATTTCCTTGGCTGGCACTATTCTGACAGTTAAGGATAAACTGGGTGAAACACTTATGCATTTGGCATCGCGTCACTTTAGAGGGAGAGAAAGAATGGAGAGACCGGCTCGGCCCTGCCAGCTCGGATTGTTTAACCGTGATTGATCCCTCGTTGAGCTCCAGCTTCCCAGCACTCCTGTGAATGCCAAGCCCTGTAGAGAATTGATGCTTCATTATAAACCAACCGCACAAGTTCTTCAAATGATGCATCAAGCTCTGAGAGAGGAGAGCTGGACCTGCGAGGGCCAGATGTTAACCCTGACGGCTGGAGCACCCTGCTAAGCTGCACCTCTAATGATAAATCATTTCCCTCACTCTCTCTCTCTCTTCTTCCTCTTTTTAGCCCATGTGCACGTGAGAGAAACCGGCGCATGTGCATGTGTGGCCGTCCCTCTTCTCCAGTCAATCAATGAGCAGAGACAATTCCCCGAGTGACATTTACAGAGAAGAAAGAGAGCCATTTATCACTTTAGTTTTGGGATAATAAAAGAATGACTGAATGAGCCAGTGTGTGTATGTGTGAGGGAGAGAGAGAGCGGGCAAGAGAGAAAGAGAGAGCTAAAGATGAAAAGGGGATTTCAAAAGCACATGAAAGGAGCAGGAGAAATGAGCGAGGGAAGAGGGAAATGAGTGATAAAAAGGGCTACTTTGTGGGGAGGACTGCGAGTGTAAAATAGAACAAGTGAGGAGAGAAGAGAAGGCCGTGAGTGACTGACAGTGAAAAAGAGAGCACGAGAAAGAAGGGTATGAAAAAAAATGCCCGGGGTACGGAAAGAAAAAAGGCAAAGAGACAGAGGAGGGGATGGGGGAAAAAAGGCTCCCGGCGCAGAGAGAAAGGGGGAGACAGAGATGAAAAAATGGAGAAAGAGGAAAAAAGGGGGTGAGGAGAGAGAGCGAGGCAGACGTGCTGGGTTCATTCAGGGCTATGAGCAGACTCCGAGTTCAGACCTCACACGGTCAGCATACTAAACACCGGACCCAGTGTCCTGACCCAGATTCATGCCACTGACATACAAATCCAGTTGGGGAGGGACAAATGTCGCCCCCTCCCTCCCCTCCTGACTGATCATACCTCCCCTCAAAAACACAAAAAACGCCCCTTCCCCCCCCATCAACCCCAGCTGGTCTCACAGTCACCTCCTAACCCGACAACCTCGCCTCGATCCTGTAACCTCCCCGCACATATGCTGGCTCCCACACTGATTTGCTCACACATGGTTCGTTTTACACATACAAATGCACACACCCAGGCAGAATCCACACATGCAAAGTAGATATCCTTCCAAGGTCAGTTTTTTTTCTCTTTTCAGCCCCAGGTGAGCAGACATTGCAGCTCGGCAGGAGTTCCTGACCAGCCACTACCCTGAGGTGACCTCCTCGGCTCCATCCATCAGCTGTGGGAGCAGCATATCCACCAGACATTAGCATAACAAGCATCTTCCTCTAACATAACTCCTGTTACTCCTCCTCTCCGCTGCCCTCCTTTTTTTTTTCTTTTTTTTTTCTATCTGTCCACCTGCTCCAATCAGTCAACGTTAACTACATTTCCCTTTTGTTAGGCGGCTCCCTCCATCACTCGCCAGGACCGCCAAGCTCAGGTAAACTGATCGACGGCCCTTATACGCTCCCCTTTCCCCCTCCCACAATCCTTTTTGGCTCATGACAGGGGTTTGATGGACAGGCGAAGAGGAGCGAGGGGACCCTGCACATGGCTGCCGGGAAAGAGTCCGGAGATGGAGCGCTTGTGAAATACACCGTTTAGCCCGGTATACATCATCTCTTTTTCTCAGGGACAGCCATGGCAATATGCGTGCACATAAACACACACATTTACACACATGCACACGGCCATCAATCCCCTTGCATACAGGAAGAGATATCCGACGAAGAGAAAAATTGAATTAGGAAATATGGGCGCTGTGATTTGTGGGAAGCCAGTTTTGTGGCCGGGAGAGAAATACAGCTCGGAGGGCACTTCATCTTCGAACACGAGCAAAAAGAGGAAGAAGCATCTGTGTTGTTTATCTAAAGCCCCCATCTAGTTACAATGACTTGATTTGAAATATTCATATACATGTATGACAAGATCAGGCCCATTATGTTGCTCTCTCGGTGGGGATTCACTGAATGGACTGAATGGAGACCCATCAGTCAGTGTAAATTATGAAGACAAGATGCATTACATAAGCCTATAGATGGGCATGAAGAGGAGTATTATTGTAGCCTGATATCAATCACTGCAACACACATTCTACAGTGTCATCAGTATGATAATACACTATAGGCTATTTCAAGGATAAACCCGCCATTATAATAATTCACAAAGCACATAACCAAAACAAAACACATTAGGCTTCGTGTAGGGCGCATCATCATAGGACATTATATTGTTTATGTTGTAGATGGATCAGTTACCATGATCGTAAAGCACATTATATTAAATTGTAATATTCCTCGTCGATTGTTTTTTTTTCCTTTTCAGGATAATCAATTAATCGTTTGGTCCTCAAAATGTCAGAAACATGTAAACTAGTATAAAAGGTGTAAAGGTACAAGCAGTGATTTAAAAAAGAGAAAATACGTGCTGCTTCATCCGTTAGTCACTTGTTGGCGTGTGTATTGTGTGGTTGGTATCCATCAGTAAGTCATTAGTATTATGTTCTAAATTTGTACGGCGTGTGTCATCATCCAGATCTGCTTTGGTTCATGTTGTCTTCGTGCTTTTTTTTGGAGCCGGACCAACGTTGCTGTCATCTTCTTAAAACTAAGATTTCCCTCCCAAGTTGGCTTTAAATCAAGATTACCGGGGAAACAGAGAAGTGAGCGTTACGTACCACACATGGCAGGATGTGAGTGTCAACACTTCTAGCATGGTTCTTATATTTTAAGTTAGGGTGACCGTTCGTCCTCTTTTACCCGGACATGTTCTCTTTTTTGGGGGGCTTGTCCGGCTTTGTCAGGGGAAGTTTTTAAAATCTTTTTGTACGGAAGTTTCGAGTTTGTGTCATGTGGACTTACTTGCGTAAAAAACACTCGATCTGACCTGAAAATTTCTCAAAATTAACTCCATGTGACTCCGTCTCCGCATAGTCATGTCCTCTTTGGGGATTCAGAACATGGTCACCCTGTTTTTAGTGGTATTTTAAACGTCCAAGCAAACTAAGATGGGGAGGAGAGGAAAGGGTGCGTGCAGCTGGAATGGTAGTTGTGTAGTAGAGCCACTAAACAATGCACATACCGAACTGTGATTTTTGCGCACCGTTGCATCACCTAACCAGTGGTCAAATATTGAAAAATCTTATATTTCTTAGCAAAAAAAAATCCAGAGCCATCATCGGACACAGCCACAACAAACGACAAACAAATGTTTGGCATCTCCAGCTAGAATTATTAATCAATCATAAAAATGTTTGACGATTAATTTTTATGTCGTACTGTTAATCCACTCATTGTTTGAGCTCTACTACGGCAACCTGCAGGTTTTGTCTCAGTTTGCCAACAGAATTAGACATTCCAGAGCGATGCCCAAACAGTGCACGGTCTGTTTCCAATCAGAAATATATGAGGCACATCTTTAAGTACACATAAACGGCGTGTTCATAGTACAGTATGTTACAGCTATTAAGGTGTACTCTAATACGGCGTAGGTTAGCCCAAGGCCGTCTCGCTGTGATGGGGTGAGTACAGGAGACAGAGCAGAACAGAGCGGAGCAGAGCAGGCCCTGTAGTGGAGGAGAAAAAGACAGAGAGAGTCGACCCAGCGTGACTACCGCCTGCCTGAGTGGAGCAGCCTGCCTGCAATTAAGGTGGAATCAGGGAGAAATCTGCGCTGCCTTGATAATGAGCCTCGTCTGAATTATTAACGAGAGCTGTTCCCCCGGGACCTGGGCTCCCACTGAGCCCATCAACCCCTCCTAACACACCCACATGCACACACATACACTCACAGACACACACATATACACTCGTCATAGACTGATGCGGGAGAAAGAAGAAAAATTCGCTCTCAAACATCCACGCACACACAGACAGGATAGTCACACATTACGCACATTGACACAGATGAGCAACAAGCATGCTGCCACAAAATTTTTTTGCACCACAAGGGCCGACACATTTTATTCACACGCTGCTTGCTCAAGTGAATATCCGAAGCCGTTTACTAAATTTATAATGCGAGCAACATTTCTCCAGGACAAAATAACTTCATCCACCGCCGTCCGATTGAAACTGACAGACTCCTCTCTGGATTAAGAGCGAGCTCCTTGGAAATGAAACATGAGTGAATTCGAAAAATGACAAAAATCTCACATTAAAAGGGAAACTCTTTTCATTCAGTTTGTTTAGGAAATCAAAAGGAGAGTAATAACAATGGGCATTTTCTAAAGTGCAGTGCATTGAGAAAACAGCATGCTGAGGTCTTTTATTTCTGACATGTAGGCTGGTTATTAGATGATGAGTCATTTATTGCTTATTAGTCATTTCTGGAGAGTATTAACAGTTGTGAATGAAAAAATGTTTCTTTGAGTGATATTACTATTTAAGTAACAGAACAAAAAGAGCAAAGTGAGTTTTATTAGGAGGACTAGAAGTCAGGGGAACACTAGCGAAGCTCAGCTCTCTCTTTTTTTTGAGATGTGGCTGTTTGGTTGTAAGTACAAACCTCAGTATGTGTCCATCAGCCCCTGAGTGACACATAGATCCGTTAACTGAAAAAGACATCTTCCTATTTTCTCACCAATTTAATAACCTCGCTCCCTGCAAATCAAAGAAGATGTATTTTAATCACCTTTCATCGAATCTCTACGACATCAAACTCGCATAGCTTCGGAGGGAAACGCACACCTCACCCTGTCCCTGCAGCTGTAAATAGTTTTGCCAAAAACTCAGCAGGCTCTCACCAAATAGAGCCACACCTTCCGCGAGAGCCAATTGCCACAAGTCGGGCTTATTTCAAAACAAATCAGACAGCAGAAAACAGCAACGCGGAAAGTCGCTTCCGCTCTCCGCCGGCCCCCTCCTCTGCCCAAAAACTTGGTTCACCCCACCCAAGAACAGAGTGTTCCTCCATGGGTGGTTTGAAGAGGCACAAGTGTGTTGTGTGTTTTTCGTGAAAATTTGTGTGCGTGCATGAGCCAGAGGGGAGTAGAGGGAACTATCACCCTAAGAAAGTGCAATGGGAAAAGAATGACAATTTCTCCATGCCTCACTATGTTTCTTCACTTTAGGAAGTGAAAGGAGCATTTAATATTCTGAGAAATGTCACCAAACTGCTGTGAAGAGTAAAATAAAATTGCAGAACCATGGGTAATAGGCTTGGTAAGTTCAGTTCAGCTGAGAAGAACATCCAAATTAGTTCAACCCCGTCAAATTGGGAACTTGACGGTCTCATCCCCCCCTTGTATTCTGCTCCAAAAGACCCAGTGGCTGAGAGGAGTTGAGCTGGGGAAAATCCAGCATTGTTATCCTATTATCTCTGAGATAATGTGAGATACGAGATTTCTCTTAGATAAGAGGAGGCACGCTGCTTAAGGCAGTGTGGATCACTGGCAAGAGAGCGCTAAAGCTCAAAATCCTGACGCCACAGAAAGGCTCTTCACCTCAATTGGCCCTTGAAACCACGAAGATAGAAAAAATGTATAGAATGTCTCGTAGACGGATGGAGCGAAAAAGAAAGGCAGCGAGATTAAAGACGTGATAACATGGATGTCTGCAAGATGGAGTGATAAAAGAAAGCAGAGTAATATCAAAGGCAGAATTATATTGTTTTTCATATTACTGTCTCCTGATTGCTGTCTCCCGTATTTGAATGCGTGCCCATGCTTTGGTAATTTGCATGTACATTAATCATTTTCAGAGAGAAATGAACTGCCACGGCTGCCTGAAGGCTGCAGGGGGAGAGGCAGCTAGAGCGGGCTTCTTGGCATCACACACCCGACTCAACCTGAATATACTGCCTGAACCCAACCTGGCTCCGGCTGCACAAGCCAAGGGGAGATGTAAGGTGCTCATAATCCTACACCATAAATCTGTCCGGCATGCATCATATGCTCTCATTTTCTGAGTGTGTAAGTGTGTGTGTGTGTGTGCGTGTGCGTGTGTGTCGCACTCTCAAATTACTCCGCTCCCCTGAGCCAAGACGGAGGATAAAATATGAATCAGCTGAAGTCTAGGATAGTTTCCAGTCTCTCCAGACTCCCCAACCATCATCAAGCGACACAAGTATGCATTCCTACACACATACTCACACACACTCGCACAAGCTGCTCTACACACTCCAAAAGTTTCAAGTCTCTCCACTTCATGCTAAGCTTCTGTCAAACACACTCTCTGCTGCACATTTGACATTCATATCCTTCATATTTGACAAGTGTCTTCCTGTTGCAGCTTGGAGAGCCTGCGTATGGTGACAGAGTTACCAAAGTGTCTAAATCTCTACCTTTAAATCAATTAGATACAGCAATATGACCCAGCACTATCATAAAAACAACTGCATGTGGAAACAAGGGTCTCACTCGCTCCACTATATTTTCCAGGATTTCTCTCGGGTTGTTTTTCCAAAGTTCCTGTCACACTTCTTTCTCTTTTTTTAGCCTCATCTCCCTGATCTGCCAAAACCACAAGGAAGCCCCATAACCTTTCGCCCTGCTGGCCCTATGTAAAGACACTTTATAAATAACAGTCTAGTCGCTTTGGATTAAAATGTCTGAGTGACTGCCTGGCACCCTTGCCAACCTGCTGCCCTGAAATTCCCTTGGCCTCTAACTGCCCCCTGTGCCGGAAAAAGCCCTGAATTGTAAGCACATAGAAGAAGAAGAACTATGTGTGAAAACAATAGATGCCGTTTAATCGTAATTACATACACTTGAATTAAACAGATGATATAAATCACTCATTTTTGTTTTAATATGGGTAACACGTTAAAAGTATCGGTCTATTATGGATATTCTACATTCCACGCTGACATTTTCATGAAGCCTCCCCCCTTGCATAACAATCGCCTCATCCAACGTCTTTGAAGTTAATAAACTTATGGGCGCCTACAGGGCAATCCCAACACCAAGTTCTCTTTAAACCCCACCATTAGAGGCATTATGAAGTCAAGAGCAAGACTACGCACCATTCTCTGCAGTGACATGCTGTCAGACCAATGAGCGGGCCCAAACACACACGCCTATAGAAGTCGACAGCCCCTCCCCCTGCATTAGGGCCCCACAAAGACACACAGAAACGCACACAGAGCACCACCAACCTTGATGCTTTGTTGCAATTGACATGTGCTTCTCCCACGCACAAACGCAGTTTGCGTCCACATGCGCCCTTGTGTCGGGCAAAGACATAAGAAGTAACCACACAAAGCTTCGGGATCAATCGCCAACTTAAGTGTAGCGTTCTGCAAATGTCTATTTAGGATCGGCTTAGTTAAAGAGCATACGTAGATAAAGGCCGGTCACCATGTGCCAGTGACTGATGCCAAAGTGGAAAGTGTAATCAGGTTCAAAAGTACACAATAAGATGTATGGTGATTAAGGAGCCATGGCCTTAGAATGCTTCCTAGAAGTCAGAAGCCATAAGGTATTTATAGGGGCTTAATGGTACCGTCTTCATGCGCAGCCTGTCTTGTATCTGTCATCAAGCCAGCATCACGTCTCTGCTAATACCATCCACGGCAGCATCACCTACAACGCACGTCCTGATTCTTAAGATTCTCTCTCTTTCACTTAAATAAACTGTCTTAAGTTGGTCATCCCCCGCCCACCACCACCAGCACCAGCACCACCACCACAACCCCTCATTCACAACCCCCAGCTATCCCGCCTCCTACGCAAATCTGCCAAGCCATATCACTTAATTTCATTTGATTTCATCAGCAGCTTACCAACAATTCTTTTATGATTTTTTTTCTTCCTTCCCCCGTCACAACAGAATAAAGCGGGCTGTTTTGCATCAAATGATTAGCTCGTGCGTTGCATTGTTGATTGAGATGAATACATGGTGGATGATACAAGTAGGGTTTCCCAGCTAGCAAAGGCTGCTGTCAGGAATAATTGCCAGATGACAGAGCAGCGAGAACGAGAGTGCAACCTGAGTAATGTAAAGTGACATTTTACGTGCAACAGGTTCATGCACTAAAACTGCACGTGTGACTTTACATTAATAGAGCGAAGCTTGTTTTTATAGGCTGTGACTGAATGATCTTACAGTTAATCCTTTATAAAAACAAATAATGTTTCTCCATCCTTTTCTAATCTTTAACTCCCTCACTGAAGAATTAAAATGCACGTTTTATGGCTTTTTCTAATATGAGAAAATCAAGATTTATGGGGTTCCTGTCAAAAATTATATATTTCAGGATTTCGTTTTGTATTTAAAATCCCACCTTAGCAAATGGGGTTGTCATTTGAAAAGCTGAGTTCAATTAAAAGTTTAAAAGCTGAATTAAGAGTTTTATTGTTCAAGTTCATTTGTACACACTGCTTTCATTGTCAATATTTCCATCTGCTGTTAGTTTTCTTCCTCTACTCACGACTTCTGAGTGAATGTTTACATTACCATTCCCTCTCCAACCAAAACCAGGTCAGCCCTGTTCCTGACATTTTGGCTGCCTCTTTTAAGAGACTTACCTAATGCCCCGTCATTACCTGGAATGGGCCCCATGTCTCGCCTGTGGCCTGAAATAGCCGAGAGACCTCAGACTACCGCGGCCGCCTGTCGTCGTGGCCCCCACCCCCCCTGCTAATTTGCAGTTTCTCAAATAGCAGACTGAGACTTTAGTGCTAAAGATAAAGAGGCCCAAAGGTTCAAGACTCCTGATGCAAGTGCAGGGCTAATGAGGTAAAGTCTACCTGGAGACACACCTTAGCGGGGTTAAGTTTAATGGGACAGGCTCAAGATGTCAGTCAGGTGCTTGTGATTACGGCTGGGGCCAACCGAGGAGACTCAACTCCGAGAGAGTTTGTGTTATGCAACAGCGCAAAACAAGTTCTGACAACAAAATGAAGGCAAAAATATGAACGCATGTTGTTGGACACATGCCATTAGTGTGGTTTCAGAGTGTAAGAGTGACATACCTCTCAAGAGTTATGGATGAGCTGAAACCACGTGACACAGAGTCAATAGTTGTTCCTGTAAGTATTTAAGTACAAGCAATCCAGTGGATTGTGGATTTATGCCGGCCAATTTGAAAACATTTTTAAGTCTTGTTTTGTGGTTTTGCTTTATTAAAAACCAGATGTGGCATGTTGAGCAATCTGGAGCAAAATGCCTGGTAATATACACCCTTTAACTTTTCACACGTCGCCCTGTAAATAAGTCTTAAAATGCAAACTTGGCTTTTATAATCCTGAGGTTTCCCGGTTCATCAAAGGTGCGTCATGAGGACATGCACTTCTGCCCCTGCTAATCTCCCTGCTTCTTCTCTCCTGTCCTCAAATGGCCATAATGAATAGAAACAAGATGAGGCTGGGAATAGAGGCTGATAACATGGGCAGATGTCCAAGAGGTTACTCTAGGCTCTCAGCCAGGCGAGCAGCGGTGGTGGACTGTGGTCAGTTGTGAAAAACCCCTCTGAATATTTACATTGCGGGCAGCTGACCTGTGATCTCCAACAAGTGTCCGTCTGTTGATTCTGTCTAATACATCCTGATTTATCCCTCGATAGAAATGTAGTAGACATCTCAGTGAATAGTTTCTCCCCTTTGACTGGTACACTGATTCGCAGCAGATACGGAAATTAATAATTAGGCATTGCTGCTGCTGGTGCTGCTGAGTGGATTTCATTCCACGGACGCTGCTGCCCATCATGAGCCTGTAGCCTTGTTACACACACTCGGAGTGACTCCACTCCAGTCTATTACATTGTGCCATCAATGATCTATTAGAATGACAGGCGGCAGTAATGAACTAAGACAAGATAACGCATGGCACCATTCATGCGTAACAGGCACGGAATCCCACGGTGACATGCGTATGGCACGAGGGTCGAAAAAGCATAATAGCTTAGTGAAAGGGGGATCAGACTCGCTGTTATCTTTTGACACTTTGTGATTAACATGTCAAACAAAAAAACGTGCTGGCTCGTGCTTTTCACTCCTTACCTTCCAGCCAGCTGAGCTGTTACTGTCGCCTTTATCCTTGAAATAGGGCACATAGCGGACCATCCAGTCGTAGATCTGTGACAGCGTGAGTCTCTTTTCTGGGGTGCTCTCAATGGCTCGGGTAATGAGATCCGCGTAGGACTGGTTCCCCCACGCGTTCCGCCGCGAGGATTTAGCTTTGCGCAGCGGTCCGGTCACATCGAGCGCCGCGCCAGCCAGGCATGGGTGCGTCGCGCCTGTGGGTGCCGGGGCGCCGGCTGGGTGCTTCAGCTCTCCCGGTGTTCCACCCACAAGCCCCCCTCTGCAAGCCGGGATGTCCTCCGGTTCCACCTTGATGTTGGCCAGCGGGAGACCCCCGCTGACCTCGTGTCCGCCGGGGAAATCCTCCGGGCAAGGTAGCGGCCAGGTACACGAGCGAGGCCGGCTCTGCGGCTCGAAATCCGAATCAACCTGATGAGCGTCTAGTTCGTCGTCCTCCATCATCAACATTTACCCTTCAGTTGAGAAATGGAATAAATCAAATGAAAAGAGGTGGAGGGAAATACCTCCACGGTGCCAGTATCCCACTCTGTTCACTGGATTTCACGTGAATTCAGGTTTCAATTCGTCTTGTATCACTGATATTACGCTTCCAGTCTGGATCAATAATAGGCAATTCAGCGGTGTAGAGGGATCATGATGAATAAAATCGAAATCACAGCCTCGCGTGGAGAGATAAGAGAAGTAATAAAAGTAAGAGTAATTTCTGGTCCATTTTACCCGCTGTTAAATATCAAATGTTGATTCAAAATGCCTCTTATTCAACAGCCCACATCACCTTAAGTCAGTCAGTCTCAAACGCGTGTCTGAGCCAGTCATGGGGGCATTTCAATCCAGTTGCAGCAACAGATGATATTTCAGATACGGAGCATATTGGCAAAGCAGTCGTCGATAAATCCTCCAGAAGACAACAGGAAGAATGGAGCGAGAGAGAGAGGGGTGAAAAAAAATCACCAGGGCTGTGTAGAGAGCATCCACTGAGGCGATAATGCGTGATTACCGTGAATTATTAAATCTTCCAGTCTGCACGGATTAAGCTGGCAGCGGCACATTCAAGTCCATTCAGCCTGAACAGCACCCAACTGTCTGCAATTATAATGAAGAGGCGTGCGCATGTGACAAATCGATAAATTCCCAGTCTGGAAAATATGAAGAAAAAAAAATAGTCCGGGATTTAAAATATCGTATCCACTTGTCAGGTTGATAAAACTGGCTTTTATCACTCCTCCTCTTGCTTCCTTCTATCCCCCCTTGCCTTTCCTCACTCTCTCAGATCCCACACATGTTCTCATTTGCTTACAACTCGTTCCGTCGATGTGAACCGAGGATGACGCGCCGGCGCTGTAGTGGAGATGCTGCCAATTGGAGTGCGCTCGCGAAATCAATACTCACCGAACATGATTACAGCGAAACCCCAAACTCTCCCCCACTCTCTCTTCCCCTCTCTCCTTTTTACTATCTCTGCTATGAACTGAAGGAGAAAACGCCAAATTCTTCATCAAAACTCTGCATAATGATTTTCTGGCGGAGCGTCACACGGCGCTTTGTGTGCCAGCCTCCACGTCAAACCGAGGTGAAAGAAGACAATGTGAAAACTACACGTGGGGAATTTCCTGCCCCCACCTCAACGCGGATCTTGCTCTTTTTTAAAAATAGTGTCTAATCCGGTTTATTGTGGAGTAATTTGTCTCGTGCAACCTGCGCGGCGTCCAAATGCCCTCCAGGGAGACCTCACGGTGCGCAGACAGGAGGTGTCACCTCTGCTGATTATTGGCGGGCAATACCTCAGTGAGTGTAATTTTCTGTGGCGATTAGACAGATTTAGTTTAGATTAACAGAGATTAGGTAACCCTAGATTTTAATCCGAGAGCAGCCAGGTGAAAGGGGGTTTACGGGAGGCCAGACTCTGCTCCTCATTCAAGACAAAAAAGACAAAAAAGAAAAAACACTCGCACATTATCATCTCAAATCGCATTTGCCAAGCATGAGCGCCACAGACACGCTGCTCTGGGCAGACACAGCCCTGGTCAGACTCGTGTGCGTAATTCTGCTACACTGACCGAGGGGGATTCCGCCCCTCCATTCCACCCACCCTCTCCCCAAATCTGACAGCAGGGCGGGCACACAGTCACAGGTGCTTGAATCCCATTGGCTGTTTATTTCCCTCATTTAAACCTTAAAGAATCTGGCTTAAAAAATTAGGATTTTGCAGCCTTCAACTGTACTTCACCTTTTCCATTTTCATAAATCCACAAAAGCTGCTGAAATCTCAGGAAGAATGCGAAACTCTGTCTAACATTTAAGCACATTCACACCTGTTGTTATGAGAACTCCTGAAGGAACAGTCTTTCTTATTCATACAGCTTTTCCAGCACATGCACATAATACACTTTTTTTTCTCAGTATAAAATCTCAAGTTGGTGAGTAAGTCCTTGAAAACATCCTATGAGTGCATGCTGGCGTTTATGAAAAATATGCAACAGCTTGTTTGTGAACTGTCCTATAACAAAGAGGCATGCAAACAGGAAAGAGGTTTCAGTAACACTTTATTTGACACCTATCTCTATGACGCATTATAAATATATGTATAGAGTGGTATAATCATGTTAAAGCACTGTATAACTATAGTTATAAACACTCATAAAAGATCATAATGTTTTATAGCAGTAATCATAACACACTATAAAGCATTTCCTCATGACTTACAAGGTCAGGTTTTATAATGTGCTAGAACTGTTAACAACTCACTGACAATGCCTACATAGATAATGCAATGCAACTGTTGTTAACAGTTATAACACATTGTAATACTTGACCTTGTAAGTCATGATAAAATGCTTTATAATGTGTTATAATTATTGCTATTAAGCAGTCATCTAAGACTTATGTTTAGCTCGTCAACGTCACGTCTTTGTCATGGAAAAAAAGGGGGCGTCATCGTCAACGAAAACAACACTGCTATAAAGCATTATGATCATTTATGAGTGTTTATAACTATAGTTATACAGTGCTATAACATGATTATAACACATTATACACATATTTATAATGCTTTATTGAGATAGCTGTCAAGTGTTACCGTTATGTTTGAACTCAATTTTTAGAGTAAATTCATAACAAATGCCAGTGAAGCAAGGTGTCTGAATTTGTCTGAGGAGCCCCACCCTCCTCACGCAGTGTTCTTGGACAGAAGCTGTACTTAAACGTTGCTCAACACAGCGGCACAGTGTGCACTCAGACATTACTAATGTTGAGAAATTTGCATCAAAAATAGCCCACTCTTAAATGCATGGGGATGTGTCATAGTGTGTCATGGAATGACTTAGTCCTGAACATCAGTGGCATCAGATGGTCAAAATGCCATGACGCTAATAGTTTGAATTTGTAAAAAGTCTACAAGCAGAGATATTTGATAAACGGTTGATTTTGTTTTCATTATTATTCAGACATTTAAGACTAAAAAAATCAAACCAATGCAGGAAAGACAGGCTGTTCATACCATGACGCTTGCTAACAAGTAATTCTCCAGAGGGCTAGGATTTCAAGAGATTACACAATGTGTCTTGATTACACTTGAAGTGAAAGAAAAGTAATTGTGAGCTTCAAGAAGACAAATGATCTGATCCAGAGGCTCCCAGCAGGAGTGAATCTCAAGAGAGGCGAGACTGAGGAGGAGGAGGAGGAGGAGGTAGTGGAGGAGGAAGGGTATGAGAGGACACAGAGAGAAGGACACCGAGGTCCAGCCAGCACGAGTTCGGGAACTACATATGTGTTCTGTCCCTTCCAGGTTGGCTGCTACACTGTCCCCATACCAGACATTCCAGAGGCAGCGTGGCTGGCTACAGGCTCTGAGTGGCTGATCCTGGAACAGCATGTTCTGCACAGCAGTAATCACCTCAGCCAGCCACAAGCAAAGGCAGAGTAGTACATCAACAACAAGGCAGAGCTTTGTGCCTGTCAGTTTGCACCCTGAAAAAGTGCTCCGAAATTTCATTCACATATGGAAAAGGCACAAGTTTTCTTTCCCCACCCACTTCTGCAAGGCCCACCCTCCTCTCCTTGGCTCTGCCTCACAACAACTCATGATGTTGTGCAATTTATCCCTGCACCCAATTCTGCCCAGTGGAATTGCGACGGGAGGAAGCCGGAGAGGCCGCAAGAACACCCTAGGGAGATCGATGCCTGTCTGGGAAAACACCTCCCCTGATTCTCCTCCCCTCTCAGCAAACAACCCACACACTCTCTAACAAGCATATGGGCTCCCAATGACACATGAAGGAGAGGGCTCAAATCCAAGTATTAGGAGTAGGCGAAGCTGCATTTTCACCCCTTCGTGGCGCTGGCCCAAAGTAGGCCGACTTAAAAACTTCCCACTGAGAGCAAGAGCCAGCTTTCTGTGGCATCTTGGCATCTTGGCTGCCAACTATGAACATTATGTTCAGAGGCAGTGAAGACAATTGGTGCCAAGAGTTTTAATTAAGACTGTGTTGTGGAATGGAGAGTAAAGGCATGTGCAGGTAATGGCTTCTCTCCCAATTTCAGAGGTCTAACAAAATATGATTAAATAACACTATCTGCCTTAGCTAATTAATTATATTTAACAGTTAAAGACCCAGAACAAGCAAATGGCCCAGAGAGGAAAATCAGTGTGCGCTGCTCTCACACCCCAAAGTGCAGCAAGCATAATGGTATTATAATAAACTGATGATGGCAAGACATGCTTAACAGCAGGAGGGGGGAGTGGGCAGTGGAGTTAATTTCACTGGAACTGAGCAGTCCATCGCAGTGTAAGAAATAAAAGAGAAAGAATCAATACCAGGATCTACCTGGTGGCAGCCGTTTCAGACATTAAAATAACTATAGGAATGCTTCATCTTTATTCTGATCTTACCTGCTTTTGCAGGTATTAAAGGGATATTCCAGCGTAAAATTAAGCTAGGGTCAAACACGCTGTATCACCAAGTTAGACACCCCCTGTTCTTCCTTGAGCTGTGTCACCCCACTGCAGTCAATGAACTCGCCCAGAGGTCTCCGTACAAACAAGCGGCTGCTGGAAGAGAGTGGGTGAGTTGTGTTTAGTCTCTTTGCTACAGAAATCAGGCAAAGCTAAAAAGATGTTTAGTGGCTGGGACCCCATATGTACTGTTGATGAAGTTCTGAGCATTATTTGTGGCTATAGAGTGGCGTTTTGGATGAGCGCGTGGCTCTGTGTATTGCTATTGTGCAGTCGTTACTAAAGTTGGTATAACTAGAGAAGCAAGTTGTCGGCAACATTCATCTCTCGACGGGGTGTCTAACTCTGTGCTACAGTGTGTTTGACCCTAACTTAATTTTAAGCCGGAGTATCCCTTTAAAGATGGACCAGTATTCATTTTATTCAGCTTCTTAACCCTCTAAATACTCCTTACGGGAGCTTTAAATGGAATACTCTTAAGTTTTAAACTATTGTTTACAAAAAGAAGGAAAACTTCAAACTGAGCTTCAGAAATTCTGAGGGATGCCTCTTTTCCTCGGTTTTATGACGTTATACTGACTGAATTATTGATCCGTGGAATATAAAGGCTGATACTACTTCACTTAGGGCTGGGTGATAAAACGATAACAATATATATCAAAAATTAATTTCCCTCAATATCAATATAAAACATGGTCAATATGCTTTTCAATAGTCGGCATTCTGCCATGTTTTGGTAGACTAGACAAATAGCCAATGAAAAGGGAAGTTGCTCCGGGTCTTCGTGCTTCGTGCTGAACCAATCATGTGCTGAATTAGAACCAAGTAGCTGCTTTAGAACCGTTTTCTCTAGCGCAACGCCTTACAACAAAACATCGAGGACACAAAGACCTCACAGATGCAGTAGCTCATCATATCTATTGCAAAAGAATGCTACCAATAAGCACTGTTAAATTTTAGTTTTGATATCGTGATATACATTCATGACGACTGATGTGAAAAAAATATATCCTGATAAGCTTTTTCCGCCCAGCCCCAACTTCACTTTAACAACTTTAGAAGTACAGATTATGAAGTGGTTGGACTCCAAACATAGAAATTCTTGGACCTGCTGGAATTTGGTTTCTACATATGTGGGAAAAAAAAGAACCTCCATAACCCCAAACTTCACAAATTTGGCACAAATTTGGCACACTGTAACCCTTTCCCCTGACAAACACACATTCACAGGCTTGTCAGGAATTTTTTTCTTTCTGTGTGTTGGTGGAGGTTGTCACTCTAGTCTCCGGTTCCTGAAATAAACCGTGCAGAATACCATATTGCTTCCGGCAATGAGTTAAATCCCTCACTTGTGCAAGTCAGTGGTTGGCTCCATCCACAATAGATGAGCAGGCCTGATGCCAAGACACTGATTAGCCTAGCTATGCCTCTGTTCTCCAGGCAATGCGGAGTGGAGGTGCAGTGGGAGTCCAGCTCATCACCAAAGAGCACTGTGCTAAACACAAGTTTAAGTGGAAAAAAGCCAGCAGACTGTAGTGTATCCATGCTGGACATATAAAGCCTTGGGCAAGGAGGCATCTGCCTCTTTAATACATAATTCACTCAGAGATGAAACATCATGCTTTAGTCCTAAGGGCCGGTAGACAGCTTCTGGTTTTTGGAACAGAAATCTGTCTCCATCAGATAATCCGGTCCCATTGACGGGCAACTTAGAGTGCTAAAAACTGAGCTGTAAAATTTGGTTCAATGAGAGTTTGTTTTCTGGACTCGCTTCAAACAGACTATTCAAAAAGCAATATAAAGCATGTCAAAATGCTAAAAGGAGGATTATTTTCCACAATGCACCAAAAGTACGTGGAAGCAATGTCATCTCACCTTTCCACCTCAGCGAGCTTGTCCTCATCAGCCTTGATATGCAGGTAGGTCAACATGTAGAGACAGCCATCTGCCCTCCAGCTCTCCCCTCAGACATGCACACAGTCACTTTACATCGCAAGCCCTGCAAATGCATCTTCCTGTAGGGGTATTATTAGAAGCACTCATGTCTTATTGCACACATTATTATCATAACTGACAGGATGTACATTAGTTACTTCAGTCTCCACAGCAGATTGGCCTTAATGTTGACACACTAGTGTACAGGCCATTTTGGGATTCAGCATGAGGAGTGAAGAACCTGAGGCAGCTGTAGTGCTTTCATGTGTAATAGTCCCAGCTCAAGTTCCCATGAAAGAGGCACTAATGGGTTAACAGAAGAAATGAGACGGGAAGAGAGGGAAAATCAATGCTTTTGTTGAGGGGAAGAAAGAAAGGCTTTCACAGGTCTATGTATCATTAAGCAATTGAGAAAGCTAATTAGAGTGGGGGGAAAAGATGTGCAGATCGCACAGCTAATTATTTCCATGGCAACCACGGCTCACGTAGATGATCTGAGGTAGCTTTCAGTTAGGAGACAGCAAGTGACAGGAAGACCAGGAGAGCCCCCTAGTGGTATAGAATGAAGATGCTTGTGAGAGGTAATTAGACCAACTTCTGAGCAGAGCCTGCAGCTTTAAAGAGAGAACACAAATCATGTTCATGTGATTCATTAAGAAAGTTTCACACTCTGTGAAACACATATCACCCTCCAATGGGATAGACTGATATAAAACCTTAAGCTCTCATCAGGTGTGAATTCTATTCTGTACATTCTTGTTAATATTCATGGTTTACAGCTTTACTGATAGGTGTTTTTATCTAAAAAGGCATACAGCATAAACTACAATTATTTTAATTTTTAAACCACATGAAGAGAAAAGCTTCTTATTTCTCTCCTCTACGTATTTAGTCCCAAAAGAACAAAAAGCCAATAAGGTGCTGTGAAATCTTGACTCACCTGAGTGCAAATACAAATAAACTGACCAAAAGCAAAGCAAGTTAAGCAAATATTCAACAGTGTTTATTGTGAAGTGTAAAAAAAATAAATTGTCCATGATAGTCATTAATGTTTTGACACTAAATTCAGTTTTTCAGTGTCTCTGTTTGCTGGGGTCAATCTTTTCCAGGTGCACCAGAGGTTTAAGCTGCTCTGCAAAACTGCGCATGTCCTCCGATACTGTGTCTTGGCCAGCAGGAGCCAACACACTCAGCTCCACCAGGTATGAAAGTGAAAGACGCTCAGTGTTATCAGTGTTTCCCGGCACCAAAATACGTGACAGCTTGCTTACCACAATTTTCATAGCCCCTTTGCGGAAAATGTGCCCGTTTGCAACAAACTCGTGGTCCATACGGAATCCCATCTCATTCAGGAACTCTGGCAGGCTGTGAGAGGCAGCCACGTCTACACAGTTACGCACCAAAGCGTGACGACTCTTGTCCCCGACTTCAGGCTGGCCCAGGTAGCGTAGGTGCCAAGGAGATGTGGGGTGAGAGAGGGAGCGCCGGGCCCGCAGAATGAAAGGGTTTCCTTGTTGGCCTTTCAGAAGGTAAACCAGTTCATGATCTGTAAAGGTCTCAGGCTCCATGTTGTCACACAGACCTCGAAGGCGGTGCAGGAGACTTTCCAGGGCTTGATCCAACACACTGCCTAAAAAAATTCAAAGGAAATTTATAAACAAGCAAATCAAAGTAAGACATGCACATCCCTCAGTGGGTGCTGAATCCAAATGATACTAGAAAAATGGAAAAAACAAAGATCCTTTTACCAGGACACTCCTGTTTACAGGTTTATTTATCAGAATCAAAATCATTTATTAATGGCCACAAAACAGGGTTGGTGGAATTAGTTTTCCAGTACAGCATATCATGCTCATATCTCCTGTGTTGGATACATACATGCATGCAGAAATATAAAAAAAGAAACAATGCAACAATACAAGACAATAGATGTGGATACAGTTTACTTCAGATATTGGTTTAGTGTCTGTATGGCAGGGGGGAAGAAACTATTCTTGAATCTGGCTGAGTTGGCTGTCAAAGACCTGTACCGCCTCCCAGAGGGCATGAGTGTGAACAGGTGGTGTGAAAGTTGTATATGGTCTGAGGTGATTTTCAGCACTCGCTGTGTGACTTGTCTTTGATACAGAGTCTCTATGGATGGGAGGGTGTGGCCAGTGATTTTGGATGATCTGTCAATTATGTGTTGAAGTTTTGTTCACGAGTGGCTGTCCAAGTTTCCGTGCCAGACTATTATTGATGATGTGAATACTCTAAATTATGGCTGTGTAGAACTTAAGGAGGATAATGTGTCTGACTCAATTTTTTGAGCTGCCACAGAAAGAAAAGTCTTTTATTGGCTTTTTTGTAAATTTCATCTGCATGTTGCTTCAATTTGAGACAAAGAGACGAAACAAAACTCACCCACTCTCTTCCAGCAGCCGCTTGTTTGTAGCAATACCTCGGGCCAGTCCATTACGGACTGCTGAGGGGTGTCGCAGCTCAAGAAAGAACATTTATGATAATTTCTTTATCATTTCCTTGAAGTAATAATCACCATATTAATCATTTTGCACTGCAGACGGTAGTTCTTCTGCCCTAGCATCTCAGTCTGATTGCATTTCCATGAAGAAATGATCATAAATGTTCTTCCTTGAGCTGTGTCACTCCGCTGCAGTAATAGACTCGCCTGAGATCTTGCTATAAACAAGCAGCTGCTGGAAGAGATTGTGTTGTGTTGTGTTTAGTCTCTTTGCTAAAGAAATCAGGCAATGTTAAAAAGATGTTTGGTGACTAGTACTATGACTGGGACCCTATATGTACTGTTGATGAAGTTAGGTGCTGTTCTGAGCATTATTTGTAGCTATAGAGTTGCTTTCCCGCGGTTCTTACTAAAGTTGGTATAACTAGAGAAGCAAGCAGTCCGCAACATTCACCTCTCCAGGGGGTGTCTAACTCGGTGTTATGGTGTGTTTGACCCTAACTTATTTTTATGCCAGAATATCCCTTTAAGCAATATAGCTTTGACTGGGTTACATTACCTTCCATCAGTCCTGTTCTGTCTGTTGAAGCACTTTGTAAACTTTTCTTTATAATGGTGCTAAAAGAGACAAGTTACTGTGATTTTTATTGTAAACTACGTGCAAACCAAAGTTAACAACAATTTAATTCAACTATAGAAATATGCAAAAAAAAATAAGAAAGAACTCTTTTTTCATACGGTTTATTTTCGGATGTTATTGGGACACATAAGTGACTTAAAATGTTGAGTTTGTTGTGTGTTGAAATGTTTTCATAATTCAGACTAACACCAGACTGTAAACTCACCTTGCAGCAGGTACTCCATCATATTGATTGTTCCCCCGGTCACAGGCATCACTGTTACTGGTGGAGCCTCCATTTTTCTCAGCTAATGTTCAGTGTTTGTCTGTGGGAGGAAAATATGCCAGGTTTATTGAATAATAACCTCTTAAATGACAGTTAACAGAGTTCAGACACGTCGTTTCAAGTGTTAGTACATAAAGCTAGCTAATGCCAATTCAATTGAAACGGAAGTTTGTGAATTAACCCCGGACAATAAAGAAAGCTGCTCACCTGCAGTGAAATCCTGGGTCGGTACCGGTGTGTTAACCTCCACAGTCAGAACCGGGACTCGAACTGGTCCTCGCGGTTTTATTCATTCAACATACAGCTAAAGCTAACCGGGCAGCTAGCTTAGCAGAGTAAGCTATCTTCTGTTAGCCCCTGTGTAAAGTGTGTCTCCTCTGTAAATCTGTCCAGTATTTAAATTTTAAGTTATTTGAGGGTGGTGATAAATATTTTTGAAAATAAAAAGCAAAGTAAAGTCTAAACTGTTTCGTCAGCTATCAGTGAAAGAGTGAATTTAGCAGCTCGACGACAGTGAATGAAGGACTTCTTCTTCTCTCCCTGTTTAGCAGTGATCATTTAGCTCTGAGGTACTCTACTGCCACCTACTGGAAAACAATCTGATTTGATTTCTTGCCTAATGAGTGAAAATTGCACCCCTTTTAAAGTAGACTTATTTAAAGAAATAAAAAAACAACTACTGCATCCTGACTTGACCTTACTAATGCCAGCCATAACCAGACTGTTACTAGTGGAAGTGCCAAATTGTACATATTCAATCAATCAATCAATCAATCAAACTTTATTTTTAAAGCACTTTTCATACATATAATGTAGCATAAAGTGCGGTCAATTCAAGCAGGATATTGAAAACAATAAAATAAAATAAATAGAAATGCAAATACCAAACCCTGCCCACCCTCCCAACCCCCATTCAACACATAAAACACTCACACGCTCACACACACAGATGTATACACAAACGACCAGGTGAGGACTCTTCAACTTGCCACAGATGACTGAGGAAACGCTATCTTAGGACTAAAACAATAAAACCATGATTAAATATAATAAAGATGATCAAACGTTAAAAGTTGATTAAATAAAACAGTCTTAAAATCAAACAATAAAAGAAAGTAAATCAAAAAAGAGGTAATAAAACAAAAAATAGTTACTCTCGGATTAAAATAAGGTAAAATCACATAATGCAGATTAAAACAGAATTCAACTAAAAGCCAGACTAAAAAGGTAGGTGTTAAGTTTACTTTTAAAAATATGAACAGTAGGTGTCGCTCTCAGGTCTGCAGGTAGGCTGTTCCACAGATAGGGACCGTAATGTTGGAACAATGATTCACCGTATGTTTTAGTTTTTACTTCGGGAACAATTAAAGACCACTACCTGAAAACCTGAGGGCTCTAATAGGCTCATTCGGTAAAAGCAAATCAGACAAATAAGAAGGACGAAGACCATTAAGAGCTTTAAAAACTAATAAAATATTTAACTTAAAATATGTACAGTGTTTTTCTCTAGAAACTAGATGCATTTGTTTTTGTCATTTAAAATTATCATGCAGCATAGGGAGGAAGTGGATAAACACTGAAATGATCATATGAATCAAATGTTATCAATGGAAGGGTAGAGTTAAAACTTTCCCCATGCCTCAACCACATCTCCTCTTTACACTAACTCATGCCAACTAAAACACAAAACATGACACTTTTGTTGTATGTTGAGGCTTAGGTGATTTTTTTCTCTGCCTTCAGGTTCAGCTCTTCTTAAGTTTTGTTTTAAATCTGAAAATGTTAAAACTCCCGCGAGGAGACTTCGGGTGGTTATGAAACTGACTGAAATTACTCTGATGTTTCTTTATGAGCTGTAATAGGCAGATAAGACCATCAGGAGTGACAGTGACTTTTGTAGTTAGCTGTTTTTAAGGCCACAAACTGCAACCACCACACAGCAGGAAAACACCGAAACTCCATTTATCTAGATTTTTCTATGGAAAAGAGTCACAATGAGTAATGTGTTTGCGTGTTAGAAGTAAAGCAGGATGATTTAGATCGGCAAATATAACAGAGGTGCCACTTTGTCAATGTGAGTCATCAAAATCTACACAAACTGAAAATCTTTAGTAAGAGCTTGACCAAGTCCAAAGTATAATATGCCCATTGTGAGCATGAAGTTGAAAACAAAATCCTGATATATGAACTTCAAAAGATTAATTAAGTGTGGTATCTGGGTATTTTTTATTCTGTATTATTTTTTACTGCTTTAAAAGTGCACTTCTAGAGATCCAGATGAGCGCTTTAATCTATTTCTGTTCCAGAGACTAACAAGATCGCTCTTAAACTAATGTCTATTTTGTCCTATTCAAGCGTATCTCTTGATGGTTCATCAAGCACAAGGATATATCTGTGTGATTAGGTAAGGAAACAGGCTTAAAAGGTATTCCTTTAATTGCATGGAGAATTCATATTGCTCTTTTATTGTCGGCTGCATCAGTCACTGCACTCTGAGGAAAATGTCTATAAATATAAATGACTTAATGCTTCGAAGTTTCCATGTGGGGAACACAAATAATTTCCTGAAGGTGCACACAAACCATCATCGTTTGACTGAGTGTAAGGACTGCGATGTCAAGAGAGCAGCTTCAATTGAGAGTTTTTCTTTATATCCTTATTTCACTGTAAACACAACCATCATCATTAGCCCTGGGACTGTTTGTAGCGTCAACAGATCCCCTTATGAGAAGAGAGGAATAAATCACTGAGATCTCCTCCTCCATCTGCAATACGAGGTAAAAGATTTATTTACCAAACAATACAACACACGTGTAAGTTAATTGCAGAATTGCAGATTAAGTTAATGACATAAACCAGGAATTAAAACTTACCCTGTGATGCAAGCCACAGCAGTGAAGCTGAATAGGAAACACTTTGAAGAGATAGAAACAGAATCAGAGTAAAGTTGACTTCCTTGGTGCGACCTTCAAAGCAAAAAGCACAACTTCTAAAAATAATACCGTTACATATCTTACCTCCTGGTCCAATGAAGTAAATCAAAAGAGCCATTAAAATAAGGCATCCAAGTGCTATTGACGTTCCATAAACAGCGTGAATGAGCGCTGGCGTTGTGTCTGCAAACCAAAAGCGCAAGAGTTGGTAATCTTCTATTGAGGTCATGAGCTTTTTTAAGAGACTTTGTAGCAGAATCACCCACCCATTGTGGTCTTTGGAACATTTGCAGATCTATTAGCGATGTTAACCTCTTCATACCCAACAAAAACCTGCATCGGTGTGCAGTTTAGATACCCTTTTGGGGCTCCAAGCACCGGTGTAATTATTGATGTGCCGTTTGGTTCGATGACGCTGGATTCTCTGTCACACTCCACAGCACAAGATACCAAAGAATCCTCTTTGCGATGAACTGGCAAAATAATCACACCATCAAAAATAGTTACACCATCAAAAACAGTAAGAAATCATTGTAAATATGAGGTTGTTTTCTTACCTGTAATCACGCACAAATTGATGGTGAGTTGCTTCTCCCAAAATCCATGACATCTGGATGTCAAGCACGTATATTTGCCAGCATTTTTTGTTGTGACATTTGAAATATTTATAGATTTGGAAGTGACTGAATATGATTGTTGCTGTCGAGCCCCGTCTCGGTCTGCAGTCATGTTACTGGCTTCAAAAGTCCATTTAAAGTGAAGTCGTTCATCTGGACATGAATGCGTAAAATTTCCTCCTGCTAGAACGTAGACTGTCTTTTGAGCTTCTTTATGATTTTCTGAAAGAAAAAATACAAAAAAAAAATTTGATAAATGAATTAAGCATCAAACTTATATGAACAGAGGATGGGTTTTGGCATCTGATAACACTAAAAGCACCCATAGCTCACTTAAGAGGACAAATAATGAAAATTATAATTGTGCGTACCTTCTTTTATACCGCTGACTGTGAGTTGTTCCTCTTGACATCGACCTTGAAAACAAATTTGTCTCAAATAAGTACCTTGATCCTTCTCTGTTAGACAATCGATGACCAGGGAACAGTTTTTTAGGAGCTCCATTTTAGGGCGAAACTTCGGATTGTAGAGTACAAATCCTTTCTCATCTCGATGTAGTATTTGCTCTTTGTCACTTTGCTCGTTCTTCTTGTAAAACCATCTGAAAGTGCAGCCATCACATCTATCACGCTGACATGGTAACACAGCTCTACGTCCCAGTGGGTACTGAAGGGGGTTTGCGGCTGCTGAAATAAAGGTTTATTGTTACACTGTTAGAGAAACTTGAAACACCTGAAGTACGAACAACCTATTGTCAGACAAAAGAAACTTTCTTCTATTAGAATATTTAGAAAGTTACTTACCGTATTCTGAGAAAAAACGTGGTATGTTCCAAGTAATCAGAAGACAAATAAAGCCTTTTTGCATCATGGTAAAATTACAAAGCAGCAGCACATATTAGTGAGTGGAACCACAATAAAAGGTCATCAAAACAGCAAACAGACTCTTCGGAAGATTTCTAGATTGAACATGACTTCAAAAATTCACGTTTGCAATGCGAAAGTGGTCTGTCAGCCTATGCAGAGGAAGTCTAATGTGGCTTACGCCCACACAGTTTTCTTCGGTGGTATCACATTTATTCCATTTTCAGCCTTTGCAAAGGTGTTGAAATACAGTAGGTCTAAGTGCATCACCAATAAGTTGAAGGATTTTAAATGCTTTCTGGTGCATTTCAGCTAAAACAGAAAGGACTCTATGCAGCTACTATCCTACTTTACCTGGTAAAATATAGGTCAACATTTAGCTGTTTTTTTTCTCTCCAAAGGTTCCTTCGAGTCCTCTGTAGGCTTAAAGATTATCTAGGTTAACAAAGAGCTGACACTGATAACTACGCGTTGTCTGGTTCACAAACGGAAACTTTTACACAGCAGGACCAAATTAAATCAGATTTGAGTCACAAAACCCCCACAAGCTCGCTGATGCTTTGGAGTACAGGATTTCAACACCATCTCACTCATTCATGGACTCGCTTAGGTTTGTGATTTGTATAATTTAAACTGACGAGCATTTTTTCATCGATCCATAGATAAGAATTGTTTTCACTTGTACACTTGAGTACACTCAACTCCACTTAACAAGAGTAGAGTAGAGTAGAGTAGAGTAGAGTAGAGTAGAGTAGAGTAGGGGAGAATAAGAGTAGAATAGATTAGAGTAGAGTAAGAGTAGAGTAGAGTAGAGTAGAGTAGAGTAGAGTAGAGTAGAGTAGAGTAGAGCAGAGTAGAGTAGAATAGAGTAGAGTAAAGAAGAGGAGAGTAACAGTAGAGTACAGCAGAGTGGGTACAATGCAAAACATTATCTGTTCAAATATGGGTTATGTAGATTAGAGGTGTCCTCAAAAACGCAGTCTCAATACTAAACATTTAAACCCCACTTTAAAAATGTTTTTTTTTCTCTCTGTGGCAGTTGTTTGTTCTTGTTAACTCGTAGGTTGAATTCTGGAAAATTTGACATCAACATGAGGTCATTTTAGGAAAAAAAAAGCAAAATTTCCTCCCTGGAAAGTGAAAGTCAAAGCAATTGGTGCTGAGACCTTGCTAACACAAGGCCTTTCAGTCTGAATGCACTTTGTATTGTAGATAAAATAATCTAAAAACACGTACAATGTAAAAAGGTATAAAAGTAAACTCAAACCCTTTTAAAAGTGTTTTAGCATTTCTTTAATCTGGATATTTTCTGTATTCTAGGTAATTCATATAACCCTATGAAAAGAAGAAACCTCATAAATACAAGCACAGATCCATAGAGATGTGGACTAAAACAACTTTAAAGCAGATATAGTCTTCAGAAAGTGCTTCCATCAGACACACAAGGGGGGAAATAAAATGATTCACAATGATGAATCATACTAAGACAAGAACTGTGAAGGTTTAACATACAGTACACCACCTTTAACTGAAAATAAGGTTCATATAGTGATGCTGATTTAAATCGTGTTGATAGCATTTATAAAGGGACCGAGGTTTTGTTTTTGAGGTCTTCATTCAAGGAACTAGTGAACTATTCAATATTTTAATGAATCAATAAGCAAGTTGATTGATATGCTATATTTCAAATTCAATACATGATTCAATACATGATAGCTATTATTGATACGTGATATAATTTACAAAACACGATGTGTTCATTATGACTGTAGCACTTAGAATAACAGCCTTACCTTGTTATCATACTATGAGTTTATGAATGGGCTGCTGCATGTCTAATCACACGTGAGACGTTCAAATCCTTGACCCGCGCAAAAATCCTGCACTTCCGTCAACACATCATCTGATCCACGGGCCACGGCAGATGCTCCACCTCCGACGTAACCAGCGGCCCTCACGTCACACCCATCAACGCCACTGTTTTCTAACTCGGCGCACATTCGCGTCCTTTAAGAAAGTCACACTCCTTTATCTGCGGTCACTCGGAGAAGTTTCCCTCGAGCGCGCGACCCACGAGCATCGCCGGCGTAATGGAGCTGACGGCAGCTTTCGTGAAGTTTCAGCTGGCTCACCTGCACCATTTGTTTGCTCTGGTCTGTATTGTCGTCGTCGTTTACAAGTTGAGCACACTGCTTGCGAAGAGAGCGAGGACGCTGCGGGTCACTGAGGCTTTCCCAGGACCACCGAGACACTGGCTCTTTGGGAATTTGCTGCAGGTCAGTCACTCGCGTGCTCGCGGTTACGTAGCAACGACTGAAACTCCGTGTAACATAAACCTCAATACGACGAGTCTATGTTTACAGAGGTGATATTTGACTACTCTTTAAGTACCATTGTATCCCTAAAACACTATCGCTAAAGTTAGTAACACAATCACTATAACAGGGTGATTTTTACCTGAAATAATATACCCAAGAAAAAGTACATGTCATCAAAAATTCATCAAAATAGGACAATTTATGACAAATTAAAGTAGTTTTCTCTTATTTCTAACTGTGCAATGTCCAAAGAAAGGGAGGGACCATGTAAAAATGCAACAAAATAACTGAAATTAGGCAATCATGAACAAAAAATTAAAATAATAATAATAGTAATAAATAATAATAATAAAATAAAAAAAAATGAAACTGTAAATTTAGTGTCTTTTCCACCCATTCCTGGGGCATGTGAGACTCAGGGTCCTTGGCACAATAACAGCTGCAGGAGAGAAAACCAAAATATGTCATATTTTGAGTGAGTAAAAATGACCAGTTGACTAAAATATTTCTTATCACCATATGAATTCCTTTGAAAATCACTACTTTATGATAGTTATTCACAACCACTGTGCTAAATAAAGATAGCATGCAAATTCCAGGACCATTAAATCCACCCAAACCTACTTACCCTCTATCACTATTGCTGGGCGAAAATTAGGTTTTAGATCAGGGAAACAAATATGCCTTCAAAGATGTCAAAGGCAATGCTGAAGCTACTCAGAGACCCATGATACTCAGACAAACGCAACATAATGAAAATCATGTAAACATGTTTGGTCGGGTGAAAATCACCCAGTGATAGTGTTCTAGGGTTAAGGTACATGTGCCTCTTAAATGCTGATGTATTTTTTTGTTGTAGGCATTTAATTACCTGACAACTTAATTGATAGGTGATACATTTCAAACATGAGTAATGTAGGTAGGCTATAAAAAACATGCAAAAACTCATACTAACAATATAGCCTTACTAAAGCAAAGCAGATGGAGAAAATGTTAAATTTACCTCCACTTTTCTCAGTTTTGCTTGATAAAATGTTAATGTTAATGTAAAAATGTTAATTTAAAGATAACTTTGCATTATACTTTATCAAATGTTTGTATAAACCAATTCAAATTTGGCCACCTTAGATTGTCATGTAGGTTAATTGACATCACTCTTGTAATTAATGTGAAAATTAAGGAATAATCAAGTATAAAGACTGCAGGATTTAGAGGTGTAACTCCAATGTCTTGTGTTTATTTTGATCACTTTTTGATCATTTTTCTTTCAGTTCAAAGAAGGAAAGGAGTTTGAGAACATCTTGAAATGGTCCCAGGATTACCCGTATATTTTCCCTGTGTGGTTCGGTCCCTTTGTCTGCTCATTCACCATTAACCATCCGGATTATGTAAAAACCATCCTGTCCTCTTCAGGTGAGAGGGGGATCAGTTTCTTATCTGATGTGATACAGTATGTTCACTACATGGCTTTATATCATGTAATGATTGACTATATCTTTATAATCAAAAGTAAACAACTTAACCTTTCTGAATTTGTTCTCTAACAGAGCCAAAGGATGATTTTGCATATAAATTTATTCAGTCTTGGATTGGTAAGACACCCATGCCTCTCTCCTGCAGATTATTACAGCATATTGCAGAGCTGTCAGTATTGCTGAGCTGTTAACTCATACATGTCTGATTTTGTTATTTTCTCAGGGGACGGGCTGTTAACATCAAAAGGTCAAAAGTGGTTTCGGCACAGGAGACTCTTAACTCCAGGTTTCCATTATGATGTCCTGAAGCCTTATGTAAAACTGATGTCAGATTCTGTCAAGACTATGTTGGTATGTAAAAAGGCTTTTGACTCCAATCAGAGTGTATTATCATTTCACACAACCCACGATAAATTTGTCTTGAAAAATATTTGATGGCTGTTTTGGCGCAGCTGCTTGTGAGCTGGTTGGAGTTTCCATCTCCTGCAGTGACCTCACATCTGTTCATCCGTTCTCTCGCAGGACAAGTGGGAGCGTTACGCAACCACCGACGAGCCAGTCGAACTATTCGAACATGTGAGCCTTATGACACTGGACAGCATTTTGAAGTGTGCCTTCAGTTACGACAACAATTGTCAACTTGAGAGGTAACGTCCTGCTGAGTTTTTTCCCTGCCTGTATGTCAGGTTGGTTTAATTGTCATAAGGCCAAGCGTATCCTAAATGTGCTTGCACTGTTGCATTTTTATCATTTCAGTGGGAAAAATGAATACATCAAAGCTGTGTACGATCTCAGTGTACTGGTAAACAAGCGTGCCCGGAACTTTCTATTACACAACAACTTCGCTTTCTACTTGAGCCCAGTTGGCTACAGATTCAGAAAAGCATGCAAGGTGGCTCATGATCACACAGGTATGACGTCAAATGACAACCTGGCATCCTTATACACTGAATTTTCATATATGTCTCTTTGTACACATTTTATTCATTATTTTGTGCTTTAAAGCTAACGTCATAAAAAAGAGGAAAGAAGCACTGAAGAATGTGAAGGATTTGGAGAGCATTAAGAAAAAAAGACACCTGGACTTTCTGGACATCCTCCTCCAATCAAGAGTATGTTATTTTCTATTTTCCTAACCGCACTTGTATACAAATAGTAGCACTCAGTAGTACTTACATGCTACTACATGTGAAAGTTAAAGGTGAACATAAAACTCTCTGACGACAGCGAAGGAAAACAGACAGGTATGAAATGATAAGAACTGTGAACAAGGGAGGAAAAGTCATGTATGAAGGTTGAGATCATGTTACTTTTTCAGGAATAATTGACAAATATTATGAAAAAGCAGCAAATTCTGAATATAGCAAAAAGCAGCCGTCCAGAATATCAATTACGAGTGATACAAAGACAACAGTCAAGCTTTTTGTTTCCCTACGAGGCAGCCATTAGCAGCCGCCCAGAGACTGAAACTTCAGGTCTTTGTGCAGAGTTGTATCAGGACTTTCCAGGATCCTTGTTTCTGTAATTATGTCAGAGTTGGCCTCAACTTTCATTCTCTAAAAACGAGTTTGTTCACCTTTTGTATTCGCTTGCCAGACAGGAGGTGATGTAATCTGTCATCAGATTTTCACCTGAAAGAACAGATACGCGTGCTTCTGGTCAGAGATTGAAGATAGAGACTCTGGCAAAGGTCTTTTGGCAAAGGCGAAATTTCTCACCAATTACATCAATATAGATATTTTTAAAAATCTAAATTCATTTTATGTTTTTCAACTTTTAGAAAATCCTTAGGCTTAGAAACAGACATAAACTGCTGCCATGGAAATATTCTCAATAACACACAAACAAACGCTTACCAGGTACCTGCCATACCTTTATTTGTTTCCTGGTTTAACCTGTTTCTCATTGAAAATCCCGGTTCTTTTCTCTCTATCTACTTCATCTTTGACCTTGTTAAGACAAATGAGTGATCCATGTCTCTAATATGTAGGTCAACACAGACTGCCATCATATTTTTGGGGTCTTTAATACTCTTCTATTATGATTTTGTTGTTGAATATAGTAGTATCTTTTAGAATAACTTTGAATGTGGTGAAATGTGACAATACATTTAAAGCTCCTGTAAGGAACGTTCTGTTTGTGATGGTCTGTGCTTATCTTTATCCTCTACATGCTTAAGTAGTGTCTCTTGAAAAAAGCCTCATCCCTAAACTTTGACAGTCATATTTTTCATTTGTTGTGGATATTTTATTTGGAAACTGTCTCATCAGCTGCTCATCTGGCACCTGCCCCCTTACACCGTGTCAGAAATTAAAATGACAGCATATAAATTATTAAACAAGTCCGTGATGTTTGCTTTTGGATCTCCTTAAAAGGCATCAATATGAATTTCAGTCATTTTCAGAAATGTAAAAAAAAACTCCTTATAGGAGCTTTAAATAGATTCATATCTTTATATTTCTGTCTTCTCTCAGGATGAAAACAAGCAGGGTTTATCAGATGAAGACATGCGGGCAGAGGTGGACACCTTCATGTTTGAGGGTCACGACACCACAGCGAGTGGCCTCTCTTTCATCCTCTATTGTCTGGCCTGCCACCCTGAACACCAGAAGCTGTGCAGAGAGGAGATCAACCAAGTCCTGGATGGCAAAGACACCATGGAGTGGTAGGCAAAAAAAAAATCACAGCAGCTGTTTCAAAGGATCACTGCACCATTAAGATAATATTCACATTTCACACTTTCTGTCTGTCGTGTTTCAAGGGAGGATCTCAGTAAAATCCCATACACTACAATGTGCATAAAGGAGTCTCTCCGGATGTACCCTCCCGTACCTGGAATGTCCAGAAAGCTCACCAAACCCATCACCTTCTTTGATGGGAGGACTTTGCCAGCAGGTTCGTAGTAAAGTTTTTGGCGATAAGAGTAAGCTGTTGCGAACGTAACAACTTGTTCTCTCCTGGTAAAAGTTGAAACATTAACTTGCTTTGGCAACTGGTTTTCCATCATCAACATATAGCTTTAGTTACTGCGTTATATAACATAAATCACTTATCTCACCTTTAACCTACACGCTGCCCTTTTGTTTTTACATAGGAGTTGATAGCTGATAAATGGTAGAAAACATTTCAGTCTATAATTTCTGGCAGTAATTTTCATTTTACTAAAATATTCATCCTTGCAGTAAGGAAAAGATTCCACATTTTCTGTTTAAAGTTTTCTGAAACACTTTGGTTTTGACCAGTTCAGGCGTGATGAATAGTCAATGACTGATCTGCTAACAGGTGTCTGCATGCTCAGGGGTTAAATTTTAAGTGGCAATAATGTTTTACCCTCTAACATATTAACCTCAGGCATGTTTGCATTTGTGCACATTGTATTTGGTCCGTCATTGGGTAACCTAAAAAGATATTGTCTTTTTGCAGGAACCCAAGTGGGAACAAGTGTGTTTGGGATCCACAGGAATCCAACAGTCTGGGAAAACCCTGATGTAAGTCAGTATGATTTCATTCTTAAAAACCCTCAGTGAAATAAAAGCTTTTTTCCAGCTGTCCGCTCTGTGTGCGTTGAACATCATCAGAATAATAGGTAAAGGATTTGAAGCCTTCTCTTTGCTGTGAGAATAAACCCCACACTTTCTCCCACCTTGACTTCACACAGGTGTTTGACCCACTGCGTTTCCTACCTGAGAATGTCTCCAAGAGGTCGCCTCATGCCTTTGTGCCTTTCTCTGCTGGACCAAGGTTTGTCCTCACCTGACACCATGTGATTGGGTCACTGAGAACCAGTGACTGTCATTTACAACTTCTTGCTGTCTATCTATTTATCTGCAGAGGTCTGCAGTATGTAGATGGTTAACCCAAACACAATAAAAAACTTGGTTGGGTTTTATCTGTGGCTGACATAAGCAAAGAAACAAACAGTTTGACCTGGGAATGACCCAATTACTGCATGACCATTTGGGCTCTCAGAACAGTGTTTTAAAACTATGAAAAGATACAGTCTTTGCACAGCAGATTCAGATATTTTTAACACCACAGGGAGAATATAAAAAAAGAGAGTTATTAAATCAATCTATCAATTTCAGATTTACTCACACATTTGGTTAAAAGCTGTATAACACTGCAAATAAATCCTGTTTTGGCTCTTTATAATTCAGTCTTTGTTTTAGCACATGATTTAGACATTATATTGTTGACTTTACAACACAAAAGTCCTGCAGTAATCTTATTGTTGGTGAATGCTTCATGTTTGTGAGTTGCACATGTTGCTGGTATAAACTGTCCAGAAAAAAATCCTCGAAGTTCTTCTGCAGGGCTTTAACGGGTTACCTCAGTGCACATCCAGAACTGATTATGATATCACGGCGCCTGCTTACCTGGCTTTGATTTCAGCCCCATAAAACAAAGAATTATATTCAGCGCTCTTATCATGTTACCGTTTATATTCCTTGTCATATTACGTAATGATGAAATATTTTCCACTCCGCAGGAACTGCATCGGTCAGAACTTTGCCATGAATGAGATAAAAGTGGCCACAGCCCTGGCTCTGAAAAGATACCATCTGATCGAGGACCCCACCAGAAAACCCAAGATCCTTCCCAGACTGGTGCTCCGCTCTCTTAATGGCATCTACATCAGGATCAAACCCGTAGAGCCAGAAGTGTGAAGGAAAATAGTGTAAAAATGGAAAATACTGTACATGAATCAGAGAGTGAATTTTTTAGACGCTAGTAAAATTACTTATATTTTATGGAGCTTTACACTGATATAGAGTTACTAAAAAAAATGTCAGAAATGAAGTGAAAAATATGACGCCGTTGCTTTAAAAATCATGTTCTCATACTCGAGCAGATCTTGATATTGCACTTTATTTTCAGAAAGGGAATCTTCGCTCAAGTATCTTTGCATGTAATAAATAAATCTTGTTAAATTTTACATTTCCTGCTCTTTATTTTCAAATGGATTCGATAACTTCAGAGATGCAGCCGCCACATTTTCAGGTCTTCGTTGCAGTAATAGCTGACATCATTACAGAACTTCTATGGAGGTTACTGACATTGTGCACACTCACTGGCTAGGTAAAAGTTCACTCCAAAAGAAATCCAATTTTACACCTCACACATCAAAAACAAGAGGAGACAGCCAGTCATATCACTCAAACATCAGTGCCACCAGCAGATTTTCAAAAACAAAAAAACTTATTTTGGAATCAATAAGATTTCTTCACAGCCTGTCTAATTTCATTACCACTGATGTAGTCATATCGAAGGTATCTATTGATAAACCACAAGGAAATGATGTGATACCTTCCTGTGCTGAACATGAGTGGCACAAAAACTAAAAAAAGAGAGAAGCGTACGACTCCATCCTGTCAGGTTTCAGTCCCTGATGAGTCTGCTGGTAACCAAGGAGTCAAGCGGTTTAGATGAGTAGTGAAGGGGTGGGTTTCTTTGGTCAGAAAAGAAGTGAAAAATATGACGCATTTGCTTTGCCAATCATGTTCTCAAACGAGAGCAGATAAAAAAATAAAATTAAAAAATTACTAGAGCAGATCTTGATATTGCACTTTATTTTCAGAAATGGAATCTTTGCTCAAGTATCTCTGCATGTCATAAATAAATCCTAATAAATCCAAAAATTTCTGCGCTTCTTTTTTAAAGTGATTCAACATAATTACAGTGCTTCTAAGGAGGTTATTGACATTGTGCACACTTACTGGCTAGGTAAAAGTTCACTCCTTCAATCCATCTTGCTTTCTTAAACATTAACAAAGTTCACTTTGTGTTGAGATCCATCTTTGGAAGGTGATTAAAATGTCTGTGCTGCATGTGCAGATTTAAAGAGGTCCAAGGTATAGCTGGACTCAGGAGTGTCAAGTTAACCTATAGATTTGAGTTGGAGATAAGCTGAAAACGTAAAATCTCAGGGTGAAAATATGTATTTTTGATTTCATTTCTTCCCGATCTGTGCCTGTGCTTAAAAGAAATCCTAAAATACTGTTTTCAAGGACTCTCCATCAGGTTAAAAAAACTGCATATTTTTGCAAAGAGCTTTTGAGTCAAAAGTAATTCATTTTTTATTTACAGTTATATGAATACAAACCCACACACCCACAAGGACAAAAGTCACCAGTACAGCTTGTAAAAGTAAAACATCTTTCTTTGATCTGTAATCTCTAACCTCATTTCTTTGTCGCGATAAGCGGCCACACAAATAACCTCGGAAAAGTGAGTGTTTGTTGATGAGGTCTTGCTGCACTGAAAAATAATAACACATACTCTTTGCATGAGTAAGTTTACTTCCTCAACACCGCTCTAACCCTGTGGTTTGCAGCCAAATGGCCTCCTTTCAAAAGGTGTTGCCATGGTGGCCTTGCGGTTTACCAGTGCTTCATACTGGGACCACAACAATGTCCTGTCTGAGATTGCACCAGTTGACCTTTGTTCACTGGCCCACTTTCCCCTGCTGTCTGTCTGAGTCCACCTCTGAACAAAGGCAATAAAAATCCCCCCCTCCCAAAAAAAGCTCCCAGCCTTCACAGCTGAAGTCCACAATCTTTCACCAGTTGATAAATGTTTGATTGACATGACTTTGTGACGCAAAAATGAAAAGAAGACCGTTTAACTCGCTACATGACCATCAGAACAAACCAAATTCCAGTTTTTTTCTGTTTACTAACTTTTTATTTTGCATCAAAGTTGATATTTGTTTATGTGCTGTCATTTGGATTCGGCTTTACTGTTACTCCATTTCAGTCCAATTCATTGTCAACATAGAAAACTGTAAGATCTTGGTATTTTCAGTACACTGGTGCAGGAGGAAGGGGCGACAAACCATTCAAAATTAAACATACTGTAAAAAGCCAAAAGAAAAACACAGTCAATATACCACCTGGGCAGTGGAAATGGCTTTTTATATGCAGAAGACTTCAAATGTGTAATTATTCAAAAGCTTGCACGTCCCTAAACAATGTCAAGGTTAGTCCAACAGGTCAGAAACAATGCAGTCAGTCTGTGAAAACTCTATGCACAAGTCACCCTCTAGTGGCTTGTAGGACAAATACAAGACACTTAGGTTAACGTCATATTGGTCTTTTTCACGTATGGAAATGTATCAGAGTAAAACACTCAATCACATTTTATTAATAGGTTTTGAAAATGAAAAGCAGCCCTGTGTTTTGATAAAAACTGACTTCATGTCTGTCTTTCCTGACTTCTCACAGTAAAATCTTTTATAAAAACTACTTTTTAATCATATGTTTGACAGCATTATCAAAATACTGGAGAGACAAAAAATCTGTTGAAACATGTTTAGTACAAAAGAAATCCAACTTTACACCTCACACATCAAAAACAAGACGAGACGGCCGATCGTATCACTCGAACATCAGTGCCACCAGCTGATTTTCAAAAACAAAAAAACTTATTTTGCAATCAGTAAGATTTCTCCCCGACCTGTCCCATTTCATTACAGCTGATGTAGTCATATCGAAGGTATCTGTCGACAAACCACAAGGAAATGATGTGATACCTTCCTGTGCTGAACATGAGTGACACAAAAACTAAAAAAAGAGAGAAGCGTACGACTCCACCCTGCCAGGTCACAGTCCCTGATGAGTCTGCTGGTAACCAAGGAGTCAAACAGTTTAGATGAGTAGTGAAGGGGTGGGTTTCTTTCCCGGCCAAGCCTCTTTGGCATACTTCTTTTTGCGCGGCTCGTTGTGGGTCTCTGGTAGATAGGGGGCTGTAACAGGGGTGGGGTTGAGGGTGACAGGGGGCTGGGGGGCCTCTGGGGCCAGGTCCACCTCTGGTGCTGGATTGGGGAAAGGCAGAGGGAGCCCTCCCTGCATAGCAGCTCCTCCTGGGGCTCCTGTGGGCTGGTTCTCGTGACTAGTGGGAGGCAAGTCGCCATAGAGACCACCTCCCAAGCTGTAGCCATGGATACGTTTTGAACCGAGGTCGTCGAGCCCAAGACTGTTTTGTCCCTCTGATCTGCGTTTCTGGAGAAGTGAGAACAGAGTATTTACCTCAAGTTTCACTGAACCAGATTAACTCTGAACCAGATTTTCAGGTTCTTGTTAGTGTATCAAATTACAACAATAATACTGCAGCGATACTCACCAAGCAATTCAGACAGTACTGCAGACAAACCTCTAAACACAGGACTGTTTTGTAACTGTGATGTTAGACATGTTTTTAACAAAACTACACTAAACCTTACCTTTATGGGGATGACAGCAGTCTGCACCATATTCCTAAAGCGTCCTACTGAGGGATCTATATCCTCTGTAAAACAAAGACAATGTTGTGTTAAACTGAGTTAATGTCATGTCATGAAATTGATCTGAATTTAATTTATGGTATGAAGGCATCTCTGTACTTCCAACTTTGCTTTGTTTTGTACCTGGATTAATGATTGAGTCCTCCTCATTAAAGGTAACCCTGGAGTTCCTCCGTTTCCTTTTAGGCCTCTGGATTTCTAGGTTGCCCTCCTCAATGGTCAGCATAGAGATCCTCTTGTTGTGGGCTGTGTTGAACTCTGTCAAGTTCTGGTAGAAGACAAACGATTTGAGTAAAACGTTTGTGATGTGGCTGCAGTGAATGAGTCATTTCTAGGACACACTGTGGGATACAGTGGCACTCTGATTTAATACTTTGCATTTTATTACACTTATAACAATTCAACAAAGTTTGATTTATGGGGATTCATCAACTTGAGGTACAGCAAACTATTAAAAACATATCTACGTGGTATGCTGTGTGTATTAGTGGGGGTAAAAATACAAATGCTGTTCTCAAATGTACCTCCAGCTCTGTCTCTTCCTCTGGAAGCCCTAGCAGTCCTTTCAGCTCTTCATCATCTCCTGTTTTACTGTCTCCTGTTCCTGCTGTGCCTTGGGTTTGGGGTTTTTCTCTGATGGTGTAGGTCCTCGTCGAAGCCCCAAAAGAAATTGTAGAGTCTATGGGAATTTGCTGAGGCTTGTGTGCCTCCAGACGGATGTGTCCAAGGAAGGTACCATGTGCTTAAGAATAGACAATAAACAACAAATATTAATAAGAAGGTTTGCATACATTGACAATGATTATTGATTAGTTATGAATATTATTTACCTATTAATCCCTGGTTGCAAAACAAAAATGTAGCTTATTTTTGATAACACATTTAGGGCATCAGTTGTAATTAGGCCTCCAACTTCAACAAGGACAATTAAGTCTATCTTCTGACTTATTGTTTTGTACTTATTTACCTCTATTGGAGTATTTACAGCTTTATCCACACAACAGGTGCCATGGGCTCCTTGTAACCTTCACATTTTCTTTTTTTCTCACCGACAGTGCTGTCAGCTTCACGTGTTAAAGTGCTATGGTTGCGTGTAGCTGCAGCCTGCTACTACGCAGTTGTTTGCTACTTGGTTCTAATTCAGCACATGATTGGTTCAGCGCGAAGCAGACCCAGCGTAAGTCCCCCTTTTCACTGGCTATTCGTAGAGTCTACCAAAACATTGCAGAATGTCGGCTATTGAAAAGCATATTGACCATGTTTTATATTGATATTGAGGGAAATTAATTTACAATATATATCGTTATCGTTTTATTGCTCAATCCTAATCCAAGTTATCTTTTTACTTTGGGGTGTATTTCATAGTGGACCCCACCTACCACCATGGTGCTTACCAGCCTGTAGGTGTGCAGAATCAGTGTGTATATAACAATATCACCTAAAGAAGACCATCAGGTTGTGACCCAATAAACTCCTTTATGACACTGAGTGAGTGTGCAGGCATGATCTCTTTCTCTGCTTAATGTTTCAATCACCATGCACCTGCACAATGCGCACACGACTCTCCACTGTGTATTAGTGAACAGATCAATATATCAGCTGTATTGATTAATACTTATACTTAGCTGTAAACAGTGAAAGGGCCACTTCTATAACCAGTTCAGTTTCAACTTGATTCTAAATGATGTCTTACTGCTGTTGAGGTCTATGAGAAAGACCCTCTTCAGGTGTTTGTGGTAAACCAGGGCTGAGTGGACTCGTGAGCATGACTGGTGGTCGATGGTGAAGTCACACCAGTCTGGGTTTCTCCCAAACAGGTAGTACTTCTTTTCATCTATGATCAGTTTCTACAAGAAGAGAAAGCTTTGGTCAAAAACAGCAGAATGAAAACTGGACGGTGGTCTGTGTGTCTGTGCCTTTGAGCCATAACTCTTCAGCGCTTCTCCTCACTGAAAAGCTTAAATCTCAGGGCTGATGCTGCTCTCGCACCTTTTTGAAGCCATGCAGCCATTTACAAACCCAGTGTGCAAAACATCTGGGACAAAGTGGACTGTCAGGCTCGTATCCGGTGCTTTCCATTTGCTCCCAAAACGAATCAAAACAGATTTAAACATGAGTGAACAACAGAGAGCCAAAATGGTCCCTCCAGGCTTCCAGTTACCTCAATGAGTTTGTCCCCCTTCATCACGTCTAGATGGAGTCCTGGGGGCGGCTTTCCTGCCCTGAAAAACAAGTTAGTGACGGTTATTGTAAGTCAAATTGAACGTGACCCAACATTGATATCAATAATTCTGATAGGTTAAAGTCTTTGTTTTGTTTCTGTCATCTTTCCTCAGGACTTTTGACGCGTTGACGGGTTAGCGTGCTAGCTAGCTTCATTGCTAACACTAGCGCGTAAACTTCACGCCCTACTATGACTTAAGATGAGTTTTACAAAAGCGTCGAGATTTTGCGTCTCATTTGCAGAAAACACCGCATAAAAATATAAAAAATCACAACTTTGACGGTGCATTTACTCACCATGATGGACAATCAAAAGGAGGAGGACCCTCTTTGCTTATTTTAGTCGCCATCTTGGCTCATTTTTTTAAGCAACGCCGAGCTGCATGTTGGGAAAACGGCGCTCTGAGTCACCGGGAGTTGTAGTTATGTAATCCCTACGAAATAAACCCGAATAAAACATTGCATCAAATTAACAGCACCCATTTTTTACGGTGGCCGTAGCCACTGCTATAAAAAAGAATAGATTAAAAATTAAACCACAACAGAAGTTACCAATGCAGATTTTTAAAAAAAGCCATTAGGGAAGTTAACAACGCAAAAAAAGTGCTGATATAAAAAAATAAAAATAAATAAAAAAATACAAAGTTTCTTACTGCAAAAGTAAAAGGGTGCAAAAAAAAACCAAAAACACACACAACGGAAGTTACTGATGCAAAATAGAAGATATAGGGCAGATTTTTTAAAAAAAGCCAAAATGGAAGTTAACGACACAAAAAAAGTGCACATGCAAAAAATAATATAAATACAGTAAGTTTCTTACTACGAAAATAAAAGGGTGCAAAAAAAAAAGCCACAATGGAAGCTACGATGCAAAAATTAAAAGTAAAAAAAAAAGGTGCAGATTTAAAAAAAAAAGCCACAACAGAAGTAAACGACAAGGGAAAAAAATGTGCCAATGCGAGAATAAAATATATATATATATATATATATATATATATATATATATATATATATATATACATAAAAGCAATAAAGAAAATAAACCTCAAAAAAAAAAATGCTGTTGCAAAAAAATAAAAAGTTTCTTACTGCGAAAATAAAAGATAAAAAAAAAAAGCCACAACAGAAGTAAACAACAAGGGAAAAAAATGTGCCAATGCGAGAATAAAAAAATATATATATATATATATATATATATATACATAAAAGCAATAAAGAAAATAAACCTCAAAAAAAAAATGCCGATGCAAAAAAATAAAAAGTTTCTTACTGCGAAAATAAAAGATAAAAAAAAAAAAAAAAAAAAAGCCACAACAGAAGTGAGCTGAAGCGAACACTACACTGGCATCCTCCAGTTCAACTTCATATTGACTCAGGCGCCACATGGCCTAACCAAACGACACATTGAAAAGCCCACAAAGCGAAATCAAATAATAACATTTGCATCCTTTTATTTTCGCAGTAACTAACTTTTTTTTTTTTTTTTTGCGTCATTGACTTCAGTTGTAGCTTTTTTTTTATCTGCACCGTTTCTTTTTTTATTTGCAGCAGGCTTCGGTTTCTTTTTTTTGCATCAGTAACTTCTGTTGTGACTTCTTTTTTTGCATTCTTTTCTTTATTTGCAGCAGTGGCGGTTCTCGGCCACTGTACATTTTGACTGTAATTAAAAAAGGAAATGTATATATTTAAAAAACATATATATTTCAAATGGAGTTGGTTAAAAGGATGGAAGAAACTTTAGTGCCCAAAATTGAACAGCAGAGGTCCCCAGATCTGCAAAAACTTCATACTACAGACAGAAGAGTTTGAAACGTGTTTGTTTCTGGTTGTTGTGGGTGGCCAGTGGTTTGACAACCTGAACAAAAATCGGAGTTTTGTTTAAGGGACTTATAGCATGACGGTGTCTTGTCCACTTCAGAGTGACACCGTCCCTTTTCCATTATAACTAGCATAATAAACTGGCACAAGGGGGTATTACCCAGGTATAGGATCATGGAAAATGGTTGGAAACTCCTTAAGAGTTGAGACAACAGCCAAAATTATTATTGAGACAGTTGTAGAGCTCTTGCGGAAAGTGTGGTGGGTTTTCACAGAAGCTGCAAGGGGCTGCCTTACTACGCCACAAAGGTGGGAGGATTCTTCACAGCTCAGATCAAGAGGAGGAAGTGAGGAAGCTGCCTTTTTCTACTTTGATGTAGTCTGAGGTCTCATGAGACAAGACAGGAAAATAAACTTGAAAGAGTTTTTTAGAGAAAGGTAAATTATGACCAGGATTAGTCTGGAGAAATAAGTTGTTGCAATGATGAGATTAACCATTTCCTGGCCCAGCTTGGTGAAACATCAGTCAATTACTAGTTTTAAGCAATTTCGGATACTAAAACTAGAGATAGTTTGTTTTTTAACCATTCAGAATTTGTTGTTACTTCTGCAAAAGCTGTCTTTGCAGAAGTTTACTGATTACAATGTCAGCTATTAGAGAGGTGTGAACGTTTTAATAAATTTGTCAGGTCCTGGAGAAATGATACGTAAAAAAAACGATCATTTTACTACATCACTGAGGAGTATATTTTTAAGTCTTTGCAGCAATAATGTGCTTAAATGACCGTTTTTGTTTATAGATTTTAAAGTGTCTATTTATTTTCACTGGTCAAGGATATCTCACGGCCTTCAGCTGCAATAAGTTAAATATCCAGATAAGCGTTCAGTTTCCCTGTCATAACAACAGGGTTTCAACCATATTAGTCCCTGTCTGTGAATGCAAGCATTGTGCAAAATGCTCCCCTTACTTCCTTATTTGCTTTTGTGGTTTTTTTACTGAGAGCACTTCATGCGTTTTTTTGCAGCTCCTGTCTTTTGCTGTGTGCCTTCACTTTTGCTCACAGCACACTGAGGCAGCAGTGATGGCAGGCACGATTGCTGTGCCACTTCAGCAGCTCATTGCTTCATTGGATGACTCTTGTTTACCCAAAATTATACAAGTTTGCTCTGGAGTGTATTTCCAAGGTAAGCTTTTTATTGTATTATTGACTAAAGAAAGAAAATAGGAGTTACAACGCATTATTTGTGATGTGGTTGCGGCGAATTGTTCATGTCAGCATTTCTTGACTTTCTGTTTTGTGTCTGTATGCAGTTATTGCTCATACAAAGCACAGATTTCCCTCTAATATTCAATGGAAATTGCTTTTTGGGTCAGACAGAGAAGTCGAGATTGTTTTTGCGCAAAAGATTTTCACATCATGGTTGGGTTTTAGAGATATTTCAAAGCAGGTTACATAAGATAGGGTCAAGAAACAATGAAGACTGAATTTTTCAAAATTGTGCTTCATTTATCTGTTTACGCTTGAGTTTTTATTTTGATTAATGGTCCCCTTTCTCTTTATTTCTCTTTACTTCTGTCTCAGGGTCTATATATGAACTCTCCGGGAGTGAAGTGTGCTTTTCTACCGGTGATCTGATTAAGGTCATTGGCATCGAGCTCTTATCAGTTTGCTGTGAAGACATCAGCAATAATGACAAATTTGAGTTACCAATCAGCCACACAGGTCAGTCGAAGCAGTAGATACAATCTCATGAGAAAGGATGATTCTTTTTTTGGTTTGTGGCAGACCACTGATGCTTGTCGCTGTCTCTCAGGCCTGTTCAAAGTTGTTCCGGAGGAGATGCCGTACAATTCAATGGAGGAGATGCTGATCCTGAGACCCGTAGCCCTAGACTCCTGCCTTCCCTTCACTTTCACCTGCAACGCCAAGATGACCTTTGGGAACTTCACACTTGGAGCAGGGAGAGCTTTGACTGTGCGGTCCATTGAGCAGCGCCAGGGGGAGGAGGATCAAGTGCGCTGTCATGTTAAGGGGCAACAAGAGGCCTCTGCAGAAGTGTGTATCCCCCTTTCCACCCAAGGGGAGTTCAGGGAGTGTGAAAGCGAGGAGTGCTTCACCCTGCGGGAGATCATGTCCTCGTCCTACCTGCGCAGTCGAAGGTTTCGATTCATGAACACCACCAAGTGTCAACAGCCCCTTGTTCTCAGTCCGATATATCAAGTCAACGCCATCATGAACTGTAAGAATAAATCCTTTTGATTAGTATCTTCAAGTTATCGTCATTTTACGAATGAACCTTTAGAAATATGTGCAAATACTTGAATTGACGTGAAATGAAAACCTTGTGTAATTTTATGAAATTCTGACCCTACATGTGACTTGGTAGTTTGTTAACTCAAGTTGCGTGTTCCCACGTTGTGCCATACAATATCTCTATCCATTTAGGAGGCAAAAGTTGTACCATTACAATTACATTTATACCTGGTGATCATGTACAGATTAAGGTTGTACATCTCAGACTACTAATGGGTTTACTAATGTCAATGTATTTGGACAGATTAAAGCTTGTGTGAGAATTTATTTCCCCTCACTGGTTACAAAAAAGACTCAACTTTATATTGCTGCAACCGCATAACCTAAAAACAGCGAACAAGTGGGACAGCAACTGTAAGGCTATTTATGCGTCGTAGTCGTTTTAATACCTAGCCCACCTGCTGTGGGGGTGGGTGCTAAAAACGGTGATTAACCACACGCAGGTTTTAATCAAGAGAAACATTGACAGAATCATCAGTGAAGAGCTTTAGTGTTAAGAATATCTGTCTTGCGACACAAACATGAACCTTGATCTGCGTCACGAGTACTTGTAGAAGTCGGTTTTTATACTTTCTCTTAAAGCTCCAGTGAGGAACTTTTACTTAGTGTCTATTTCTTCAACTATTTTTGGGTTGTCCTTTGAAAAAAAAAAAAAAAATTCAGTTTTAACAGTCATTTGTTAAACCACCCGTTCAGAAATGTGCTGTGGTAAACACAACAGACAGTTTTGGCGGCACAAAATTAACAACTCGATGTGACACCAACCCCACCAGAAGTTCAGGGCGTAAAACGACAAAACGAAATAACACATATGGTCTCGTTTGCTTTCTCATATCAATAATACCTCACAGTATTATTTTAGTTCAGTTCGAAGTCAGCTAAAAAAAGACCTGACAAGAGCTTTAAACAGGATTTTTGGGTTGTGGTGTGCTTTCAGTAGGAGTGCCTGTTGTGTTGCTACATTTACAAGAAGCATATTTGTTTCTGGTAAGCCACCTTTGCTGCCTCCTGTCCTCTTGTTTCACTTCTTCACTATCTATTTTTTTTCCCACAGTGAGGAAGAACATATTGAAATTTCCCTCGAGCCTTGAGGTGGATGTGATCGATGTCACCGATGTATGCAAAGACGTGATCTTTGCGACCCCGCTCAGCCTGACAGAGGTCCTGACACAGCCAGAAGAGTCTTTCCCTGCAGTTGTGGAGATGTTGGAGAGCCCAGAAAACCGCTCTCTGTTCAAGTGCAGCTGGCTGCCAGAATTCAGCCAGGGCAAGCGCCTGATTTTCCACAAGACAGGAACAGCAGCTATGGTTTTATTATCCAGTATGAAGAGCAAGAAGACACAGCAGTATTTTCTGGTGTCCCAGCAGTACGGTGGGCGATTCCGGAGGCGACCGAGGGAGTTCAACTCAGTGTACCAGCTTTATGTTGCTTCAACCCAGGCACCAGGACTCAAAGTCAGTGTGACAAGGAACTGCGAGGAGGTGGAGGAAGAGGGTCTGCCTGCTCTCAGTGTTGGGGAACAGCTGGACGTTATTCGCTTGGAGAGGATGGAGCTGCCCTGTGAAAGCAGTAATGCACAAAGGGAATCAGTCGAGGCCCTTCTGTGTCAGCGCGTACAAGAGTCAGATGATGAGGATGATGATGAAGAAGAGGATGTCAAGCAGAAGGAGGAAAGAGAGGAGGTTTTACTGCCTGTGTACATGCAGGGGCACTTTGTAGAGGTGCTCACTGATAACAAGAAGTACAATCTCAAAGACCTTGGGAAGGAGTTCAGTTTGCCTCTGGATGTTAAAGTTGTGAGCCGTGATTCTGAACTTGGGACTGATCCTTTAACTGGGTTTTCTTGTCTCAGAGTAGAAGGGGCTATGCTAGAACCCGTCATCCAGGCCAGCTTCCCACACGCTCCAGACCACTGTTTTGAAATCCCAACCCGTTGGCTTTCTATGTCGGTCTCTTTTACCTCAGACCCTCTGCCATGGACCAGCGGTGAACCGCCAAAGTGCCGCATAGATAGAGTAACAGAAGTGACGGACTTGTTTTTTTATGAATTTCAAAAACAAGAGGAATCAGGCGCAGTGCCTCCACCTCGACCGCCGAAACGAAATCTGTCTGCTGATACTAGCAAAAAATCCTCAAAACCCTCAAAGAAGTCATCCAAGTCCAAACATCGATCAGGCAAAAGCACCCCTACCAAAGAGCTTGCTGACTTGACTTTGAATAGCAAAAAGCGGCCCCCAGCTCCTCCTCCGCCAGTAAGTCTGTCTTTTCTTATACTTGGCAACCCTGAGGCTACATTTAATCTTGATGTGGTTTATTAGCGAGTGTGTTCTCTCATGACGTGACTTTCAGGAAATCTCAAGTGTTCACAAATATCAGACTATGCAAACACAAGTCGCTTCCTCTTTTCTTGTGGTGAATAAGTCAACTGTGTAATAAGCATGTCTCGTTTTTGTCTTTTTCAGGAGAACTCAGATGACGGACCGCCTCCACTTTTACCCAGAAAGCACGCTACGGCTGAAGTGATGACAGGCAAGGCTCTGCCGAACACTTATGTGAAAATAGAGGGGTCAATGAAGAAAGGTAAAGCCATACAGTCCACACTAAGACAACACTCCTGATGGTATCGTATCTTCAGTTTGAAAAAATGAGTCCAGTGAAAACAGAACTTTCAAGCTCCGGTCCATTAGTACCCTAACCCTAACTCTAACCCGTAGTATTCAGCCCAACACTTGGCTGTGAACTGAAGTTAGATCTGAAAAAAGTAACGACAACAAAACAAAAGAGCTGTGTAGATCTGTGCGAAACTCAAAACGTAGCCCTTTAATGCCTGACACAACAAATTATGGCCAGAAAATTTAAATATTTTGGAGCTGAAATGTTTATTTCACTTACTACTGAAAACCAAAATAAAAATAAAAATGTCCTTAAAATTTAACAAATATATTTATCAATCTGGTATGACACATTAGATGTTTTTAGAAACTGATAAACTACAAGAGGACATTTTTATCATTTATCAGACCGTATTAAGGTGTTTTCTAGTAATTTGTTGATCATATTGATTTGATAGAAGTATCATAAAAGTATGTATCAAATATGATACAAAAGGCAATAAAGCAGTGGTTCTCAACTGGTGGGTCCCAACCCAAAAGAGGGTCACGTTCTGGATGGGTCACAAACAGCTGATCAAAAAAGGAAATATTCAATGGGATATTTGATATTTTCTGTATATGCAACTTCAGTAGTTGTCATCCTCATGTTGTCCCCTTCATGTGCTCTGAAATGCACTGTACTCAATAAAACAAGTGGATTTATGTTTAAGATTAGAGTCTTTAAAGTTTTTTTTTTTATAAATATATACAAAACTGAATTTGCTTGGTTTGTATTCTATAAAAGTAGGTCACTACTTAAGGACCATGGGAACATGTGGGTCCCAGAGTGAGACCAGTTGAGAACCATTGCAATAAAGAGTTAAAAAACTTAAAATGTAAAAAAACAAATACAGTCAGTGGTTTTCTTCTTACTGGGTGGGTTCTTATTGCTGTCGAATGTCTCATTGTGATTGTGTTATGATAATGTGTTATGATTACTGCTTTAAAAAATTACAATCATTTATGAGTTTTTATAAATATTATTATACAGTGCTATAACGTGATTAAACCCATTATAAATATATTTATAATGCATTATAGAGATAGGCGTCAAGTAAAGTGTTACCAAAATTAAAATTCCTTTCCCACACAGTGCCGACTGAAGTGGCAGCAGATTTGGACAGTGATCACGACTATGAATCTGTGGAGGAGACTTTGGGTGGGTTCTTATTGCTGTCGAATGTCTCATTGTGATTGGCCAATCATTAGTTTTTACTTTTGTTTAACAGAATATGAAACAGAAAGTAAAGCCAACAAGGTTTGGTGTTACTGTGAAAATACTGTTGAATTAAACCAAATACTTTTTCAACTGAAGAAAAACTAACAAACTAACCAAATATGTTCTTGATTCATAATCAGCGTTATGTGCTGCATAATTCTACTACTTGTTTATGTAACACCAATAAACAATAATGACCCACGAGATGGACATTATTTAAACAAAAAGGCGCTTTTCAACACAAGAGACATCTGTATAACTCACTCTTAGAGATCTACAATCATTGTTGGTTTTTGTCTTTTGATAGATTCTGTTGTCAGTAAAATAAAAAAATACTGCTAATTATAAAAAATAAAGGTAACACTTTATTTGACGCCTATCTCTATACACATTATAAATATATATATAATGAATTATAATTATGTTATAGCACTGTATAACTATAGTTACTAACACTCGTAAATGATCATAATGCTTTATAACAATAGTCATGACACATTTTAGAGCATTTTATCATGACCGGCCTCCTCATTTCCTGTTTTTAAATCCTTTTTTAAAAACACACTTTTATTCCTTGGCTTTCAATACATTTTAGTGTTATTTTGTTTGTTATCATCTTAGCACCTGCCGTGAGCCTGCTTATTTATATATTTATTTACTTTTAGCATTTATATATTTTTGCTCGCTCTATCTTGTTCTTTGCTTGATTTATTTGTTTTTACGTCGCAATGTACAGCACTTTGGCTACCCCTGTGGTTCTTTTAAATGTGCTATAGAAATAAAGTTGATTGATTGATTGAGTGATGACTTACAAGGTCAGGTAATATAATGTGTTGTAACTGTTGACAACTCACTGACAATGCCCACATAGATAATGCAATGTAATAGTTGTTAACAGTTATAACACATTACAATACCTGACCTTGTAAGTCATGATAAATGCTTTATAATGTGTTATGATTATTGTTGTAAAGCACAATAATCATTTATGAGTTTTTATAAATATTATTATACAGTGCTATAACGTGATTATAACCCATTATAAATATATTTATAATGCGTTATAGAGATCGGCGTCAAGTAAAGTGTTACCAAAATTAAAATTCCTACACCTTTCCCACACAGTGCCGACTGAAGTGGCAGCAGATTTGGACAGTGATCACGACTATGAATCTGTGGACGAGACTTTGATGGAAATGATGAAAACAGCACAAGAGAGCATCAAATTCTACTGACACAACGCTGCAACAGCAAGGATCACATGAAGACAAAGACTTAGAAGGATTTTATATCCCGCTTATTTTTGCTCTGTTATGTCGAGTATTGTAACGCTTACACACCAGACTTTTTCTTTAGACTTTCAAAGCAGACTAAGCAAACTGTACAGACTATGTTAAATATTGTGGTGAATCCTAAATATACATGCACTTGAAATTCATGGCAGTTCTCGGAGGTGCCCTTTTAATCGACTTGTTTACTGTTAAACCAGCAGAAGCACTTCGTGTTAGGGAGTTTTGTGGACACTCATGATGGCAAAAGTTTTCCCACACAATCAGCCGATAACTTTTTCAAAGCTGTAGATGTGCAGTGTACTTTGTGAGAACAGATACCTCCCTTGTGGCATTTATGGCTAAGCTATGCCATGGTGCAATTGTCAAACTTCTCAGTAAAGGCTGGTACTTTGAAAGACAACTTTTCTTATATCAGAAAAGTAACCTCTATAAAAGAAGAACTAATGCCTTTTCTAACGATTATTTCAAACTCAACTTGTGAGCAAACTCTTAAAAGAAGAGTCCAAATAAGTATACGCGGAAATGCAGCAGCTTGAACCACAAAAAACAGCAACTGCAGCAAGTCTGCACACTGGCATGGGCTTGAATGCAGAAGTTCCCCCATGGCGTCTAAGCAAACTAATGAACTGAGAGTACAATAGGGTGTGAAACGTATCAGATCCTGTTTTTTTCTTTGCACAGATATGATTTCTTTTCCAAGTTGAATTATTTATATCAAAGAATTAGATCATGTCTCAAGCCAATTTTGTTTCAAACATCCATTACAATAAAATGTATTTTAAATTCTATATTTGTGTTGTTAATAGCGTCATGCCCTGCACGCTCTATTTCCACAGGACACAAAATTCAACACAACTATCTTACTCACAACTGGAAGACTTGAGCCACAAAGTTCGTGGTTTCAAAGCTGAAGGTGTGAATGTCAAGTGAGCAACAGCTACTGAACTCTTTGCAGGTAGCATTTATCTAATGCTACCGGTGATTCGGGATTATTACAGGTGTTTGTAGTGTATATATTTGATTAAAAAGGACGACTAAAAAGGCTTGAATATTTTCAGCGTCATTGTTGTAACTATTGTAGTGTTGTAAGTGGTTTTATCAAAGAAAGAAGTGCACATTTAAGTTAGGAAACATGAGACAACCAGACAGTTAATAATCCTTTAATTCTAGAAGATACAAAGACAATAATAAACGGCTTATGTTTCAGTGTTTTTAAAATTACAAAACATTTTTAATAGAAGGAGAGGAACTGCAAAGTTGGAATATCTACTGTTTAGAACAGTTTCATTCTACACCGAAACCACTTGGACTTGCAAAGCAGCAGAAGCAGCTTTAGGAATATACAGAGCATGGCCTCCCCCATGCTAAACCATGTGGGTCTTTTTTTATTTTATTTTTAAGATTATATTAACCACAAACTATCTGAAATGGCTGTGGCCTCATACCACAAAACCTGTTCTGTTCGGTACAAAAAAAGTGACACCAGAAGTGCTATGATGGAGGTGTTAGTCATCGCTGTCTGTTGATTTGAAGTGGTCATCGTCGATGGTTGAAAATATGTGCCCCTCATTGCTGAGGAATTCCACTGCTTGCCTGTAAGACAAAAAAAGAGATGTTTTTTTTGGCACATTTTGATTTTAAGAGTTGAAATCTGTTGAATAAGTGAACATTATATGTAGACGATTTGATCAACAACTTGTTTTTTTTAGTACTACCAAGTGGTTGATGCAAGTTTAAAGGTGTCTGACTATGAACTGTAGCTGTCATAAAACAAAAAAAAAGACGATGTGAGAGAAACTGAAGAGGAAGTTCAGTATGAGGAGCTGCTATAACCCACTTCACGCTCTTTTCTACTAAATTCATTCAGCATTAGATACACAGGTTACACTTTTACAAGACATTTAACTTAAAGCACTTTTTATGGGCACAGATGTCAGAGAGTGCTTTGCATAGATAGGACATACTGGCAGTTTTTAAATGAGAGGTGAGATGAGAGACAGGTGAAAGCAATAACATGTAAATGTCTTTTAACTGAAAAGTGAGCTCAAATGAATGTGGGTTACCGGGTTAATTATTGTTTTATTTCTCTTGAGATAAAGAAGCTTCCCTTAAAAAACGAAGTTAGTTATAAATCCACTGTGCCTGTAACTGATAAGTCATGAACTTTTCAACAGAGAACTCTATGATATAAAAAAACTGCTTCCCCATGACATCTGTGATCAAGCCAGGTCATGTTACCAAGGTGACTAAGAGTCACATGTGAACCAGAAATGACACTGAAGTGAAATTGTAACTTTGGAGAAATGCCAATCTGACTGACATAATGAATTCACTGCATCTAGATCTAGTTTTCCTCAATCTGATTGAAATCAATCGGATTAAGTGAATCTGATTCCATCTGTATACATGAACTTTAAGTAAAGAGATCCACATTCAATCTGCGTTTGCATGGCCCCAGCTGAATCCAACTGTATTGCTTTTTTTTTGTTTTTTTTTTGACATGCGTAGAAGGTCACTCTGCCACTCCCTGCAAATGTGTAAGAGAAGAAGAGGTGCACTTCCTGCTTCCTGTTTACCTGTAGAAAGATGGATCCGCGTCGTGTTTTGTTGGGGACGCTTATTGTGTTGTGGTTACATTTATTTGTGGCTCTGAAGTCACAGCAGTTCGCCATGTTTGTTTTCGTTTGGGCGCGCTCTGCGTACGTCACTACGTGCCTCTTACGTACTACGGAGCGCCTGCGCAGACCGAACAAGCCTCTCTGTAAACCCAATCCACTCCACTCAGCCGTATTTATTGAGCATGGAGCGGATTATCAATCGGTGTAGACTACCTCTTACAATCCGACCCGAAATACAATCAGATCTGGGTGAATCAGATTGGCTAAGGTGTTTACATGAGACACTTTGAATCTGATTGTAAATAGGATTTTTGGACCCATGTAAACAGGGCTAGTTACTGACACCACTGGTTCAGCTGAGAAGAGCATTAGTTTGAATTGGTCTTACTTGATGACAGGCATGCTCATGCCGCCCAGTCTCTGCTTCAGCTCCTGGATGCTGATGCCCTGCGGGTCTGGACAGCCCTTTATCAAACTCAGCACCTTTTAAGAGAAACATGGGTTGACATATTCACAAATGCACTTTGTGTAAAGCTGCAAATACAGAAACGACTTCTTACAGAGGTGTGTGTTTAAATCTTGTGTGAGTTTTTGTTTCTTTTGTTCATTACAGTTGCACAAAAAAAGGAAGTAAGACACATTAACAATGTTACTTGCTTGGTGTGAGTTTGCAAAATGGACATTTTTCTGTTCCATCTGAATTTTTAATATTGTTTACCTGATTCTGGTTTCCGCTTAACCCATTGTTAACCATATCCATAGCACCTGCATAGCTCCCACCCATGCCTCCCATGTCCGGCCTGGACATGGGTGTGATGTTACTGCCCATTCCTCCTCCTACTGACGGCTGAAAGAGAAATGGAAAAAGACCACATCAACACTTGTTTCTTGGTAACACCACAAGAGCATCCAAAAATATCAACTCTTTGCAAAACGTGCTAAACTAAAATGTGTCACTTTCAGTGCAACTTGCGAGTTGGAAACCCCCATGAATTAATGTTTGAAAAACTACGTTTTTATTAGATGAAATTGATGAAATAAAAACACCACAGAAACTTGACAGGTGATTTTTGCCAAACTTATGTAACTACAGTGTGAAAGACAAATAGATGTGGTGTGGCGTCAGGGAGTCAGGCAAGTAATGCTTTATCTCAAGTATTGTTTTATCTGTTTTTGTGCCCATAAGTCAGACTGTGGTTTCAGTCTCCTATCATTTTGTACTGAGCGTAGGCAGAGTCATAGATAGATAGATAGATAGATAGATAGATAGATAGATAGATAGATAGATAGATAGATAGATAGATAGATAGATAGATAGATAAAAATAAATATAAGAAGTATGTACAATGCAGACTAAAAATACTAAACATATACAATAAATACAGACTAAATATACTAAACATCCTAAGAGAAAAAAGTGAGATATGAAGAACGTGGCCTATTGAAATGAGTAATAAATATGAAATGCAAAATATACAGATGGGCGTGGTAGGAGTTTTAAAAATTGACTATACAGCAGACAGATGTGAGTCCCTGTCTGACTGTCTGATTTGGGTTATTAAATAGCGCAACAGCTTGTGGCAGGAAAAACGTGATGTCTGGTAAGTCATTATGTAAAAAAAAGTTGTCTCTTTCAACAGAAAACATCTGCTTTCTCTTCTAAATATGTACGCTCATGTCGTCTAAATATACAAAAACATTCATCAACTTTTTCAGCTGCTATTTTCAGTCCAAATTGTATTAATGCCATAAAAATTAACCTGCAAGTTGCTCCTTAAATGGAAAAGGCTGCATATGACCAACTCCACATGACATTTGTCCAACACAAATCTAATACTAAACTTTACAGTGATGTGTTTGTGCTCATAAATCTCTTAAAAGTGCTTTCAAGTTTATTCTACGACTTATTTCATTAATAAATTCTTAAAAGACACATCTCTCAGCAATCAATGCTGCTGATGTTTCGACATATCTTACCACGGACTGAGCTTTGTTGAGCACCATGTGAGCTTGCACAACCTCTAGCATGTGTGAGGTGATTTCGTTCATGTCCTCCAGGACCCTGACATTGAATGCCACCATGGATTTGTGGTTCTGTTGAGAGAGGAATTTAAAAGATACTCATCCACTGCCTCAGAAAGACTAAACAGTGCAAGTCATACATATACCATCCTCATGGTAAAGTTATTCTTGTGTGTTTAAAATGACAAGAATCAAAACACTTGTGGAATATAAAACATGAATGACATAATCTCATATCTACCAAGACTTCAAATTTCAAAAGGGTCAGTTAGTTAAGCACATTTTTGTGGGTACAGAGAAGACAAAAGAAAATATAACTCACCTGAAAGAAGCGCAGGTTACCAGAGACTTTGACGTATGTGCCTGGAGGCAGGACATTGTTGTCCACATTGGCGTCCTAAACAAACCACAATATTACATTTGCATGGTTAAATTTGTGAGACGCTTATGTAGAATTAGAAGACACATTTCTTCTTGATCTCACATCACACTAATTTCTGTGGTTTTACACGTGCACTGTTCGTTTATATTCCCTTTATAATATCAATGTGATGTTACTTGGTACTAACTTCCACTGCTGATCTTTGTTACGTATACAAAACCCCAAACTACATCTAATGATTAAGTTCAAGCTAAGAGGCAAAAATAATTGCTCAACAAAAATAGCTGATAGAAGTCATGTTCGTAACTTTTGCACCACAAAACACCATCAGCTACACAGGAAACCTGACACAACTTAGCACTTCTATAAAAGTGTGAACACTTGACTGTGTTAAGAGGCACCCTCACTTACCTCTATGTCCACCCATTGCCTCACGTCCATCGGAGCGCCTGTCATGTCATCCACCTTGTACAGGATGTTGGTCGCGGATTTGTCTGTGCTTCTGATGACACCAATAATCGTTGCCTTTGGAAAAATAAATAAAAAATTCTGAATTCTGAATGAACAAAGTTATTACAAAAAAAGTTAGTACAGAGTGTGTATCATCTTTTGACTGACATGGTTTTGGTAAGTATGTGTGGTATCAAACACTGCATCTCTGTCTTTATTAGGAGTTGTTAATCAATGCAAGTAACAGGTTTGTTCTCAGTTTTTCTATTACTCATTATAATTAACAGTAAGTTTCACCTAAATGTTATAACATACAAATACAACATACAAATGCTCTGCTTCATTTAAAGTTATGGCATCAAAGTGCCTCATGAATTACTTCCAGTTCAGAAAATAAGGAGTGGCTGGTCATCAGAGTTTTTCAAAAACAAATACCCCAAATGTCCCACAGCTTTTCATTCTGGATTAAAACTGATGTTACATCCATCACAGCAAAATTGCTGAAAAATTCACAAGTTTACAAGATACAACTTGTAAACTTGGCGGAGGGCAGTTCTGCCGACCCTGTTGCAGAGATTTTTCTGCTGTCAAAGAAAACAAAGTCCAAAGTCTGGGTGTATTTTTTAGCTTCTGCAAAGGGTTGCCAGGAAGGTTTTGTGCATCGCAGCAACCAGCGTGCGATCAAGAGGCTATTCAGTGCCAGCGGGCACATCGTTTCCCCTCGCAGATCACAACTCAAACCAGGAAAGTAAATATGCTGACATTTTTACATTTCAATCCCAAGTAGTGAACAAAGTCAGCAGCAGCACCTTATGGTGGAGAAAACAGACAATTTGTGTGGTTCATTTGATTTGTTTACATATTTTATGTTATTTTAAACACCTGCACTTCACATTTGTTTACATGTGGTTGTTTGGTTCATATAGTAGTGTTGCTCTGTTATATATTTGTTAGAGTAGATCTTTCTGAGCACTGAAGATTCTTACAATTTGCACAATAAGGAATGTCATTTAATTTGAATTTAATTGATTTGTTATTATCTTAATGTTTATGCCACTGGCACATTACTTTGTACTTTGTTATTACTAGTACTAGTGTTGATTACCTCTGGCTCTTTTAAGGCCACATCTTTATCACTCCTCTGTTATTTAAGGTTAAGGACAAGTTCATTCTGCGTGTTATTTTGATTGTTTTTTCAAAATAAAACTTTGTTGAATGATTTCAGGGCGTGTATAAGTGAACATATTTCAACAATACCGTGATAATATTGAGAACCGTGATAATTTTGGTCACAGTAATCGTGATGTTAGATTTTCATATCGTTACATCCCTAATACACAGATACACATACATGCCATAATATATATATATATATATATGTAGGTCAGTGTTCACAGGTTTGCTTTAATTTACCTGGGCAACTTCGACATCTCCTACTTTGAAGCCCTCGTCGACCTGAGATGCAGATATCAGCTGAGACACTGTGCAGGGGATGATCTGGTTGGAACGAGCTCTCTGCAAAATGAACACGTGCGCGCGCACACACACACACACACACACACGTATGGAGAAAGAAGATAAGTTTATGATTGAGTGCATCAAAATAGCACATATGAATTAAAACACAACCTCCTTGGTCATATATTGATTTAAATGGATCATTGTAGCCCCAGAAATGTAATTTAAACAGTCTGTGTAGTTTAGTGGTGTAAGGTTTGAGTACAGACCCCTTTCTTCTCTCCTCCCTGGGAAAGAGAAGGTGATGCGAAACCTCCTGGAGACTGTGTGTAACCTCCGACTGTGCTCGTGTTTCCTCCTAAAAGCACAAAACAACACCATGACAGCTGACACTAGAATATAAAATTCTCATTTCCAAAACCTCAGTATTTCCAGCTCATGACAACAATGACAGCACAGCACACAAACACAACGACGAAGCTAATGATAGCCGTGGTCAAGCGATGTAAACAATGCGATATTCCCACACTACAGTGTAAACATTACACTTACCCTGATTCCACATGATGGTACTTTCTTAATAAATTAGTGAAATAAAGTCTGAAACACTGTCTAAGTAGGAAAACAGCTGCGGTTAGCTTCAGCAGACGTTTGTCTTGGATCGTCCCGCGCGCCAAACTCCTGTATGACGCATGCGCATGACAGAACTCCCGCGAAACCAACACAGGCGTTCACTATGATAAATTCTCCCTGATCAATGCTTGTCAGGTAGTTATTCATCCTTGACTTTGTTTGACATCGCCTTTTTCACAAAAAATTGCGACTCAATTTCTGCCATAGAACTACTTTAAGCGTCTAGACCGACCAAATTTCATAGACTTATCTTGAAACTAACAGATCTACGGGAATAGGCGAGCCTGACAGGCATTAACCCGGGCTAAAAACAGACATTGTTCAAGATTTTGCTGCCTTCAGGATCTATTGGAAATCGCGGCAGTACCCAAATTATCAAATGCTGCGGGGGCGTGAAATGAGTTACATGCATGATAACAGTCAGGTAAAATATACTTATTAAGAGTTAAATGTTTTATTTTACGGCTAAAAAACAATAACATTCAATTAGGCGCAGGTATAACGTTCAAGAACACAGTAGGCCAGGCGAAGAATTTGGCACCGAAAATGTATTCTTCATATTTTTGTCAAAACTATCCTGTAGCTTACTTGTTATATTGACTCCCGAATCAGTTTGAAAGAGTTATCCATTGATATATATATATATAAACGCCTCTCATATATATATCTATGGAGTTATCTCTCTCCCATACAGTTACAGTTAGTCGAAAAGTAACACAGTCTTGTTCTAGGAAGTACGAGCATCACCCAAACGCATACTGATGGGCACGGCAGTTCTTTTAGATGAGCTGAATCGCTTGAATGAGTTCACTAAAAAGATTCGTTCACCGAATCACCGAATCATTCAGCGCTTGACGTGAGGAGCCTGCGACTCCGACCTCCTGAACGGATACACAGCTGAACGGTTCAGGATTCAGTTTGATTCATAGCTTCTGGGACCAGGAGACGAGAGTGTTTGGCCGTGTTGCTTTGGCAAACAGGTTTGTAAAAATGAAGTTGTTTAAAAGTCATGATGTTTCAAGTGTACTATCCTATGACATGCTATTTATCTGGTCTGCTCAGTAACTGGGCTCAGTGAGTGATTCGTTCACTGAAGGTTTAGAAGAATTCACACTGAACATGCACTGTTCCCCCGCAAACCGCTGCAATGATAGGATGCTGTGGGTTTAATGCACTACTTGTTACATGCTGTGTCCTATTGTATGCAAGTTGTTGGAGTAGCAATTTAGCGTTAAAAAAAAGTTAGTTTTGTCCAACAAAAGTTTTTCCAGAGAGTGTAGTTCAATGCATGATTCGGTCACCGAGTGATTCAGGCGTCAGTGCATGCGGTCCCTCATTTGCTTGCTGCTTGTCTGGCAATGCTGCGCTGCTGTTTGCTCAACTGAAGTGAGAACGAACAAATCACTTGAGGAAGTGATTCGGTTCAGTGCGGTCACTTAAAAGATTTGGTTTAATTGAACGAATTGTTCGCGAACGACACAACACTGCAAACGCAACACAGTAATGTGTCTCTATCTCAGGGTTCTGTCTTGTTCTTGGTTGTGACAAGAAAAAAAAATTGAATTAAATTGACAAAAAATTAAAACAAGCACGAAAACTCTTGTGAGCTAATGGAAAATAATAAGCTTAAATTCTACTTGCCATAAAGGGCGACTGTAACAGTTAGCCCGCTGATTTTATATTTAGCATATGCTCATACACATATTAATAGCACCTCTGAAACGTTTCTGAACTAAAGTATTCGGATCCAGATATACGGATCCGTATTTGTTTTCCTTTATGACACTTTCAACTCAGTTTATGAAGCTGCAACTTCCCCTTTACGGCACAAAATGCGCATCAGTAGTAGAAGTGATTTGTTTCATGTTGGGCAAAACAGAGAAAACAAGATCTTGATTCATTCTGACACGGACCGCCTTCACACCAAAGCTGCGTCATGAGCAGCTATCTTATCTTGCTTTGCTCTTTATAGTCTTCTTACCTCTCGGTCCAGGACGGAACTTTTGTCCATTGCTTGCTTTCTTCCAAGACTTTGACATGTCCAGTGTAAGGTTGTTCCTTTCTCTTCTGTTGTTTAAAACTGTTTTTGCGTTGTCAGGTGAGTAACCAAAATAGCCTACTTACGGCACTATATTGATTAATATAGTATATTTTATAATGGGATAACTTCAAATGCGTAATTACGCAACGCCTTTATCCAGGACGCTTCTGGCATATAACGGATCAGCATTGGGACCCAACATACGAACTGACAGATAATCCCAATCTTGTGTGCGCATCAAGCGGCAACCAACCAGCAGCCAATGCTGGAGTATTTGGAGACTACGCTTGTGACTCGCCATGGCACCTTATCAGCTCGTCGGTGTACGCCATGAAGGATATCCTGCCGGACCCAGATTTCATCGTATGGACAGGGTATGCACCATTGCACCAAGATGACTGAAGTATTTTCCATGGATCCTGCTGTGTAGGGTCTAGCGTGGAAAGTCTCACGATTGTGCTGCTATTTTGACTGCAAGTGATGCCCTTGTAAATCATGATACCAAATTACTTGTTGGACTTTCTCCATCTTTAAACTTTTGTTTTGTGCGTCAGAGATGATACACCACACATACCCAATGAGGATTTGGGAGAAGAAGCGGTGCTTGGCATCATCAGGAACCTCACTCAACTCTTAAAGCAGGTGTTTCCAAGTAAGTGAGACATTAATGTGTAGCCTACATGAAGGCACAGACATCTAAGATCAACATTCACTGTGGTTTTGTCTGACAAATATCGATGATAATGCTTAAATTTCCGCTGTCTTTAGACACTAAAGTGTACTCTGCCTTGGGTAACCATGACTACCACCCTAAGAGCCAACTTCCTGCTGCTCCAAACTTCATGTACGACCAAATAGCAGGCATGTGGGAGGACTGGCTGGATCCAGAGTCCCAGCAGACTTTTAAAAAAGGTTGATAGAGCCACTTGTGTGACTCCAAAATTTGTCCTTTTGATGTCTACTTTTTTATTTACTGCTTATTTAACGCATTAACTGTTGTTTTTACCTCCCAAAGGTGGATACTACACAGAAAAGCTTTTGAATCGAACAGGTTTCAGGATGCTGGTCCTCAACACTAATCTCTACTATGACCAGAACAAGTTGACTACAAACATGGATGATCCAGCAGGGCAGTTTAGCTGGGCAGACCAAGTCCTTACAGATGCTGCCAAAAATAAAGAGAAGGTGAAACATCTTGTCTATCAATGGCTGTCTCACATCTAGGACTACAGTAAACCTTTCCTGAATCGTGACAATCTGATTCCTTTCTTTAATGCTCGTTGCAGGTGTAAACAAGGAAAAGCAATTACTGTATGAGGAATAAAGTCATGGAAACATTTTGACATAATCATGAACAGTAATCTGTTTACTAAATTTACATGTATTTCTCTACCAGGTGTACATCATTGGCCATGTTCCCCCAGGTTTCTTTGAGAAGAAGAGGAATAAGCCCTGGTTCACACCCCAATTCAACAAGCGATATGTGGATCTAATCCAGAAGCATCATTCAGTCATATTTGGACAGTTCTTCGGCCATCATCATACTGATAGTTTCAGGATGTTTTACAACTCTGGGGGTATGATTTAACTTTCAAAATCTATGTCATGATTATTTTACATCACTAGTGGATGTGTTTTTACCTTTTCCTCTTGGACCAACGACTGGTTTCTCTGGTCCAGATAACGCTTTTGGCATATGAGGGAGTAACCCTTCTTTTTCTGTAGGCTCCCCAGTCAGTACAATGTTCCTCAGCCCTGGTGTCACACCCTGGAAAACAACACTTCCTGGTGTCGTGGATGGAGCCAACAACCCTGGTATTCGTGTCTTTGAATATGACACCCAAACTCTCCTGGTCAAAGTGAGTGAAGACTAATATCTGGAACCATTCTCTAGATATGCTTTGAGGAAGAGCCTAACCCTTTCACTGGTTTGGTTCTTCTTTTGAATACTCTTAGGATGTAGTGACCTATTACCTGAACCTGACCTACGCCAATGCAGCCCAAGGACGCTGGGAGAAGGAGTACCGCTTCACAGAGAGCTTCAGAGTACCAGACGCCTCCCCTTCCTCAATGCATCAGGCTCTGGAGTTAATTGCCAAAGACCCCTGCTACCTACAGAAGTATTATGAGTTTAACTCTGTTAGCTATGACCTGACAGAGTGTGACACTGACTGCCGTGCTGACCACGTATGTGCAGCCAGAGAGGTAGATTTTGAAAGGTATGAACACTGTGTGGAAAAAGAAGGGGTAGCTGCTATCTATGGTGGATTACTACCGCTCCTCTCAGTTATGATAAACCTAATCTTAGCCAATCGGTGATGATCATGGAATTCACAGTCAAGAATATTATGCAAACATTATATAATTTAAGTTTTTGTCTTTTCTAAATGGTTATATTTTAATTACAAGTTAGGCGAGTCATTGATTTGATGTACTCAAGTGCAAAAGACAACCTTTAGCCTGAGTGATCCTTAGTCTGTCCTCTTCACCTTGGTTTATTGCTGTTTATATGACTGAATATTTCATTTCCAGTAGGTCCAAAAACTCCCTTTATCTCACTCTGATGTTCAGGATCCTACTCAGACAAATTCCTTCTTGTTTACCGGATCTGCTTAATAAAATCAGAGCTTACAACAGCATTCATTTATCAGTCTATTAGCATTATTACAGCAGTAAACCTGTTGTTAAACAACCATTACACCAGCTCCTATCTACGTATATAATTTGGAACAGATGCAACATGTTTATAGATATATCAGATAAAGTTGGATAATCAGGGTTCTGTATCACTTTTAGTAATTCTGTAAAACAATTTTACGAGTTTAAAGTTACCGTCTGTGACGTCAGCCAATAAAATAATGCTCATTGAACTTTGAGCCTGCTGTAAGGACATGTTTATTGAGCACGTTTTTAAGCAGTGAATTTGATGAAGAAGCAGCCCAGCAGCGCAAGTAAATTAATATGTTGGGATGGGGCGATGGTGTTCAGCTGTGATGTGATTTCACATGATCAGGACCTGTTTAACTGAAGTGAAAGGCTGCATGGCTGTGTCCAGAGCTTTGGAGTAGTCTTCAAGGCCCACCTCAGTGCAGGCAGGCGCCTCCAGCTTTCCCTGCTGGATGAGGTTGCACAGTTCGTCCAGCATGGCTCGAAATGCTCTTCCATCTGAGACAAAACAAAGTTAAAAAAATACGTTATTAAACCTATAATATTAGTCATATTTGGGTATTTTGACCTGTAAAATATGAAGCTTCAGCGGCTCACCTTTGGAGTGATTTCTCTTCCACTGTGTGACCCAAAACCCCCGAACTTTTACATCTTTAAAGATGAGGGCACTCTGGAGAAAACAAGTTTAGGATATTTTGTTTGCAGAAAACTTTTTGTTTTGAAATGATCAAGTAAGATTAAAATAAGATAAAGTAAGATATAGTGATAAAGAATAGTGATAAAGTAAGAAAGTAGGAGATTTAGTCTTACCACAGGAACAGTGACAGGTTGTTTTGCCATCCCTCCATACGTCACCATAGATCCACCTAATCTTTAATTTATAAGACAGTACGGTGTTATAATATGATATGGTGCTGATCTGATGATTACATATTTCAGTTTCAGATCATGACTTGTGACATGATTTGATGTTCTCACTGTAGATGACGGAGCAGCTCTGTGGCACTTTTTCCTCCGACTCCATTCAGAGCCAGTTTAGGCCTTGGGCAGCTCTGTATGAGAGACAATAAAAACACAATGATGCCATGACTGTGTTTATTAATAAATAGCCTCAGCTACATTATCAGATCTATTAACCTGTCTTCAAACACACAGACCTTGAACAGCTCCTTCATCTCAGGCCGCCTTAGTGCCTCCTCTTTGATCACATGAGTTGCGCCGATGGCCTTCAGCCTATCACTGAGCTGTGCGAACTCTGGCCTTTGGAAAACGAGAGACACAATGAACAAGTTCATAACAGCCATAAATTCTTGCACACACGAAAACTCGGCTACTCTTGGACAACATTACTCACTATCACTAAGTACAGTAGCTCTTAAGAACACGCTGATGCCCTGAGCCAGTAAAAAGACTTCATATAAGAAACACAACTAAATTTAACCAACGATTCAAGCACAATTTGTCAAACAAAAGTCGAGAAACATCATCATTGAACAGTTTATCTGATATGACTGAGTTCACCTGTCCCTGACAACGTTGATAGTGTTTATTCCCTTTGCAGCAGCAATCTGTATAACAGCCTGTCCAACTCCACTGTTGGCTGCATTCTGGATCACAGTATCACCTGCAATGACAACAGAATGAAGGAAACGGTCACAGCTTGCACAAATTGCTACAGATCAAATCGTGTTTTTGGAGATTTGGACAAAGGTAGTGTCTTTGAGTTCAGTGAGTAGTGTGTTATACTTGTTCAACAAACTGTACTCAAATTTAAAAATTCTAGTCCTTTAAAGTTGATGGAAAAATATCACTCAAGTTGTGCAGAGGCTGTATATGTACAGTTTGAGTCCTCTGGGAGGATAAGCGCACTGTGACACTTATATATGCAGAAACAGGAAACGTATAAACAGCACTGAGAGCATGTGCAGGTGTTACTTGTTGAGTTGTCTGTTGACCATATATGGAAATGATGACAAAGATCCGAGAGGGCTGATAAAGTGAGGATAAAAGACTCTGAAACCCCCTCAGTCAAAGAACGCTGCTGTGTATCAACTCGGAGCATGAGCTGTGCTCCATTCTTGCAAGAATTAAAATAACTCTTAACCTGAATTCTTGTGTCTGGCTCTTTTCATAATGAAATAATTTTTCTATCATATCTTGGTCCTTCGAGCTGGATCTCAAGATATTCTGTCCTCCCTGGACAGGGGACTCAATACCGTGCAAAGGGATTCTGGGACTTTTGAGTGAAAGACCTCTGCCCTGCGCCTACAGAAGAGCAGTTTGGATAATTAAGAGGCTGGGAAGAATCTGTCTACTGAGGTGGGAGTGATGAAATCGCAAACAAAAAGACTAAGAAGGAGACATAAAAATCAGGTAAATCAAAGTGAGAGAAAGAGAGAGAGAGAATAGATGAAAATAAAGAATAAGCGTTACTGACTGAAGGTTCAAGTCCCACAGAGTAAAAGTAAGGGGTTATAGTCCCATGGGAGAAGAGAGTCTGAAAAGACCAAGTAAACTAGTAGCCTGACAAGAAGACCTAAAACTTAATGAGCATGCATAAAGGTTCGAGTCCCTTTAATGTGTGTTTGAGTCCCACTGATAAAGTAAAATAAGTGACTTAAAAAGACAATAAAAATGTCAAAATGTAAATAATTTAAAAAACTATTAATATAAATAATATGTATACATATATAATGTGAGTTTAAAACTACGGTTGTCAAAACTGTCTCCAAAGAGAAAACAGAGGACTGAAACCTAACGGTGACAATGTAAATCCTCAGCTTGCAGAAACCAAAATTGTCGCAAATGAAGTGTTCCATGAGCATGAAACAAAATTAATGCATCAAAAGAATCAAGAAAATGTCATACATTTTAGAAAGTTGAGAGATAAGTATGAGTAAAGAGGAAAATAAATGCAGTTGTCCTCCTCCCTGCGCTGGTCTAACCAAGAGCACAACAACCAGAGCGTCCTCCCCTCCTCTCTGCCACCAACCGACATGTGCACCTCATCATACCTGCCACCACAGAACCAAAAAACAACTCACTGGAGCATGGGGAAGCTGATGGAGATGGTCAGGCCTTATAAAACACATTCCGGTATAGACATGGTTCTACAGTTGAACAGTTTCTAATGATGGAAATGCAAAACCCTAGAGCAAGATAAGCAGACCAGCCTTAGTGTTTATACCTTGGCACCCTCTACAGGATGGAGGATGTTTACAAGATTTGCAGGCAGTAAATATAGAGCAGTCATGCCTAGAGCACCAGTGGTTCCAGATCCTCCAGTTTTAGTAAATGATTTAATACCTGAAAGCAGATATTTCTCTGTTATTGAGTTAGCAAATGCATTTTTTTCTATCCCAGTAGATAAGAATTCTCAACTTTGGTTCGGGAGGGAAAATGATCTAGCTATACAGGACTTCCACAGGGGTGTTATAAAAGTCCAACTATTTTTTCTCAAGCTATGCCAGCAGATTTGTCTAAATTGACACCACGGCAAAATAGTCAGATATTGCTCTATGCTGATGATATCTTGTTATGTTCAGAGACAATAGAGAAATGCCACGGCAGACACTTAAGCTCTGTTATCATTCCTCGCTGAACTAGTTCATAAAAGCAGTAAAAGCAAGCAACAACTCTGGAAAACAAAAGTTAAGCACACTCAACGCTCAAGGTACTAAATAATGTATCAGACATTTTCCTGCAAATCATCTACTCTTATACCAGCACCAATAGATGGTGAGCCACTCAATTGTTTACCTGAAAATCGAATATATTACAGAGAAAGTACCTTAAAGATACACCCATGCAAAAGCATATTTGACTTCAATTGTAGATGGATCCTGCGAAAAGGATCCAGATGGTACTGATGCTACAGGATATACAGCAGTTACATAAAACTCAGTGTTTAAGGCAGAGTTGTTACTGCCACACCTATCAGCACAGGCTGCAGAAGTGTAGACAAGATAAGATAGTGAATATCTACACAGACAGCAATTATGCATTTTCATGTATGTGTTGCACAGCAGCAGAAAAATAGAGGCATGGTCACATCTACAGGCAAAGCTATCACACACTGAGACTGTCTCTTACTGCTCTTGGATGCAGTCCAACTTCCACTAAAAATAGCTGTTCTCAAGTCTGCAGCACACACACAACAGGACCCAATTTCGATGGGGAATTGCACAGCAGACAAGGAAGCTAAGAAAGCTGCACAGTTTCCCTTAGCTGACACCGACACTACAGGAAGTTACACATCTAGATAGTGACATTTTAAGAGAGATGCAGAACCATGCATCTTAGAAAGTGAAATGTGGGGAAAGAAAGGGGGGGAATCCAAACTCAGACCAAAAAAAAAACAATCTTACCAAAAGGTTTATATCAATACATTGCTCAAACTGATAATCCAGACCACTTATTAACTCATGAGGATGACAGCGGCGAACTACTGTCACCTATGTTCATCCAAGCTGAGCTGAAAAAAAGTTTTGTGATACTGAGAACTGAGTTTAAACAGGAGGAAAATGATGAAAATATATGACCCAAAAACTGTAAAATGTAAGGGAATGTGGGTTCACTGGGAGGATGAAAAGGAAAAGTATAACCAGCATCAGGAACATCCATGGAAATGATGACACAGATCCAGGAAGGCTGATGAAGCGAGGATAAAAGACTCTGAAGCCCCACAATTGAAGAACACTTCTGTGTATCCATCTTGCAAGTATTAAAATAACTCTGAACCTGAATTCTTGTATCTGTCTTCTGTAATCATGAAAGAGGTTTACTATCAAAAATATAAACCGTAATTCTGAACTTCATTCTGCAATCCAAAGATATCAGTGAAAGAAAATATGACCCTGTGTATGCAGAATTTACCTGTCTTCAGATCTTCAAAGTCAGACAGCATCCTAAATGCAGTGCAGGGATTCACTCCCAGTGTAGCAGCAGACAGCAGGGGAATGTTATTGGGGAGCGAGATGATGTCGTCTTCAGCTAGCACCGCCTCTTTCCTCCATGTTCCTGCTCTCACACAAGGCGCAAACGTTAGGTGTCATTACGAGAGCACAATAGTTACACTCTAGACTCAATCTTGAAATACACAAGCTGCATTTTACCAAGACCAGCATCTTTTGGTATAACCCAGTCTCCTGTTTTGAGGGATTTCACTTGGCTGCCCACCTCTAACACCTGTGCCACTCCCTCATTACCCCCAACAGCTGGAAGGTCAGGCAGGATAGCATAAGTACCTGAAAAACAAGTTTTTTTTCTGTTGAATGATGTTCATTATGTCTTCAGTTTCTTAGAAATTGTTAGAAATTGTATCTTAGACATGTAATCTTTTTTCACATGCCTTGACATGTTTTGGCGGAAACTTCCACCTTCCTCAGAAGTGTTACTTGTCATACTGTCAAAAAAATTGTCACACCGACCAAGTGACACTTCTGAGGAAGGAGGAAGTTTCCACCATGTGAAAAAAGATTACATGTCTGAGAGAAAGGGGGAAAAAAATATATTTTTCTTTTACATTTCTCAAATACTGTGCCACATTTTTGTTTGCAGGAGGTGAACAACAAACCTTGAATCATGTTGATATCAGATGGGTTTATCGGAGCTGCCAGAATCTTAACCAGGACATCCTTTGTACCTAAAGGAGGCAGATCTATGTCCTCCAACCTGGCAATCATAGAATACAGTTTATCAGTGTATCTAGATATTTCTAACATCTGTTTTTGCACCATGGTGTCGATGGTTTGGTGACATAATTTGAATTTGATTTTACTCTTGAGTGGAAGAAATATTTCAAAACGCTACTATTATATATTATACTACTTCTCTCATTGTTTGATATTTTAATTCTTACTGCCTTAAATAATGGTGCTAGAGACAGGTGACTGGCTCCCATAGTCCCATTAGGTGGTCAAATATTGCTCACTGCCTCAGACATGGTAAGTGACAAAGAACAACACAAAAAACATCAGGTAAAAAAAAATGTTATTTAAAGTAATCTGATAAAGTCGTGTCCATCAAGAAAATACCTTTTTTTATATGGGATTACTAAAATTGTGCTGTTTTGTATTAACTTCTCAGAAATTGTTGAGTTTTAACAGTTTTAACCCTAGAACACCATCGTCGGGTGATTTCACCTGACCAAACATGTTTACCTGATTTTTATTATGTTGTGTTTGTCTGAGTATCATGGGTCCCTGGGTAGCTTCAGCATTGCCTTTGACATCTTTGAAGGCATATTTGTTTCCCTTATCCAAAACCTTTTTTTCACCCGACAATAGTGATAGAGGTTAAGTAGGTTTGGGTGGATTTCATAGCTGCATGTAGGCGAATAAGGTCAGTAAGAGTGGTCCTGGAATTTGCATGCTATCTTTATTTAGCGCAGTGGTTATGAATAAGTATCACAAAGTAGTGATTTTCAAGGGAATTCATATGGTGATAGGAATATTTTAGTCAGCTGGTCATTTTTACTCACTCATAATATGCCATATTTTGGTTTTCTCTCCTGCAGCTGGTATTGTGCCAAGGACCCTGAGTCTTCACCAGAGAAGACTCACATGCCCCAGGAATGGGTGGAAAAGAGACTAAGTTTACAGTTTCTCTCTCTCTCTCTCTCTCTCTATATATATATATATATATATATATATATATTATTTTGTTGCATTTTTATATGGTCCCCTCATGGCTCTTGGGTATATTATTTCGGGTAAAATTCACTCGGCGATAGTGATAGTGTTAGCCTACTAGTTTTATCGTCAATAGCATCTGGCGACTTCAACTTTGGAACCGTTACCTCAGATGAGCTTTACTGTAAATTTTCGATTAAATCTTTATTTTGTTTAGATTCACGACCGTATATGACTGTTCAACACTTTTAAGTAGCTTTTTGCTTTGAGTTTATTGTCTCATTGAAGCGTTAAGGCGGAAACTGACCTAACCGCTGTTTTCCATTTTAAATTAACCGTTACCATCGTCGTCCTCCGACCTGAAGGGGGCAGAGCCGAGCTCCTTACACCCCGGCACACCGAAACAGAGCGAGAAAGAAACTACACTTGTGCTCTTTTGCTTGGTTACAGCAACACGAAGGTGAGCGTTATGCATTTTGGAAGAGTTTTAAACACTACATTTTGGTTTAGCTGGATCAAATATTTGAGAATAAAGATTAAAGGGCCACTCACTGCCGCACCACTGCACTAGACTGTCGCTATGGATTCCTAAGGGTGCTAAATTCAGGTTAGCTCCTAGCTATCAAACTACGAAAACACGATATATGTCTTTACATTAAGACGGAAGTTCTTACTGAATGACTTGCGAAGGGTCTCCGTGTTTTCTGTAAAGAAGAGCCTTGCATGTTTGTGTTGAGAGTCCAACTGTCTGGTTGGTATTACCCCTGAGCCTTGAACATTTCAGCAGAGAAACGACGTAACTCCTTCTGCAGAATGTCCTGTTTCTTGAACAGACTGTTTGAAGTGTCAGCCACATTTCCACCCAGTATTCACTTTGAAATGACAAACACAATAAATCTGGTCGGCTATATTTTGAATTTGAGTGAAGGTTCAGCTTGTATTCCCTTTACTGTGCAGCCATATTGGATTGTAGGCACGGTGTTGTCATTGAAAGTACAGAGAACAGCGCCCCCCTGTGGATTAAAACAGAAGGGCGCTTCTGTGAGTGAGATAAGATGAGTCATTTTTCATATTTCAGATCACTACATCAAGGCAATCATATTTTTGTTTCTAACTAGTGTATCTGCATATATTTCAAGATGTTGTACATCCCTGCAAACCAACAGAATGAGTGTAAACATAACTGTCTTGATAATATAGCTTGTTAACGTACCCCTTGTATGGGGTAAGTTGACCATAGGAGCGGGGAAAGTTAAGCCGTATCCCTACTACTCCCTCACTCTCCACCCCAGTCCTCCCTCACCTTCTCTTTCCCTAAATCACAGGTGTGAAACTCAAGGCTCGGGGGCCAAATCTGGCCCGTGCAACAATTATATCTGGCCCACAAGATCATATCATATTTGTATTATTATTGGCCCACCAGTATGAAGTCTGCAGATTTCCTCCAGTATAATAATGTAAACTTTAGCACAATTATTTAAAATGTCCTTAATAAACCATGAAAATCTGGGAATTTAAAGAGTAAGGAAGATTTGATAAATAGTGAAGAATGTGGGGGAAAAAATATTTGGTGTTGTATTTCATGTTTTCAATTTTGCATTTCAAGATTACAAGTCAAATATGATTGGATTTTTTACCTAATGCTTTGATTTTGTTCAACTCAGTATTTAGACTTGCGTCATGTTTATACTTTAGAGTCCAATTTAAAATCTCCTCATGTATTTGCTCTTTAAAAGCATTTTTTCTGTTTTTAATATCATGCCCTGATCTTTTGAACTAATAAATAAAAATAGAATTTAAAAAAAATCCATCTCAGATTGCCTTTAAACTTATCTCTTTATCTTTTTTGAATTTCCAAATGATTTATCATTGCTGTTTTTGTTACATATTTTTTTAAAAGGAGGTTGACAGTTTGGGTGAAATGTTGACCCTGTTTGGCCCTCAGGTGAGACCTAAATCCAGATTATGGCCCTTGCTGTGGTTAAGTTTGACACCCCTGCCCTAAATAACAGTCACTTCTTCACATTCAACCGATTTTTATCTATTATACACTATTCAACTGGTACAATATACATGTTTTAATTATTATTGCATATAACTGCTAAAAAGCTGTCTTGTAAAAAAAAACATTTTAACATGAGAATGTCTTTAAGTGATTCAGAACATTCACAGCTGTATTTTTAAAAAGAGAAAGTAAAACATTTCAACAATCTGAACTAAAACTCTGATCCTTTCATCAGACTCCTTTACTTTCTCACTTGAGCCTCTAACTTAACTTACCCCAGAACTACAGATTATGACTAAATTAGTCCTCTAATCTAAAATGGTGGACTTTTGACCTCATGTTGTAGCTCATAGATACCACAATTGATGTATAAAACATACTTACAATGATCTTTTTTGGGTTGAGCACAATTCTAATAAAACTTATGACAGATCCCTTCACCCATGTGCTTCAAACCTTCACCGACTCCATGAATTGATGCCCATCTCCTAAATATTTGGTCACATGATCAATTTCTTTTACCATTTTCAAGCAACAGGGGGTGGCTCACCTTACCCTTTGGCTCAACTTACCCCACTTTCCCCCATAGCCCTTTCTGGACAAAAAGCTTCCTATTTCACTACTTTCCAGTCTAACTGAATGACATTTATGCATTGTTTATTAAATTTTTACTTTAGATCATGTAGTACAGGTCACACACTCATGTTGAATTGCAACTGAATTTTCAGCTGTTATATTAAATACCTGTTTCAGTGGAAAAAAAAGGCAATTAGACACATTATTATTGAAATATTTACTAAGAAATGGAGCAGATCTTTACATATAGAAACATAATCACAGTAATACTTTGAAAAGCCTACATGCTGCTCATCATTGATAAACTAGCCAATTAAATCAAGATAGGATACATCAAGAAAGTTGTAGTTTATGGCAGTAAACATTGATACATTCATCAGTAATAAATGCACATTCTTTTCCAAGTATGTAGCCATTTATCTTGAGGGATACAGCACCACAAGACAAAGGCTGATGGTCACAAACAAGAAGTACCATATAAAGCACACATGAATCAAACTGTGATGCAGAATTCATTGATGTGCTTCCTATGTTACCCTGAGCACTTACTATTACGCCCTTGGATTTTCAAGGAATATCTAACCCATCTAGCACCCAACAAGCATATCACAATAACACATTACTGAGGGGTTGATGAGGGTTGTTGCGATCAGAATGTCTTTCATGGACTTAAGTTTCCAAATCACACTTTGAAAACATGAATTTCAGCAGAATTCTGCAAAATTACAACACTGTCATTTGACCTTTATCTAAAGAGCAGGTATAAACGTCCAAATGAGAATTGAATAAATGAAAAGATGATTTCTGGTTAGTTTGTAAGAAAGTTTTATAACCTAAATCGCTCTTTGTTTGAATGACAAAGTCAGAGAATCACTAGAACTGTAATGAATTGAGGTAGATTTAACATAAAATCCCATAGGTGTAGTGTTCTATCTAACCAGGGCATTGCAATCTTTACATTGCTTCTGCAACCTTCAAACCTGAAACACCACCTAAAAGCACGACATTCATCAATATGCGAGTATGAAATCATCCATGACACATTCTTTTTGTCACAAGCATTGATAGTCTGAAACACCAAGTATCAGCCATGTGTTGAGAGGAGACAACCCCGGATTATACTACTAGCCCCAGTCCCTTTTAATAATATTCTACTACATCCCCATCTACAACAATTAAAGAGGAAAAGATACAATTTTAGTGGAACATTCTCTTCATATCATATATCATGGCGAGTTTTGTAAAAGAAAAGAAAAGAAAATATCAAGATCACCACACTGTGTGCATGGAAAGAAAACGTGTAAGAATCAAGTAGCTTATGAATCTCAAACTTAGCTGTTTACAATATTTGAATCTATTTTCTTTTTTGGCAATTATTTATGCTTTAGATAAGCATTCAATCCCTGCTTCTTCTTCGACTCCTTCTATTCAATCTGAAGTATTCCCTGAGTTTTCAGATTGAAAATTCCTGAGATGAGCCTTAGAGTGAAGTTTTTTTTTTCTCTTACCAGCAAAACAACTGTATGATGCATATGAAAAAGTAAAAAAATAATAATATACAATATGGAACATATATTCAAAAGAGAGAAAACTGAATATAAAAAAGTTAATGCATCGTACACATGATTAGTGCAGAGTAACATTGCATTGGTTTTGGCATAGATAGAAATAACAATGATACTCTCCTCTGAGAGATTAAAAAACAAAGATAAACAAACTCAGAAGTCAAAGAAAATTAAAAACTCACAGTTTCTGACAGTCCTCATCAACACTACACTATGCACTTACACTATATGTATTGTTCTTGTTTTTTGCTATGTTACTGTTACAGTGTAATTATACTGCATTTAACTAGGTTGAGGACAATGATAGTGATTTATCAAGCACGTGAACAAAAACAGACAAGTACCTTGATTTATCAAGAGTGTTACCAAAAATATTCTCAAAATGCAGAATTTGACGGTTTTCACATGTCTACTAGAACTTTCATTGCTGAGAGGCTTCAACATGAGCAGGAGGAGAAGCTGCAGCACACTTAGATGAAAATAAATACGTAACATGATTTCTTTTTTTAAAATAATTTTACATATATATTAATTGGGTGTTAAAAGTCTCGTCAGCTTCTCCTGTAAAACGGGAGTTAAAAGCTGATTAGCTAGCTAGTTCTACATGCTCCTCCGTGCAGGCGTGGTGTCCCTGAACTATTACCCTACTAAGGGTCATAAGGAGGTTATGTCTTAAATAACTACCTAGATATAGATCACACTGATTATTAACTAAAACACCAGCCTTCCCACTGGCAATATCATCGCTGATTCTGCCTCGTTTTATTCAAGTATGAAGAGGAGAGCTAGCTGGACCCTCAGTAACTCAGTCCAGTCAAGTATTGTACATGTAAGGTTGAGGTATATGAAGAATTTGGTATCACATTGTTTGGAATTGTATCAGGTAAAAGTTGAGATCTTTGTCAAGCAGCAGTATTTCACACAGCAGCCAATAAAACACAGAAAAATTGTCGGAGAATTTAAAGGCAAAGTTATTTGTTGTGCTGCACCCTTGAGGTGAGACTCAGCCCGGTATCCTCAGACAATTTTCTTGTTGTGAGTTAGTCAGCAAACTCTCAGTTTGTGTGCGAGTATGATTTTGTTTGGCTGAACATCATGGGCCAAAAATGCCATTAACTGTCATCACTAATCACATAATAACAATATGCTGCCAGTCTGTGTCAAACTGGAAGCCACTAGACTTTCATTCCAGACATCTAACCTATCATTGCAGATATAACCACTAGTATAAGGTTCGAAACATTAAACTTTAGCAACAGGATGGTTTACAAAACATGCCAAGCAAAAGTTTGTTCCATAATGGAAAAATGGTTGTGACTGAATTGACCTGAATCAGGTCAGCTGCATCTATCCGAATATAGGAGCACAGCTTTTTGGCACACAACAACTGTAATCAAGTTTGGTCCAGTGATAACACAATACACCACATGCTGGACAGCACCAGATCACTGATGCCGTCATGCTTGGTGTGGTCAGAGGTCCAAAAAGTCTGAACCACTGACCACAGCAACTGCTCAAAGGCAATGCTGTGTCAATACTGTAGTGCAAATACAATATTCACTCCCATTTTGATCTCAATTTTCAAAACTGTATTTAGAGAATATCAGGTTCATCATCAGCATTAAGAATGATGGTTTCAATAGCAGAGCAAACACGCACCGATGAGGTAGACAGCACCTTTAGATAGCCAGCAAAATACTGGACAAAAGGTAATGAAACTATAGAAAAGAAATTACTATCCAAAACTGAAAACCACTTCTGCTCTGACATTCATGTGGCTCCAAGATTCCTGGATGGTCAACTGCCATATTAGCAGATGCCAATGCATAGCCTGCAGCTATACCCTAAAACCCTTCCCATGTGTTTATGAACCCTCCCAACCCCCATACGATATACAATCTAACATTCATGACAGAGGTACGAATTGCTACTCTCTGCCTTGTCGGAAAGTGAGGTAAACAGTCTGTTAGGAGACTATATGGTAAGGCAGCAAAAGTTTGGCTCTATTCTTAGCAAACTGAGTATTCTGCAAAAACAGAAGAGGTATAATGCCCATGGAGAGAGGCATGGCAGCACGTGAAATTAAAGATATAAAAAATTCTACAGAAACTCATCAAGGTAATTGGTTGTATGGCAATTCTTACTACAATCTCAATCCTCTCACAGGAACAGCAGTGATTCAAACGTTAGCGAAAGAGTCCTGAGTGCAATAATACAGCAGTATTCCTGAGTGTATCACCAAATGCAAAACAAACAAAAAAAAACCTTCAGCAACATTCTTCATCAGCAATTTTTTTCAACCTGAGGTAGTTCCAAAAGCAGCTTCAACAGGTAGATGGAGACCATGTGTCCCATCTTTCCCATCAAAGTAGTTTGATTGGCCTCTGTGCTTCCCCGGCGTCAATAAAGCCTAACCTCTCTTTAATCGGAGGTTTCAGGGGCCGATGGCATGGGGCTGTGCTCCTCCTCTTCTTCTTTTGAGGGGGATGGTTTTCCCTGAGAACCCGATGAGGACTGTTGTGCTTTAAGTGGACAGTTGGCAACCATGTGATCTATACTCTGGCAGAAATGGCACTTCTTGGGCTGAGGTGGTAGCTTGCACTCTTTGGCATGGTGGTCCAGGCCTCCACAGTTGTAACATCTAAAAGAGAAGATTACAATCAATCTTTGCGAGCTGTTTTTGTTTTGTTCACTGGCTAATTGGTACTTTATTTTGACTACTGTATATAGCCAAGCATGTGAAAACAGGACACTTTTTTCAGGACACCTTCTTTTAGTCTCTTATAGTTTTGAGAGAGCGGGACTACAAATAGTTAGATGATTGTCAATAATGTTGGTATCCTATTCAGTCAGATTCAGATTCCTTCAAGGAATACTCAAAAATGTGGAGTTTTAATTTTATATATGATATTAAAAAATTTTCAAAAACCGAGGTCCTCTTTTGCCCTGGTAGAAAGAAACAAAGATCTTGCAAATGTCTTGAAAAACCCTGATGGTAGAAAATTTGAAAGCTTGATTTGCCTCTAACTTGTTAACCTGGCATTTAGAGAAAATTGTCTAATTCAGGTGATAATGCTGAAAAAACACAATCATCTCTGCCCGTCATTCTGTACCTTTCATGAACAGCCAAAGGTCATACCAGAAACCAAAGCTTTTCCACCTTTTGACCACTAGATGGCAACAATTTTACAGGAGTACCTTGAGTTTACCTTTGGTCATCAATTTTCAAGGGCATTCCAGGTCACACCACATAGCTTCTTGACACACCACGTTTAAACATCTCTATGCCTAAATTCACAACCATGACATCTGAAATCTCCTTACAAAATGAAAAAAAAAAAAAGATCCCTGAACAGATTTATCTCTGTGTGAACATAATTGCAAGAAATGAGCGTCATGCACACAGTCCATTGGACACGTTTTGACCACTATGGCACATATTATCCTGAAGTATCTGGAACAGCTTGCCCCATTTGTCAGTTTGTCACTGCCAAAGGCTTCCTGTTGGGCTCACTGCGCTCTATTGTATTAAAGTAAGACATCCATTTCTTCGGCATTGAACTTTAGAAATGAACACCATGCCAGGGTCAAGCAGGAGCCATCAGGGGTGCCTTCATCCACCTCTGTTGGACACACTCTATAGAATGGCCACGCGTGCAGGGGCGGAAGACAGATGGGTGGTGGGCGGTCGACGCTAGGCCTATACTGCCGCAGACCCCCTGCTACTATTCAGGCGGCAGATGAGGTTTGGTTTGGTGCGGCTGCCTGTAGGTCAGGGCGGCTTTGTAGCTGTGGCCGTTGGGGTGGTGTCAAGGTCTATACCGCCACATCGCAGCACCTCCCTACATCAGCATCCATCAGGACGTAAAAGGAGGGAAAGGGAAGTGGTTCCTTTGTCTAAAAAAGCTGCAGTAATGACCTCTGAACCCTGCCCCCTTGACCCACCTTACCCTCCCCCTCGACCCCCAATCTCATCTCAGCCCCCAACCCACTTGCATTTACTCATGCATTGTTGCCATGACAACAGTGACCTTTCACCCCCTTGCTCGAGCTCCTACATCTGTTATCAATTAAATGGACAGGAGCTTTTCCTCTACCTTCAACTCATATGTACACACACACATACTTACAAAGGTGGTCTATAAAAGGTAAACCTTAAAACAGCTGGTGGTGAAACATAAGCCTAAAACCATGAGCTGCTGTCCTAACTGTGCCTGACGATTGGTTATAAATATGATCAATCAATCTTACATGAACTAATGCAACGCTATCCAGCACCACTTAATGAAATACGCTAGAGGAAAGCTAGAGGGGAACGATACCTTATCAATGGATCAGTGTGGTTTACAGAGAGTTATTGAACCACAGTGGGCCTCCCAGGACTCTTTGAGGCGGTAATGATCTCTGTTCTCACACGGACTACTCTCTGGCTCTAATCACAAGTGACAGGAGGGTGAGGTTGATATACTTCGAACTCTTTCCTCATATTCAGAGTATAAGGCCAAAATCAAGCCCCCCTTAGGCTCTCCTTTCTTTTACTTAGAGGACCATTGTTGCCTTTGTATGGGACCCTTGAAACTCTGAGAACTTGGTATTTCTTTCAAAAATACATTTGCAGACTGGCAAAGTTTTAGGCCCCCCTCCACCTTTGTAGAATCTGTACTCATAGTTAGACGTCCTGTTTTGTATATTTTAATCAAACCCAAATAATGTCATTAAGACTACTTCTACATTTGTAGTCTCCAGTACTTTTCCTCAAGTTTTGTCGTAGAGTTTACACCAGAATAATGAGCAATCACTAGAGCAGCACTTGTTATTCAATCTGTGCTTTTCTTTGTTATGTTATGACTGTGCTTTTTGGAGTAACCATCTCATTTGTTGAAGAGGTTTAGGAAGAGAGGAAGACTCCGTGTGCATAAATTCACCAGGGGCCAGCAGATTTAAACAGTTATTGATCCAGGTCACACGTCAAGCCTGCTGGTGTGACCCTTGCTGGGTTCTGGAGGTGGGGGTTGGGGTTGAGGAAGAGGAAGGAAAATGGGGAGAAACTAAACCACCCTTGTAGATGTGATCCAAACTGAACAGAACAATGACTGTTTGTGGACTGCTGAGAAATTCAGCCCCTTAAGGTCTGTAATGTATAAATGCACAAACAAAGCTTATCTGTATTATTCTCACACTTTGCATTTATCAAGCCGTTATAGTGTCTCATCAAATTTGAAGCGACACAGTGGAAGCCTGAGTACTGAAAATGAAAGTACAAGAGCTGAGAAACACCCTCTTCACAGGGGAACCAACATTTTTTAACATCCCTCTGTTTCTTCCCAGGTCGTCCCTGCTTACCTATCCCCCTTTGATCGTCGCTTCTGGACCTTCTTGCCCTTGGGTCTCCGCTCACTTCCAACACAGTGGATGCCACCTGGTCCGGTCACTTGCTGGGACTCAAGTCCCTTTGAGGACTTCTTGAAGGTAAACTCGACTGCCTCGCCTTCCTTCAGGCTGCGAAAGCCCTCCATGTGCAACTTGCTCTGAAAGGTAGCGGAGAGAGAGGTTGCAGTATGAGAATAGCTGTTATAGGTGGTGGGTTACCCAACAAACCTGGTTTGCTTTAAAACACTCATCGGGAATAATCAAACAGCAGGCAGTGATGGGATTCAATGGTAGTGGTTTCTTTTAAAACCTGCCTCATTACACAACCAGTTCCAGAACCACTTATACTGAGTCAAACCCAAGTATACTTGACCCCAGAGAAAAACCACCAACCAGTCTCACAAACGGAGCCAGAGTGCACTTATCAGCTATCTGGTATTTTAAGGTGATCATAGTCTTTCACCTGAGAAACTAACAATCCCCACAAAGCCTACTGTTTCCACTCTACCAATCAGTTTGCACACATGCTACTCTTCCCTAAAGGCACCTTTGCCTTAATTCAGTCCTGCCTTTTTGCTGTGTTTGAGTGGTAAATCTGATGAGGATAACCTTCAACCCATCCCCCCCTCCGGAGGAACAGCATTCCACACTGCTGCCCCCGCCCCATCCCTCTTCCCACCCACATCACAAAGCTCCACTAACACACTGACCACCAGCACTAACCCTAAACTGCAGGATGCAGGGGTTAGTGCTTTGGTTGGGGGTGGGGTGAGAAGGCAGCGGTGCTTCTCTGGAAGGTCGGGGGTCAGGGGGACATTCCTTGGATAGTTGTTTGGCAGAAAGAAGTGGGAGATAAAAGTTGAGGGAAAGCACCAATGATTGATTTCTCCCTTTGATAACAGTGCTGGAGTATATGACATCTTTTTTGTGAAAGAAACATGGTGATTCAATTTGTTATGTGTGAGGAACAGAACAATCGGAGAGGCGTGTTGGCTCCATTTATCAACAAAGGAGTGACAATAATAGAACAATATAATTACGTTTGTGTATAGCTATATATTCTGTCGCTGTTTACATGGAGTGACCCCATAATGGTTCTGGATAACCTTCTCTCTCCCTGACATGCAAAAATAGGGATGAAGGAAGGGCAGGTGTGGCCTGGAGGTAGAGGAAAAACTCAACCCCGGAAATCCCTCTTTATAAATTCTTGGGGGAACTGAGATATCAACCTGTCACAACTACAAGATATAGGAAGAAGGATCCCAAATGAAGCAGCTTTATTTAGTCTCACATTAAGCCCTTTTTTAAATAAAGTCATATCATATCATTCATCCCTCAAAATTTTGTTTCAGTTGGGTTATCAGTTCACTGCTACAATCAGCTGCAAATGAGCAATCACAAAGGCACCATCTCATCTAATCTCGCAGTATTCAGTCACATCAATAGTCCGGTTTTCTGGCAGTACCACAGCGGAGCATCTGCTGGGAGATCCTGAACATATACAAAACATGACTGTGTAGCAACATAGTTAACAGAGCAGTAACCCATCAAGCGTCTCTTTGGCCTGGTGACCGTTAACCCATTTCCTCTCTCATGTGTGACCCCCCAACCCCCACCCCTATAACGGACCTTCATTGGTCGCATACCCTTCACTAGATTCCACACATCCACACAGGTATACAGATCAGGCTAAAGTCACGCTGAACTGTAAGTTATTATCAGATTCGACTGTAAATTTTCTCCAGAATGTGTCTGGAAGCTGTGAGAGGCAGAGAAAGACATCATAGCAGCGAGGGACAAAAGCAGGACTGCTGCTGAGACAAAGAGGGGCTCGGTCACGGCCGAGGGCTGCTTCATTCGGATGCATGGCTCTATTGTCCACCTGCACAAAGGCCAGTAGACCCTGAGAGTTAATTTTCCTTGACACGCGGCCACTAATTTTAGGGCTGAGGCCTCTTACGTTGCCATAACCTTCTTACATCCATCATTGACACGCGTGTGTCTAACTTTCCTTGTGACAGAGAGGGAAGTAAGTCATTAGTTACACATCTCTTGTAGATCGAATGAAAAGATTTGTCAGACTGATTTTCTGGCACAATTCTCTGTATGGCTCAAGAACACAAAGTTCATGATCACTAGGTTTGATCTCTCTAAGATTTGTTCTGGTGTAACAATTTATGTGACCGCAAACTCCTTCGATTTTTTATGAACTTTTGCAGCGACCTTAACATCAGAGTGGAGGTTTCTATCCCTCGCTGACTAGTTTTCTGTTCACAATATGATTAATTAGGGTACAGCTTGCAGTGTAGAATCGAACAATGTTTCAGTTGCAGGATGGTCATAACAAGAAGACAGACAGTTGAAAAGCAGAACCAAGAGAGAGAGTTATCTGTCTTAAACCAAGTTTCAGAGTTTCCCAAACTATAATTCTGATAAAAGGACGTCTTGTATGCATTTTCATACATTTTGAAAAAGGAAATGCAATTAAAACGAGATGGAGTGTGTTGTAACAGGGGAAATCTCCCTGAGAGGTCCTCTTTAAAACCACACACACATGCACACAGAGGGGGTAGAGCAGACAGCATAGAGCCTTTAATCACTTTATGACAGGAACCTTGAGGTGAATGAGCAGCTAGTGGGGACTCCTCTCATTCACATGCTAAGCCTTTATCTTATCAGACAGCAGTGGAGGCGCTCACTCACACGAGAAGCGGGAGGGAAATGCAAACCCCCGCCTCCCCACCTCACCGCTAGTTGTGTATGAAGAGGTGAATGGAGGTTTTGAGTGAAACCTGAATGAAGTCAGGTTTTCTTTTATCTCCTCCTGCTGAGAGAAATTAACAATACAACATGGGAAACTTGTTTGATCATTCGTGTATATTTATCCAACACTAGTACTCAAGACAGTCTTAGTCTTTATGCCAGATGATTAATTCATACAAAGCCAAGTGGAAAAAGAAAAAACGACGAAAGGTGAACAATTCAGTATCAGTAAGGTTAGTCTGTGACCCTAAACCATCTTAATCATTTGAGCTCTATCATTTTAGCCAACAAATTCAATGACAAATTGCAAAGTGCTTTTCCACTCATCATATCCAGCTCACAAACAAAAATATGGACTCTTAAGTAGTTCCTGGTGCAGGATCAATCATACCTTCTTACTTCTTATGCAGCTCACACAACACACACAATGATCTATACTCATTCAAAAGCATACTGATGCCAGCTTGTTGAATTGCTACTTCAATTCTCCATCATATATCAGTGCCCCCGAGAAAACCACGAGGGAGGCCCACTGCGCGAGACGCCTCTGGCTGCAACACGTGTTTCCCTGAAGGAGAAACACCCACCACACTGCAGCCAACACAGTCACATTAACTTATTATACCATGACAAACAGTTCAAATAGTCATAAACAATGACAATGCAGTGTAAGAGAAAAGTGTGTTTTATATATTAACTTAAAACGTCTTTTCTCATATCTGCCTTTGGTTGGTTTAGGGGGGGAAAAAGTCCTGAATTAATCAAGCTGTATTGGAAACAGGTGGTCTGACTTCATTCCTGCTGGTGAGAAATTTCACTTGATTTTAGGTTTTTTTTCCCACAATCTCCTCCTCGACAGTTTCACGGTTTGTAATAAACGCTTGTCTTACCTGATGGACAAAAACATCAACCGGTTCGTCCAGTGGCACTCCCTCCCGGCTGGTCATGGACAGGAACCCGAAGCCCATGCGGACGTTGAACCATTTACACACGCCAACCCCGTGGAAAGACTGCGAGTCCTCCTCGGTGCTCGGTCCCTCATCCTCCTCGGTCTTGCAAACTCCTAAAGAGAATAAAAACGCACATGTCAGAGAAATTTGGTTCACTTTTGGTGATGTTTAAGCCCGGTGTAGACTACAAACTTCTCTCTTTGCTTTCTCGCGTTGTTTCATCATCAATCAATATGAATCAATACTACTCCCGTGGCAACCTAAGAGCATTTTTGCCGTATTTTGATAGAAAACGTCGCTAAATAAGTGAAAGAAAGCTCAGAATACCCATCAAAGCGCAAAAACGTGGTTTTGGTAAAAGTTTGATATCAAATTTTAGAAAAGCGATTAACTCATCAAGCTGATAAATCACGTGTTTAGACAATGCATTACATGATCCAGCAGCAGGGTACAGCCATGCAAAGTCCTCCAAAAAGTAACTTTATTACCAAACCTGTGAGAAAGTCAAATAAATTGCAAATGATGTTGCTACTCAACCTGGGAATTCCTGGTTAGAAACGGAGCCCATGTCTTCACTTGTGCGTTGAGTCAAAATTAGCACCCAAGCTACAGTTTCCTTCTTTCTGTTTTTTGAAGCCCTCAAACTGGGTAATCCTCACAGATTGCCACTTTCATGCAAAATGCTGTGAAAAGCAGAAACTGCGCAGCGAGAGGGGAAAGCGGGAGAGGGAGGTAAACAAAAGGGGGCTGGCAACCTATTCCCCCTAAACAATAAGGGGAGGGGGGTGGGGGTCAGCAGGGAGAATTTTTCCTTAAGACCCCCCCACCTCTCCACCTCCCCTCCCTCTGTCTTAAAAAAAAAGTCTTAAAAACAATGCAAAGGACACCCAGCCCCTCCTGAAAGAACTTTAACCATTCCCAGAGATAAGTAAGAAGCATCCCAGCATACCTTCTGCCATGTTGGAGGGCCAGTTTCGTCCTGATGCTGCTGCAGCTGCTCTCTCTCTCTCTATGTGTGTGTGTGTGAGTGTGTGTGTGTGTGTGTCCTGCAGTGGTCAGCTCTGTTGGTCAACACACCAAATGACCATTTCTCATCTAACAAACCCCCCACACACACGCTCGGTCATGTCCACGTGACTTACAATTTTATTCCCTAAGGATAGATGTGAAAGTGACCAATCAGATCCACACGAAAATTATTATTTTCTTTTACACCCAGTTTCACATCATTCTGAATCATTTCATAGCATCATATTTTTCCTTTTGTGTGCAGTTTTGGGCCTATACTTATGAAGCCACAAAATGATTTCCTTATCTAAATCATTTTTTATGTTAAAATTGACGTTTCAGTCAGTTTCAACTCGAAAATAAGGTGCAATCAAATCGCAGTGAGAAAAAATAGACGTGTCCTTTTTGCATATATGTTAATCCACAGGAAACATGGAGGGGGAGGCGTTCAGTCGAGTCAAAAAGACACCGATTATGTGGTAAAAATGAAAGTACACTTGAACCAAACAAAAGCAGTGAGCAGTTTAGAAAAAAAAAAGATCAGATAGAAACCAAATGAGAGCCAGCATGAAAACAAGCCAAGCTGGTCAAACGGATTCATGGATCGATTGTGATTGATCACATCGCGTTAAGATGTTGACTCGTGTCCTTGTGGAGTGATAGATGGATGAAAGACAGAGGAAAGTGATATTTAACCAAGCTCAGAGAAAGAGTCTTAAACCGGGAAAAGTTCAGATTTTAACGAAATGATGAGCACATCACACACAGCATAGTATTAAAACACACTATAGGTTATTCCTGCTTAACATAAATCTGATAGGCATAATAAAATTTGATACAGTAATTAAAGGATTGGGTTAATTCGTTGACTTTAGCGAGAAATGTAAAAATAAATTTAAAGTTAATTATTATTATTCATACTGACGACCGGTTAACCTCTTACCACCTGTATGGGGAGAGTGGATTTGTTTTATAGTTTAAAATAAATGTGGAGAATAATTTTAACATATTCAGAAGGTTTTTGCTCATCAGTTGAATCCCAGGTCTTTTATTTCTAGAAGGCCTGATGATGAGGTTACCTGTCGATTTCATCACAACTACCACAACGACCCCTTGTGGACCCGCAAATCACGCCCACTCAGCCCTTCAAGACGACATAACAAACGGTGTTAATTTTAGGGGGGAAAAAAGAAAGAAAACAGAGAATAAAACACTTCAGAGCGCTTAAATGTTATATCCTGACTGTGGAAATGGAAAAAGAATCGAAAACTGTAAACACACTGGATTTTTATTTTCATTTGAAACAATAGCAGGACATCGATTACAGAGAAAAATATATGATAAAATTGAAAGAGTAAAGAAATTTCAGTTAATACAGAATTCCAGTTAGTAGAGGCTTTTAACACTTTTAACAAGATTTGCATACACAAAAATTGTCCAATGATTTTATTCCATAGTTTAGATTTTAACCTCCTCTTTTTGTCCTGATAACTCTTTGTGGCATAAATTTCATTTATACGAAATTTGGTCACGGTCTTGTGGTCAGCTCTAACGATTCATTTTTACCTATTTATAATAATAATAATATTATTATTATTATCATCATCATTATTATTATTGTTATTATTATTATTGATTTTATTACTTCTTATGTTCTGTGTGGCTAAAACATGTTCACAAATATTTTTAATGATACCTAAAAGGGCTTTGATCAAGTCTGAAAAAGAGAGAAAGGAAGAAAAAAAGGAGTAAAAAAGAGAAAAAGGGAAAATGACAGACAGTCAGAAAGAGAGAAAAAAAAGGGAAGAAAGAAGAAAAGAGGGGAAAAAATAAAGACAGTGATCTTTAAGAACTTTTAGATGTTTCATCCCAAACTGCAAAATTGAAGATAAAAACTTTGTCCTGAATAAGTTGAACTTCTGAAGCTGAAGGACCACCTTGAAACAGAAATTCATCATGTCAGTGTCCATTTACTTCAGGCAGCACCTTCACTGTCCCTAAAAACAGCAGCAGAAAGTGGTTTTCAGGTGTCTGACACTGTATTTATTTCAGACATGTTCAATAAAAAAAACAAATAATTTAAAGGATGAAAACAGCTTGTGCTCGGACCAATCGATCTTTAAACAGAAGGAAATAATCCAATAAAGTGTCAACATCTAAAGTGATCTCCAGTGGAGAAGTGCTCGGAACAATTTTGGCAGGAAGCCAAAGTGTTTGGCTCTTACTGCTGGACTCGAGCCAAGCTGCTACTGGTCCACGGCTGATATCCAGGCTAATTGACCGTCAAGAAGAATGACGTCATTTTGGCGATATTTACAGTTTTTGTTTTTATTTACAATAGAAAAAACAAAAAAATAGATAAATAAATAAAGAAAATACAGGTCTTCAAACATAATAGTATTAATAATGATAATACTAAGCTCTCTCTTAAAACTATTTGTGTGTGCTATTTCCAGCTGTACCTGAATGCATCATCAGGGTTATTGAGCCATCCCTCTGACTTTTTCAACCAGGCTTTTCACTGATTGCCTTGCCTCATTTTATTAATTATCTTTGGTCTTAGTCTTTTTCTTAGTTCCCATCTTAGAGGTTTTTACTTCTTTTACCCCTTTAACATGATAAAGAGCTCTCACTTATCTGTTCATTTAAGATTATTTTCTTGTTTTAGTCCATCAGATTTTTCTCTTTCTTTTTACCATTTTATTTTTTATCTTTATCTTGAGTGTTTCCCAGAGGTAGCTCTTTCCTCACGGTGTCAGGCCATGTCTCTCTAACAACATATCTTAAATTCTCACACTGTGTGCACTTGTGTGTGTGTGTGAGTGAGGGCTGGTGTGTGTCTTTGTGTGTGTGTGGGTCCATGGGTGGGTGTGTAGGTGGGAGGTTGGGGTTGTATTGTTGTTAATTGATGTTTTCAACCTCTGTGTGATACTTTGAACTGCAGTTTCTTTGTCTGAAAAGTGCCATTAAAATACAGTTGAATAAAGCTGAATTTTATAACAAAATAAAAAAAAATTAGAAAGAGGTCAAGAATAAAAAAAATATATAATGATAATAATAATAATAACTATTATTATTATTATTATTATTATTATTATTATTATTATGGTGAGGATAATAATTATATAATTAGAAAAATAATAATAGTAACAATATCAATAATAATAACAACATAAAACAAAAACATAAAATAATTGCAACAACAACAACAACAACAACAACAACGATACGAATAATAATAATAATAATAATAATAATAATAATAATAATAATAATAATAATAATAATACTTTTTGCTTTCTGTCGAAACTTTATGGCTATCCCATTGCCAGCAGTACCTGAATGCCACACGGTGAAGCGCGCTTGTGTTCTGTCAAATGACTACTAGATGTCACTATAACTCTGGAATCACAGTGTGAGCCTCTATCGACTTCATCGGTCAGTCGAACAACCTGTAAAATCGTTTTAGTTGGACCATTGTCCCATATGTCGCCAGTCGAGGCATTACATTTATGAGTCATTTCATGTCAGAGGGACAAACACCTAACTTGTCCTTTGTTCCTGATCTGGTTATCTGTCAAATTATGTATTTTTCCCTGTTAAAACTCAGCAGTCATTCATAAATCAGCTTAACAACTCGGAGTAACTCGCCACTTTTAATATCCAAAGGGTTCCTACGGTCTGTGTGGAGATGACACTAATGAAACACAGAAGCAAGGAACTCCCGGTCACCATCACAAGGTCCAGACAGCATTAAGCCGCATCCTGACGCGATCATGTGTCCGGTGTCAGGTGCGCGGATCGGATTATGGGCGGGATACGGCAGCCAGCTGGGGGAGTGATCCGCTCAGGGAGAGAGAAAGAGAGAGAGAGAGGGAGAGGGAGAGGGAGAGGGAGAGAGTGAGACTGTTTGGGGGATCAGTAACAGGAACGACTCGATGGGAATCACATCAGGATTATCCCCTCAGTAACAGCATTAGGACGACATCTCCAGCACGTACTTTGTTGTACCCAGAACAAGAGCTTTTGTTGTGGTGATACCTCTTTGGCAACGAGCAGGATGCAGAAAACTGGGGATGCAGGAAAAGTTCATAAGCTCTCTGCAGCCAGGTAATCTGCATGGTTGCTGGACTGCAATCATGTAGCCTCTTTATCGATATTTTTGTTTTCTACACGACATGCAGAAGACTTTTAAGACCAGCTTCTATTGAGAGATCAGTGAGAGGTTGATTTTGGGTCCTTGTTCGTATAGCCTCTACTGATCCGGACAAACATGGCAAGACTCCGGAGGAAAGCTTGCATCGCTCTGCTCCTCTTCACCATATTCATATTCGGGACCATGATGGGACTGAGGACCCTGAAGCCCACCGATGGCTTCTCGGATCTGGCTCCAGGGTTAGACCTCCTGCCGATGATAGGAGGGAAGGTGGACCGACGCTCCGTGTCCCGGGACACCACCTCGTCCCCGGTTCAAGCCCAAAACCCTGCAGGCAGCAACACCAAAGCAGTTTTGTCAAACTCCGGTCCAGAGGGGATCATATTTTACGATGTTCATATTTTTTACCACATCTGGTACGGCACCCCGCATATGGACGGAAAGTACATTCACTGGGACCACATTCTGGTTCCACACTGGGACCCCAAAATCGCATCCAGCTACCCGAGGGGGAGGCATATGCCGCCCGAGGATATCGGCTCTAGTTTTTACCCCGAGCTTGGTCCATACAGCTCCAGAGACCCGGACGTGTTGGAGTCCCACATGGAGCAGATTGGAGCTTCTGCAGCAGGTAGAGTTCAGAGATGTCAAGAACAGAGTGGAAAAAAAAAACAGCTGAGTATCGTTTTGTTGCTGAGAAACTGCACATAATCCGCCCTTTCTCAGCACCAGCTGCCCCATTCTCACTCTCAACATTTTCAGCACCACAGATCCACTGGACAGCTCCCCAAACACTCGACTCAGAGTCCCTTTTATCTGAGCAGAAAGAGGAACTGAGTGGGTTTAATAACTCTAATTATGTGCAGATCAACTCCAGAAGAAAACATGACCTTTATGAAAATCAAAATCTAAAAACGTGCATTCTTTATTACGCTTTTAGACTATTAAAGCTGGATTGCCCGTGTGTAACCTCCAATTGCCCCTCAACAAACACACACACTCTGTATTGAGTGGTATAGACAGGTGATGAAAATCCAGGGTTCTCATCAGGATGAAGGTCTCTCCTTTATTCCAGAGCAAATGTGTAGTGTTGGTCAGGAAACCCTGAAACTACAGACCGTAAACCAAAAAAAGACCAACAAATAAATCAGTAAAACCAAATCGATAAAAAATTACCAGAATATAGAGCTTCATAAGTTGTGAGTGTGTTGTATAGTTTTAGATTTTACTTTGTGGTCAGGCAATGTGAATGATTATAAATGCCCTTTATTTGTATTCTTCAGACTTAGGACTTAGAACTGTTTTTTATGCATGTTTTGTTTTATTTTGGGTGGCACAGTGGTCTAGTGGTTAGCACTGTCGCCTCACAGCAAGACGGTCGTTGGTTCGAATCCGGGTCAGGTGTGTGGAGTTTGCGTGGGTTTACTCCGGGTAATCCGGTTTCCTCCCACATCCCAAAATCATGCAGAAGTAGGGTTAGGTTAATTGGCCACTTCCAAATTGCCCGTAGGTGTGAACGTGAGCATGGATGGTTGGATTGGCGACTTGTCCATGGTGTCCCCTGCCTTCGCCCGAAGATGCTGGGATAGGCTCCAGCCACCCTGCGACCACCAACGGGGAAAAAGCGGTAGAAAACGGACGGACGGATGTTTTATTCTGGATCCACCATTAGTCAAAACAAAATATGCGGAAACTATTCTTCCTGGGGTCCTTATCTTCCTTTCCGTGTACTTACAGACAGTCATTCGTACTGTAGCTCTTATTCTCTTTTGCTTGTTGAAAAATTAACCAATACATAAATAAGATGAAGAAAGAAAAGTGAAAAGACAAAAAAAGAAAAGCAGAACTTGTTTTACGGATAACAAGAAAATCCATCAGAGAGAAGAGCTGAACTCAATTTCATTCATGGTACTCCAGATGTAAACAAATACACCTTTAATTAGTTGTTAAAGCAACTCCTGTTAGTGTCTGAAATGAAAAAGTTAGGTATCACCAGTGGACAGTCCTTTTTATTGCCTCTCTAATGCCTGCCTAGTACCATACTGATGTCCCTTAGTAAAAAATGTGAGTTTAAATGTTCTTTACGGTGTTGAAAGGTATGCTCTTGCTTTTTTCCAACAATGGTTTTGCCTTCCTAAAAGAGAGCAGAGTCGTGTGGCCTGGTATCGAGTAACAGTCTGGTGAGTCCAGCTGATAGCAGCCAACACATGATAGGCTCTGGTGTTTTCTACCCTGCGGCTTAGTAGGTTACTGTACACCAACTGAAATGATGACCAGACGATCCATCCCGTCTGGTCATCATAGCGGCGACAGATGGATCATGGGAGCGCCGGCTCTCAATCCCTAACTAAAACAATCCATTAAATTAGAAAACACACCCAGCAAAACTCTGAGCGGTCCCTCTCGGCTAAATGACACCCACCCAGCCCCCCTCCCAAACACTTTTAAGAGGCCCATAAATAAAATGAAGAGCTGTGGTCATATTCTTAATACACACAGACATAGTTTGAGTACTGTAATATACAGTAATAGTCTCACGGCTCCACAGCAAGCAGCCATGAGTTAAATGAATTACCCTCAAGTGCCAGGATCTACTGGTGCCAGGAGCTGCTGTGGCTTACATGGAGTTATTTCTCAACTAGCATTAGAGCATGAGGTTGCATTTTCCCGCTGGAATTTATGAGCTGTCACACAATCGCAGAGAAAGAGAGGCTGCCACTAAAATGGTCCAGATGACAGATACATATTCATCACTCAGGAGCAGGTAAACAAAACATCCATAAAGACACGCACAATGACCTGCAATCACAAAACAAGCAGAGTTTTGCTTAATTTGGTGTCTTACAAGTGTCTGTTTCCTGCAACCCACAGTCTTATTTTCTATCTTTGCATATAACATCTTGCTGCAAACCCTTCTGCCATGTTTGTGCCGTGCAACATGAACAATAATTACCCTGATGGATTCCCGGATCAGAAGTTTCTAACCTGTTCAATAAAAGTCTAAGTGGCTGAGTTTATTTGATAGTCTCAGATGAGTCTGTAAAACTGAGCTACATGAGAATCCTCACTGTTGATTAATGAAAGCAAAGGTTTTTCAGCTCAGATGTCATCCCACAGAGGTGTCAGCATTTCTCACAATGAGTGTGTAATCCATTATGTGCCAGAGAGAGAAGTCTCAGAAGTATTTGTGCCCTTTGGCTTTAATCTGTAGAAGTTCACTGAGGTATTGAACAATGTTGTTAGTCCAAGATAAATGATCAGACTCATGAGTTTCTGATTCCACAGGGGTTCTTGTCCTGTCCTGGTATCCCCCTGGCCTCGCTGATGATAACGGGGAACCCTCTGAGGATTTGGTACCGGCTGTTCTGGATGCTGCGTATAGACATAACCTCAAGGTAGGAGCACATTTACTATTCCTAGGTTAAAAAAAATGCGTAAGAGTAACAATAAATTGGGGAGATAGTACAAAATAGCATAAAATAAACACCTAATCATACAACAGGAAAAGATGCAATTTAAAAAAGAAGGATTAGCCAAAAACTTTACTGATGTCTACAGTAAAAGAGACAAGTAATCTAGCTCGTGGAGAAAAACTGGACTTGTCTCTAACATGACACGAAACCCAAATCCAAGCTAAAGTACCTTCTCACAATTTTTAGGAACTACCTGCAAGAAAGTCAATCGCCGAGCCAAAGATACATATCTTTTCAACTATTCAGCAGTTTTCTCAAAGCTGTAACAACATGGTCAGATGCTCATTTCCAGAGAATTAGACGGTTTAAATTTAGGCACACTGTATAATGTTGATTGATTGATTGATTGATTGATTGATTGATTGATTGCTTGATTGATTGATTGATTGATTGATTGGTTGGTTGGTTGGTTGGTTGAAGTTTATTTAGAATATGCAAACCAAAAATATAAAAAAAAAACAAAAAAAAAACGTTTTGCCTAATTTTCTTAACATAAAACATAGAAATACATATTTGAAAAGGAGTGAGAAGAAGAATAACTTATGAACTCCCACCCCTTCCCTTTAAATAATAAGTACCCACACCAGGCTTCCTTGCAACTTGTTCAGATGTTCCTGATAATTATGATAAATAAAGTACGTTCATGACTTTGAACACACAGTAGCGCTATAAAGATAAATGTGGGGAGAAAATGAAAAAGGCTCGAACATAGAGCCTTGGGGGACTCCAGCCAGGTCTGTGCCCCCTTGGCTTTCATCATCCACAAACTGGATAAAAACACAGAAAAAAAGCTAAAACTGGACACATAAGGTTCTTCATAATGGTATCAAAGTTGGACGATTAATTAACCTTTCATCTTTGTTAAGTTAAATGTCCATTTACAGAGAAATAACCAGAATTTTCCTCTCTGTGCAGCTGACAGACGGAGGCAGAAACATTTATAATTTTTCTCCATCTTGTCATTTCACTTCGACTGCAGTGATACAGGAGGAAGAAAAGGCTTATTGATGCTTCACAGAGTTGAAGCAGAGAGCTTAATACTTCTCAGAATAGTAATCTCAAACAAAGCCAGTGCGCTGTGGTGAGATCAACACAGAGGTGACAGTTTCTTTTTGCCACAGGAGAGTAAGATTGAGAGCTGCAGAACTCGCTCGGCTGCCTCCTCTAAAGCCGTCTTTGCTGCTTAGGGATTTGACTCCGGATGTTTACCGCTGCAGTGACATCTCCAGCATGAGAGCAAAAACAGGTCAAAGAGCTGCTGCTGCTGCTGCTGCTGCTGGATCAGTTGTTCAGTGAGGCCTGAATGAGCTTGGGAGCACATCAGCAGGGTGGAGAAGTGGGGGGGAAGCCGAATCACATGACCAATTGCCAATTAGGTTGGAAAATGGCACGTTGTAGGAAATAAACTACGGCTTATGCTGGCTTCCTTCTGGCTGTCACTGAATGAAAAAGCTTGTTTTCACAGGGGATGCACACATGTAACCGGATATAATTATTGCTCGATACTCTTGAGGTCAACAGAGGGGTTAGGCCAGTTTGAAATCAACCTAGAGTGATCAGAACTTTATATTTTAAAAGAAAATCTTAAAAAAGTCTGTAACATGAGCATAAAAGACAGTTTCATGTGTTTATTTATTTTTACTTATCAACAAATGCTTATATAGCTTTTAAGTGGGGCTGTTTTCTATATCAATTTAAAATGACACGTAGGAAGGACAGGCCTGTAAGAGTTTTTCTATGTTATAGCAAGTCTCATTAATAATGCACCGACAGCATTTATGAGGCACACTACATGTTAAAGTATAAAAAAACTGACATGCAGGAAGTACAGGAGCAAGAAAAAAGCATTAACATTACGGTTTTGCCGGAGTTCCTCTGTTTTATAGAGCCGAATGACTAAAAGATGAAGGATAGACATGAAAAGAGCTCTTTCATTCATTTTATATTTTCCATTCTTGAAAAAGATGAATTCACAAAATTATAAAAATTCATAGGGATTCCACAACTTTTCTTATCCATAATATCACACAAACCACTTAAATAAGTCAAGGGAAACATTCGTTCATCATAACTCTAAGATACGAAAATTTCAAGACTTTTGAACAGAATTTTGAGTCCAGTTTCAAAAACCATCAAACTGTATGGTGAAACTGGCTTCTATGAGGACTGCCCCTGCAAAGGAAGACCAAGACCTACCGCTGCTGGAGAGGTCAAACTTAATCGAGTAACCAGTCTCAGAAACCGCAATTTAACATCTCAAACCAGAGCTCAAATAAAAGCTTTACAGAGTTAAAGTAGCAGACACATCTCTACATCAACAGTGATCACGGAAAAGGTGAGAGGATGGTTTCTACATGTGCGGTTCGACATATGCGACAAGATTTCTCATCTGGTTTGTGCATTGTGGTGCTTTAATTTGTTTCTCAAGTGGAGTTCTTCATCAAATTACCTGGCCTTCACAATCACCTGACCTAAACCTACTTGAGTTTGTTTGGGGTTGAAGTCGACAAGTTCTTTACGTCTCTGGGAACTACTTGAAGACTATTGAAAAGCGTCCAGCTCACAATCTAAAGAAGCTGGAAGAGAAAACGCCAAGAGTGCCACAAGAGCTTTCTGTTATGGAAATATATGCATTACTTTTCCCTTCTGATGCAGAAGGACAAAGCTGTAGCAGTGAATCTTAGTTCGTCTTCAGACAAGAAGACTTTGTCCACTGCCAAGACTTGTAATTTCCAATCTAGTTACCAGAGAGTCTGGCGCAGCAAATAGCGATGACCCAGGTGTAGATCACGTTAGCGCGGCAGACCGAGGAGGAGCCGCTCCATCCAAGCAGCCAAGGCTTGATTTAAACTGGCATCAGCTCCACAATCTGTGAGCCAGTGGGGACCAAACAGACTGATAGCGAGGTTTGTTGGTGAAGACATGCTCCCCATATCAAACTGTTGAGTCTGCTGCTTTCAAAGAACTAATTAGCAGAATACTTGGAGAAGAGGAGGAGTGCATTAATGAGAGTCTTGAAGCAAAAAGAAGTCACTTTTCAAAGTCACTAATGACTTTTATATCCCTCTAACTCAATTACGCCTTGATATCTGATTATACAAATACCAAAATATTCTGATGTAGAGATAAAGAAAAGATATTCATGTTTCGCCCTGTCCTTGGTATAAACAGCTCAACTGTGTTGAAAGAAGTTTATGAAGCCAATCTGTTAGTCAAATCTGTAGTTTGATTGCAGGCAAAGCAATAATGAATCTCAGAGAGGTCGAGACAAAATTGCAGAGATCACACATGCCAGGCTGGTGAGGTTTCACTCATGATGGTGTGAAGGTAGGAGATAATAGACTGAATTCAGTGCTCTCTGTTATTGTGATCAGTGACTTAGCAAGCTTGGCATTTTCATTAAAGGGATATTCCAGCGTAAAATTAATTTAGGGTCAAACGCACCGTAACACCAAGTTAGACACCCCGTCGAGGGATGAATGTTGCTGACTGCTTGCTTCTCTAGTTATACCAACTTAAGTAACAACCGCACGATAGCAATACAGAGAGCAACGCGCGTAACCAAAACACCACTCTATAGCCACAAATAATGCTCAGAACAGCAACTTACTTCATCAACAGTACATATAGGGTCACAGCTATAGTACTAGCCACCAAACATCGTTTTAAATTCGCCTAATTTCTTTAACAAAGAGACTAAACACAACTCACCCACTCTCTTCCAGCAGCCGCTTGTTTGTAGTGAGACCTCTGGGCGAGTCCATTGACTGCAGCGGGGTGACGCAGCTCAAGGAAGAACATTTATAATCATTTCTTTATCATTTCCTTGAAGTAATATTCATCATATTAATCAAATTTCACTGCAGACATGGTAGTTCTTCTGCTTTAGCGTCTTGGTCTGATTGCATTTCCATGAAGAAATAATGGTATGACTAGAGAAGCAAGCAGTCTGCAACATTCATCTCTCGACAGGGTGTCTAGCTCAGTGTTACGGTGTGTTTGGGGCTAAATTAATTTTACGCCGGAACATCCCTTTAAGAAATGCACAAAGAATTCAGGTGTCAAAACAAGCTGTTCTGCCCTCTATACTGCAACTTATCCAAGTATTTTAGCATCTCTGTAAATGTAGTAGCCAGAGTTTCCATTCTCGTCTTTTAAGAACAGTTAGAAAATCCTCCATTTCCCTTTAAAAACATGGCTTCTGAATGACTTGTTTCTATTAAATATAGTGTCTTTTAGCATTTCCCTCCTGATATGTTTGCTTCCAGGTTCTCTTTTCGTGATGAACTCCTCCCACTCCCTCTGCACAGGAGGACATTTATCTTTTGAGTGCTTCTTCTTGCATAATTTCAGTAAAACGCTGACAAGGTAAAGTGCCTTGGCTCTGATCGTTTGGAACTCTAATGCAAATTCTCCAAAGCAACACTCATGAAAAATGTCTTTGCCCTTTTCTACTGAAAAGAAGGAGGAGAAGCTCGAGAGAGGAGGACAGATGGTCCAGCAGGAGAGGTGGAAGCAGTCAAAAATATATTAATATATGTCAGAGCTTGATTCAGGAAATTCCCCTTCCGGTAATTCACTCCGGTCGTTCTAAGAAATGTTTGTGATAATTTAAGAGTAGATTTGTTTTGAAACATTACATCCTTGGCTAACATCCATCACTGGTATATACCTTCTCAGATAGGCCTTCAAAATAAAAGCCTAAATTACTTGGTTTATCACACTCCCCACAGTAGCACCCATTTGTCATTTTGTGGTGAGTCTCAGCTTCACTGTAAAAGTCAAACAGAGGCTTCACTTTGGTTTTCTTCAGGGGTTTGAAAAGACAACAAAATTTCTTATGATTTACCTGTAGACTTTTCAAGCTTTGTATGTCTCCAAGTTGAAAACCAAAATCTCTCACCACTATATTCCAAGCCCCACACACAGATCTTTCGTTCTATAAAAATGAAAATGGAGATCTGGCGCTTGGAGAAAACCGAAGGCATGATTTCACAAAAATAGTGTTATAAAACTGGAAAAAAGCAGATTTTAGTCAGAATGGACACAGAAACAACAAGAAGAGTGAACTTTCAGAAGTCTTTTCAAGTATTACATGAAGGATTCATAAATGCTTGTCTTGTATTTTCTTTTTCAGCTGATTGTTTTCACTCTCACTTGTCCGACATTGTCTGTTCTTGCAGTCACAGCGGCACTCCTCCTCAGAGAGGCTGAGTACAATAAGTATCCTTACAGAGCAGTCTGAAACAGCATATGTAAATGAGTCTTTAGATTGGTTTTATGAAGCTCACTGGGGCATGAATATGACATTAACCTTTCAGAGATTCATGGCTGAATTGAGTCTGTTAGAGGACCTCAGGCCCAAACTTTATAGTTGAATCACAGCTGACCCAAAAAGAAGTTGATTTATTCATGGGGAAGTTAAAATCCTCGACATTCAGACAAGGCACAGACAGTAGCCCCGAAATGTTCCCCATATTTGTTTAACTAAAACCAGGAAAAAAGGCATTTTTTGGCTGATCACAGCCAGAATATGGAGTATAGCCAAGAAGGTTACTCATACAAGGAATTTGTCTTGTTGTTTTGGCGCAAAAAACAATGACTGCAGAAGTAGAACAGAAAAAAAGTGCATTAGTGAAATGCAGTTGAACAGCAGCACTGCTACTGACAAGATAAATATGTAAACAAATCCAAAGTGTGTTCAAAATTTGCAATAAAGGAGGCTGTTCATATGTGCAAGAAGGTACAAGGTGATGATGCGCAGTGTAATATACATTACTTTAATCTAGTGTGTTGGTATAATGTAATGCAAAAGGTCTGATGCAGATTCTTCCCATTACTATAATGTGAAGCTGGATGCTGGGGGTGGGGCTAAGGCTGTTTCGTGATTAATGAACCTGGTAGTAAGAGGAAAAACAGTTCTTGTGGCGTGAGGTTTTGGCATGAGGTTTTGGTCTTGGTGGGCCACAGCCTTTTGCTAGAGGGGAGGCTCTCTAAGAGTCTGCATCCTGAGTGAGACGGGTCATCCACAGACTTACCTGCCAACCTCAGGGTCATGAAGAAACAGCAACTTGAAGACAATTAGTATGACCATTGAAAAGAATAATTACTGCAGCTCTGAAATTAAACATTTAGAACAAACCACACAGTGTATTTTACTTTTGTCTGTTCCAACTCTATTCAATTCAGATTTTCTCGGATCCCTCGAAAGTGGGTAGAGCTAAGCGACTACAGCACGATTTTAAGTTTTTGAGAGACATGGAGGTGTAGAAGTGTGTTAACTTCCACCAACACCTTATTTACTCACTACTTTATCTGGAGGAGGATGAAAGAAAACTTAATTTCAAAGTCAAAAAGGGAGGATATTTTCTTTTCAATTGATGTCTACTGTGATGTTCCTTTGATTGCTACTACAACCTTCAAGCTTATAGTAAAAGAGTATGAGTCATTGAGAAAATGTAAATATAAAAGAAGGATTATACTTATGGTGCATCGTTGCATACTCACAAAATTACAAAAAGATGAATGTAACTGTGAGCAGAGGTGGCTCACCAGAACAAATCCTACTCTCACACTTACAATCCCACACCACCACGCAGCTAAAAACACCCTGACCCCTCTTTGGGTTAAGGTGTACAAGAAAAGCGAATGTACCTTTTATTATATAAGTTGAGCAGTATTTCAGTAGCACCCACACACGGCTCGTGGATTTTGTATTTCTGTGCCGAAGAGTTGGAGAGCAGATCACATAGAGCCTCTTCTGTAGTGCTGCTGCTCAACCGCTGCTTGAAGAGGAGCTGAAACAGTCCTCCTGCCCTGGGGTGGGTGGGGGCGGTTTGATGGGGACAGAGTGGTGGGTATTGGGAGGGAGGGAAAATGTGCATCATGGGTGCCATGACTCAGTTTGCCTCCCTAAACAATCTGCACCCTGAGGGGCTGTAAAAGTTCTATTAAGTAGGCCATGTAGCTGCGTGTGCACAGGGGGGATAAGGCCCAGGGGTGCACCCAGGGCTGGCATTGGCCACACTTTCCTCCCTATAAGTGCATCTTGTAGCTGCTTTCACTCTTACATGACCCTCTTTTATCATGTTTTCCACCAGCTTGGAGAACAGCGTCAATGCTGACACTTCTGCATAAGAGATGTGCTCAACTTTGTTAAAATTGATCTCATTGTTATGAAGGTCTAGACCTTTTCTCTCGGTGTCGGCTCATTGTCCTCTCTTAGTGCTTTCTGCATGACATGGCACTAAATTCCAGTCTGCTCAGCATAAATCATGCTGGAGTTGTTCCAGGCTCTTGCTGTGGATGTTTATGGGCTATTAAAATGCGTCGACTCTGACTCATTTACCTCTAAATTACCAGAGAGTAATGGGCCGGTGTGTTTGCAGAATGAGCGGAGCTTTCTGATGGCCTGTGATCAGCTGCAGCGAGCAGCAGACAATAACAGCTTTTATTCCACTCCATGGATGACAGTTATTTTTCTCCATCCTCTAATACAGCCTTTATGTTTCAGGGTAGCTTCTGATTTTATTTCACATAACTTGGCAAGAGTCAAGAGAGTTACCGTGGAGCAAAACTTTTTTTAGATATGCTTGGATGCAGGGATATTTCTCCGTCTATCTTTCCTTTTACTGATACTTTGCCAGAAATGTGCACCGTCAAAGTGTTCATACTTTTGCACATAAAAGCACTCAATGTATCCATTAGCATTGAAAGCACAGCTGTTTTCATCTTGGCAGCCCCTCTTTTGACATTTTCAGTATAAAACAAATTTTCAGACTTGTGTTTATCCCAAACATCACTTTGATCCATTAGAATATTCATAGTCAATGTCAAAGCGGCGCTCTCAGTGCTGCCAAAAAGCACTTTTTCCATTAGACTCTCATATGCCATATGCATTACAATGCAACCTTCCCATTATAAACAGTTGACGCCTATGATTAATCAGCTGTTGGAAGGTCCTCCACTTTTCTTTGAGTGATGCTCCTTTTAGCCATTGTGTTTCTTTAGAGATGGCGACATCTGTTTACCACTTTGGTCACATACTTTTGTGGTGCAGTTTCTCTTTGTACGATGCCAAGAGGGTTTGAACTGAATTGGTGCCCAACGGATGCATCCTTACGAGTCAGGTTAACTAAGAATGGTCAACAAACAAGAGTTATTCTGGAGTCAGCTAATTTTTTAGTGTGGTGTAGATGCAAATGGTTCATCTCCAGTTAATGAAAGCGACGTAACATTTACCTATCTGAGCTAGCTAGCTGACATTCAATGAATTACCTAACTCAACTAGTTAGTCAGCTAACTGAACATTTACTTAAACCTGTTCAATAATACATGATACACAAATACACCGATAATTTCATAGTCATTAAAGGGATATTCTGGCGTAAAACACACTGTAACACAGAGTTAGACACCCCCTCGAGAGATGACTGTTGCCGACCGCTTGCTTGTCTAGCTATACCAACTTCAGTAAAGACCGCACGATAGCAATACACAGTGGTCTGAGAAGCAGCACCTACCATTTCTTCATGGAAATGCAATCAGTCCGAGACGCTAAGGCAGAAGAACTACCATGTCTGCAGAGCAAAATGATTAATATGGTGATTATTACTTCAAGGAAATGATAAAATAATGATCATAATTGTTCTTCCTTGAGCCGCGTCACCCTGCAGCAGTCTGTAATGGACTCGCCTTCCAAGCGGCTGCTGGAAGAGAGTGGGTGAGTTGTGTTTAGTCTCTTTGCTAAAGAAATCAGGCAAAGTTAAAAAGATGTTTGGTGGCTAGAACTATGGCTAGGACCCTATATGTACTGTTGATGAAGTTAGGTGCTGTTCTGAGCATTATTTGTGGCTATAGAGGGGCATTTTGGTTGAGGTTTGTTTTTGGCTCCTCAGACCATTGTGTATTGCTATCATCCGGTCGTTACTGAAGTTGGTATTTGATTTGATTTACACCTAGAGAAGCAAGCGGACATCAACATTCATCTCTGCTAAGGGTGTCTAACTCTGTGTTATGGTGTGGTTGACCCTAGCTTAATTTTATACCGAATATCCCTTTAAGGTTGGAGCTAGGGTTAGGGTTAGGTGTGGGGTTGGAGCTAGGGTTAGGGTTAGGGTTAGGGTTGGAGTTAGGGTTAGTGTTGGAGCTAGGGTTAGGGTTGGGCTTGGAGCTAGGATTTTTCTGAGTGCAATGAACCAACTCCCGAGTCTCTAGGACGTTCCTAAAAAAATTTGATTTTTTCCCATAGGAATGCATGGGTTAGGGTTAGGGTTAGGGTTGGAGCTAGGGTTAGGGTTAGGGTTAGGGTTGGAGTTAGGGTTAGTGTTGGAGCTAGGGTTAGGGTTGGGCTTGGAGCTAGGATTTTTCTGCGTGCAATGAACCAACTCCCGAGTCTCTAGGATGTTCCTAAAAAAAAATTTGATTTTTTCCCATAGGAATGCATGGGTTAGGGTTAGGGTTAGGGTTGGAGCTAGGGTTAGGGTTAGGGTTAGGGTTGGAGTTAGGGTTAGTGTTGGAGCTAGGGTTAGGGTTGGGCTTGGAGCTAGGATTTTTCTGAGTGCACTGAACCAACTCCCGAGTCTCTAGGACGTTCCTAAAAAAATTTGATTTTTTCCCATAGGAATGCATGGGTTAGGGTTAGGGTTAGGGTTGGAGCTAGGGTTAGGGTTAGGGTTAGGGTTGGAGTTAGGGTTAGTGTTGGAGCTAGGGTTAGGGTTGGGCTTGGAGCTAGGATTTTTCTGAGTGCAATGAACCAACTCCCGAGTCTCTAGGACGTTCCTAAAAAAATTTGATTTTTTCCCATAGGAATGCATGGGTTAGGGTTAGGGTTAGGGTTGGAGCTAGGGTTAGGGTTAGGGTTAGGGTTGGAGTTAGGGTTAGTGTTGGAGCTAGGGTTAGGGTTGGGCTTGGAGCTAGGATTTTTCTGAGTGCAATGAACCAACTCCCGAGTCTCTAGGACGTTCCTAAAAAAAATTTGATTTTTTCCCATAGGAATGCATGGGTTAGGGTTAGGGTTAGGGTTGGAGCTAGGGTTAGGGTTAGGGTTAGGGTTGGAGTTAGGGTTAGTGTTGGAGCTAGGGTTAGGGTTGGGCTTGGAGCTAGGATTTTTCTGAGTGCAATGAACCAACTCCCGAGTCTCTAGGACGTTCCTAAAAAAAATTTGATTTTTTCTCATAGGAATGCATGGGTTAGGGTTAGGGTTAGGGTTGGAGCTAGGGTTAGGGTTAGGGTTAGGGTTGGAGTTAGGGTTAGTGTTGGAGCTAGGGTTAGGGTTGGGCTTGGAGCTAGGATTTTTCTGAGTGCAATGAACCAACTCCCGAGTCTCTAGGACGTTCCTAAAAGAATTTGATTTTTTCCCATAGGAATGCATGGGTTAGGGTTAGGGTTAGGGTTGGAGCTAGGGTTAGGGTTAGGGTTAGGGTTGGAGTTAGGGTTAGTGTTGGAGCTAGGGTTAGGGTTGGGCTTGGAGCTAGGATTTTTCTGAGTGCACTGAACCAACTACCGAGTCTCTAGGACGTTCCTAAAAAAATTTGATTTTTTCCCATAGGAATGCATGGGTTAGGGTTAGGGTTAGGGTTGGAGCTAGGGTTAGGGTTAGGGTTGGAGTTAGGGTTAGTGTTGGAGCTAGGGTTAGGGTTGGGCTTGGAGCTAGGATTTTTCTGAGTGCAATGAACCAACTCCCGAGTCTCTAGGATGTTCCTAAAAAAAAATTGATTTTTTCCCATAGGAATGCATGGGTTAGGGTTAGGGTTAGGGTTGGAGCTAGGGTTAGGGTTAGGGTTAGGGTTGGAGTTAGGGTTAGTGTTGGAGCTAGGGTTAGGGTTGGGCTTGGAGCTAGGATTTTTCTGAGTGCACTGAACCAACTCCCGAGTCTCTAGGACGTTCCTAAAAAAATTTGATTTTTTCCCATAGGAATGCATGGGTTAGGGTTAGGGTTAGGGTTGGAGCTAGGGTTAGGGTTAGGGTTGGAGTTAGGGTTAGTGTTGGAACTAGGGTTAGGGTTGGGCTTGGAGCTAGGATTTTTCTGAGTGCAATGAACCAACTCCCAAGTCTCTAGGACGTTCCTAAAAAAAATTTGATTTTTTCCCATAGGAATGCATGGGTTAGGGTTAGGGTTAGGGTTGGAGCTAGGGTTAGGGTTAGGGTTAGGGTTGGAGTTAGGGTTAGTGTTGGAGCTAGGGTTAGGGTTGGGCTTGGAGCTAGGATTTTTCTGAGTGCAATGAACCAACTCCCGAGTCTCTAGGACGTTCCTAAAAAAATTTGATTTTTTCCCATAGGAATGCATGGGTTAGGGTTAGGGTTAGGGTTGGAGCTAGGGTTAGGGTTAGGGTTAGGGTTGGAGTTAGGGTTAGTGTTGGAGCTAGGGTTAGGGTTGGGCTTGGAGCTAGGATTTTTCTGAGTGCAATGAACCAACTCCCGAGTCTCTAGGACGTTCCTAAAAAAATTTTGATTTTTTCTCATAGGAATGCATGGGTTAGGGTTAGGGTTAGGGTTGGAGCTAGGGTTAGGGTTAGGGTTAGGGTTGGAGTTAGGGTTAGTGTTGGAGCTAGGGTTAGGGTTGGGCTTGGAGCTAGGATTTTTCTGAGTGCAATGAACCAACTCCCGAGTCTCTAGGACGTTCCTAAAAGAATTTGATTTTTTCCCATAGGAATGCATGGGTTAGGGTTAGGGTTAGGGTTGGAGCTAGAGTTAGGGTTAGGGTTAGGGTTGGAGTTAGGGTTAGTGTTGGAGCTAGGGTTAGGGTTGGGCTTGGAGCTAGGATTTTTCTGAGTGCACTGAACCAACTACCGAGTCTCTAGGACGTTCCTAAAAAAATTTGATTTTTTCCCATAGGAATGCATGGGTTAGGGTTAGGGTTAGGGTTGGAGCTAGGGTTAGGGTTAGGGTTAGGGTTGGAGTTAGGGTTAGTGTTGGAGCTAGGGTTAGGGTTGGGCTTGGAGCTAGGATTTTTCTGAGTGCACTGAACCAACTCCCGAGTCTCTAGGACGTTCCTAAAAAAATTTGATTTTTTCCCATAGGAATGCATGGGTTAGGGTTAGGGTTAGGGTTGGAGCTAGGGTTAGGGTTAGGGTTAGGGTTGGAGTTAGGGTTAGTGTTGGAGCTAGGGTTAGGGTTGGGCTTGGAGCTAGGATTTTTCTGAGTGCAATGAACCAACTCCCGAGTCTCTAGGACGTTCCTAAAAATTTTTTGATTTTTTCCCATAGGAATGCATGGGTTAGGGTTAGGGTTAGGGTTGGAGCTAGGGTTAGGGTTAGGGTTAGGGTTGGAGTTAGGGTTAGTGTTGGAGCTAGGGTTAGGGTTGGGCTTGGAGCTAGGATTTTTCTGAGTGCAATGAACCAACTCCCGAGTCTCTAGGACGTTCCTAAAAAAATTTGATTTTTTCCCATAGGAATGCATGGGTTAGGGTTAGGGTTAGGGTTGGAGCTAGGGTTAGGGTTAAGGTTAGGGTTGGAGTTAGGGTTAGTGTTGGAGCTAGGGTTAGGGTTGGGCTTGGAGCTAGGATTTTTCTGAGTGCACTGAACCAACTACCGAGTCTCTATGACGTTCCTAAAAAAAGTTGATTTTTTCCCATAGGAATGCATGGGTTAGGGTTAGGGTTAGGGTTGGAGCTAGGGTTAGGGTCAGGGTTAGGGTTGGAGTTAGGGTTAGTGTTGGAGCTAGGGTTAGGGTTGGGCTTGGAGCTAGGATTTTTCTGAGTGCACTGAACCAACTCCCGAGTCTCTAGGACGTTCCTAAAAAAATTTGATTTTTTCCCATAGGAATGCATGGGTTAGGGTTAGGGTTAGGGTTGGAGCTAGGGTTAGGGTTAGGGTTAGGGTTGGAGTTAGGGTTAGTGTTGGAGCTAGGGTTAGGGTTGGGCTTGGAGCTAGGATTTTTCTGAGTGCAATGAACCAACTCCCGAGTCTCTAGGACGTTCCTAAAAAAAATTTGATTTTTTCCCATAGGAATGCATGGGTTAGGGTTAGGGTTAGGGTTGGAGCTAGGGTTAGGGTTAGGGTTAGGGTTGGAGTTAGGGTTAGTGTTGGAGCTAGGGTTAGGGTTGGGCTTGGAGCTAGGATTTTTCTGAGTGCAATGAACCAACTCCCGAGTCTCTAGGACGTTCCTAAAAAAATTTGATTTTTTCCCATAGGAATGCATGGGTTAGGGTTAGGGTTAGGGTTGGAGCTAGGGTTAGGGTTAGGGTTAGAGTTGGAGTTAGGGTTAGTGTTGGAGCTAGGGTTAGGGTTGGAGCTAGGGTTAGGGTTGGGCTTGGAGCTAGGATTTTTCTGAGTGCAATGAACCAACTCCCGAGTCTCTAGGACGTTCCTAAAAAAATTTGATTTTTTTCCCATAGGAATGCATGGGTTAGGGTTAGGGTTAGGGTTGGAGCTAGGGTTAGGGTTAGGGTTAGGGTTGGAGTTAGGGTTAGTGTTGGAGCTAGGGTTAGGGTTGGGCTTGGAGCTAGGATTTTTCTGAGTGCAATGAACCAACTCCCGAGTCTCTAGGACGTTCCTAAAAAAATTTGATTTTTTCCCATAGGAATGCATGGGTTAGGGTTAGGGTTAGGGTTGGAGCTAGGGTTAGGGTTAGGGTTAGGGTTGGAGTTAGGGTTAGTGTTGGAGCTAGGGTTAGGGTTGGGCTTGGAGCTAGGATTTTTCTGAGTGCACTGAACCAACTCCCGAGTCTCTAGGACGTTCCTAAAAAAATTTGATTTTTTCCCATAGGAATGCATGGGTTAGGGTTAGGGTTAGGGTTGGAGCTAGGGTTAGGGTTAGGGTTAGGGTTGGAGTTAGGGTTAGTGTTGGAGCTAGGGTTAGGCTTGGGCTTGGAGCTAGGATTTTTCTGAGTGCACTGAACCAACTCCCGAGTCTCTAGGACGTTCCTAAAAAAATTTGATTTTTTCCCATAGGAATGCATGGGTTAGGGTTAGGGTTAGGGTTGGAGCTAGGGTTAGGGTTAGGGTTAGGGTTGGAGTTAGGGTTAGTGTTGGAGCTAGGGTTAGGGTTGGGCTTGGAGCTAGGATTTTTCTGAGTGCAATGAACCAACTCCCGAGTCTCTAGGACGTTCCTAAAAAAAATTTGATTTTTTCCCATAGGAATGCATGGGTTAGGGTTAGGGTTAGGGTTGGAGCTAGGGTTAGGGTTAGGGTTAGGGTTGGAGTTAGGGTTAGTGTTGGAGCTAGGGTTAGGGTTGGGCTTGGAGCTAGGATTTTTCTGAGTGCAATGAACCAACTCCCGAGTCTCTAGGACGTTCCTAAAAAAATTTGATTTTTTCCCATAGGAATGCATGGGTTAGGGTTAGGGTTAGGGTTGGAGCTAGGGTTAGGGTTAGGGTTAGAGTTGGAGTTAGGGTTAGTGTTGGAGCTAGGGTTAGGGTTGGAGCTAGGGTTAGGGTTGGGCTTGGAGCTAGGATTTTTCTGAGTGCAATGAACCAACTCCCGGGTCTCTAGGACGTTCCTAAAAAAATTTGATTTTTTCCCATAGGAATGCATGGGTTAGGGTTAGGGTTAGGGTTGGAGCTAGGGTTAGGGTTAGGGTTAGGGTTGGAGTTAGGGTTAGTGTTGGAGCTAGGGTTAGGGTTGGGCTTGGAGCTAGGATTTTTCTGAGTGCAATGAACCAACTCCCGAGTCTCTAGGACGTTCCTAAAAGAATTTGATTTTTTCCCATAGGAATGCATGGGTTAGGGTTAGGGTTAGGGTTGGAGCTAGGGTTAGGGTTAGGGTTAGGGTTAGGGTTGGAGTTAGGGTTAGTGTTGGAGCTAGGGTTAGGGTTGGGCTTGGAGCTAGGATTTTTCTGAGTGCACTGAACCAACTACCGAGTCTCTAGGACGTTCCTAAAAAAAATTTGATTTTTTTCCCATAGGAATGCATGGGTTAGGGTTAGGGTTAGGGTTGGAGCTAGGGTTAGGGTTAGGGTTAGGGTTGGAGTTAGGGTTAGTGTTGGAGCTAGGGTTAGGGTTGGGCTTGGAGCTAGGATTTTTCTGAGTGCACTGAACCAACTCCCGAGTCTCTAGGACGTTCCTAAAAAAATTTGATTTTTTCCCATAGGAATGCATGGGTTAGGGTTAGGGTTAGGGTTGGAGCTAGGGTTAGGGTTAGGGTTAGGGTTGGAGTTAGGGTTAGTGTTGGAGCTAGGGTTAGGGTTGGGCTTGGAGCTAGGATTTTTCTGAGTGCAATGAACCAACTCCCGAGTCTCTAGGACGTTCCTAAAAAAATTTGATTTTTTTCCCATAGGAATGCATGGGTTAGGGTTAGGGTTAGGGTTGGAGCTAGGGTTAGGGTTAAGGTTAGGGTTGGAGTTAGGGTTAGTGTTGGAGCTAGGGTTAGGGTTGGGCTTGGAGCTAGGATTTTTCTGAGTGCACTGAACCAACTACCGAGTCTCTAGGACGTTCCTAAAAAAAATTTGATTTTTTCCCATAGGAATGCATGGGTTAGGGTTAGGGTTAGGGTTGGAGCTAGGGTTAGGGTCAGGGTTAGGGTTGGAGTTAGGGTTAGTGTTGGAGCTAGGGTTAGGGTTGGGCTTGGAGCTAGGATTTTTCTGAGTGCACTGAACCAACTCCCGAGTCTCTAGGACGTTCCTAAAAAAATTTGATTTTTTCCCATAGGAATGCATGGGTTAGGGTTAGGGTTAGGGTTGGAGCTAGGGTTAGGGTTAGGGTTAGGGTTGGAGTTAGGGTTAGTGTTGGAGCTAGGGTTAGGGTTGGGCTTGGAGCTAGGATTTTTCTGAGTGCAATGAACCAACTCCCGAGTCTCTAGGACGTTCCTAAAAAAATTTGATTTTTTCCCATAGGAATGCATGGGTTAGGGTTAGGGTTAGGGTTGGAGCTAGGGTTAGGGTTAGGGTTAGGGTTGGAGTTAGGGTTAGTGTTGGAGCTAGGGTTAGGGTTGGGCTTGGAGCTAGGATTTTTCTGAGTGCAATGAACCAACTCCCGAGTCTCTAGGACGTTCCTAAAAAAATTTGATTTTTTCCCATAGGAATGCATGGGTTAGGGTTAGGGTTAGGGTTGGAGCTAGGGTTAGGGTTAGGGTTAGAGTTGGAGTTAGGGTTAGTGTTGGAGCTAGGGTTAGGGTTGGAGCTAGGGTTAGGGTTGGGCTTGGAGCTAGGATTTTTCTGAGTGCAATGAACCAACTCCCGAGTCTCTAGGACGTTCCTAAAAAAATTTGATTTTTTCCCATAGGAATGCATGGGTTAGGGTTAGGGTTAGGGTTGGAGCTAGGGTTAGGGTTAGGGTTAGGGTTGGAGTTAGGGTTAGTGTTGGAGCTAGGGTTAGGGTTGGGCTTGGAGCTAGGATTTTTCTGAGTGCAATGAACCAACTCCCGAGTCTCTAGGACGTTCCTAAAAAAATTTGATTTTTTCCCATAGGAATGCATGGGTTAGGGTTAGGGTTAGGGTTGGAGCTAGGGTTAGGGTTAGGGTTAGGGTTGGAGTTAGGGTTAGTGTTGGAGCTAGGGTTAGGGTTGGGCTTGGAGCTAGGATTTTTCTGAGTGCACTGAACCAACTCCCGAGTCTCTAGGACGTTCCTAAAAAAATTTGATTTTTTCCCATAGGAATGCATGGGTTAGGGTTAGGGTTAGGGTTGGAGCTAGGGTTAGGGTTAGGGTTAGGGTTGGAGTTAGGGTTAGTGTTGGAGCTAGGGTTAGGGTTGGGCTTGGAGCTAGGATTTTTCTGAGTGCACTGAACCAACTCCCGAGTCTCTAGGACGTTCCTAAAAAAATTTGATTTTTTCCCATAGGAATGCATGGGTTAGGGTTAGGGTTAGGGTTGGAGCTAGGGTTAGGGTTAGGGTTAGGGTTGGAGTTAGGGTTAGTGTTGGAGCTAGGGTTAGGGTTGGGCTTGGAGCTAGGATTTTTCTGAGTGCAATGAACCAACTCCCGAGTCTCTAGGACGTTCCTAAAAAAAATTTGATTTTTTCCCATAGGAATGCATGGGTTAGGGTTAGGGTTAGGGTTGGAGCTAGGGTTAGGGTTAGGGTTAGGGTTGGAGTTAGGGTTAGTGTTGGAGCTAGGGTTAGGGTTGGGCTTGGAGCTAGGATTTTTCTGAGTGCAATGAACCAACTCCCGAGTCTCTAGGACGTTCCTAAAAAAATTTGATTTTTTCCCATAGGAATGCATGGGTTAGGGTTAGGGTTAGGGTTGGAGCTAGGGTTAGGGTTAAGGTTAGAGTTGGAGTTAGGGTTAGTGTTGGAGCTAGGGTTAGGGTTGGAGCTAGGGTTAGGGTTGGGCTTGGAGCTAGGATTTTTCTGAGTGCAATGAACCAACTCCCGGGTCTCTAGGACGTTCCTAAAAAAATTTGATTTTTTCCCATAGGAATGCATGGGTTAGGGTTAGGGTTAGGGTTGGAGCTAGGGTTAGGGTTAGGGTTAGGGTTGGAGTTAGGGTTAGTGTTGGAGCTAGGGTTAGGGTTGGGCTTGGAGCTAGGATTTTTCTGAGTGCAATGAACCAACTCCCGAGTCTCTAGGACGTTCCTAAAAAAATTTGATTTTTTCCCATAGGAATGCATGTGTTAGGGTTAGGGTTAGGGTTGGAGCTAGGGTTAGGGTTAGGGTTAGGGTTGGAGTTAGGGTTAGTGTTGGAGCTAGGGTTAGGGTTGGGCTTGGAGCTAGGATTTTTCTGAGTGCACTGAACCAACTCCCGAGTCTCTAGGACGTTCCTAAAAAAAATTTGATTTTTTCCCATAGGAATGCATGGGTTAGGGTTAGGGTTAGGGTTGGAGCTAGGGTTAGGGTTAGGGTTAGGGTTGGAGTTAGGGTTAGTGTTGGAGCTAGGGTTAGGGTTGGGCTTGGAGCTAGGATTTTTCTGAGTGCAATGAACCAACTCCCGAGTCTCTAGGACGTTCCTAAAAAAATTTGATTTTTTCCCATAGGAATGCATGGGTTAGGGTTAGGGTTAGGGTTGGAGCTAGGGTTAGGGTTAGGGTTAGGGTTGGAGTTAGGGTTAGTGTTGGAGCTAGGGTTAGGGTTGGGCTTGCAGCTAGGATTTTTCTGAGTGCACTGAACCAACTCCTGAGTCTCTAGGACGTTCCTAAAAAAAATTTGATTTTTTCCCATAGGAATGCATGGGTTAGGGTTAGGGTTAGGGTTGGAGCTAGGGTTAGGGTTAGGGTTAGGGTTGGAGTTAGGGTTAGTGTTGGAGCTAGGGTTAGGGTTGGGCTTGGAGCTAGGATTTTTCTGAGTGCACTGAACCAACTACCGAGTCTCTAGGACGTTCCTAAAAAAATTTGATTTTTTCCCATAGGAATGCATGGGTTAGGGTTAGGGTTAGGGTTAGGGTTGGAGCTAGGGTTAGGGTTAGGGTTAGGGTTGGAGTTAGGGTTAGTGTTGGAGCTAGGGTTAGGGTTGGGCTTGGAGCTAGGATTTTTCTGAGTGCAATGAACCAACTCCCGAGTCTCTAGGACGTTCCTAAAAAAATTTGATTTTTTCCCATAGGAATGCATGGGTTAGGGTTAGGGTTAGGGTTGGAGCTAGGGTTAGGGTTAGGGTTAGGGTTGGAGTTAGGGTTAGTGTTGGAGCTAGGGTTAGGGTTGGGCTTGGAGCTATGATTTTTCTGAGTGCAATGAACCAACTCCCGAGTCTCTAGGACGTTCCTAAAAAAATTTGATTTTTTCCCATAGGAATGCATGGGTTAGGGTTAGGGTTAGGGTTGGAGCTAGGGTTAGGGTTAGGGTTAGGGTTGGAGTTAGGGTTAGTGTTGGAGCTAGGGTTAGGGTTGGGCTTGGAGCTAGGATTTTTCTGAGTGCAATGAACCAACTCCCGAGTCTCTAGGACGTTCCTAAAAAAAATTTGATTTTTTCCCATAGGAATGCATGGGTTAGGGTTAGGGTTAGGGTTGGAGCTAGGGTTAGGGTTAGGGTTAGGGTTGGAGTTAGGGTTAGTGTTGGAGCTAGGGTTAGGGTTGGGCTTGGAGCTAGGATTTTTCTGAGTGCAATGAACCAACTCCCGAGTCTCTAGGACGTTCCTAAAAAAAATTGATTTTTTTCCTATAGGAATGCATGGGTTAGGGTTAGGGTTAGGGTTGGAGCTAGGGCTAGGGTTAGGGTTAGGGTTGGAGTTAGGGTTAGTGTTGGAGCTAGGGTTAGGGTTGGGCTTGGATCTAGGATTTTTCTGAGTGCAATGAACCAACTCCCGAGTCTCTAGGACGTTCCTAAAAAAATTTGATTTTTTCCCATAGGAATGCATGGGTTAGGGTTAGGGTTAGGGTTGGAGCTAGGGTTAGGGTTAGGGTTAGGGTTGGAGTTAGGGTTAGGGTTGGGCTTGGAGCTAGGATTTTTCTGAGTGCAATGAACCAACTCCCGAGTCTCTAGGACGTTCCTAAAAAAATTTGATTTTTTCCCATAGGAATGCATGGGTTAGGGTTAGGGTTAGGGTTGGAGCTAGGGTTAGGGTTAGGGTTAGGGTTGGAGTTAGGGTTAGTGTTGGAGCTAGGGTTAGGGTTGGGCTTGGAGCTAGGATTTTTCTGAGTGCAATGAACCAACTCCCGAGTCTCTAGGACGTTCCTAAAAAAAATTGATTTTTTTCCTATAGGAATGCATGGGTTAGGGTTAGGGTTAGGGTTGGAGCTAGGGCTAGGGTTAGGGTTAGGGTTGGAGTTAGGGTTAGTGTTGGAGCTAGGGTTAGGGTTGGGCTTGGAGCTAGGATTTTTCTGAGTGCAATGAACCAACTCCCGATTCTCTAGGACGTTCCTAAAAAAATTTGATTTTTTCCCATAGGAATGCATGGGTTAGGGTTAGGGTTAGGGTTGGAGCTAGGGTTAGGGTTAGGGTTAGGGTTGGAGTTAGGGTTAGGGTTGGGCTTGGAGCTAGGATTTTTCTGAGTGCAATGAACCAACTCCCGAGTCTCTAGGACGTTCCTAAAAAAATTTGATTTTTTCCCATAGGAATGCATGGGTTAGGGTTAGGGTTAGGGTTGGAGCTAGGGTTAGGGTTAGGGTTAGGGTTGGAGTTAGGGTTAGTGTTGGAGCTAGGGTTAGGGTTGGGCTTGGAGCTAGGATTTTTCTGAGTGCAATGAACCAACTCCCGAGTCTCTAGGACGTTCCTAAAAAAATTTGATTTTTTCCCATAGGAATGCATGGGTTAGGGTTAGGGTTAGGGTTGGAGTTAGGGTTAGTGTTGGAGCTAGGGTTAGGGTTGGGCTTGGAGCTAGGATTTTTCTGAGTGCAATGAACCAACTCCAGAGTCTCTAGGACGTTACTAAAAAAATTGATTTTTTTCCTATAGGAATGCACGGGTTAGGGTTAGGGTTAGGGTTGGAGCTAGGGCTAGGATTAGGGTTAGGGTTGGAGTTAGGGTTAGTGTTGGAGCTAGGGTTAGGGTTGGGCTTGGAGCTAGGATTTTTCTGAGTGCAATGAACCAACTCCCGAGTCTCTAGGACGTTCCTAAAAAAATTTGATTTTTTCCCATAGGAATGCATGGGTTAGGGTTAGGGTTAGGGTTGGAGCTAGGGTTAGGGTTAGGGTTAGGGTTGGAGTTAGGGTTAGTGTTGGAGCTAGGGTTAGGGTTGGGCTTGGAGCTAGGATTTTTCTGAGTGCAATGAACCAACTCCCGAGTCTCTAGGACGTTCCTAAAAAAATTTGATTTTTTCCCATAGGAATGCATGGGTTAGGGTTAGGGTTAGGGTTGGAGCTAGGGTTAGGGTTAGGGTTAGGGTTGGAGTTAGGGTTAGTGTTGGAGCTAGGGTTAGGGTTGGGCTTGGAGCTAGGATTTTTCTGAGTGCACTGAACCAACTCCCGAGTCTCTAGGACGTTCCTAAAAAAATTTGATTTTTTCCCATAGGAATGCATGGGTTAGGGTTAGGGTTAGGGTTGGAGCTAGGGTTAGGGTTAGGGTTAGGGTTGGAGTTAGGGTTAGTGTTGGAGCTAGGGTTAGGGTTGGGCTTGGAGCTAGGATTTTTCTGAGTGCACTGAACCAACTCCCGAGTCTCTAGGACGTTCCTAAAAAAAATTTGATTTTTTCCCATAGGAATGCATGGGTTAGGGTTAGGGTTAGGGTTGGAGCTAGGGTTAGGGTTAGGGTTAGGGTTGGAGTTAGGGTTAGTGTTGGAGCTAGGGTTAGGGTTGGGCTTGGAGCTAGGATTTTTCTGAGTGCAATGAACCAACTCCCGAGTCTCTAGGACGTTCCTAAAAAAAATTTGATTTTTTCCCATAGGAATGCATGGGTTAGGGTTAGGGTTAGGGTTGGAGCTAGGGTTAGGGTTAGGGTTAGGGTTGGAGTTAGGGTTAGTGTTGGAGCTAGGGTTAGGGTTGGGCTTGGAGCTAGGATTTTTCTGAGTGCAATGAACCAACTCCCGAGTCTCTAGGACGTTCCTAAAAAAATTTGATTTTTTCCCATAGGAATGCATGGGTTAGGGTTAGGGTTAGGGTTGGAGCTAGGGTTAGGGTTAAGGTTAGAGTTGGAGTTAGGGTTAGTGTTGGAGCTAGGGTTAGGGTTGGAGCTAGGGTTAGGGTTGGGCTTGGAGCTAGGATTTTTCTGAGTGCAATGAACCAACTCCCGGGTCTCTAGGACGTTCCTAAAAAAATTTGATTTTTTCCCATAGGAATGCATGGGTTAGGGTTAGGGTTAGGGTTGGAGCTAGGGTTAGGGTTAGGGTTAGGGTTGGAGTTAGGGTTAGTGTTGGAGCTAGGGTTAGGGTTGGGCTTGGAGCTAGGATTTTTCTGAGTGCAATGAACCAACTCCCGAGTCTCTAGGACGTTCCTAAAAAAATTTGATTTTTTCCCATAGGAATGCATGTGTTAGGGTTAGGGTTAGGGTTGGAGCTAGGGTTAGGGTTAGGGTTAGGGTTGGAGTTAGGGTTAGTGTTGGAGCTAGGGTTAGGGTTGGGCTTGGAGCTAGGATTTTTCTGAGTGCACTGAACCAACTCCCGAGTCTCTAGGACGTTCCTAAATAAAATTTGATTTTTTCCCATAGGAATGCATGGGTTAGGGTTAGGGTTAGGGTTGGAGCTAGGGTTAGGGTTAGGGTTAGGGTTGGAGTTAGGGTTAGTGTTGGAGCTAGGGTTAGGGTTGGGCTTGGAGCTAGGATTTTTCTGAGTGCAATGAACCAACTCCCGAGTCTCTAGGACGTTCCTAAAAAAATTTGATTTTTTCCCATAGGAATGCATGGGTTAGGGTTAGGGTTAGGGTTGGAGCTAGGGTTAGGGTTAGGGTTAGGGTTGGAGTTAGGGTTAGTGTTGGAGCTAGGGTTAGGGTTGGGCTTGCAGCTAGGATTTTTCTGAGTGCACTGAACCAACTCCTGAGTCTCTAGGACGTTCCTAAAAAAATTTGATTTTTTCCCATAGGAATGCATGGGTTAGGGTTAGGGTTAGGGTTGGAGCTAGGGTTAGGGTTAGGGTTAGGGTTGGAGTTAGGGTTAGTGTTGGAGCTAGGGTTAGGGTTGGGCTTGGAGCTAGGATTTTTCTGAGTGCACTGAACCAACTACCGAGTCTCTAGGACGTTCCTAAAAAAATTTGATTTTTTCCCATAGGAATGCATGGGTTAGGGTTAGGGTTCGGGTTAGGGTTGGAGCTAGGGTTAGGGTTAGGGTTAGGGTTGGAGTTAGGGTTAGTGTTGGAGCTAGGGTTAGGGTTGGGCTTGGAGCTAGGATTTTTCTGAGTGCAATGAACCAACTCCCGAGTCTCTAGGACGTTCCTAAAAAAATTTGATTTTTTCCCATAGGAATGCATGGGTTAGGGTTAGGGTTAGGGTTGGAGCTAGGGTTAGGGTTAGGGTTAGGGTTGGAGTTAGGGTTAGTGTTGGAGCTAGGGTTAGGGTTGGGCTTGGAGCTATGATTTTTCTGAGTGCAATGAACCAACTCCCGAGTCTCTAGGACGTTCCTAAAAAATTTGATTTTTTCCCATAGGAATGCATGGGTTAGGGTTAGGGTTAGGGTTGGAGCTAGGGTTAGGGTTAGGGTTAGGGTTGGAGTTAGGGTTAGTGTTGGAGCTAGGGTTAGGGTTGGGCTTGGAGCTAGGATTTTTCTGAGTGCAATGAACCAACTCCCGAGTCTCTAGGACGTTCCTAAAAAAATTTGATTTTTTTCCCATAGGAATGCATGGGTTAGGGTTAGGGTTAGGGTTGGAGCTAGGGTTAGGGTTAGGGTTAGGGTTGGAGTTAGGGTTAGTGTTGGAGCTAGGGTTAGGGTTGGGCTTGGAGCTAGGATTTTTCTGAGTGCAATGAACCAACTCCCGAGTCTCTAGGACGTTCCTAAAAAAAATTGATTTTTTTCCTATAGGAATGCATGGGTTAGGGTTAGGGTTAGGGTTGGAGCTAGGGCTAGGGTTAGGGTTAGGGTTGGAGTTAGGGTTAGTGTTGGAGCTAGGGTTAGGGTTGGGCTTGGATCTAGGATTTTTCTGAGTGCAATGAACCAACTCCCGAGTCTCTAGGACGTTCCTAAAAAAATTTGATTTTTTCCCATAGGAATGCATGGGTTAGGGTTAGGGTTAGGGTTGGAGCTAGGGTTAGGGTTAGGGTTAGGGTTGGAGTTAGGGTTAGGGTTGGGCTTGGAGCTAGGATTTTTCTGAGTGCAATGAACCAACTCCCGAGTCTCTAGGACGTTCCTAAAAAAATTTGATTTTTTCCCATAGGAATGCATGGGTTAGGGTTAGGGTTAGGGTTGGAGCTAGGGTTAGGGTTAGGGTTAGGGTTGGAGTTAGGGTTAGTGTTGGAGCTAGGGTTAGGGTTGGGCTTGGAGCTAGGATTTTTCTGAGTGCAATGAACCAACTCCCGAGTCTCTAGGACGTTCCTAAAAAAAATTGATTTTTTTCCTATAGGAATGCATGGGTTAGGGTTAGGGTTAGGGTTGGAGCTAGGGCTAGGGTTAGGGTTAGGGTTGGAGTTAGGGTTAGTGTTGGAGCTAGGGTTAGGGTTGGGCTTGGAGCTAGGATTTTTCTGATTGCAATGAACCAACTCCCGATTCTCTAGGACGTTCCTAAAAAATTTGATTTTTTCCCATGGGAATGCATGGGTTAGGGTTAGGGTTAGGGTTGGAGCTAGGGTTAGGGTTAGGGTTAGGGTTGGAGTTAGGGTTAGGGTTGGGCTTGGAGCTAGGATTTTTCTGAGTGCAATGAACCAACTCCCGAGTCTCTAGGACGTTCCTAAAAAAATTTGATTTTTTCCCATAGGAATGCATGGGTTAGGGTTAGGGTTAGGGTTGGAGCTAGGGTTAGGGTTAGGGTTAGGGTTGGAGTTAGGGTTAGTGTTGGAGCTAGGGTTAGGGTTGGGCTTGGAGCTAGGATTTTTCTGAGTGCAATGAACCAACTCCCGAGTCTCTAGGACGTTCCTAAAAAAATTTGATTTTTTCCCATAGGAATGCATGTGTTAGGGTTAGGGTTAGGGTTGGAGTTAGGGTTAGTGTTGGAGCTAGGGTTAGGGTTGGGCTTGGAGCTAGGATTTTTCTGAGTGCAATGAACCAACTCCAGAGTCTCTAGGACGTTCCTAAAAAAAATTGATTTTTTTCCTATAGGAATGCACGGGTTAGGGTTAGGGTTAGGGTTGGAGCTAGGGCTAGGATTAGGGTTAGGGTTGGAGTTAGGGTTAGTGTTGGAGCTAGGGTTAGGGTTGGGCTTGGAGCTAGGATTTTTCTGAGTGCAATGAACCAACTCCCGAGTCTCTAGGACGTTCCTAAAAAAATTTGATTTTTTCCCATAGGAATGCATGGGTTAGGGTTAGGGTTAGGGTTGGAGCTAGGGTTAGGGTTAGGGTTAGGGTTGGAGTTAGGGTTAGGGTTGGGCTTGGAGCTAGGATTTTTCTGAGTGCAATGAACCAACTCCCGAGTCTCTAGGACGTTCCTAAAAAAATTTGATTTTTTCCCTTAGGAATGCATGGGTTAGGGTTAGGGTTAGGGTTGGAGCTAGGGTTAGGGTTAGGGTTAGGGTTGGAGTTAGGGTTGGTGTTGGAGCTAGGGTTGGGGTTGGGCTTGGAGCTAGGATTTTTCTGAGTGCAATGAACCAACTCCAGAGTCTCTAGGACGTTCCTTAAAAAAATTGATTTTTTTCCTATAGGAATGCATGGGTTAGGGTTAGGGTTAGGGTTGGAGCTAGGGCTAGGGTTAGGGTTAGGGTTGGAGTTAGGGTTAGTGTTGGAGCTAGGGTTAGGGTTGGGCTTGGAGCTAGGATTTTTCTGAGTGCAATGAACCAACTCCCGAGTCTCTAGGACGTTCCTAAAAAAATTTGATTTTTTCCCATAGGAATGCATGGGTTAGGGTTAGGGTTAGGGTTGGAGCTAGGGTTAGGGTTAGGGTTAGGGTTGGAGTTAGGGTTAGTGTTGGAGCTAGGGTTAGGGTTGGGCTTGGAGCTAGGATTTTTCTGAGTGCAATGAACCAACTCCCGAGTCTCTAGGACGTTCCTAAAAAAATTTGATTTTTTCCCATAGGAATGCATGGGTTAGGGTTAGGGTTAGGGTTGGAGCTAGGGTTAGGGTTAGGGTTAGGGTTGGAGTTAGGGTTAGTGTTGGAGCTAGGGTTAGGGTTGGGCTTGGAGCTAGGATTTTTCTGAGTGCAATGAACCAACTCCCGAGTCTCTAGGACGTTCCTAAAAAAATTTGATTTTTTCCCATAGGAATGCATGGGTTAGGGTTAGGGTTAGGGTTGGAGCTAGGGTTAGGGTTAGGGTTAGGGTTGGAGTTAGGGTTAGTGTTGGAGCTAGGGTTAGGGTTGGGCTTGGAGCTAGGATTTTTCTGAGTGCAATGAACCAACTCCCGAGTCTCTAGGACGTTCCTAAAAAAAATTGATTTTTTTCCTATAGGAATGCATGGGTTAGGGTTAGGGTTAGGGTTGGAGCTAGGGCTAGGGTTAGGGTTAGGGTTGGAGTTAGGGTTAGTGTTGGAGCTAGGGTTAGGGTTGGGCTTGGAGCTAGGATTTTTCTGAGTGCAATGAACCAACTCCCGATTCTCTAGGACGTTCCTAAAAAAATTTGATTTTTTCCCATAGGAATGCATGGGTTAGGGTTAGGGTTAGGGTTGGAGCTAGGGTTAGGGTTAGGGTTAGGGTTGGAGTTAGGGTTAGGGTTGGGCTTGGAGCTAGGATTTTTCTGAGTGCAATGAACCAACTCCCGAGTCTCTAGGACGTTCCTAAAAAAATTGATTTTTTCCCATAGGAATGCATGGGTTAGGGTTAGGGTTAGGGTTGGAGCTAGGGTTAGGGTTAGGGTTAGGGTTGGAGTTAGGGTTAGTGTTGGAGCTAGGGTTAGGGTTGGGCTTGGAGCTAGGATTTTTCTGAGTGCAATGAACCAACTCCCGAGTCTCTAGGACGTTCCTAAAAAAATTTGATTTTTTCCCATAGGAATGCATGTGTTAGGGTTAGGGTTAGGGTTGGAGCTAGGGTTAGGGTTAGGGTTAGGGTTGGAGTTAGGGTTAGTGTTGGAGCTAGGGTTAGGGTTGGGCTTGGAGCTAGGATTTTTCTGAGTGCAATGAACCAACTCCCGAGTCTCTAGGACGTTCCTAAAAAAATTTGATTTTTTCCCATAGGAATGCATGGGCTAGGGTTAGGGTTAGGGTTGGAGCTAGGGTTAGGGTTAGGGTTAGGGTTGGAGTTAGGGTTAGTGTTGGAGCTAGGGTTAGGGTTGGGCTTGGAGCTAGGATTTTTCTGAGTGCAATGAACCAACTCCCGAGTCTCTAGGACGTTCCTAAAATAATTTGATTTTTTCCCATAGGAATGCATGGGTTAGGGTTAGGGTTAGGGTTGGAGCTAGGGTTAGGGTTAGGGTTAGGGTTGGAGTTAGGGTTAGGGTTGGGCTTGGAGCTAGGATTTTTCTGAGTGCAATGAACCAACTCCCGAGTCTCTAGGACGTTCCTAAAAAAATTTGATTTTTTCCCATAGGAATGCATGGGTTAGGGTTAGGGTTAGGGTTGGAGCTAGGGTTAGGGTTAGGGTTAGGGTTGGAGTTAGGGTTAGTGTTGGAGCTAGGGTTAGGGTTGGGCTTGGAGCTAGGATTTTTCTGAGTGCAATGAACCAACTCCCGAGTCTCTAGGACGTTCCTAAAAAAATTTGATTTTTTCCCATAGGAATGCATGTGTTAGGGTTAGGGTTAGGGTTGGAGCTAGGGTTAGGGTTAGGGTTAGGGTTGGAGTTAGGGTTAGTGTTGGAGCTAGGGTTAGGGTTGGGCTTGGAGCTAGGATTTTTCTGAGTGCAATGAACCAACTCCCGAGTCTCTAGGACGTTCCTAAAAAAATTTGATTTTTTCCCATAGGAATGCATGGGCTAGGGTTAGGGTTAGGGTTGGAGCTAGGGTTAGGGTTAGGGTTAGGGTTGGAGTTAGGGTTAGTGTTGGAGCTAGGGTTAGGGTTGGGCTTGGAGCTAGGATTTTTCTGAGTGCAATGAACCAACTCCCGAGTCTCTAGGACGTTCCTAAAAAAATTTGATTTTTTTCCCATAGGAATGCATGGGTTAGGGTTAGGGTTAGGGTTGGAGCTAGGGTTAGGGTTAGGGTTAGGGTTGGAGTTAGGGTTAGTGTTGGAGCTAGGGTTAGGGTTGGGCTTGGAGCTAGGATTTTTCTGAGTGCAATGAACCAACTCCCGAGTCTCTAGGACGTTCCTAAAAAAATTGATTTTTTTCCTATAGGAATGCATGGGTTAGGGTTAGGGTTAGGGTTGGAGCTAGGGCTAGGGTTAGGGTTAGGGTTGGAGTTAGGGTTAGTGTTGGAGCTAGGGTTAGGGTTGGGCTTGGAGCTAGGATTTTTCTGAGTGCAATGAACCAACTCCCGATTCTCTAGGACGTTCCTAAAAAAATTTGATTTTTTCCCATAGGAATGCATGGGTTAGGGTTAGGGTTAGGGTTGGAGCTAGGGTTAGGGTTAGGGTTAGGGTTGGAGTTAGGGTTAGTGTTGGGCTTGGAGCTAGGATTTTTCTGAGTGCAATGAACCAACTCCCGAGTCTCTAGGACGTTCCTAAAAAAATTTGATTTTTTCCCATAGGAATGCATGGGTTAGGGTTAGGGTTAGGGTTGGAGCTAGGGTTAGGGTTAGGGTTAGGGTTGGAGTTAGGGTTAGTGTTGGAGCTAGGGTTAGGGTTGGGCTTGGAGCTAGGATTTTTCTGAGTGCAATGAACCAACTCCCGAGTCTCTAGGACGTTCCTAAAAAAATTTGATTTTTTCCCATAGGAATGCATGTGTTAGGGTTAGGGTTAGGGTTGGAGCTAGGGTTAGGGTTAGGGTTAGGGTTGGAGTTAGGGTTAGTGTTGGAGCTAGGGTTAGGGTTGGGCTTGGAGCTAGGATTTTTCTGAGTGCAATGAACCAACTCCCGAGTCTCTAGGACGTTCCTAAAAAAATTTGATTTTTTCCCATAGGAATGCATGGGCTAGGGTTAGGGTTAGGGTTGGAGCTAGGGTTAGGGTTAGGGTTAGGGTTGGAGTTAGGGTTAGTGTTGGAGCTAGGGTTAGGGTTGGGCTTGGAGCTAGGATTTTTCTGAGTGCAATGAACCAACTCCCGAGTCTCTAGGACGTTCCTAAAAAAATTTGATTTTTTCCCATAGGAATGCATGGGTTAGGGTTAGGGTTAGGGTTGATGCTAGGGTTAGGGTTAGGGTTAGGGTTGGAGTTAGGGTTAGTGTTGGAGCTAGGGTTAGGGTTGGGCTTGGAGCTAGGATTTTTCTGAGTGCAATGAACCAACTCCCGAGTCTCTAGGATGTTCCTAAAAAAATTTGATTTTTTCCCATAGGAATGCATGGGTTAGGGTTAGGGTTAGGGTTGGAGCTAGGGTTAGGGTTAGGGTTAGGGTTGGAGTTAGGGTTAGTGTTGGAGCTAGGGTTAGGGTTGGGCTTGGAGCTAGGATTTTTCTGAGTGCAATGAACCAACTCCCGAGTCTCTAGGACGTTCCTAAAAAAATTTGATTTTTTCCCATAGGAATGCATGGGTTAGGGTTAGGGTTAGGGTTGGAGCTAGGGTTAGGGTTAGGGTTAGGGTTGGAGTTAGGGTTAGTGTTGGAGCTAGGGTTAGGGTTGGGCTTGGAGCTAGGATTTTTCTGAGTGCAATGAACCAACTCCCGAGTCTCTAGGACGTTCCTTAAAAAAATTGATTTTTTTCCTATAGGAATGCATGGGTTAGGGTTAGGGTTAGGGTTGGAGCTAGGGCTAGGGTTAGGGTTAGGGTTGGAGTTAGGGTTAGTGTTGGAGCTAGGGTTAGGGTTGGGCTTGGAGCTAGGATTTTTCTGAGTGCAATGAACCAACTCCCGAGTCTCTAGGACGTTCCTAAAATAATTTGATTTTTTCCCATAGGAATGCATGGGTTAGGGTTAGGGTTAGGGTTGGAGCTAGGGTTAGGGTTAGGGTTAGGGTTGGAGTTAGGGTTAGTGTTGGAGCTAGGGTTAGGGTTGGGCTTGGAGCTAGGATTTTTCTGAGTGCAATGAACCAACTCCCGAGTCTCTAGGACGTTCCTAAAAAAATTTGATTTTTTCCCATAGGAATGCATGGGTTAGAGTTAGGGTTAGGGTTGCAGCTAGGGTTAGGGTTAGGGTTAGGGTTGGAGTTAGGGTTAGTGTTGGAGCTAGGGTTAGGGTTGGGCTTGGAGCTAGGATTTTTCTGAGTGCAATGAACCAACTCCCGAGTCTCTAGGACGTTCCTAAAAAAATTTGATTTTTTCCCATAGGAATGCATGGGTTAGGGTTAGGGTTAGGGTTGGAGCTAGGGTTAGGGTTAGGGTTAGGGTTGGAGTTAGGGTTAGTGTTGGAGCTAGGGTTAGGGTTGGAGCTAGGGTTAGGGTTGGGCTTGGAGCTAGGATTTTTCTGAGTGCAATGAACCAACTCCCGAGTCTCTAGGACGTTCCTAAAAAAATTTGATTTTTTCCCATAGGAATGCATGGGTTAGGGTTAGGGTTAGGGTTGGAGCTAGGGTTAGGGTTAGGGTTAGGGTTGGAGTTAGGGTTAGTGTTGGAGCTAGGGTTAGGGTTGGGCTTGGAGCTAGGATTTTTCTGAGTGCAATGAACCAACTCCCGAGTCTCTAGGACGTTCCTAAAAAAATTTGATTTTTTCCCATAGGAATGCATGGGCTAGGGTTAGGGTTAGGGTTGGAGCTAGGGTTAGGGTTAGGGTTAGGGTTGGAGTTAGGGTTAGTGTTGGAGCTAGGGTTAGGGTTGGGCTTGGAGCTAGGATTTTTCTGAGTGCAATGAACCAACTCCCGAGTCTCTAGGACGTTCCTAAAAAAATTTGATTTTTTCCCATAGGAATGCATGGGTTAGGGTTAGGGTTAGGGTTAGAGCTAGGGTTAGGGTTAGGGTTAGGGTTGGAGTTAGGGTTAGTGTTGGAGCTAGGGTTAGGGTTGGGCTTGGAGCTAGGATTTTTCTGAGTGCAATGAACCAACTCCCGAGTCTCTAGGACGTTCCTAAAAAATTTTGATTTTTTCCCATAGGAATGCATGGGTTAGGGTTAGGGTTAGGGTTGGAGCTAGGGTTAGGGTTAGGTGTGGGGTTGGAGTTAGGGTTAGTGTTGGAGCTAGGGTTAGGGTTGGGCTTGGAGCTAGGATTTTTCTGAGTGCAATGAACCAACTCCTGAGTCTCTAGGACGTTCCTAAAAAAAATTGATTTTTTCCTATAGGAATGCATGGGTTAGGGTTAGGGTTAGGGTTGGAGCTAGGGCTAGGGTTAGGGTTAGGGTTGGAGTTAGGGTTAGTGTTGGAGCTAGGGTTAGGGTTGGGCTTGGAGCTAGGATTTTTCTGAGTGCAATGAACCAACTCCCGAGTCTCTAGGACGTTCCTAAAAAAAATTGATTTTTTCCCATAGGAATGCATGGGTTAGGGTTAGGGTTAGGGTTAGGGTTAGGGTTGGAGCTAGCGTTAGGGTTAGGGTTAAGGTTGGAGCTAGGGTTAGGGTTAGGGTTAGGATTAGGGTGGAGCTAGGGTTAGGGTTAGGGTTAGAGCTAGGGTTAGGGTTAGGGTTGGGGCTAGGGTTAGGGTTAGGGTTAGGGTTAAGGTTGGAGCTAGGGTTAGGGTTAGGGTTGGAGTTAGGGTTAGTGTTGGAGCTAGGGTTAGGCTTGGGCTTGGAGCTAGGATTTTTCTGAGTGCAATGAACCAACTCCCGAGTCTCTAGGACGTTCCTAAAAAATTTTGATTTTTTCCCATAGGAATGCATGGGTTAGGGTTAGGGTTAGGGTTGGAACTAGGGTTAGGGTTAGGGTTAGGGTTGGAGTTAGGGTTAGGGTTAGGGTTAAGGTTGGAGCTAGGGATAGGGTTAGGGTTAGGATTAGGGTGGAGCTAGGGTTAGGGTTAGGGTTAGAGCTAGGGTTAGGGTTGGGGCTAGGGTTAGGGTTAGGGTTAGGGTTAAGTTTGGAGCTAGGGTTAGGGTTAGGGTTGGAGCTAGGGTTAGGGTTAGGGTTAGGTTTGGAGCTAGGGTTAGGGTTAGGGTTAGGGTTGGAATTAGGGTTAGTGTTGGAGCTAGGGTTAGGGTTGGGCTTGGAGCTAGGATTTTTCTGAGTGCAATGAACCAACTCCCGAGTCTCTAGGACGTTCCTAAAAAAATTTGATTTTTTCCCATAGGAATGCATGGGTTAGGGTTAGGGTTAGGGTTGGAGCTAGGGTTAGGGTTAGGGTTAGGGTTGGAGTTAGGGTTAGTGTTGGAGCTAGGGTTAGGGTTGGGCTTGGAGCTAGGATTTTTCTGAGTGCAATGAACCAACTCCCGAGTCTCTAGGACGTTCCTAAAAAAAATTGATTTTTTTCCATAGGAATGCATGGGACAAAAAAATTTGAAAAAGTGCCAACCCAATTTTTCACCTTCCAGAATTGTGTTAGGAGCACGTTTCAGGCCACGGGGAGTCTATAGAACCTAATTCTGGGGGAAGCTTTTTGAAAAGTTTACTTAGGGTTAGGGTTAGGGTTGGAGCTAGGGTTAGGGTTAGGGTTAGGGTTGGAGCTAGGGTTAGGGTTAGGGTTAAGGTTGGAGCTAGGGTTAGGGTTAGGGTTAGGGTTAGGGTTGGAGCTAGGGTTAGGGTTAGGGTTAGGGCTAGGGTTAGGGTTAGGGTTGGGGCTAGGGTTAGGGTTAGGGTTAGGGTTAAAGTTTCAAGATCGCTGATTCAAAGGAACCGCTGATTGATCGACAGGAAGGCACACCGTAGCCATTTGTTAGGCGCCTTTAGACCCACCTCTGGTAGGTTGACTAAATGTTATGTTGTACTCGCAGTTTGGTGTCCAAAACTCCATAGCAGAGACAAATGAGTGACACTCACAGACACTGCAATCATTTATCATTAGCCGCACTCGAAAACCAATTTGACATAGGTTACCTGCTTCCTCTATGATCCTGTATGAAGCTGTGTTTAGTATATTGTTTTTTAAGTGTCACCTCTCCTCTATCTGCATAACTTTCGGTAAGTTTCACCATAAGAACGAACTCTTTCTACATACTGTATGTTTAGTCAGCCTTGTGTAGCTCGCTCTGTGACATCTTACATCCATTATGAGCTGCTGACCTCCACTATATTAAGAAAAGCCTTTTTTCATCTACATCGTTTCCCTTGAGTATCTGCTACTTGAGATGGAAAGTGTTTCACTCCGATAATACATAATTCAAACTCGCTGAATTCGCCTTCAAATATTCAACTTAAGCACTTTTTGCGTACATGTCACTTCAGGTCCCTTGTTTCCCTGCTTCCATCAATTGCAAACACCCATTTCAGACTGCGCTTAAATCCCCAGAGGAGCACCACTGTGGGTGGAAAGATCTCCAGCACTGTGGCAGAACTTGTCATGAAACATTAAAAACTGAATCTTCACTGTCACATCCTGTCCAGAAGGATCCATCTGAATGTCTAACTGTGGTGTGGTCGTGACCGCAGTCAATGTTACGCTCTTTTATTCATAGGTTTTTTAGAAAACTTGTAAACAAGCAAAGTCATCTGCACATGGGACAAGTGTAGAGAAAAGAGACGGCTGGTGTCATGCGACGCTGGAGGCTGTATGAGGTCAAAGCACTACGTGACTATACTGGCTGGTTTGTTTTTCTCATTTCTAACAATACATCTCTCAAATGATATGCATCTTATTGAGCTGTCCTCTGTCTGAGAGGGCTCCCTGTGAGACTGACTGTTGATTCTTAGTCAATATTTGTTGTCTGTGTACGCTGAGTGATGTCTTTTGTTTTGTTTTAGGCAGTAGCAGTGACAAACGTATGCCAGTTAGATCTGTCGTGTCATGTATTTCATCATTAATATTGACTTTGTGTTGTGTTTGTATGTGTGGCGGCTGTTTGTCTGTCAGAGACTTTATTACTTGGCTAGCACACTCATGAAAAGATGTTTATTCTTCATCTCCTGGTTAAATACAGGTGAATAAAAAAGGAAATCTAATACAATATAATTTATAGGAACCCTATTTGTGTTTCTCTATCATGTTTCCCCCAGGTTGCATTTCATCTCCAGCCATACAGAGGACGAAATGACCAGACTGTGCATGACAACATCAAATACATCATAGACAGGTAGGCACTTTTCTGGCTGTGTGCTCCATCCATCACTCACTCAAATGGGAAAGCATTAAGATTTCATGCAGAGCTGAAAAACAGATGTTACAAACTGGAGGTACTTACAGAGAGAGGTCTGATTATGTAAGTCTGACTTTGTGATTTTCATACTTTCAGTTTCAAGGCAAACGTTTGTGTTCCGAAAGTACCTGTCAGGTTGATGCTTGACTCCAAAAACACCTCAGAGGAATAAGTTTTTGAAACAAACCAAAAATCCAATCTTTATATTTTGCCAGGGTAGAGTTATTTTCTCTGTTGTTCAAGTCTCTACAGAGAAAACCGACAGAACCGTCTGTTCAGGTTGTCAGGAATGAATTAACTTTCTCTGTGACCTGTAATCCAGAAACACATTGTGCTCATATAAAAATACCACATTTTATTATGAAAACAAAATATTATACTATAGTATGATGAATAATAGTAGAAAAGTATTATTTAAAAAAATATATTATAGTATGTCAAAATATCATAGAATATTTTTGTTAAAATTTTGTAGTATAGTATATAAAAACATCATATTTTAGTTTGAAAAAATCATAGTATAGTATGTTAAAAAACAGTTAAGTATGATAAAAATGTCATAGTATGGTATGATTAAAATGTCATAGTATAGTATGAAAATGATAATTGTTAAGTATGAGAATAATTTCATAGTGCAGTATGTTAAAATATTATGGTATGTATGATAAAAAATAGTATAAACATTATAATTGTTAAGTATGATAGAAATGTCATAGTATAGTATGAAAATTATAACTGTTGATTATGATAAAAATATCATAGTATAGTATGTGATTATATTATGGTATGTATGAAACAAAATCATAGTATTGGATGATAAAAATGTCAAAGCATAGTATATTAAAAAATCATAGTTAAGTATGATAAAAATATCATAGTATAGTATGATAAACATAAAGTAAGTTAAAAATATCAAAGTATAGTTTGATAAAAAATGTGTATGATTGTACTATTAAAATGTCATGGTATAGTGTGATTAAAAATAAAGTATGATAAAATTATCATCGCATAGTTTGATAAAAATGTCATTCGATAGTTTGGCAAAAGTGCCATAGTATAGTATGATAAAAATATTATATAAAGTATGAAAAAAAATGTCAGAGTATAGTTTCATAAAAATAACATAGTATAGTCCGTTATAAATATCATGGTATAGTTGTATAAAAATGTCATAGTGTAGTAAGATAAAAGTGTCATAGTATGATAAAAAAATTATACTGGGGACCTTGGATTGAAATTACCTTTAGTTTTTTATATATTTGGATCTACGTCTTTACACCCCTGACAGAGGATGTTTATACAGGTAGGATTCACTGTTTTGTGCTCTTCAGGGTATAAACTTTTCACATTTGTTACTGGCATTCCTCTGACATTGATCGAGTCATTGTTGGTGAACTTTTGTCTCATGACTTGACTGTATCATTCCTCCTAAAGGTATGCAGACCATGGAGCCTTCTACAAGTTTACCACCAGCACGGGGAAGAGTCTTCCTCTCTTCTATATCTATGACACCTACCTGACTCCACCAGAGTCCTGGGCCGAATTCTTGACTCCCACTGGCTCCCACAGCGTCCGCGGCTCCTCCTATGACTCCATATTTATCGCCTTGATTGTGGAGGAGCGCCACAAGCACGACATCCTCGCAGGTGGCTTTGACGGCATGTACACTTACTTCGCCTCCAACGGTTTCTCTTTCGGCTCCTCGCACCAGAACTGGAAGGCCATCAAAGCTTTCTGTGACGGCAACAACCTGCTCTTCATCCCCAGTGTTGGACCAGGTTACATCGACACCAGCATCCGGCCGTGGAACAACCACAACATGAGGAACAGGGTGAACGGTCGGTACTATGAGACGGCCTTGCAAGCGGCGCTGAATGTGAGGCCAGATATGGTCGCTATCACGTCTTTTAATGAATGGCACGAGGGGACACAGATAGAGAGGGCAGTGCCTAAAAAGACTGTGACCCGTGTGTACCTGGACTATCAGCCACATGGTCCTGATCACTACCTGGAGCTGACCCGGCACTGGGCTGAGCAGTTCAACAAGGAGAAGGAGCAGTGGCTCATGTGAACCTTCAAAGGCGGGATTTGAACTAGCATGCTTTAGTGGAAGTGTGTTTTACATTACAGGGAGAGGAGTGAAGGTAGAGATTGATCAGAATGAATGTGAGTGAACACATGATGATCTGTAAGAACACAACACAGTGAGAGTGGAGTGACTTTGTTTTCAGGTAAAGCAGAAATAAAGGACTATTCTGCAGTTTGTTCAAGTTTGTACTGACAGAAAGGACCTGTGAGAGTTTCAGTGGGCCTGACTCTGATCTCTCAATGAACTCCTGTCTCAAAGTTCCTGTATGACATGTTAATAAAGATGTTTCAGGGAAGGGTCTGTTTGTGTCTGTGGGGTTACATTAGTCAAGCATAAACTTGGTGTAGTCAGGATTATGATAATTTGAGAAACAGCAGCATTGTCAGGAATCGCACCTTCTGTTGTTATGCAGAAAGATAATACGATTGAAACTACCTCTGCTGTTATATTTGAAGCCTATTATCTTAGCTCAACCTTAAGTCTAAAGGCAGAGGAAAACAGTTTATCCATCATGTATTAATTACACAGGGTTCAGTATCATAAAGTAGAGAATGTTAAAATATCATGGAAGTGTATGTTAAAATGTCATAGTAAAATAAAAAAATATATAATTTTTTAGTTTGAAAAAAAACATGGTGTAGTATGATAAAATGTTAGAGTTCAGTGTATAAATATTAAAGTATAATGTTGATCAATAGTAAATGTAATAGTAAAGTATGATAATAATTTAACATTTTATTGTAAAAAATATGTCATAGTATAGTATTACAAAAATGTAATATAAAACTGTCATAGTATCATAAAACATCATAGCACAGTATGATAAAATACCATAGTTTAGTATGATAAAGATTGCAAATTTTAATATGAAGAAATGATCATAGTATAGTATGTAAAAAATATTACGGTTGAAAAATTTTAAATCATATTATGAAGAAATTGTCATAGTATAGTATATTAAAAATGTTGGTATAGGATGAAAGAAATGTCAAAGTAAATCATGCTAAAAATAACATAGTACAGAATGATTAAAATGCATTTTTTTTCATGAGAAAATATCATAGTATAGTATGATAAAAATGTCATATTTTGGTATAAAAATTTTAGATTTTATGAAGAAATTGTCACAGTATAGTATGACAAGAACTTAAATTTTTAATAAGAAAAATGTCAAAGTATCCTTTGTTAAAAATGTCTTAGTATAGTATGAAAGAATGCCATGGTAAAGTATGATAAAAATGTAAAGTAAATTAAAAATTAATAGTAAAGTATGACAAAAATGTCATAGTTTAATGTAAAAAAAGATCTCATAGTATACTATGATAAAAATTTAAATTTTTGGTATAAGAAAATTTTCAAAGTATCCTATGTTTAAAATGTCATAGTATAGTATGATAAAAATATCATAGTTCAGTATGATAAAAATTGCAAATTTAAATATGAAAAAAAAATATAGTATGGCTTAATAAAAGTGTCAAAATATAGTATGATTTAAATACAAAATCTTATAAAGAAATTGTCATAGTATAGTATGTACACAATGTTATTGAACTGTGTGAAAAAAGTATGATAAAAATAACAGTATTGAATGACAAAAATATCACTGTACAGAATAATAAAAATGTCATGGTACAGTATAAAGAAAAATGTCATTGCAAAGTATGATAAAAAATATGTATAGCAAATAAGTATAGCATGATAAAAATTCAAATTTTTGGTGTAAGAAAAATGTCATAGTATAGCATGTTAAAAATATAATTTAGTAAAATGAAAATTGCAAAAAATAATATGAGAATATATCATAGTATAGTATGACAAAAATGTCATAGTATAGTATGTTAAAATTTAAAATCTTATGAAGAAATTGTCATAGTATAGTATGTTAAAAATGTTATGGTATTGTATGAAAAAAAAATTTCATAGTAAAGTATGATAAAAATATCATAGTATAGTATGATAAAAAACATCAGTGTAGTATAATAAAAATGTCATAGTATAGAATGATAAAAATGTCATGATGTTGTAATGAAAAAAATGTGATATAGTATGATAAAAATGTCATAGTATAGTATGATGAAAATTAAAAATTTTAGTATGGGGAAAAATCATAGTATAGTATGACAAAAATGTCATAGTATAACATGATAAAATTGACATTGGATAGTATGAAAAAAGTTAACCTTTTAATATGAAAAAATAAAATGTCATAGTATAGCATGATGAAAATTAAAATAGTCATAGTAGTATGATAAAAATTTCACATTTCAATATGAAAAATAATATAGTTTGATAAAAACATCATAGTATAGTATGAAAAAATATTCAAGGACAGTATAAGGAAAATGTCATGTAAAATATGAGAAGTATAATATCATTATAAAAATGTAACTGTATAGTATGATAAAATTCTGCTGTTTTCTAAAGACACTTTTGAGCAGACACTCAACTATACTTAAAATGGCACTTCCAAAAGTTTCAGTTGGTTATTTTAAATTTTTATTTATTTTACGCCACATAATTATACAAAAAAAAAAAACACCTTTAAAACACAGAGTCATGTTTCAAAGAGCTCCTTATGCCCCAGAATGAAAAGTCGAGCTTTTATTATGGCCATGTTGAGATTGTACAATTCATAAAATCAATCAATCACAAATTAAAATTATAACGTGAAATCAGACAGAGTTTATGTGACTTTAATAAAATAAATAAAAGGGATTCACAATCTTTGAAGTAACACAGAAGTAATACAGTTTAGGGCTTAAAACTTGTAGTAAATGACATTTGCCACCTTCACCTGTCTATAATGTATAATTTGGGCCGTAACATATCAGTTAGCTATACCCCAGACTTGAATAGAAACATGATATCAAACCTTTAACCAGTTTCCTCATTAAGATACAAATATCATGATCATAGAGTGAAAATCAAATCAAAGTATATACAGGTTTAATTCCATGCAAGCCAAATCCCTGACTGTGGAGCTGAAAAAACAGTCAGGGATTTGGCTTGCGACGGCAGAGACATCGAGGCAGAAACTAGAGAGGAGACTTCAGACCTTAAACCAGCCTCCATCAACCATCAGCAGTTAAAATCTCAGTTTTTTCCACAGTCCTGTTCTTTCCCTGGAAAGACTCATTCTTCCATGTGTGCATGAAAATGGAGTCATCTTTACCCAGGGAGCCCCCGGGTCAGACCAGTTGTGCGTCTCAGCATGCTGTGGAGTGTGCAGAGTTCAAAGGTCATGCCTCCCCGGGGTCCTCTGACAGCCCATATTTGTGCTCCAGCACTTCAACCGTGGAGGAAAGGGCACTGAAAGAGAATTACAGTCATTTTCGGTTTAATGTTGCAAGCCTTCTGCAGAGTTAGATGAGAGAGTGACTTTAACGAGGCGTTTTTTAGTTCACCAGTTATTGCAAAACACCCTCGATTTCACTCTATGATCATGATATTTGTATTTTACATCTGCAGTGTTTAATTTCAGTTGGTGCTGCAGATGGATCATGCTGATGGAGGACTTATCAATGACACAGCAGAAAGTGAAAACACTGGCAGGTGCTGGAGGCAAGAAGATCTCTCTAAGAAATTAACCTTTAGTGAATAAATTTCCTCCTTCCTGAGTCATGCTGTAAACAGGAAAGCGGAGGGACCGGTCTTTGGCTTGTTTGTGTCTCTCAGATTCAGCTAATTTACAGCCTGATGGCTTTGTCAGACTATCGACTCTATGTCTGTGCAATCTAGGAGCCGACCCTCTGCCAGCTCTGTTTTCAAACCTTGAGCCTCAGGTTTTCTGGTTCTACAGGTCGGTATCTTCAAATGAGCATAAGCAGCCGATAAAAAGAAAACTTAGCTTGTCGAAGTAGGAAAGTCAGAAGTTTTCTCCAGTACAATTTCACTTGCATTTTACAACAATATATCTCACAGTTGATGTAAGTGTTCCTGTCAAACTTGCGCTATTACAGTAACATTTAATAAATAAATAAGTCTACATAATATTAATAATAATAATAACAAAAGAAAAATATAGTACTACAGTTATGCTACTCTAACCCTAGAGTTTTGCCTAACATGTTATGTTTCTTACTGCACTGTAGGGAGAATTGTACCACTGAAGGTTAGGGTCACAAAAAAAAAAAAAAAAAAAAAAATATATATATATATATATATATATATATATATATATATGTATATATATGTATAATTTTTAAAAAAAAAATTTCATAAACTTGTAATGCTGTGAGAATAAAGTCCATTATTATGAAAAATAAGTTATAAATGTATGAAAATAATGAAAAATTTCCTGCATCTAAAAAAAGTGAAACGTTTACCAGAAAAATTCATAATTCTGCAAGAACAAAATGAAATCAGACGTTTTTTTTAAAAAGACATTAAGACCAAGAATAAATGTTTAAATTAATGAGATTCAAGTCATAAAGATATGAGAACAATGTTATTCCAATGGACAGAGTGTTAAGGCCACATTAGAGGAAAAAAACCTCAAAGATTTACATTTTATAAGACTTTATTTTTTTCTAAGATTAAGAAATCGTCTTTTTTGGTCACTTTTTCACAAGAATAGAGTCGTAACAAAATCAATGGCGCTGGAAGAAAATCAAGATGTAATTTATTTTTAAAGACATATAACAAAAAAGCCACAGTAAAGTCATAATATCTCAAAACTTAACTCCTCATGTTATGAGAATAAAGTGGTGATAAAGTCAGAGTTTTGGTTCTGGTGAGCAGCCAACTGCCTGTGCTAAAATAATCAGGAAAGTGGAGCGTCTAATTAAATTTTGCTCTTCTGCACCAAAATGTTTTAATTATACGGATTCTGAAAAGACTGTTCAAAAATCTAAGACATAAGGTATCCCCCTTTGAAACAATATTATTCTGCTAATCAATCTCTAAATCAACAGCTTTGAATAGGATTTTATTCTGGTGAGGAAAAACAATCTATATTTCAAATGGTTGTTTGTTTAATGTGGCCCTGATACTCTGTGGTGAATGATGAAGAAGTCATTATTACGTGTTATGGTTAATCTACATGTTTAAGTCTTATGAAGGCGGGTATCGGGAGAGCAGTCGTCTGCCTGCGCTGAAATGAAGAGCGTGGATCATCCTGTGAAGTTATTCTTAACAGCTGAGGACAAACAGCGGCTGCAGAGGCGTGCTCAGGCTGCATCTTGGTCTGTCCATCAAGAATCCTAATATTTTATGACGTTATCGTGCTGGTGTGTTAAAAATTTGAGTATTGAGTTTATGAAACCTTTACTGAAGGTAGGATAACTTTCTTTTATTGGAGGCAGCCGGCTGTTCCTTCGAACTTCAACATACATAGGAGCTCCAGGCCAGAACTTTTTTTTTCGACTTTAAAAACTTTGATTTTATTTAATGTCAGAGTCTGATGTTGGTTCAGGATATGGCAAATGTTTAGACATGCTAGAGGACTCATTTTATTGATATGCTATAGAGGCTACACCCGATATAATCAGTGCAACTTCAATGTCAACACAGTTCGCTCTGATCAATATTTACTGATTACTGACATTTGAACCTTAAGTGTGGCGCTGCTTTGCTGCATGGATGTATAATCTGACCCACTTTAACTTCAAACATGTTACAGTCATTTAAAATGCCCCCTAATGGAAGAGTTTATCATCCTGTTGACTGTATTTGCAGCAAATGAAAAGCAAAGTGAGTCCTAGTAATTTCATAAACTCACCAGCCCGGTCTGATGATGCGGTATTTGCCCAGCACTGAGAGGTCCACTACTGTTGATCCCAGGCGGCTCTGGTCTCCTATAGGTCCTCCATCCACCACCACTGCTAGCTTTGGCCAGAGGTCCTGAAACTCCTGCAGAGGAGAAATCACAGCATCAAAACTGAGGTGACAACAAGGGTAAAACACACCTTCACGGTGCTGGAGAGGATTGTGAATCAGTTTTTAAACTAAATAAACCTCAGACTCTTGAGAAAACCCTCATTTTGCCTCAATACACTTACATGTACGGCAAGAGTGCTGGTGTGAGAGCTGATGTTGGCGCTAGTGAGTGCGAGGGGTTCTCCACACATCTGACAGAGGCGTCTCATGAAGGAGTGATTAGGGATACGGACGCCTACAAGCTGAGAAGCATATTGCAAAATAAATGTTAAATTATATTCACTCATTTATAAATAATTTAAAGAGTTTGATGCTTAAGGACTGGACTCACTGAGGTGAAGGGATTGAGATCTGGGTTCAGAACTTCAGATCTTTCAAAGACCAGAGTGACAGGACCAGGGAGAAGATCACCTAACAGCGCTGTCTCCACGGTCACCTTACAGTACCTGCAAAGTTAGACACAGACATGTTTTATAACGCGCAGTGCTTCTGGGATGAACTAGAAGTTATTACATTAAAAATTCACACTTAGATAGTTTTGCAAAATCCAGTATTTTGAACAAGACATGCTCCTTTATAAGAACTTAATTGAAGCTAGAGCTGTGACCATGAATCAATTCGTGGAAAAAGTTCTGATAAGTACCTTTTGGGATAATAAATCAGTTTTTTCATCATGTTTAAAGCAAATATGTCAAACTTGGGTCAAATCTCCACAGCTTTCACTTTGTTGCTGGTTCAAGCTTCTTATACGTCAGGAAATGTTCCTTTACCTTGTACTTAATGAATGTAAATAAAATTATTTCAGTATTTAACTTTTTCTTTTTATCAATTTGAAAAGGTCAATTTGGTTTACAGGAAACTGAAATGCTGCCAACTCCTGCACAGTCTAACTTGCCAAGAAATACATTTTTTGGCAGTGTTTCCCTGGCAACAAAATGTTCTGTTTGCTGTTTAGGAATAAAATGTTGCTAATAAATACGGGTGCAGCTCAAAAACTTGGATAATGATTACGGCTTACAGCTCACAAAAATCCACCATCTCCACCAAACATTAAAATATTGTGGAAAAGTCTGGTTTCTTGTCAGGTATATCAGTGCTGAAAAAAGACGTCTAAACAGGTTATTCAATGAGATAGAGGATTTTTGATATTTGCCATAATCATCAAGATTCAAGAAAAAAGTTATGAAATATTTCACTGTATGTGCGATAATCTAGAATATAGAAGTTTCACTTTTGAGTTAAATTATGGAAAAAATTAACTTTTTTGGGAAACTCTAATCTGAGCTGCACCTGAAAATGTGATTTTTTTTCCTTTTAAGTTTCGGCATTGTACATAATGAGTGAACGGACTGAAACACTCAGCTGTGACTGAGGTTCATGAGTTTCTGATCGGCTGTCATTTAAAGCACCGTTACAAAACAAAGTAATGAATGCATCCGGAGGGTATCAGTGACAGAAAATGTGCCTGTCACTCAAAATGTAAAATGTTGTGATGGTGTGAAAACAGGAAATCAGCCTCTCCTCTGTGCCTGACTCCTCTGTGTATGACTAATTTATTTTTGCAACATGCTGGGTCTACAGAAAATCCATCACACTTCCGAGGGACTGACACCTGAGCGCCGCGCTCATATACTGCTCTGTCAAAAAGACGAGTTTTTCAGGGTCACTCTTCAAACAACAGACTGGATCCACCAGCAGACACCTACACATGTACTTACTTATAGATATCCTCAATCTCTCCCACACAGATGGCCAGCGGCTTGTGTCCGTTCCTGCCTTTGATATCGTAGGTTTTTCGGATGGCTTCAGAGTTCTGGGCCAGGCATGCCAGACCGTAGATGGTGTCAGTGGGAACCGCAACCACGTGGCCCTCTTTAAGCGCCTTCGCCGTACAACTGAGGATTTCGGCACCATCTGCAGTTCAGACACAATGAGGATTAGTGCTAGACAAACATGATGACAAGACATTAAGGGGGACCAAAGACTAAACACAACTCACCTTCTCTCTTCAAGCAGCCGCTAGTTTGTAGTGAGACCTCAGGCCAGTCCATTACGGACTGCTGCGGGGTGACGCAGCTCAAGGAAGAACATTTATGATAATTTCTTTATCATTTCGTTTAAGTAATAATCATCATATTAATCATTTTGTAATGCAGACGCGGTAGTTTTCCTGCCTTAGTGTCTCGGTCTGATTGCATTTCCATGAAAAAATGATCATAGATGTTCTTCCTTGAGCTGCGTCACCCCACTACAGTCGACGGACTCACCTGGAGGTCTCCGTACAAACAAGTGGCTGCTGGAAGAGAGTAGGTGAGTTGTGTTTAGTCTCTTTGCTAAATAAATTAGGCAAATTTAAAAAAGGGTTTGGTGGCTGAGACCCAATATGTACTGTTGATGAAGTTAGGTGCTGTTCTGAGCATTATTTGTGGCTATAGAGTGGTGTTTTGGTTGAGGTTTGTTTATGGCTCCTCAGACTTCTGTGTATTGCTGACGTGTGGTCGTTACTAAAGTTGGTATAACATCAGAAGCAAGCGGTCAGAAACATTCATCTCTCAAGGGGGTGTCTAACTCTGTGTTATGGTGTGTTTAACCTTAAATCAATTATACGCTGGAATATCCCTTTAAGTGGATACATTGTGGCACTTAATCATTGTTTAAATCTTTGCTCATGTTGCATTGACTCTTAAATGTACAGTGCCTTGAAAAAGTATTCATACCCCTTGAACTTTTCCCATTTTGTCAGTCTACTATCACTAATTTCAAAGTATTTTATTGAGATTTTTTGTCATAGACCAACACAATGTAACACATAATTGTGAAGTGGAACAAAAATGAAACATGGTTTTCAAAAATGTAAACAAATAAAAGCTGAAAAGTGTGAAAAAGTTCATGGGGTATGAATACTTTTTCAAGGCACTTCAATCCATAAACAGCTTAAGTGATGCACCTTCTATAGGGACACATTTTAGATGTGGCTTTGTGTTTACATGTCTAGACCAAAAGTCGCTGCACTCTCTGGTCCTGGTCTTGTAAATATGATGATTCTGACACCTACATCAGTCATGGCAGACCGGTCCTGCGTGTCACACATGACAGGAAAAACAGGAATCTGATGTAACACTGTGTAATGTTTACTCTTAGGGTACTTGCAGACTTACTCATTCATCTCCATCTGCATATTTCCTCTATTTTCTTCAAAACATACCGTCTGTACCGATCACCCACGTGCGGCTCCTCACCTGTTCGGCTCTCCGTGTGAGCAGACGGCCCATTGGAGGTCGGCGGCAGCAAACTCAGCACTTTGGTCTTGAGCTCTTTACACATCACTGCTCCGAGTCTGTGAGCGGCGGCCGAACTGTGTGATCTTCGAGAATTCACTACTTCAACTACAAGGTTACAAACGGACCTCATAAACCCAACAGATCGATGTATCAACTCGGAACCGGGGGAAGAAGCATGTTGTCGCCTGATGAAATACCGCAAGTGTTCCGGGTTACGCCCCCAAAACAAATGACGTGAGTTTTCTTAAAGGGCCAGCAGCAGCACGATGATTCAATGTGGTGTTTTTGATGGAACTGTTTGGAAAAGGGTCTGTACGGTGGCCGATAACCGCCACTGCTGCGAATAAAAAAAGAATGCAAAAAAAAAAAGGAAAGAAGTCACAACGGAAGTTACTGATGAAAAAAAAAGAAATCGAAGCTTGCTGCAAATAAAAAAAAGGACAGTGCAGATAAAAAAAAAAAAAAAATAAAAAAGTTAATGACGAAAGTTAAGTGGTGATGCAAAAAAGAAAAAAATTACTTACTGCAAAAATAAAAGGATGCAAATAAAAAAAGCCACAACAGAAGAGAGCTGCCCGGGACCAATAATGATGATGCATCAGTGTTTCACGATCTAGGCACTGAAGATGACGGCGAGGAGACGAGCAAAGTAGTTAGTGGAAAGGCTATTGTTTAATTTCGCGTAGTGTATTTTTCAACATATCAGTTGGTTAGGCCATGTAGCGTCTGTAGCGTCTTTTTTATTTGCATCCTTTTATTTTCGCAATAAGTAACTTTTTTTTTCCCTCGCCACTTTTTTTTTTTTTTTAGCGTCGTTAACTTCCATTGTGGCTTTTTTATCTGCACTGTTTTTTTTATTTATTTATTTGCAGCAGGCTTCGGTTTCTTTTTTTCTTTTTTTTCATCAGTAACTTCCATTGTTGCTTCTTTTTTTTGCATTCTTTTTAATTTGCAGCAGTGGCAGTTCTCGGCCACCGTAGCTATGAATTTACTACAAAAAATAATTGATTAACAATAAAGTGACCAAGGTTTATTTCAAAATGATTCACTTAATCTATCCAACTAACCACTTTCTCAAAAAATATAGAACTGATACGTCGGACTCTTGTGTATTTTTTTAACCGCTGGGTATTGGTTTAGTAATAAAAACGTAGTCAGATTGTGTTTCTGTTGTTGATTAGAAAAATAAAGGGTTTTAAAACCAATAATCTGGGAAAAAAAGCTTTTATAGCTTTTAATAACCCATAACTGAATCAAAAATAAGAAGCACAATTTTGAGTGTTTTCCTGATTTTGTCGCAGCATCTTCTGTCACCTTGCCCCTCCTTACCTGCCTCTCCACACTGTCACACCTTGATTGGTTAAATTAAAATCACCTGAGAGCACCAACCTAAAAACACAGAAGCTACAAAGGAGATACTTAATATTTTACTGGATAATTATGGCTTCAGTAACGGCCTCTGAATCAGGTAACGATGGATTTTTCTTATTTTTGTCAGTAATATTGTCAGTATATCTTAAAGTATACTTTTAAAACAGTTGCAGATTCTACAGAGGAGACTTTGACCCTGTCTGCCGCTAACAAGGACTCGTCACAGGTGAGGCACAATCTAAAACTTGAACATTTTAATATCTTGACTGCTCAAAGTTAAGGATGGGTGAAATGTTTTAGTCTTCTCAGGAACTTGAAGTGGTGGAGGACAGACTTGTGACCCTGTCTGACAAGATAAAACTCTGCAACATGATACTGACAGACCTGAAGGATCTCAGTGGTATTGTGGCGGTAAGCATTTTGTTTTGCACAACTTTATTTTAACCTGTTGCCGATTTTTTTAAAGCTAATCTTGATCTTATTTCAGAAAAAATCCCGCCAGGATGTGCCCGTTCCTCCTCAGATGTGACCAAAGACATGAAAGCTTTACTCTTTTATGTGTCCCCTTTATATGTTTGATAATAAAATACTTTCAGTCTTGATTAGACTTCATCAATAGCATCAAAGAAGCATTTCAGTGACAAGGATAAGGTTTTATTAGTATATTGCTCTCAATTCAGAAAGTTATTTCTCATAATACAAGCATAAGCAAACATTTTCACATTATACATTCTTTAAAAAATACAAATCCTTTACAATTCCTCACTCTTTGGGTGTAAAGACATTCCTTTGGAAGCATACAGTTTCCCCCCTTTTTCTACTTCTATTGTTGCCCATTTGGGAAAATGAAGAATTCTTGATCTTCGCCCCCCTCCCCGACCTAAAAAAAACAAAAACACTCTGGCTGTACATTTGCAATCAAACAATGTGCTTCCAAACAAATGTCACCATCAGTGATAAACCTACTTTACCTTTGTCGGTAAAGCAAAGGTACGAAGGCCCAAAACCCATTTCTCTGCCATAACAAATATCAGTGGCTGTTAGTGACATGAATTTGTGAAGATGAGTCGACAAATTAGCCACACGTCCTATTTGAGTATGTGAAAAGCCGAGATCAATTACATCAATAGAGTGCGCCCCGATAAAACATGTTATTAGGCATCAAAGTAAAAAAGGAAAGCTGCATTCATTTGACCAAAGTAATTCTTAAAACAGAATCATTCATTACAAAGAAATCCAGTCCATTTCAAAGGTGTGAAGGAAACCGCCGTGATACTAATTTGAAATCACAACGGCCAGGATGTGAAAATGATGGAATACCAGTAAAATACTGGAGGTGCCGGAAACATGCGTTACATGAATGCACTGAAGGAGGTCATAGTAAAGTACAATTGAATGGAGGAAGGAATAAATAATCTTTGTGTCCTGCAGTTAGTATTTAAACACGTGAATGCCGCACTTAAAATTGCATAGTTGTGTTCAATGACAGTATGCTTGTTCGATGTTGGATTGATGGCATGAGCTTGGCTTGTGGCAGTAGTTTAAACGCCTTACCTGGATAAAAGTAAGTAAATGTTTTTCTAGTCGAGCCAAGTCACTTCTCGATTTATCCGATACTGCATAAATGGAATGGTTTAGAGCACAAAATGGACTGGAGCCTTTCACAACACATCCGACTGCTATCTTGGCACAGTAAACTGTGGGAATGCTCCACTGAAATATGGCAAAAAAGAAAAAACAAAAAACGTCAGTGTGAGATGTTTGGTTCATGATCACATCACCGACATCAGCTGTTACATGGTTGGTTATAATCGTAGCAGAGCTGCATATCCATTTACAACTTTGCAGAGAGACACAGCAGGCGAATGGACTCTACTTAAACCATCGGCTTTTCTGTTTTCAACTCGCTTCTGGTGACCCAGTTAAGTGATTGCCTGAGACTCGATGAAGATGGGCGTGTTCATCATGTCGATGTCAAGTCTGAAATAGAGACCGTCAAGGCAAAGAGGCTGACAGAAAAGTTGTGTGGTAAGGCCGAGCAGCTGTACTCTCTCGCATACAGGGCGTGAAGCCTTCATTCTAACATCATTGCATTGTGTCCCTTGTGGAGCAATACTGTTAAATCATACTCTGAGAGGGAGGCCATGTGTTACATATACTTTGTTACTATAGAGACTGTACAAAAGCCCAGCTGCTAGTAGAACTATTCAGATAAACACAGCAAAACCTCTTCTGCATAAACGTGAACAGGGGGGGGGATAATGCATTAGCTCCAAACTCTGAGAGTTAGTAATTCAAAAGTCTATACAAAAATACAAATTCTAGAATAATCTACACATTTCTCAAAGATCTTTACACTAAAATGTATTTACACTGTCGCCAGGACACCGTCTTTTCAAATGCTACTTTACAGCAGTTGTATACAAAAGTCTGTAGTGGTGCTGCACCTCAGCTAAGAAGCTGTCAGATTACTCATGTGTGCAATAAACGGGGAAGAGTGCAGCAAAACGCAGGGCTACCGCCGGTGTGGAGCGTCCTGTGAGAAAAAAAACTAATGTCTGAGTAACAAATTAAGGGAACCAAGATCTGTTATGACTCGATGCATCCCTGAGAGGGTGAAACCCTATAAAACGTGGGATGATGACAGTAGTTCTGAACTGTTTCATTGTGGGCATATTGTCTAACAAACAAGCAGATCCTCCAGGAGAGATTTCTTCACTGTGCAGTCGACTAAAGGTGCCGCTTTCTTAAACCTGCTTTTTTTTTTACTAAAAAAAAGCAAATTCAGTAACATACAAACTCAACTACATATACATTAAGCGATTGGAATAAATTAATCATAGATTTCTCTGTTATCTTGAAGATAATATCACCGGTAAAGATGAAAGAATCAAGCATTAAATAAATTAACATGTACAAATTATAAATTAGTTTAAGTTATAGGCAACTTATTGATGTCTTGACTCTATTTCACTTTAAAAAGACAGGCAGATCTGGTCACAGGTTATTTTCTCTCGATTAGTAAATAACTGTCAGAAGAAGCAAAAAAAAGAAAGTCGTCACATTTTCTGGACTACACTAATCTTCCTAACGAACAACAACAAGAACAACAACAACAAGAACAACAAAAGAAATCACTTCATTTGTCTGACAGTCATGAGGGTCCACGTGGCCGACCTCTCAAAGTTCCTGCTGGGAGCGATTCTCGTGAAAAATTTCAGCTAATTCCTCTAATATACAGTGCAATCTGCTCATCTGCATACCAGCGTTAAGCATTTGTTAGGACCTGCAGTACAGTACAAGGATATACAGACACGCGTTTATCTCTCCTGCTCGGGTATGTGCGACCTTCAAGCCAGAAAAGTGGAACTCTAGTTTCTCAGTGCTTGGACAACCCTCATTCATATCAGTCATTTCGTTAAGAGAGGATATCGTAGGCTGATATATATACAGTTTGATTATGGTTACGACAAAAAGGATCTACTGCCCGTCCTTAACATCGCTAAACTAATCCTGTTTTTAAAAAACTCGACTACTGCAATGAGACTCAACAGAAAAGTTAGTCATAGTTTGTGTATATATGTTACACAATGCGGTACAGAACAAAATGCGCTGCAGGTACAAGGGCCTCGATGCACACACTATATAGGGAGATAGAAGAGAAGAGGCGTCACTGTGGAAAATGACTCGGTGTGGGTGGATTTGATGTCTGTGGATGTGTGGGTGCAACAAGACAGACATAGGGGTGCCAGAATCAGAAGGCAGCTCTTCTAAGGATTGCCGTCAGTAGCCATGCTGAAGTCCTCGGCGACCAGCAGCAGAGCCTCGATGTTGGCAGCCGTGTCAGGGCTCTGCAGTGAGAGGAAGTCCGACACATCCATATTGGATAGCCCGTCAGACGAGGGAGGGTTGGTGGCAGTGCTGCTCACTATCGTTGAAATAGTCTGAGCTGAGGAGGAGGAGGAGGAGGAGATGGAGGAGGAGGAAGAAGAAGAGGGGGCCTCCAGCCTCACCTCATCCGCCTTGGAAGAAGACTCAGGGAGGCAGCAAGAGGAAGAGCAGGTGGAGGGATGGTGTGGAGGCTCTGTGGGCTCTGACGGTGGGGGAGGAGGCTGTGAAGGAAGCTGTGTCGGGACTGAGACTACAGAGGAGGAGGAGGAGGCACTCTTTGAACTCTTGTCCTTCGCTGAGTCCCTGCAGGTGCACTGACACTGGCAGGACTCCTCCTGTTTGATGATGATGACAGGGAGGCTGAGGCCGATCTGCTGGACCGAGTTCCCTGAGAACACAAAGGACAAAACAAAGGGACTGAGTTCAGAGCGGTGCATTTATCGCTTTCTGTCAGAATATCCTGCAAGAAGTGGAGAAGAGGGAATGTGACATGAACTGACAAGAGGACAGAATGAAACTGACAAATGAAGTGTTAAAGCAGAGACGCCTGTCATTTTCTGATTCCCTTAGTCAACACTGAGATAGCTGTGACAAAGACGGTTTGTTAGTGCCAGAACTGATACTGCAGAGCTGCTCTGTGTAAGAGGCTTTCATTAGTGGCACATTTTTCCTCCAACCTAATTTTTTTAAGCTTTATAATATCGATATTTTGTGCAACTTAAACTACATTTTTTGCAAGTCAATAAAAAAAAAATTAAGTGCACTTTTCAGATGTAACTTATTATTTGTGTTTCAACATGTTTTCCACCAAGTGAAAGTAAAATCAATTCATTTATAATGTGATCATCTGGGAAACAAAAGTCTGATCATGCAGCTGCAATTGCAATAAATATCCTTGTTTTTAACGTTTTTATTTATAGGTCTGTTTTAACAAAATGAAAACATAATAATGTTTTGGACCATAATGTTGGAACAATAATTCACTGTATGTTTTTGTTTTTACTTTGAGAACAATTAAAAGACCACTACCTGAAGACCTGAGGGTTCTACTAGGCTCATACGGTAAAAACAAATCAGACAAATAAGAAGGACCAAGACCATTGAGAGCTTTAAAAACTAATAAAAGAACCTCAAAATCTACTCTAAAAGACGCAGGTAACCAATGCAGAGATTTCAAAATTGGCCTGATGTGGACTCTCTTCCTGGTCTACGTCAACATGCGTGCAGCAAAATTTTGTTGAAGTTGTGAAATGTTCATTTTAGGGAGTCCAGAGAGGAGAGCATTGCAATAGTCAATTCTACAGGTGATAAAAGCATGGATAAGAGTCTCTGCATTGGCTTTAAAGGGAAACTGGCGCACTCTGGAGATGTTCTTAAATGATAAAATGCCTAAAATATATAATTTGTAAAAATTTAGCAAAAGAAAAAGTTGGTCAATCATAACAACACAAATATAGATCATAAATAACTTCCTACCAGCATTTCCTCCAACTGGTATGGCTGTAGTGAAGAAAACTTTTTCCACTTTTGGAGCTCCTTGATGTGCCTGTGAACGAAGATTTAACACCACAGTTTAAATCCCACGCCTAATCTTGATTTTACTAAAAATTAGACAATAATAAACAAACTGATATCCTGCTATTCTGAAGAAGACTCTAAACCACAGAAACTGAGATCATACACTGATCAGACAAAAACTTAGCTAAGGGGAGCAGCTGTTTTCTCAACAGGTCTGTCTTATTTTTGCAACAAGTCAAGTCACCCCCTGCTGGCCACAGAGAAGAATGCAGGTTTAAGGCTACGTCACTTTGGAAACCAAGGTTGTTTCAACTTTTTATGTACAGTTTAAGATACAAATGTGCTCCAATCAACTTTAACACTTTTCATTCACGACACAAACTATAAACAAAGCGACCACACTGATCACACAGACGACACGCTGACTATCTGCTGGTATATTCAATCTATGCATGTTCTGTTCTCCTGTTATTATAACAAAACCAAGTTCATGACAATGTCGTTTCCTAATCCTCTCACATGCATTTACTTATGATTAGGAAAAATGTGTTACTCACTGCCTGCTCGGGGTTCTGCTGGCTGTTGGCAGCACTGCTGAGGATCCACTGCAGGTTCTGGTCAGACATGACCAAGCTGGGCTGCAGCAGGTTCTGGGTTGGAGCTATAGTGATGGTGGCAGGGGCGGTGGGCAGACCAGGGCCAGAGTTTGGGATGGGGTTGTTGGCCAAAGGCACAGGTTGAGCCACGGCTGCCAGAGCGTCTGTTGCGGCAGCTGCGACAACAGGCACGGGAGCGGTTTCTGGTGCTGCGGTGTTCAGCGCTGGAGCCAGTGAGGGGGGAGCAGAGATGGGCTGTGGCAGGGGGGCGGTCTGGGCGGCGCTGTTTGGCTGCAGGAATGTGGATGGCAGTGCGACGTATTGCTGGGGGTTGGCGTGTTTCGGTGCTTGGACAGGAGTCTGAGCGGGCATGTCGGAGATCTGCTGAGGCCCCGTGAGCTGCATGAAAGGGGGAGGCTGTTTTGAGCTGACAGTGGCTGTGACTGCAGCAGGGGTGGAGGCCTGGGAAGGAGCGCTCTGACTGAGCTGGGGAGGAGCCTCCATCACTGCAGTTGTGTGGGAGCAGGGAGCTGAGGAGGTAGGACTGAAGGTGAAAGAAATGATAGGCGAGGCATCACTCCCTCCTGGCTGGGTGTGAGTCTCGAGACTGAAGTGTTCAGTGAGGCTCTCTGAGGAAAACAAAACCCAGTCAATGAATAAGGAATTTTGATTAAAGGGGTATTCCGGTGTAAAATTAAGTTATGGTCAAAAACACCAGAACACAGAGTTAGACACCCCCTTGAGAGATGAATGTTCCCGACTGCTTGCTCCTCTAGTTATACAAACCTGAGTAACGATTGCAGGACTACAGCGGGGTTTCGCAGCTCAAAGAAGAACATTGATGATCATAACTAGATAACTAGAGAAGCAAGCGGTCGGCAACATTCATCTCTTGAGGGGTTGTCTAACTCGATGTTTTGGTGTTTTTGACCCCAAATTAATTTTACGCCGGAATATCCCTTTAAGTTCCAACAGGCAGGTTTTGTGTATTCTGTGTACTGACCGTTGGGATGGGCATCATCCTGGCTGACACTGTTTTCAGGACTCTGGAACATGAGCTCAAAGATTTTCACAGGGGTCACACTGTTGAGGTCCAAATTTTGAGCCTGTAACCAAACCAAAACTTCATCAAAATCAAAGCAAAAACCTTCCTTCCTCCTCCAAACTCTCTCTCTTATTGTTTATCAGACTTGGCAGCGTGTTTGTTTACACCTTGCGTTATCACACTTACATTATTGATGTTCTCTCGAAGCTCTGAATCTGTAGAGATGAGACTCAAGTCACTGAGGCACAGCGAGTGATTTGCATCCTGTAATTGAGAGATAACTGTAAGCTGATTAAACTAGTCGCTGCTGAGAAATCAAGAGCTGAGTCATGCAAACAAAGACAGGGGGAGCAGCAGCCGCGAAGAATGTCAGAACCGGTGTGCGAGTTTGTCTGAGAAATGCCGCCGACGTCTCTAAAAGCACCGTACCCTTTCAACAGACCGTGCATTAAGAATTCACAAGCTTTTAAAGAGTGAATGATACGAGGACCGGGGTGTTATGTTTCTCTCGGCAACCGCGCCGACATCGGAGGCTCGAGTGTCCCCGCACAAACCCAGAAGCTGCTGTAACTGTGACTGTGACTCACTTCAGAGAGCGGATGGGTGAGGGTGACGCTGAAGGCTTGTCCTTTGTCGTGGCCCCGGATGTGACTCTTCAGACTGTACTGGCTGCTGAAAGTCTTCTCACAGCCGTCACTCGGACAGTTGAATGGCTTCTCCCCTAGAGAACAGAGAGCGAAACAGACAGTCTTCGAAAGTCAGCCAAAATGTAGAAAAGAGAGAAATACTACAGTAGACAAAATAAATACATTTCTGTTTCATTTCCCTCCTCTAATGAATTATTCAATTTTTACAGACAGGGAAACAGAGACTCTCTGGCTCGGTCAACACTGTTAGTACAAAAACCACATCATGTTTTAAGCTGCAGGTTAGATCCAGTTTTAAAAGGCTATTCAAATTAACTTTGCGTAGGAGGCTGTGGATACAATGCAAATGCAAATGAGGCATTTCTGAAAAACAAACAAGTTCCCATCCAAGCTACCTCGATCAATAAACATCACATAAAGAGATATATAAGGAATATGTACCTGTGTGTGTCCGTACGTGTGTTTTCAGGTGATGACTTGCAGCGAATGCTTTCCCGCAACCGTCATGGTCACACCTGGAACACAAAACATGAATGAGAAACTAAACTTCAAATGCAAATAGGCAGTAATGAGCTTCTGCAAGAGTGGGTTTGATGATGACTCAGGAAGTAAAGATAACTAGCTAATATATGAACAGTGTACAGGTGACTGTTAGCAAGACAGTGTGTAGTGCATGAAAAAGTTAGAAATATGGCAGTGTTTTCCAGTGTAAAATTAATTTAGGGTCAAACACACTGGAACACTGAGTTAGACACCCCCATTGAGAGATGAATGTTGCCGACCACTTGCTTCTCTAGTTATACAAACTTTAGTAACGACCGCAGGATAGCAATACACAGCGGTCTGAGGAGCCACACACAAATGTCAACCAAAACGCCACTTTCTAGCCACAAATAATGCTCAGAACAGCACCTAACTTCATCAACAGTACATATAGGGTCCCAGCTATAGTACTAGCCAGCAAAAATCTTTTTAACTTTGCCTGATTTCTTTAGCAAAGAGACTAAACATAACTCACCTACTCTCTTCCAGCAGCCGCTTGTTTGTAGCGAGATCTCAGGTGAGTCTATTAGTGCAGTGGAGTTTCGCAGCTCAAGGAAGAACATTTATGATCATTTCTTCATGGAAATGTATTCAGACAGAGACGCAAAGGCAGAAGAACTACCACGTCTGCAGTGTGAAATGATTAATATGATGATTATTACTTAAAGAAATGGTAAAGAAATTATCATAAATGTTCTTCCTTGAGCTCGTCCCCCCACTGCAGTAACAGAATCACCTGAGGTAGCTCCTGGGACTGCTGTGTACTGCTATTGTGTGGTCGTTACTAAAGTTGGTATAACCAGAGAAGGAAGTGGTCGGCAACATTCATCGATGGGGTGCCTCACTCGGTGTTATGGTGTGTTTGACCCTAACTTAATTTTATGTTGGAATATCCCTTTAATGACCCTCTTAATTGGCTGTTGGCTCTCACTGACCTTCCAGTCCCAATGGACCATTTCATAGGCTCTGTTATGTATTAGATCTGTTGGGATGGTCTTTGTGTGTGTGCGTTCTCACCGAGCTCTTATCTACTTCATTAGAGAGAAATTATTCTGCGTCTATTTCAATTATAGTCAAGAAAATACTAACACATACTGAAAGAGTTGCTTGTGAATGAGTTTTTATTTCTGTTAGTTCTCCCCTCTCCTAATAGAAGTGAATTAAAACCTGGAGTCACTAATAAAATGCTCACCGGAATGGCTTCTCCCCAGTGTGCGTGCGAATGTGCTTCCTCAGGTCGCTGAGTGTGGTAAAGTACTTTGTGCATCCCTCAGATTCACAGTTGAATGTCTTGCCGGTATGAAGTCTCTGGTGTGCTTTTAGCCTGCAGAGGCAATAAAGACTGTTAATTGACACTACGATGGGTAAACATGCGGAGAGAAACAAACTAAAAGCAACGTTTTTTTGTTTTTTTACAGCGTGTGTTTGATCCCAGTTGTGACTCTTTCAAAAAAGAGAGAAAAGAGAGCATATTAAAAAGGGTTCAAATCCCCAGTACAGCAAAATCTGACAACACATGGCAAAAAAACGACCTCAGCGCGTTCACTCTTCTCAACGGTTGTCGAGGAGAATCTGGATGGCGGCGTAAACTGGGAGAGCGAAAGAGGGAAGGCTATGTACCCATGTGTCGCATCTTTTGGTGCTGTGAGTAACAGCCTCTGACAGGAAGTTGATGGCAGTGGCACAGCTTCACCAAAGCCCAGACAAGTTGTCATAGCAACTGAACCAATACAGACCAGAGGGCTTTGTTGTAGACTGCTTGAGATCACAGCAAAATTTAAATGTAAAAAACACTTCCAACAAAAGCCAAAGCCTGGCAAAGGCCGGCATGAAGCGAACCCACTGTTGGGTCTGGTGTTGTCGATAACAGATGCTCTTTATTTCAGTACTTAGAGTTTGAAATGGTACAGTTATTAATTTGTGGTGTAGTATAAAGGAGGGATACCTGTATAAGGTATTGAAGGCCTTCTCACAGCCCTGCACATCGCACTCAAACGGCTTCTCCTTGGTGTGGACGCGGACGTGGATCTTAAGGCTGTATGATGTGAGGAAAGCTTTTCCACAGCCCTGCTGATTGCACACAAACGTGTACTCTCCCCGGTGAGTCTTCTGGTGTGTGCGCAGGTTCCCCGCTGTGCTGTACGTTCTCGTGCAGCCTTCAAACATGCACTGATAGCGCTTCACCTGGTGGAGGGAAGGAAACCAGTGACTTAGCATGACTGAGTTCAAATCTTCTATTAAAGGAAACCGTTGGCAGCACCTGCTTCAAACCTCCATGTCAGAGAGTCCTGCGCTGTGTTTCAAAAAGCCAGTGAGAAGGTAATAAGTTAATTAATCTCAGCAATGGCTGACCTTGCAATACAATGTAATGACAGAGTGAGTCGGAGTGACCTTTCAGACAGAGCTTGAACTCAGTGAGTCAGCCATCCATCAGCACATGAAACGAGTGAGCACAAAAGGACAGCAGAGATGACTAACCCACCATGCAATACATCCCATCCAATTCTGCTTCACAGCAGCAATCCCCTCTGCAGTGTGACAGTCTCCTGCTCTTTCCCACTAAAAGCCTTTGGGCGCAGTGAATAAAGGCCGTCCATTCTCCTCTCTTAAAAGAGCCGTTCTGACAGAGCACAAAATCAGAAGGGGAACATTTGTGGTTTGTGTTGCTCCACAAGCGCAAAACATTTGTCAGCAAACATTATTGCAGGAACTTACTGTTCCAGGAGCCCATAAAATTGAACCATTTCCTACCCTGTAATTTCATATAAAAACGCCTATCAAGATAAGATTGCATGATTATCCCTGGATGTATCCGGTTTGGTAGTTCTGTACAGACTAGTAAGCATGATGTTATCTTTTTTAAAATGAATTTACCTTTTATACTTTCGTTTCAGTTAAGTATGTGACCACTTTTACTCTCTATTATATCTCATGTTTCTATCTACTTCTATATATAGAAAAAGGAATCATGATTAACTGATGAGTTGCAGGCGGCGTCAGTGCCAACACTTAAATCTCCTTCTTAAAATGACAAATTAACTGTTAAATCAGCTGTTGTGCAGCAGTTTTACAACAAACACAACAGCTGATTCATTCTCTCTCTTCAGTCTCGGTGATGGGAAGTTAAATGCCATTCACTCTGATTTGAAGGAAGGCGGATACATCAGTCATGAGGCAAACATCCGTGCAAATCCACAGTGGGAAGCCTGCTTGTATTCATCCCCCACACCGTCGTGACTCCTCTACACCTTCAGCACCATCGCAGGGAGAGTACACTGTATCCCCTAGTCTCCCACATTCACTGTGGAAGAGACCACTTCATCACAATTAAATGGTCGTGTGAGAGTATTAAAAGCAATACCGCTAAGAGCTTCGGGCTGGTTGCCTACAGGAAGTACCCACTCGTAATGCCTACAGTCTTCTCATGCTCTTCATGAGGAAAATGGTCAAAACTTTGAAACTGTGCACACATGCTAGAATTTGCACCACATCGCACTGTGCACATCAGCTGCACCTCATAATCTGTGCTGTTAAATAAAGGCTTGATTTAAAGATAGTTGAGTGTAATGTGTGAAGTCAAAATAACACTTCAATCCAGGAGGATCATATATAAAAGGCGTGGTTGATTGACTTTGTGAGCATTCATGTGCAAACACAAAGACAATGAAACCTGAAAAACTGTGTCGATGAAACCCAAACAGAGCTCGCTGTTGGTCAAACTCCACACAACACATTATTCCTTCTTTAGTTTAAACTTACAGACACGTAATTTCTATCTGACCTGAAGCTACACCAACCACATGTAAACAACAGTTTTTGCTGAAAAAGGGGATGTGACTCATTATCAAGAATTCTCCTTTTCTCGTGAGTCACAGCCACAAGACTGAGTTGCAACATTTGGCTGTTTGCGGCTTTTGGTGCATTTTTTAGAAAGTTAGAACAACCATTATTCAGGGTTCCTACACAGTTGGAATTTTCATACTTTTCGATACCCTACTTTTTAAAATTATTTTTGATAATACCTACTTTTCTATTAAAGGAAAGAGTATTTTATAACTGTGGTAATATAGTCTGTTAACATAAATACTTTTCCATACTTCATTTTTCATTTACCGTACTTTTTAAGACCTGGAAATTGATCAAATTACTTCCATACTTTTCCACACTTGCGTAGGAACTAGAGCATGACACAGGAGTGGATTTACACTCCTGTCCCGTCCCACTCCCAGAGAAAAAATCCCCTCCCTTCCCAATCCCAGACCGGAGTAAAAAAATTAATCCTGTCCTGTCCCACTCCCGTAGAATGACTCCCACTCCCATCCCGCTCCCACTCAAAATTACTCCCACTCCTGTCCCGCTCCCGTTTGAATAAAACCAAACATGTTGAAAAAACGTGCAGTTTTACCTAAAATAAAAAAATTTAGGTAAAAGTGGCAGCCGAGTCGGAGCGGCAGTCGCTCCGAGTCGCTCCAAGTCGCGTTTCACTTCCGGTGGTGACAGGAAGTCAAACCACTGTTGTAGTTCTTTTGTGTTGCCAGCGCGGTCAAGAGTGTTGGCTCTCACTGAGAGATGACTACAAAAATGGACGCATCTGTTCATCTGGTTATTTAACACAGAACGAAGATGAAAATGAAAATGGCTGAAAATGATCATCTATTAATGTTGTTCCTACTCCTGCCCGCTCCTGTTGCTTTTTCCCGTCCCGTCCCGATCACGGGATTAATTAAAAAATGACTCCCATTCTGTGGGATTATCTCCAACACTGTCTTCCATTTTTGAAGTGGCTGTTGGTAATAGCAGCACAGTGAATCAAATACAAGATATTAGTAATATTGGTACCAGCGGATAAAAGCTCAAGCTGACATGGAGTCAATCTGTGTGGCAGATCAGGCAGCAACAAGCTACAACATGTTTGCGGTATGAAAGTGTTTTCAAGTGTTGCGATTTGCGATGCTTGTAGAGCACAAGTGATGTGAGGAAAAGCAAAACAAGACTCCTTGAAAACCACAAACACAACTGTGCATCTCAAGAACATCATCTTCGACTGCGCGAAGAGGTTCCTCAGAGTGAGAATGAAAAAGCATCAGTGCAAACAAAAAAACAAAAACCTGTCAGCAGCCTCTACCTGAGTCATTTAACAGAGCTAGGAAACATGGCAGTGAAAAAAGAGCATATATGTTTTATCTATATCAGACAAAACACCTCTGAATTATTGGCGTATGGGATAACTGCAAAAATCCAATATTGTGCATGATAAAAACCTTTTTCTTAGTGACTGGAAAGTGCTTTTCTGTTTGGAAACGGAATTTACATAAACCAAGCAAACTGATCTGTCTGTCCTTTGAGTAACCCAATTTCCATTTAGTCATCAGACAAACATTTGCTTTTGAATCAGACAGCACTGAGGGGGAATTGCTCCCTTGTGGAGCCTCTGTGTTTAACACCAGAGGAGATAAACACTGATGCACTTACTCCAGAATTCCACCCATATAATGCTTCCACTCTTCACGTCTATCTTTACAAGTTTCTTCATTAAAGTTTGATTTCGCTCTATAACAACATAAACGGAGAACAAGCTAAATGAGCATGCTTATTGCTCTGGTCTCTAGACTGGCAATAACTGTCAGGGAGCATTAGGTAGAAAGTCACTTCTGCACCCTTGCTTCTTCTTCATAACCTAGAATGGGGCTGATGTATTTGCTGCATCACGCAGAACTGGTTAAATAACAATCCTCTCAATGAAGTTTGGCTCAGTAATTCAACAAGAGAGCCCTATACACAGAAGCTATGGTCCTGCATGTCTTCTTCCAGTTTCCTACTCTTTCTACTGTCCTATCCTCTCAGTGAAAGAAAAACAACAACTCTCCAAAACCCAGCTGTACGGCGTACTAAAAGTCAAACCAACTGTTCAATAATCGTTATTAACCTATTGTTTAATGTTCTCTATTTGGTATTTTCCTCTGTCAATAGCTTGTGGATCATCTGACGTTTGAAAAAACTCAATAAACACAGGTCGGAGTTGTTGACTCAGTTCTTCCCTGCAGTCTTTCAGCACTCTGCCTCTCTCACAGAAAAAAGGACCAGCTGCTCTAACAGTGCACACTCGTTGTCAGATAGTTGTGTTGTCTATTTCCGCCATGCAGGACGGGACAGGTGGTTGATATTGACATCATGATTATTGAGCATGATTACTCATAATTTGACATCAACTTCAATGAGTCAACGTAAATACTTTTCAACACTTAAACATTCTGAACACGTTAAAATGCAAAGAGCAAAAGAAGCTCTGCCTGCAGCATCTATCTAGCCATGCTCACTTTGTCCCTCTGCTTTACTAACACACACAACTGCTCCTTCTATCTAACCCTACAAGCTTCTTTCACCTGCAACTGCATGACTGTTTCTACTAGGGGTGTCCCAATACAACTATTTTACCTCCGATATGATACCAATATTGTAGCCTTCAATATTGGCGGATACCGATATTGTCCCGATATTAGCACAAACTTGTGCATGACAAGTTTTGCACTCAGCTGCAACTTCTTTTCAGACTTTAATGAAAAATGCTGCCACAGGGCCGACATCACTCCTACTCCTTGGTACTTTGTTGGTACCTTGGTACACACTGTTGTTGTGATTACATGGGCTCTAGGTGCTGGATCTGGATACTGCTAGATAGAGGTGCCTAAGCGGACTCTGGAATGGACTGCCTGTATCGGAGTGCTGATATTGGAGATTTTAGATGGAGGCTGATATTGGACCCATGTCCGATATCAACATCGTATCAGGACACCCCTAGTTTCTACTAACATATGCAGGTACAGCAGTCCCCACTTAACTCATTTTCTGGCATCAACAACTTCGTTACATGACAATCTGAGCCCTTGATCAAAGAATTTGAGAGAGAGCTACATGAGGGGAGGGGCAGAGCAAACACCTTTGCTGTGAAAGAAGAAAGGAAGGAAGGGCTCTATTCACTACATCAGACAAAACAAGCACAGCATGGCAGATGGCACGTTAATCATGTAATCTTGAGTGGCTTATTTTTGCGGTTGTGGGAAGACAAACTGTAATTGAAACTGAAATTCGACTTATTGTCCTGCTCTACTACTTGGATTGAAAAGAAGGCAGCTTATATTGTGGAAAGGCTTGACCACAAGGTAAGGGAAGCTCATTTTGAAGACCTTTGCACTTCAAGATCTTTGTTTTAATATCCAGCCAAAAGTCTGTATTTAACCAATAAAAGATAGGGGACTTCATGTTATTGTAGTTATACAACAAAATTTTGTTGGGTACTAATAAATATTCAGTGTGAAAGGGATCTGCAGACTTACCTCTCTCTGCTTGGTCTCGGGGCACTCGGAGTGCAAAGTCAAGGTGGCCCCCTCAATGTTGCGTGGCATGGGGGTGGAGCCTGGATTGATGGTGAACTGGATCTGGTCCGGAGAAATGGTGTGATGAACATAACCCTGTGACATGCCATCGGGGTCATTCATAAAGGCCAGAGAGCCTTCCTCCTCATCTCCATCACCCTCCCCTTCGGTAAGGAAAGTGACCCCATCGTCATCCCCTCCGCAGTGACCCTCCTCCTCGCCCTCCTCATCCAGCCGGATGGGGTCCCTCTCGATGAGGACTGTAGTGCGGTCATAAACTCGGCCGGAGGAGGATGACTGCTCAGGGATCAGGTCGTCATCTTTGTCATAGTGGATCTTGTCTTCGTCTTCGTCGTCATCCCGCCCGAGAGGATCCACCTCTACCTCAAAGTACATAGGCGCCTCTGTATGAGGGCCATTCTCACTCATGGTCCCTGGTGCCTCTCCTGCCTTGCCAAGGAGCACAGCACACTCACACTGGAAACGTTACGGCCTGAAATACACATGAAAAAGTAGACATTAGATCTGCTCTGTTCTACCTTTCTTGTGCTGGATTTGTAGCTGAAGTCATTGATCTTCCTGCCTTTTGTGACAGCTGCTACACCACTGACTTTTTTCAATCACAGGTCGGAAAATACCAACATTTGTTCGGTCCTTTCAGCATCTCAGAAAAGACTTGTGTCTGTTTGTGTCTGTTTCAGACAGATATAGAGCTGCAGAGAGATATAGTAAGATTACCCCATCTCTCCATGTTCTGTCGTAATCCTGCCCTGATGCCTGTTGACAAGGAGCTCCATAACACTGTCTAATGATTGATGCCCACATATTTAACAAATTAGAAAGAAAATTAGACAATATAGACAGAGAGCACACCCTCTGCAAATGCACACACCACCACACATTAGGAATGATAAATTGAGAGGGTATATCTCATTCGTGTCAAACATCGTATTTGGGAAAAGTCCCGTTTGTTTTTGTGGTCAATACTATAATTAACCTTTTGGGTGCCCAGAAGTCTCATTTTTGTTACTGTTGTATTAAAACAGATGATGATATTGATGTTTTACTGGTATCGTATCAAAATTCTGGTATCGTGACCGCTCTGGACCAAAGCAAAATCTGAGAGTTTGTACAACATAATAATTGCTTGTGTGTTCAGTTGAAGTAGCAGTAGACAGGGTGAATAGAAACAGTCATGGTAAGAGTAGATAAGCATGGTCATTGGACATAATGTCTCAAACACAACATATACCAGATAAAACATTACGAACATCCCACTAGCTCTGGGTAAGACCCTTTTTTTGCCAACACAACAGCCTCAGATCTTTGTGTCATACATTGAAGTAGGCGATAAAAACATTCCTCACAAGATCCCAGAGGTGGACAACTGGACTGAGACCTGGTGACAGAGACCTTGTGGTCAAGACACCCATCTGAGATGATCTGAGCTTCACAACATGGCGTGTTATCCTGCTGGAAGTAGCCACCAGTGGATGGGTAAACTGGGGTCATACAGAGATGGACATGGTCACCATACCCAAGTAGACTGGCATTCAAATTATGCTTGGATGGTACTTAAGGGGCCAAAGAGGACACCCACACCACTACACCAACACCACTGACCGCCTGAAGCACTCATACAAGGCAGGATAGAGCCATTCTTTTATGTTGTTTACATCAAATTCAGACCCTGCTGTGATCTAAACCTCAAAGCAGAGATCAGGTCTCATTTTCAGCCTTCTCAAACTGTAACCTCAGTTTCCTGTTCTACACTTGCAAGAGTGAGTGGCACCCATTACAGTCCCCTGCTGCTGCATCTATCTGCTTTAAAGGCTTAATGTGTTCTGCTTATACAGCTGTTTTTCTGTATATCTTGGTTGCTGTGAGTGGTTACTACAGGTGAGTGTTTCCTCTCTACCAGCCAAACTAGTCCAGCCATTCTTTCTGACCTCCGCCATCAACAAGGAAACTGCTGCTCGCTGATATGTCACGCTGTTTCCTTTGAATCCTAAAGATGGTTGTATTATGTATGAGCAATTTCTGGAAGAACTAGACCGGCCCATCTGGTTACAACAACCATGCTTCATTCAAAGTCACCTGTCTGGTTGATTTTCCGCAGATCCCCTCGCCTGAATGCTTTGACTTGCTGATTTGACATGTGTTAAAGGGATATTCTGGCGTAAAATTAATTTAGGGTCAAACACCTTGCAACACCGAATTAGACACCCCCTCGAGAGATGAATGTTACCAACCGCTTGCTTCTCTAGTTATACCAACTTTAGTAACAACTGCACAATAGCAATACACAGCAGTCTGAGAAGCAGCACCGTCTGAGGAGCCATAAACAAACCTCAACCAAAACGCCACTCTATAGCCACAAATAAAGCTCCGAACAGCACCTAACTTCATCAACAGTACACATAGGGTCCCGATTTCTTAAGCAAAGAGACGAAACACAACTCATCCACTCTCTTCCAGCAGCCGCTTGTTTGTAGCAAGACCTCGGACCAGTCCATTACGGACTACAGCGGGGTGACGCAGCTCAAAGAAGAAAATTTATGATCATTTCTTCATGGAAATACAATCAGACCAAGACGCTAAAGCAGAAGAACTACTGCGTCTGCAGAGCAAAATGATTAATATGATGATTATTACTTTAAGGAAATGATAAAGTCATGATCATAAATGTTCTTCCTTGAGCTGCGATACCCCACAGCAGACTATAATGGATTGGCCTGAGGTCTCACTACAAATAAGCGGCTGCTGGAAGAGAGTAGGTGAGTTGTGTTTTGACTATTTGTCAAAGAAATTAGGCAAAGTTAAGTTTGGTGATTAGTGCTGTGGCTGGGACCCTATATGTACTGTTGATGAAGTTAGGTGATGTTCTGAGCATTATTTGTGGCTATAGAGTGGCGTTTTGGTTGAGGTTTGTTTATGGCTCGTCAGACCACTGTGTATTGCGCGCAGTCGTTACTTAAGTTGGTATAACTAGAGAAGCAAGCAGTCAGCAACATTCATCTCTTGAGAGGGTGTCTTACTCTGTGTTATGGTGTGTTTGACACCAAATTAAGTAGGACTTGAACAGGGGTGCATCCTGTTGAGAGTAGTGAGTGCACATCATGTGTTTTTAGAAATCCCTGCTTATCACAGCGGAAAACAATCATCAACATCTGTCCAGACAAAGCCCCCATTCATTGTAGCATATCTAAAAGAGGACTTTGACAGCTCTAAATGGAAAAAAATGGGTCTTTCTGACACTGACGGGGATTTCGTGTTTGAGTAAAAAAATAACTGATGGTGATTATGTGCATTAACGATTAGCCAGCTGTTAACTGGGCACATAAGCCGTGTTTGGAGGACACATCTAGAACTTTCTGATTTCAGTGACCGCAGATACGCCAAACTATGGACACGGACATGCGTTTTAATCCCCGTTAAATTAACCACATGAGACTGGCATTAATAAAACAGCTTCAGCAACATACTCTGATGTATCTACCGTTAACGTGACACGATAATAATCATAACGATATTACTCGGTTTACAAACACCGACTGGCCTGATAGAAGCGCTGCCACTGGCAACTGTAACATGCTGTAATATTAACGTAATGAAACATCACATTATTGTTACATTATTACAAACTATGACCCATTAGAGAGCCGTGCTACATTCGGCTAACAAGCCACGAGTGAACTAACCTGATGTTATTTCACAGATTTGATCACATCGTTTCTAGTCGCTAGCTGGTCGTTACAAATATATATCTCATTTTTTCACTCTAACTGTAAACAATGAGTCTGTTACTCTTTGCAGTTCCCAATTTTTCTCTATTTTGAAAGCAAACTCAACATTACAGCACCTATTGTTGTTTTTCTCGTCTCACTCCAGCGGTGTCAGCTGTCCATTATTTCTCTGTTAGCCAGTTAGCATCATTAGCTCCGGGCTAGGCTAAGGAGTTAGCTTCGAACGTTAGCCCGTTCACTGACATTATCTCGCTTCCGCGCTAACATGACACGTTTTGAGGTTACGAGCTCTCGTACGAATATTCTAACGCCAAAATTGCTAAAATTGAAAGAATGACACGAAAATAAAATCAGTATATTCACCTGCGTGTGATTTTTTTCGCCTTATCCTTCTGCTTCAGATGTTCAGCACTTTCTATCGCCTCCCGAGGATACCAGACAACGTCACTGACTCTACGCCATTCGTGATGAATTATGGGAAATTGCATATCACACTCAAGCTAAATGAAAACTGAAACGGATTTATTTTCTTCATTTTTCACCAAAATGCACGTAAAATAAGACACAAAAGCAGTATTTTTCCTTCAAGTTTTATGTATAAAAACGTAATTCTGTTGTGATCAGAAACATTAATGTACAAATTATCTTTTTTAAATAAAATATACATACATTAAAAACTTGTTAGGACTCTACAGATGCTCAATGATATACAATAATCTCATTACAAACATTTCTCTGAAACAAACTAATATCATTTAAGAATTGTCCCTTACGATAATTATACTTTACATCTACACAAAGAACCATCTAAGAATATAAGAAATCATAAACAGTTTATTTCAAATACTGGACTGTACAGTTTTTTTAGTGTTCAGCTTCAGCGTGAAAAAGAGGGAGAAGTCCTCCATCTAGGAGGAGCCCGGGGTCAGGAAGTGCTGAAAGAACTCCTGAGTCTTCCTCTTTTCTGCAAGATCCTGCTTTGTTGGTGACCTCAGAAGCAGGGAGGCAAAGATGGTGGCTGTTCAGAAAAGAAAAAAGGATTTATTAAATTAATAGCATGACAAAAAGGGCTACTTCTCTGAGCAGGATTTTCTCTGTAGCAACTGCTTTCCTTCAACAAAAAAAGGCCACTGGGGTTTAGGGTCGCTTGTAGGGCCCGACCGAGCCCGTTTGAGACTCAGGCAGCTCAGGGACACACGGAGGAGAGTGGTCCGCCTCAACGGTAAATAAACTATTTTTTGAAATACACAATGAGTCAACAAGTTTCAGTTCAACCCACTTCATGATGTTCCCCGCTGTACTGGTCTCGGTCACGCCGAGTTGATGGTGAAGCACCATGTAGCTAAAGTTAGAGTTAGCCATCTGCTATTAGCCTTGCTACACTGTTAGCCGTGCCAGTAACGGTAGAATAAACAACAGTACACATTACATGATCGAGCTACTTCTCTTACTGAGGCAGCTGCATGTCTGCCTGTCTAGATATCTACAGTAAACATATATTTTTTATAACTTAATAAAAAAAATAAAAAATCGGCCAATTGATCGGTAATCAGATCCCCCTCCCCCAATAATCGGTATCGGCATCTGCCCCAAAAAATCCATATCGGTCGGGCCCTAGTCATTTGCATCTGAGTGTTAAAAAATAATTTATTGTTCAAAAACGCAAAGAAAAACACGCTGATCCAGCTCTGAAAACTTTGCCTTCAAATGAAAAGGTGATATACTGAAATGAGGTAAAAACAGGATGAATGAAACGGTGAAAAAGATGAAAAAATGGTCAACAGAAAACTAGCAGAGCTTGCCAAACCCATTGTCTGACTACACCAGTGAGATTTTAATAACCCGCCAAACATCCCAAAACCACACCCCTCAGTGACGATCCCTGCACGTGACGTACCTATTAGAAATCAAACTCAACAAATATATTTTGGCTCCTACGTTCTCCTTGGCATGTTTGGACAAAAAAAGGTCAAAGTTAAATGAGATATTGTTATGTTAGAAAACAGGATTTTCATTATTTTTCATGTCTTTATTCATTGGTTTCTCTTTATTAGTTTCATTCCACTTACACAACATGCTGACTCAAGCACAAAGCCTAAAAAACCCACACACAAAGTACAATTTCCCTCTTTCTTACCCAAGATGTTGATGTCTAACCGATTGCTTGCAGAATTCTTCAACAGTTCACGAAGGAAGGCAGCTAGATAGTTGAACACATTTTGATGGCACTGAGGTAGCATGGATATAACCTGAAGACAAAAAAAGATTACCATCATTTTATAATCTTTACACTCTGGGAAAAAAAGACCAAATTGATCAGATATAAACCACGGGGCATCTCTCACTCACTTTCTCACACATACTGGCACTGGAACAGCTGTCAAGGCACTGCTGGTAAAGGGAAAAGGAAACCACTGGCTCGGGTAGGGCATCGAGAAAGAGAAGCAAGGCCTCTGCCACTGAGTGGTTACTGCCCGCTGCAGGTCAACCAAGAGTCAAGGGTATAACGTTCAGCAGAATCTACATGTTACATAGGTAATGGGTTTAATAATACCCTTTTACATACATTCAGTGCATTGGTCTGGGTAAATAATTCATTATACACATGGATACAGTAAATAATGTAATGTATGTTACACAAGAAAAGAAATACTACACCAACAGTTTTAATGTGTCAGTGTGAACATCTACATCTGTGTTTATATCTACGTCAGCTGAGCAGTGTAACAGATGTTCTGCAGACGTAATCAAGGATACGGAGAGAATCGGGCATGCCAGTGTCGAGACAATCTCTTATTTCTGCAAATTCACTCCGGAGCCCAGGTTGCTGAAATATGTCTTCCTGCAAATGGAGGAGAGAAGACAATAAAAAACAGTGAGGATTTTTTAAAAACTTTGTGTTGCTTTTTTGATACACCTGTGGACGAAGCAGTACACCTCATCATGTCTCATGTCTTCTTCCAACAAATCTTATCCTTCTTTTTTTGTAACCATCAAATCCTCACTGTAAAAAACTGCTGTGAAAAATGTGCAACTACATAGATCTGGTCAAACTTCTTTCTGATACTCTTGTTTGAACAGCACAAGTTTTCATTTCCATCTACTTCATGACAAGTTTAAACCCACTTAAAGGAAAATAAATCTTGTTTGTTCTCAAAAGCACATTTATTGGGCCAAGGAGTAAAATTTAATAATTGACCAAAAGAAAATGCTCTTATGGTTTCAGCCACAGTTGAGCTGCAGTGGGCTAAATTAACATAAAATACACAATCCTGTGTTAAAATTACCTGAAAGGTGGTTAAATCCCAACAAAGCTCCTCAGAGATATTTGGCTGGCAGTGATAGCTGCTGAGTCATATCCATGTATTTGTTTTTTAATCTGAATACCTTTCTCTGTGTATTTTATGCAGGGTGCAGCAGCTTTTTATTTATTTGTGGCTTAAAAAAGATTCAAGGGTTTTAAATGATAACAAAAACAAAAAGTTCCAGCATCAAAATCTCTGACCTGTTTGATTGCATTACGGAACAAGTGATCCACCATCATCCACAGTTCTTTAGGAATGTCTAGAGGCTTTTCGGTTTTGGCTGCATTCTCATCTCCAGATATCTCTGCCTGCTGTAGAAAACAAGAGCAGAGACTTAAAAAAAAAAACCAACTCTCTTCTGCTGAGACAATCTTAAGTAGAAAGGAGGCATTTCAAGGTTCCACACAATAATACACTCACCAGTTCACGGAGAGTTTCTTGCGGCATATCCTGGATAGGCTCCCTCAGCTGACACAACGAGCGGATGGACGTGCCGAAGCAGCTGGGCATGTAGTTTCCTGCCACGGAGATGAAGTAGTCTTTGCCACGCTCCAAATGAAGCACCAGGATGTCTTCGATCTGCTCCTTTCCAGAGTTGAGATCAGGAGCTGTTAAGCGGTTCACGAAAACTTCGAGCTCGATCTCCACAGTTCCACCTGGATGTTTGGAGAGATGCACACACAGAGCAAGGGGTGATTTCTCCAGTCTAAGTAGGTTGTTTATATATGCTGGAGTCACTATTGACTGTATGAGGGTTTTAGAAGCTGAGACATCTCTAATCTGCACTGAAATTTCCTCCTCCCATTTGAAATCAAAGCCACAACGATCCAGCTTCTTAGCTTATGGAACGTCTCTACACTTAATCTGTCATTCCTCGACGAAAGACTGACTGTTTGTGTTACTCACCCTGAGCAATAAAGCCTTTTGGGGGGTTGGCTGTGAGCCAAGGCTTGCAGTACGTGTGCTCGTTCGGCTTCTGGATAAACTCAAACTGGCATGGGACCTGCCCATCATTGAAGAGGCTCAGTGTCTCTGCCTGGTGCTGCATGAACTTCACATCCTTAAAGTGAAGCTGAAAGAAGAGGGGAGGTTTCATCAGGCTGAATAAATCTTTCAAAAAACCACATCAGACGTAAAGCCCAAGATCAATAGAGCTTCATTAGTGGTGATTTACTTACTGCATTTATCACAAGAACAATATATGAGAGATACTTAGAGCGCCATAAGCTTCTGTTTTGCAGCAAGAAGACTGAACCTGAAAGGAAACTTTACCTCTTGCTTGGACAAGGTCACAGATGGAATACACTCGTTCTCCATTTTGTCTATGTTGCGAACAATTTCTTCAAAGGTCTTCTTATAGTCATCAGGATTTACCCTCTTAATCTGTAAGAGACAAAATACATGCCAATGCAGCATAGACATCAGTGCTGGATAATTAAATAACACCTCAAGAGGTAAGTGATTATCTCTGCTAATGTGCTGATCAAGCTCAATTTCAACTTGTTTTCACCAATTATATTGATAGTTCATACATAAAGAAAACCAAATAAATGATATTATTGATGTGAGTAGAAAACAGCATTATTTACCCCTGTAACCAGCACCGAACTGACTGGTTTATGGTCACTGGTCTTCAGAGCCATGTGACTCTGATAATGCTGCTGCTTTATGTTCTTCCCTCTCCACAGGATACGGTCGCACCAAGCAGGAACTCGACACTTCTCACTAAAAACAGAAAAACTCAAATTAATTTCCTGAATGTTTTTATATCATTTTTTTAATTGGAGTAATCAAAAGAGGGGAAAATGACACTTTTCAAACTATATCTGATGATGATTCAGGAAAACCTATGACGCTACCTTTGTAAGAAAATTATCTTATCAGCAGCTTAATGAGAAAAGTCCAACATCAGTGTTTCTGTGATCAGGAAAAAGATGAATCTTTGAACTCAAAATGTTCCACAAGTCACAATAAGGCTGTCATATGATAAAGTTACCTCGTGTCCCACATGTCCGAGCCCGTATCATACTTGTAGGTGGGTTGAAATTCAATCTCTCCCTCCACAAAGCCAACAAACACGGCCTCCTCATCAATCTGCCGCTTTAGCTGCAGACAATACAGAGCAGGTAAGCATCACTCATAAATTGGACTATTTAAATAGTGGGGAAAAAGGAGGCAGCTGGTATTACCTGATCATAATTGTGCAGTGTTTCAAACTCCTTCTTGCTGATGAGATCCTTCACATAGTCAACCTCAAGATCACTGATCCTGTAGTTGAGGTCCCCGATCCACAAAATCACACTGAAGGAAATCGCAGAGAAATAAAGAGAGGATGTGAACATGATTACATACTATCACAGTGAAAATATGATCATAATTAACTATATATTTTAACTGAGCATGCTAATCCTCAACATAAATCCAAACAAATCTGGGTTTTAAACAAGCATAACAGCAAAAGTGGTTTTATGATCCAATTTTTCCAGGACTCCAACAAATTCTCAACCTGCCTCTGATTTGCTAATTAAATAAGAGTTTTGGACTCATCACGTACTCGTGCTTCATGATGGTGAGCGGAGGCTGGTTCGGGTCCAGCTGGCGAAACTGGAGACGACTGCAAATGTCCCTGTAGTCCTGATTACGTCTCTCATATTCTTCGATGTGAGCAGCAAGGTGAGAGTTGACCACGCAGATATCGGAGTTGTGGAAGCGGAAACGGACAGCCACGGCGCCTTTGTTCCCCTGTGAATCAATGGGTGGTGGAAAGAGAGAGGGAGACGGAATTATGTACGCAGCACAACGACAAGAAACATTTGCTCTTGTTTGACAGTAATCCAACATTATACAAGCTTTTCCATACTCTGAATATTTAAGAGGGTTGTTCGTGCATTTCTTAAACCAGTCTCTGCTTAGTGCAGGAAAGGATGGAGCAACCTTACAAAGGCCCCCACTGGTCACCGGCCAGCCATCTGCTCTGTGCTGCAGGGACTGCTAAGTAAGCAGGGCCGTGAACGAGACGAGAATATCTTATTCTGCTACAGGACGTAAGGAATAAAGTTGAAGCTGCTGGAGGTAGTGCTTGACGGATGAATGGGCTCCTAAGTGAAGAGCTATTCAAAGGAAGAACAAGTCAAGCATTTGTATTTTCATCCTTACAACAAAACCTTTGAGGATTTTTTTTTAAACCTCTATTCATGACTGAACCGACACTGTCACTGTTTGAGCTGGGATTGTTTTGATTTGTGAGTTTGTTTTAGTAATAAAACACTGATGTGGTCAGTTACAGATCACATTGGTTCATTAGCTCTTGTTCAGGTTGAAGAAGTGATAAAAAAATAAAATGCCATAAAAAACAGCAAAAGAAGAATTCTAAAAAACGTGTAAAAATGAAAAAAGGCATTTTTTGAACCGGATGCATAGAGGGCATTTTAAAAACATTTCACCGAGCGGGAAGCAGTCAAAATGTTTCAAAGAGTGTGTGTGAGCAGAAAGAGGAAAAAGACGTGGATGGGTGTCACTGTGTACCTGCCCTGTGGACGCACAAGAGGCAACTTGTTTTGAACCCCGGTGCTGATTGTTTATTCTCTGAGTTTAAGCCGATCAAAGATGCAGCTGTTCATCACCACTGGCTGACTTTCTTTGAGATCCCCTCGATCATGCCAATGACAGCAGAGTGTGTTTACTTTAAGTCACGCTGTTACTCTGCACTGCTCTGTGTACAAAGACGCAGCTAGAAACGAACACCGTGTTCGTACAAAATAAACTCATGGCTCAACTCTAATTCAAACAGCTCTGTGCTGCTTATACAATAACATGTACAGTTAATCTACATAAACATGAACAGGGCCTGTGCATGTATGATTGGTCCTTACCATTCTTCCCATGATGCCTGTGCCTACAGTCTCAGCCTCAACATCAGAGATGAACTCAGCGTGCTCCTTCTTCACGTAGAAGATCAACATAATGCCCACCAGACGCACCAACTTTACCTGCAATTAAAAAATGCATTTTCAAACAGAGAAGGGAAAAGACACAACTCGCAAAGTAAAGGAACATAAAATTTCACAAGATATTTTGTTGGTTGTGAAGGCAAAGGTGTTAAGAGCAACCGCACAGCAGTATGAAGCACTTTAACAGCTGCGCCACCACAAACTCTTCAGTATGAATAACAAAATCTTCAAAGTTGAAGACATGCCAGCCAGTCTTATCTTCAGGAAAACAGAGGCAGAAAAATTTGCCAGAATAAGAAGCTGCTGTGCTTGGGTGGGAGGCAAAACAGTCTGACAAGCTTTTCTGTCAATCCTACATGAACTTACATTTAAATTCGGGGATAAAACTTCAGCTATACAGTGTCAGTTACGGATCAGACAAGTATGCTTTAGTCAGCAGCGACAGCAGACGAAATTTTTTTTTTTGATGTAACTTCACCGACTCCTCGAATTATAGACATCTACTAATCTCTTGAAAGACTTAAAGAAAACAGCTCAGCCTTGAAAAGAAGAAGCTACAGAGCTAGAGTCAGCAATCTGTAATAAGGAAGTGAATGAAACAAATGAGGGATGGAGAAGAGAAAGACATGAAAATAAATCATGTCAGTTTCAGGGGATTATGATGTGAGAGTCATGTGTGGACAATTACCCAACAAATATCAAAGATTTCTTCACTTAACTATGTAACAGGAGTTGTTGATACATTAATATATGTTTATATGTATGTTTGCGATAGTGGATCATAATAAACGTGGTTCAACCATAAATCATGGTGGTAGTCCAAACACTAGATGACAGGTTTTTGCATTTTTGCTTTCATAATTTTTAGGTTTCATGAGATTTTATATATTTCTAAAGCAGGTTTGAGGGTTCATACCTGAGAAAAAGGTACATGCTAAACAAAAGCTGAACATTTCTGATTATTCGCTCATAACAGGAAGTGGGCATGTCATTTTGAGCCTTGTGGTGACACAGCCGAATACCAAACAGTGGTAAAAAAACTATTATTAAACATTGTAAAAAGGTTATAAAAAAAGAGTTCCTTACTAAGGCATACTTGGCTTCTGGATGTAGGGCTTCAGTCACAGCCTTCATCCACTCCACCTCTTTTGGAGTGTCACTGAAGAAGAAAGCCTCTTTGCTGAGGTCCAGCTCCTGAAAACTGCGAGGAAGCACACAAAAAAAAAAAAGGAAATTTACTCGAGAGTTTTACTCATACGGTCAAACTTTACTCAGAACTTTCACGGTATTGTAAAAACTTTTCCACTCCTCTTCCAGAGCGAGCAAACTGTGTATTCTCCAATCCTGCCTACATTTCAGAGCTCGATCTGTGGGTGGGATTGTTCTCCTGCTTAAAACGGGATCAGTGTTGAAAACATGATGTAGGGTTTGAGCAGAATATGTTTTCCAGCGTGATGGGATTAGACAGAGAATGGTAAGAGTACTTAATCTACAACAAGGTGAGTGTGACTTACCCCACACAGTAGATATCAGGGGGCTTGAGAGTGCAGCTCAGCCATGGATGGAGGCTTTCCTTTGGTGACTGCCCATTCACGTTATATGTGCCAAGAAAAATGCTGAAAGAGAACAAGGAAGATGAGGAGTAGGCACACAAGAGGAATACAGACTCACAGTTTCGTTGAACAGGTTGTTACTATTTTTAAGGCTCTCTTGTGAAACCTGACTCTTCTACGATAAGAGCAAAAGGATTGCAAAGAAATAAAAACAGTCAGTTGTTTGTTAAAACACTGAGAAATCCCACTGGAACTGAAGCCCCTTACTGAGGGGAACCACAGCTGTGGGAAATGCTAAGGATCATAAAATGTTTTCAGGAGTCTTAGATAAGAAATTAGCAATAACCCTTTTTCTCTGACCTTCACGCTGCAGCTGCTCTGCTCCTGCTGCTGCACAGGAGCTCTTCACTTAGTGCTGACTTGCTTTCCTGACAGTCCTGCCTGCTTACTTGAAAGATGCTGAAGCTGTCTTAAAACAAAATCTGGGCCTGCTGCTGCTTTCTCAAGCTTTTTTCTTTTTTCATTGAAATATGCAGTTCAGCACGCAAACTAAGCACACTCTTGGCATTCACTGCAAGGTACAAAAAAAGGAATACTACACCTCAGTAAAAAACTTTGATGACATATTTTCTTTAGTAAAAATACCTGTCTGTGAGTCTGCTCAAGTCACAGTAAAAAGTACTTTATTTAAAATATGCTCAAAGTACAGACTTTATACCCATCTAGCGTTCAGTAAATGGATGATTTAGCTGCATCTGTTGTTAGCAATACTCATTGTAGCAGTCCTGGAACACTCAGGTCATTGGCTGTGCAAATAAGATTCATATTACATCCCAAAAAACAAAATTAATTAGTTTTAATGAGCAGAACTGGCAGCAAATGGAGTATGATTTTTTTTTTCCTCAATGAAACTTATTAAGAAAATGTTGGCCTGAAATATTATTCATAAGATTTATATCAGGCCTGCCTTGTCAACAAAGATTATGTTAAGTAAAATTCAATTTGACTACAATTAAGATGAATTTACTTGGTAAGATTTTCTATCCAGATGGCTGTCAAACAGTTGATAGAAAGCTTGTAGGTTTTTACCACTCACTTTAACTGAAAGTAAACTCAATCTAGGAATGTAGCAGAGACAGATAATAAGTACATAAAATGGCTGGTTTGAAAAACTACTAAAAGCAGTGAAAGTACACAAATGTGAATGTAAATCTAACTGGTTATTTTCCACCCCTGGATAAAATGAATGCAGGAAATGCTAACATAGGGCACGACTATAACATGTTGCAACTTCTCAAGCCCTAAAACAGTCATTCTGACCTACACTCTACATTTATTCACATATACAAGACTGTAAATAACATTTTAAAAAATTGATACTTTTCCCCCCTTTGGAGTCCTGCTGGGACAAAAGCCTTCCCAGAATGCTTCAAGTAACAAATAAAGTGAAGAAGGGTCAGTTAGATGTTGAATAATCAATGCAGAGATCAACCAGCAGGTGGCAGTGTGGTTCATGCTGCTGACTCCAAAATTTGGATGTTTCAAACCTCTGCAATAGAAACCCTTAACAGGAATTTTCTAGGTCATTGTCATTACGTAAAAATAACGATTTTTCTTTATCAATTATTGAGCTGAGGAGCTGAGGCACACGGCATGATGCTACAGCAAGTTTGACAAAGTCTGAGACGTTGGTGTCTAATTTAGCAAAGAGCTAAGCACACAGAAATACAAACCCACAGATGTTGACTCATTCTTTTTACATAACACTTCTACGAACCAAACGGACCGCAGTAACATTGTGGGCTCGCACACTTCTTCTGCACAAAATGCCTTTCTAAAAAAAAGTTAATGACGCTGTTGTATGTCCTTTAGTGCCCCGCGGAGACAAAACTGTGTGGGAAATATTCTGAATCGCCCTCTAAACGCAAAGCTCATGAGTTTTCTTGGAAAAAAGAGTTGGCTAATAAATTGCTCAAAAGCTATAATGAGGCTAAAATGGGTTTAGGTGAAAGAGATTTAGGTTAAATAATGCAATTTCTTATTTTTCAATGTCCTGAATTTCCCCCTTGGGATACATAAAGTCAGATTCAATGTGTCACTTTTTCATTTTGTCTTAAAATAAACAAAATAAACAGCCAAGAACTTCACATCTAGCAACTTTGACAGGAAATGAAAGCACCTGAAGCGTCACCCAGAGTCATAAACTTATGATTAAAAACAATAACAACTGGTTTTTGATGGATTTATCAGTATCACCAATTTCTATATCTAGATACCTGTGACAACCTGCTACACACAACCATAAAACAGACATCATCTAAGGATTAGATACCTGAAATCCTCCAGGAAAGTGTAGAGGTCCTCATTCTTCAGCAGCTCACACTTGATGAGGTTGTCTCGCAGGCCGAACTGCGGCATGGCCAGTATCTGCGCTTTGTTAGACGGGGTGTGGCTGGAGGAGCGCACCAGGTCATCCCGGTCCTCTCGACTGAAGTTGCCTGAACTGCGCACCGTGGAGGGTGGGGGTGGGGGTGAGATGAGATATAACAGTTCAGTGTTGATGAGTGGAAACAGACCAAGATAGCAACAGGGTCATTTTGTCATGCTGGTGTGAATTCAGAAAGAAGAAGAAGAAGCGTGCGCTGGGCAGAATCGTCTATTTTTGCATTCATATAAGGTTGCCAATACCCATTTGCGGCGCTCAGACCTTACTGCATCGAGCCATAAAGCAGCTAAAAGCTAATAATGAAGTTACGGCATCACAGAGACATTTCGCTTGGCTCCACACCAACAGCCTAATGTACAGTAGTAGATCACCGCAGTGACAACAGAAGCCCTGGCGGAGCGGGGAAGCTCCATTTCCATGCCGTCGATATGGAATGAGACTGAGAGGGGAGAAAGAAATGTAATACGCCCGGAGAATGTAATCTTCCCAGAATAAGTTGTAACTCCATCTCAGGGTATAGGCTGCATTTCAAGAGAGGCGGCGATGGCTTCTAGGTCAAACAACTGAACAAATATGCATTTCAAATTAACACCCATCACTTTGCTGCTTCCCGACGTGAACCTAGTATGTGTTAGAAAACTGGTTCAAGGCCTGTGAGGAGTTTTCATTTGGTTAAGAAAATAGACTAAAACTGAGACGAACGCCTCTTAACAACCATCAGCAACGAGGCTGTTATTTCCTCTGTCCTCATTTTAATGCTTGAAACTGCTGTGAGGGAGTAGGTGTCATACCAGATGACTGTTGGCACACTGAAGAAACAGCTTTTATAACTTTTACCATGGCAACTACTAATGATGAGAGATACACTTCAATGTAGAAAGGCAACAAGCTGAGATTCTTGTATGAAAACACTACTTTCACATTAATAAGATAAGAGGTAGGAGGTGTCACTTTGTCCACAGGGGGCACCCCATTCATGGTTTTTCCAAGTGTTATCTCCAGCGCTACTTCTTACTCAAGTGAAATCAAGGTGATAATTAGGGCCAGACTGACATGGATTTTTTGGGGCCGATAAAGATTATTAGGGGGAAAAAATCCTATTACCGATTAATCTGCCGATTTTTAATTTTGTTTTATGAAGTTCTAAAAAATACTTCTATACTGTAGATATACTGTTGGCTACTGCGCTTCACGCCGACAGGAAGACAGACTCACCAAAGACAGACCAGAAAAGTTTTTTGACAAAAAGTGGATTTGCTACAACAAAAGATTTAAACATTAAAATATTTAAGACTCATTGTCCTGTTTGTTAAACAAACATGTCTCCATGGTCAAGTGTCAGTCAGGAGTACAACTGGGTCATAATCGGTCTGGCGGCAGAAAAGAAATAAACACTCTGACAACACTAGTGCTGCTGGTATGCAGAGATACCAACATGCCAGCTATGCCCCTGCTATGTGTCTGTTTTGCCTGTCACGGCTGTGTGTTGCTTGCTCCCCCTCCCCAAAGAAAGACCTGGCGTGTGGCTGCAGCCCTTTGCTGAGTGTTTCCGTTGTGCAAAACCACTTTAGCCAGTTGGTTAGCACTGAAACATGCTTGAATCTGTGAGTTGCGGGTGCGCTTATTTGGGCTCTTTTTTCTGTATGTGTGAACCCCCTGATTTGAAGTTGAAGTTATTGTTGGTCCGGCCCTCCAACACAGTTCAGGTTTCTCATGTGGCCCCATGTAAAAATTAATTGCCCACCCTTGCTTTAGAGAGAGCACATGCCATTATTTCCCTAGTTATGCGTTTACTGCATGCAGAGGACACTGTGTTAGTGTATCTGCATTGGGCACTGTAGAAAGTAACAATGATAAGTTTTACTAGATGTCAACAAAACTTTTGTTTTGTTGTTAAGCTCTTCTCCGCGACGCACAAAGACAAAGATGAGGAAGAGGCTTCAGTTTTGAGTAGAGGTGCAAAAGTTAAGGTCGTGGATGTCTCACAGTTCTGTCAGTGTGTATTCTAACAGACACCTCAAGCAAAAATCCCTATTTGTCTAAGCAGCTTTGAAAATGTATATGAAGAAACGTGAGCGCAGCACACATGTGTATCTTTGTACAGGGTTCACCTGCACTTCCTGTTTTAAGAAGATAAGACGACGAACCACAAGTGTTTGTCAAGGGATTACGTCTTCCATTTTTCCGAGTACGGCACCATGCAACAGAACAGAATGTGGGGTAAAGTTGTCCCAGGGAATATTTTCAGAAAGTCACAGTGAAAGCAAAAGGAGAAAAGTCTAAGCGCTGTTTCATTAAAGTAGTGAATTTATGCAGTAATATCAAACTTAATGACCTATTTCTACATCTGAGTCTGTGCAAGAATAAAAGGACAAAATCTTAAAAGACTGGGCTGTCCTTCCTTGGCGTGAAGATAATTTTGAATCTGTAGATTACATGAGTACTGAACAGCAGGGGATGTTTGGCACAGATCACTATGACCCCTGTGAATTCATAATTAAGGTCTTACCTTTCTGCGCTGGAAGATGCCTTGGACTTCTGTGTGACGCTGTTGGAAGCTTTCTCCTTTTCCACACTTCCCTTTTTGTCCGATGTTTTATCTGTTTGGTAGAAGAGGGAGAGGACAGGAAGATTGAAATTTTAGTTAAAGGTTAAAGGCAGTACCATTGCGCAAACCTGAAAACCACGAGTGCACTTCAAACCACAAACGCACATCTTCTTTGAAGGTTGCTAGTTAACAATACGTGTCACACTGTCCTGCTGCTAGGCAATCCTCCAATTAGAGCTTGTTAAAACCTGCTTCCAGAGATGGCACCTCAGTACAGTCCTTATTTACACCTCACCTATTCAATCCAAAATCCTCATCAGCATTGAATTAAGAGTAATAATGCCAAACATGCATTGTCACACACAAGTCAGGGATAAAAGTTGATCTTTAGTTGTTAAGGTCAATCAACCAAGGCCGTGTTTTGCAGCTGGTTACAGTTATTGCATCTTAAGTAGCTGGATTTAATGGGTGAGAGTGAAGTATCAGACAGCATGGCCCCTGTCTCCTGCAGCTTGGCAGGCAGCACAGCGAGCTCCAGTGAAAGGGAAAGCCAGGCTTTATGAGCAGGAAATTAAACTCCTCAAAGTTACAGCAGGAGTTAGGTTATATTATCAAGAGTGCAACTAACCAAGACTGAGTTTTATTTCCCATCAGATTAGTTATTTCACACGACATTACACTTCACGCTGTTTGCAATCCATTTATTTACATGACCTCTGCTTTTCAATTTCATTTCAACACGGTAATCACAACTCATGATGCATTATTTTGAAGATACACTGGCAAAGACAGGCCTATAATGGCTATCACCAAAACTGGTACTAATAAGATTATACAACAGTTTCCAAAACAAATCGAACATGAAAGAAAACAACCCTGTGAGGTAAAAAGGATTGGGGAAAAATCTCATTCCACCAGCCTAATCCCAGCTCGAATCAGACAGATTAATCCAACAAAGCGTAACGAAACCCAACACTAGTTTTATTACAGATCAAAGGTATGATTTTTCTGACTCAGTATGTTTGCTGGCTCTTGGTTTCACAAGGATATATTCTCATAACTCAAACTAACAACAAAGAAAATATTTGCACAGCTTGTGAAGCAACCTTTTAGAAAAGGTGAAGATGTCAGAAGTACCCATGCTGTCTGTTTCCTTTTGTAAAATTTGGAACAAGAAAATAAAAAAGGGTAAAACTATGTCCACAGGACCGGTTAAGATTTCACTTTAAAATCTGTAGTCATGTTTGCTTGAAGAGGGAGGGGAAAAAGAGAAAAAAGATGGTCCTTTGTTTGACCGAGGAAACCACCAGCAAACTGTGAAACGCTTTTGACGGCACAGAGAGAAGCCCACACGCAACTTTCAAATTGACTCAAGAATGTCACAACTCAACCTTCTCTCAATCGCTTTTTCTGTGAACTACAATGTAACACAGAAAAAGAAGACTAATTAAACTGATTATCTTGCCACAATAAAGTGATTTAAAAAAATTCCTACAATCTTTATAAAGGCGTCTATGAAGTCTGCTGATGGTAGATGTTTCTCAGAATAAAAATATGTGCGCCATGGGTGTCAGATTACCAATAGAGTAAACATACCATCTTGCGGTGACATTTAATAAATAGGTGGCAGTTCACAGTTGTTTGCACCCTGTTCAAGACAACTATACCACAATGTTAGTGTTGCAAGATACCAATGAAACATGTTACTTCTGTCCTGATCTTAAACATGCATTTTTCAATGGGTAAACCTGACCAATACTGCATCTGTTTTCTGTAACTTGCACCTGAATGAGGCCCTGAGCACATGAGGGTCCTGTGTACTATTAATACTAGGCATATTTTACATTCCAACACATGCTTTGGTTTTCTTAAACAGCTAATGAGCTTACATGCCCTGAAACTACAGCGGAGGAAGTTGCACCAATTCTTACTATCTCCAGTTTCACAAGTCTCTCTATCTGTCTATCTGTGGTTGATCTCGAGTCAGCATACATGCTGAGTTGTTCAAACGGATCTTTCTCAGCCCTCCATGAATTAAAACAGACACTGCTGGCTCTCGATAATACTTTTACAAGGTGGAATGAAAGGGGAATGACTGCTCTTTGTATGCTAACTGAAAGCCGATCTTTTAAATCATTCGAAACGATTAAAAAGAATTTAAATTACAGAACAGGGATATGTTTCGATATCTACAGTTGAGAGATTTGTTTAATAAAGAAATTAAAAATGAATTATCAGCAGAGATAAAGGAGGTCGTTGCAGTCCTGAAACAAACCCCCCTCAAAGATTGTCACAAAGCGATATAAAGGTCTCCAGAAAAGTAACGGCCAGAATTCTTTGTATATGAAGTCTAAATGGGACTTTGGTGAAGTCTAAACACAGCAAACCTCTACTTATTCTCAAAACTGGCATCTTTTTGGATGGAAGAATTTATCTCACTTCTTTCTAACACCACATATTACTGGTAAATATCTGGACAAAAAAACAACACTGTTGGAGGCAGTGTGGCCAGGGAGACGCCACTCATACCCATATTTTCTGGTCATGGCTAAAGATACAACCTCTCTGGAACGAAGTGAACGAGACTGGGAAAAATCCTGCACTATATTATTCAAAGAGATCCCAAATTCATGTTTTTGGGAGCCATACCTGAGAAAGTGATAGAACAGGGAGATGTTTATTAGGGCACGACCGATTTATCGGCGAGCCGGCCAATTTTAGCCCCTTTGAGACTAATCTGTAATCGGCCAAAACTCGCCGATTTTCGCCGATAATTTTAGAAATAAAATGCGGAGAATTTTATCGACTTATCCTGTAGATTGCACAGCGATCGGCCGATTAATCGGTAATCAGACCCCACCCCCCTAATAATCGGTATCAGCATCGGCCCCAAAAAATCCATATTGGTCGGGCCCTAATGTTTATCTATTTAAGGTCTTGGTTATTGCATGCAAAAAGGCTATTACAGGGAACTGGATGAAAACTGATCGCCTGCTACTGGGACAGTGGACGGACATTATGGGCGAAATTTACACCATGGAAAGTCTAACTTACCACTTGAGGCTGGACATGTCTTCCTATCATCAAAAATGGAGGGAATGGACAGAGTTTAAGGAGCATGAAGCTTAATAAACAGACTATGTGGACCTCTGTTAACCACCTGCAAAATAAGGAGTAAGAACTGCCTCTGTGTTCCTTTGTTCCCTGTCTCTCTCTTTATTTTTGAGAAAAAGGAAAAAATGGTTGTAAAGAAATAATTGTCTCGAGCCATGCTTTACTGAAAAATAAAGTTGAATAAAAAAATAAAAAAAACAGCCACTGCTTCTGCACAAAGGTTAACATTGCATAACTTCCCATCATGATATCAAGCTGTATGCAATAAACCGCATATAAACCTTTTTTTAATTCATTCTATTCCTGACTATAGCGTTGAGGTTTCATTAAGATTTATGCCTTAATAACACACCTGAGTGGTTCAGCGGTTAATTACACAGGATTGCCAAAAAGCAGAGGTCACACTTAAGCCTCTTTATCGCCTGAGGAGGAAAAGTTTACAGACATCTGATATGAAGCTAACAAGCTAAGTACGTTCAAGGGGAGAGTGAGAGTGAAAGCACAGAGATTGAAGCCTCAATAGAGAGACAAATGCATTTACACCATAAATGACGAAAAAATGACGAAAGAAAAAACCCTCTTGTTGAGACATCAACCACAGCAGGTGTGTAATTTTCTGTCACAGCGCCCATTACCGTCTTAAGCAGTGTTTAGCCTGACGTTAGCCCGTTACAACAGTATCCACCGTCTGTGTGCTCCTGCATTGTCTCTATTTAGTTTTTAACACAACATACGACGATATGGAAAATACGTTTTTGATTTAAATCATTTTCCTCGACGAAAACAGGCTCCAAAGCAAAATTCAGCTAATTTGAAATAGGAGAATCTACATCCTGCTAGCATTAGCTCGGCAGCTAACTAATAACACTTTTAGGCGAGAGTGTATGACAGCGGCTAAAGCGAAGGCGCTCCCCATCACCACCTCGAAAACCAACAAATGTATGAATATTTTACATACCAGAGTCTCTCATCACCCTAGACATCTCCCTGCACCGCTCCCACGCATTCTGTGCAGAAGAGCAATGTCCAGTCCAGTTTCAGACCTGCCCATGCTAACGTTGTAGTAGGAGGAGTTTACCTTCCTCTGCCTGCCTGTCTGTCTGCAGGAGGTTCAACTGTACTATGCAGAAAATGTTTCATCACATTGGTGTTCAATCGAAAAAAAAACAGTGCATAAACTACAACAGGAAGTATTTGCAATGGAAAAAAATATGTCAGGAAATTTTGGATGGTGCATGCTATTATATTTTTCATTATACTTGAAGTTTGTTTTTTGTTTTTTTTCCATGCTTGCACCATTACACTGCATGCACATGACTCTAACATGGCATGTAAACACATAATGTTGTATGAAATCTCTAGGAAAACAGGTGTGAACATTTTAGAAAAACTTCACAGTAGGGCTGGGCGATAAAACGATAACGATTTATATCGAAAATTAATTTTCCTCGATATCGATATAAAACATGAATAAATAAAACATGACATATGTCAATATGCTTTTCGAGAGCCGGCATTCTGCCATGTTTTGGTAGATTATACAAATAGCCAATGAAAGGGGGAGTTGCTTCAGGTCCGCTTCGCACTGAACCAATCATGTGCTGAATTAGAACCAAGTAGCAAAAAACTGCGAAGTAGCAGACTGCAGCTACACGCAACTACAAAAAAAGAAAATGAGTGCTACCCCCCTACCCCTACCAGATGCGGGCTGTCAGCTCTGTACAGCGAACAGAACATTATCGCACTTCTGAATCTCCTAACCCTCATCCTAATCCTAACCCTAACCTTTAGAGTGACCTTTCTCTACCATCCTACAAAAAAAAATTCGCACCCCCGGCAGAAATGCAGGTGAAGGCTCAACAGATGATGACATCGTCAACGACACAGGCATGAAAACATCGGCAGTGTGGAGATATTTTGTTTTTTTGAGGTTGGATATGAAGCAGAGTAGTGTGCACTGCAAATTATGTCAAGTACATGTTCTCGCAAAGTCGGGGAATACTTCGTCCTTTTCACCACCTGAAGCAGAGCCATGCGGCAGAGCACACGCAATACAAAAGGTTACAAACCCCGAGTGGAGCAAGAAGCCCACGGCGCCTGTGCAGCCAAAACAGCTGACCATTCAGTCCACTTTCTCTAGCGCAATGCCTTACGACAAAACGTCGAAGAGACACAAAGACCTCACAGATGCAGAAGCTTATTGTATTGCAAAAGACATGCTACTAATAAGCACTGTTAAATTTCATTTTTTTATATTGTGATACATATCAATATCGGCTGATATGAAAAAATTATATCGTGATTACCTTTTTTTCATATTGCCCAGCCCTACTTCACAGTGCAAAATGCATAAAAATTGTTTATTTCACAGCATGAATCCATTCACAATCTTGCTGCCTATACAGGCTTTAACTCCAACGATAGGATGTTGATTTTGATGTGTGAGCATTTTCTGACAATGCTTTTTTCATATTGAATTCTAAGTGCAACTAGTCAGGTGTTTAACAAAACAAGGTAATAAAATATTTTCTCACTTTCTTTGCAGCCAAATACACTGCCATGTCTGATACCTTTAACAATGTCAACAAAGACTGTTTCATTGCAAGTTCTGCCACCTAGTGCTGAGTTTGCTAACTGACTGTTGTGGCTGGCTGCCACAATGAAAACTGTAGCAAGCTATGATAAATGTTACCTCTATGTCCATGACAGTCCTGCCCAAACTCTCCCTGAGCATTGTAAGTTAATTTGTTACAATTATGCATAGGTTGGGCCAATTTCTACCAAAGGAAGTAGTGCTTGCAAAACCGCCCTATTATATTGCGCAACCCTTTGAAGTAGACGTTTATCTGCGAGAGGCTATCTTTGCAAGAAAAGAGCAAACACTGAAGCGATTACAAAGAGCATCTCTTGTAACGCACTGTGTTAATATATTCCAAGTTTATACACAAGAAGACTCTCGGCTGTGTATGTCTGCAAACAGAAATAAGATGACAGACCTGTTTTGCGGTGCTGGTTGAGTTTGGTGATTGTATTGCCAAGGGGAGCAAAAGTTTGTTTGACAACTCCCTGGCCTCTGGTGGCTTTGTGGTACTTGCTGATCCATTCAAATTTGGGTGGCTCGGTGGGAGACTTGCAAACATCTAAAAAAAAGACAGAAGGAGAGAGAGCAAGAGAATTGGAATGAGCTCAGACATTGTCAATGAGTGTAAAAATATGCTTCATGGGAAAAGCATTTCTTAGCGCCCACATTGACTTCCTTTTTTTCTGTATCTACCTTAATACCTCCTGCTTGTGACCCCACCTTTGAGCTTTATAGTGCATTACTTTAAACGCATTACGCTTCCTATGCTGCACTGCTTTAAATGGATGTCACATGTCTGCTTACCTTTGCCATTTTTCAAAATCTTCTTTTTAACAACAGCAGGTGCCTTTTCTTTTAATCTTTCCATCACCAGCTAACAGCATTTGTGGCTCATCTTAGCATACCACAAAAAAATTATAAACCACATATCAGTCTTCATCCGTGCTCACGTGGGGTTTCCCATGTGAAACAACGTAAGCCAGAACTGAATATGACACATTCCTAATAGAGCAGACGGTCCATAAATCCATCAATGGTCAACTCCATTCAGAAAAACAGGATGCTGAAGGAAAAAAAGAGTCCAGGAAAAACACAGAGGAGCAGGTCACTCGTCCTTCTTAGCCTTTTTTCACGTTGTTTCTTCACTAATGCTTTCTGTGACGGAGACAAACTCTAAGAACACATCCAGACTCCACCCAGCCTCTCTGTCCCTCCCTTTTTTGGCAGCTATGTGTCATGTACATCCAGTGATCGACAAATGAAGTGACAACACCGGTTTGTACGTTTCAAAAGTGATCTGACTTTTGAACTACAACTACAAGGAGTCTCACAAAATAACAAGATCCAGTCCTTTTTAGAAAAATCGTTTTCCCTTTCAAGAATCGTGCATTTTAAGAATTAAGTTGTATTGTTGTTTGAGACATAACGTAACCTTGAGGCAACTGGAGACTGGTTGAGCAGGTTTCCTCTAAACAAAGGGTTGGAGCAGAAAATTTCTAGTTCTTCTCACAAAACTGGATTTAAATAATAAAAATATAACAGCAAAAATGTGTTTAAGGCGTGGCTACTTTCATTTTTGTACTGTTGTTTCTGCCGTGTTAGATTTATCAAACGTCATTTAGTTGCAATACATGTATTTAAAAATAGCTACTCCTCAAACAAAATTTCAAGCTTTTCTGCAAGGTTGCAAAAATCCCACATAAAAGCAAGTGACAGCTGGGTGTCACATCTCTGTGGGCCGACCTACCACTCCACGCCCTGTTGACCTCACTGAGGAAGAGCCGTGAATGGGACCCAAAAGGAAGTCTGAGCTCTAACTCCTCTTCCTGGTAGCTCACTCTCACCCTGGTGTCACCACCTAGAAATAGATCGAGAGCATTTTTCTTTTCAATATGGTTTCACATCATAGTGTGACTGAACCTTTACAGGAATGAGGACAACTCACCCACAACGGCAAGCTCCTCTGGTGAAGAAACTACAAAGACAGCAGCAGGAGAAAAGTGTCAAAGCACTGCAGGAAAATTACCACTGTGCCTTTTTTCCTTTTTTTCAGCGTTTACTATATTTAACTTGATGAATATGATAATATCTGGGCTTTAAACTGTCAGTCTGCACTGTAGTTTAATGACAGAAAACAGCTCACCCTCTACAACAGAAAACTCAAGAGAGATGGGAACAATATCCTCCAGTGACACATCATCAGCAGTAATGGCCATCCTCCGATGGGTATAAACAAAGATTCTGCAGAAAATGAAAAGATAGGAGATGTAATCAATGAATATATCTAATTTTGAAGGTGTTTTTTCTTCATGACTGAGCCCATGTACACTCAGAAATGATAACAAAACACCTGCAGTGAAAGCCTTAGTGCTCTACAGTAAATAAAACCATCACATGTCATTTGGTTCCTGTGCAAGCAGGTTAATACAACTCTGTGGGCATTTACAAGGCCAGTGGTTTCAATGATGTCACCCTGCCTGGATTACATAATGCTTTCACCAGCCTCCTTAAAAAATCAGAATACTAACATGCTGTTCTAAGACCCAGCAGACACAACACACAATGTAATAAAAACTCACGCATGTTCTTTTGTTGACTCCACCAATCCCAGAAGCCTGGTTTCTGAAATGTCATCGAAGTGGGCATCACATTGGACGGCATGTTTATGGTTAAGGATCGGGTGTTGATTTATGGCATCTTTATTACTATACCAGGAGATACAACCTTCTTGTGTTGTTTATCACAATATATTTTTTAATAACAGTCGAAATCGATATATATCACGACATAAAAAATGAAATTTAACAGTGCTTATTGGTAGCATGTCTTTTGCAATACAATAAGCTTCTGCATCTGTGAGGTCTTTGTGACTTTTCAGCATTTTGTCTTAAGAGAAAGCAGACTGAATGGTCGGCTGTTTCGGCTGCACAGGTGCCGTGGACTCCTTGCTCCGCTTGGGGTTTGTAACCTTTTGCATTATGTGTGCTTTGCTGTGTGGCACTGCTGAAAAAAGATTTGAGGTATTTGCCGACTTCGTGAGAACATGTACTTGACATAATTTGCAGTGCACATTAATCTGCTTTCATTGGCTATTTGTATAGTCGACCAAAACATGACAGAATGCCGACTATCAAAAAGCATATTGACCATATATTGATATTGAGGGATATTAATTTTCGTTATCGTTTTATCGCCCAGCCCTACCTCTCAGCCTTGTCAAGGTCCACAACAAACCCAATACACTTTCTGAAATTGTTATTAGGTTACACCATATCATGAAATATCTTATACTTTATTATCATTTTGCAAAATCAGATACACCATGCTATAACTGATCAGCAATATCCACGAGCAACCATAAAGTTTAGTAGTAACTGCAAACTTGTATCTGTCTAGATCCCATCTATATTGCACATCAGCTTCTTCACCCTCCACGCTGCGTCCTCCTACAGACCTGCAGCTGGTGGAACAAAGTTGCCACCTTGTGGTTGAAACGTTTTCCTACCATGTTGGACCATATTTTGGGAAAGTCACACCCGATAAAACCCGAGCACTAAAACTACCGCAGAAACTAGAACTGAGAATGGATTGGCTGGATAAAAATCACAACCCAATTGAGGTTGTGTGATATATTTACAGTCAGGCACGTGGCAGAACCTTAATCACAGCCTACAGACTTTGGTGAAATCTAACGCAGCCACGTTATAGTGAACTGGGTTGAAATAGGTAACCCGTCGCTTGAGGAGCTGTGGATACAAATACCAACGCACAAATCTCTCAAAGGATACTATAATGCAGTTTTCTTCCCTTTCCAAAGTTTCCTGAATTGCGACAGATTGATCCATGGCAACGGCAGCTCGCCAAGCTGCTGGTGTGAGAAAACTTGAGCTCTCTTACGAAAGTACCCGAAGGAGTTTCGGGTACGACACAGTTATTCCCCCCTCAGGTAAGAGCCGAGTATACAGCAGGAGCAGAGACGTTCAAGCGGACCCGTGTAATCCGACATTTTATTCCCTTTAGATCCAGATGTTTCCTTCCTCCTCCGCTTCCTTCACTGCTGCTGCTGCTGCTGGCCCGACCCAGTCTGAGTCTGACTGCCACGCACTGATTCACGCAGCCGGAGTGACGTCACGGCGGAGCTGTCATCGTCAGCTCAGTTTGGGTTGGTGTGAAACTTCAGGTCAGTGACCCCGAGAACTCCTTTAAGTTTTCATCGATGCTTTCGAGGATAAACGTGGATAAACGTGAAGACAGGTGGTTTTTAAGGTGCCACTGTCGATGCTTTGGTAGGCCACTTTGTTAAGTAGCCTACCAGCATTGAGTAGCCTACCTCCTGGGTCAGTTCTGTTGTGGTTTGTGGTGAACTTCTTCATTTGCAACGTACTTAAACAAAGGAAGTGTCACAGATAGGGTGATATTTTAGTCCTAAGTTATCTTTGACCTAGATTTATCATCAACCATAGTAGCCTACTCAGAAGCACCTCTGAACTTTATGAACCGACTTAACCCTCTTTCTGTGTTAGGGTCTGCACCCTAACCCTGCTTAAAAGAACCACAAAAATTTGCTGTTTTGCACCAAGAATTTTTTGACTTTGTCAGTAATTTCTATTTCAACAAAATAAAAATGTAAAAATTAAATTGACTAAATTATGAAATGCTCTTATTAAAATCATGGCACATGTCATGTTAGGGTCGCTGTTGACCCGTTTAGATCAGTATCTAATAATAATTAGAGCAAAAACTGAAATCACAAGTGCACTGTCAAGCACCACACTGACAGTCAGATCCTCTTCCAATCATGTGAGATTTCGGAAATTCTCATTTTGCCATGTTTTTCTCTGCACAAAAAACAAACAAACAAACAAACAAACAATGTCGGGCATGTCCAGTCATGTGAGATCAATTCAGTATAGATGTCTGTATGAGAGGAGGACCACTACAAAAAATATTATAAGCAATATTTTCATGGGTAATGAAGCCTAACAAGTCAACCTAGAGATGAGAACCAAATTGGATGATTGTTCTTACTGTAATTTACAGCTGATTTTAGACACCGATCGAAACCGACCCTTAACACCGTGGGTGCGAAGTGAAAGCCAACACAGGAGGAAGTTTAAATAGCTGGAGCTGGTTCTGGATCTGTGTGGTCAAATTTAATAGAGAATTTACTTTCCTGGTGTAAAAAAAAGTTCTCGCAGTGGTTTGTTAAATCTCAACATATTACTTTGCTGAAAGATGAGCATTTCATTACCATAATGTGACAGATCAGGTTACAATAAGATAAATTTACGGACATAAACAGGCCAAAATCATACTGGGAGACAATTAAGAGAAAGAAAGAATATACCCAGCCCTGGCTGTAAACACTATATGGTACTTAAATACCAATAGTTATAGGCCCTTTTAAAAATATCTGCTTAAATCTGTCTTCAAAATTAAGGGAAAAAAAAAATATATACTCAAATCTAACATTGCAATAGAACAACAGAATAACTGATCACAAGAAAGAGTCTCATATAAAAGGAAAATGACATGAGAACATCAGCTAAATGTATTTAAATTAGCAGTAAAAATACATGTTTTAATATTCCCAAGGCTGGTGTATTATCATATATGACATACTCATTTATCATTGGACAGATCTTGTCGCTGAACCTGAAGGAGTTATTTTTAAACCATACAAAAGGACCCTTTGATCGAGCTTTAAATAGCTTCCCAGCATTTTGTCTGAAATCACAGCATGTACTAAATCATTTCATAAATGAGTTCGCTTAAAGAAAGAAGCCTTCCCTAAAAATCAGTTGGACAAGAAATTGAAATTATTTCAAAATGAAATAATATAAATTCTTTAAAATATATGACTTGACATATCAATCAATCATATAAACAACTTTTTAGACATATATTTTATTAGATTTACTTAATTAAAAAGCAAAATTAATTATATTCATACACAAAACTAGAACAACCTGATTTCATTCAACATTTACATGACACCATTATACATTAAAATATTCCTCGTAAACCACAAAATATAGATGCACATCCAACTCACTATTCACAAAATATGTGTAGATGAACAGACTATGATTCATATTTAACTATGACTGCATGTACAGAAATGCTTCAGCAAACACCCCATAACAGCTCAATATTTGTGTTTCATAAAGTGCATAAAGAGTCACAGCTGGTCACTTTCACAATGGCTTAAAGAAAGTTCAACTATGGAGAAGTTTTGTTAAATATTTAACATACCTGTGAGTTTACACGTGTTGTTTACACTCATTGTTGAATTTGTTTAAAGCTCCCTTGAGGAACTTCCAGGTCAAGCTGAATTTGGCGCCCCCCTGTGGACAAAACGTTACCTTTTTTCTCTTTGCTGATCTTGTCCTGTGCACAAGTCGTGTTTTCTGTCAATGATCTCATCCTGTTTTCTGTAGCTGTTAAACGTCTAATACCTACCCCCTGACAGCGGTGACAGACATGAAAAATAACAACCAAAAATAATCAAGCATTATCCTAATGGCTTTGTTTGCTTTGATAAAAAACAAAAAGGCACTAAAATTAATTTCAGTTTGTCTCATAAGCAGCCATAAACATCTCGCAGGAGCTTTAAAATGGAAAGGCACAAACAGAAACTGTTTATTGGCTTTCTGAAAAGAGTTTGTGAATCCAGTTACAGTTATAGGCAAGGTCATTGCTAATATTAACATTAAGAAAGCGTTTGGTAAATTAAAGGGGTCTCTTGATATTTCTAATAACGAAAACTATTATTTTTCCCCTTTAAATTAAGTTTAAGACTGTGTTGCTCCTGGTGTGCTTTGATATAATCCATGTCATTATTTTCAAATACTGTTCAAAGCCATTTTTATTGGTCTTGAACCAACAATTAAACATTTTTTGGGAAGTTTTTATAAAAACAACATCTGAAATCAACATTTAACATTGGCTTAACATATTCCCTTAAGTATGTACAATGATATTATGTTTAAAAATTGGGTTGATGAACTGTTTTAAATGAAGTAGTGTTAATCATTTGCACTGTGAAGCTTTTATTTCCTGGATAGACTGTGGGATACACAAAGCTCTGGTTACCTAATAACCCACACAGCAGCTGATGAAGCTTTAACTCACTCACTTAACGCAGCAAAGTGAGGGCGAGCAGGCAGAGTAAAGAGGCTATCAACTCTGTGTTTAGATGGGGCCCCCTTGTGGCCACATTGAGGACATTCAGCGTGCCGTTCAAGCGGAGGCAGGAGGTCATGGTGGCGACACAGCACTCTAGACAACATGGAGGTTTTGTAGCCGTTTTGCATGGAGTTTCAGTCGAACAGTTGGTGAAGCAGCCTGCTGTCCACTTAAATGAGGTACCGGCTGTCTCTTTTTTTAGCTGAACAGATAAATGTGTGAGTGAGAAGAAAATAAAAACAGTCTGGCATGAAAAAGTGGTTCTATTTTAGAAAAAAAAAGTCATGTTACTATTAAACATATTGGTTACACTTGTGTTCAACTGTCAGACGCAGATTTAGTGATAATTCAGGGCAGCTCTTACCTGACAGTGCAGGTGTGTAGAGGAGCATGTTTGCATGGTGTTGAAATTCTTGTAGCAGTCTGTACCTGTGCATTGACCTTGATGGCACATTTTTCCCTGAAAAACAATTCAGAAAAAAGGAGGATACATTATAAAGACCAGAGCTAGCTCAGAGTTGGGTAGAGATGTCATTTACTCTGTCGAGGTATCAGATCATTGTCAAGTTGTAACGGCTGACAATTGTTTTGAAGTCAACACTGTATGCTAATATATTCTTACAGCTGACAGCATTTGGTCAAAAAACACTGCATACATACATACAAACACACACACACACACACACACACACACACACACACACACACACACACACACACACACACACACACACACACACACACAGCTACATCTCACTTTTTTGGCTGTTGTCTGCGGGATGGCCATAGTGGTAGTAGTAGTTGGTTTGATTGTTGTTGTTTTTTTGGTGGTACTCATCGCTGTAATGAAATAAAGCAAGAGTAAAATGACTATAAAAAAACACACCCGAATAAACGTATTTAAAGTCCTAATTAAACAACAGTGTTGGATGTCAACATAAACAAAACTATTATGAGTGGAGAGTACATAGTGAGGTTAAAGATGAGAGTGTTCACCTGCTGTGGCTGTCGTCATCATCATGGATGCAAAACTGCTATTCAGACATCCGGTGGAATTACAGCAGCTCACTGAACAGTTGGTTTGAGAGCCGTTGATGCAGGGATCAGAACAGGTGTTGGTGCAGCCAGCAGTGTAGTACATGCTTGTCTGTCTTATCAGCTGGTATATTGTAGAGAGGCACAAAAAACAATTTTTGAAAAATTTGTCAAATTATCCCGGAAACTAGGTTAGACTATATAAATAAACTGCAAATCAATATTTTCAAAGCTTTTGTAAATTACCTAGGGCCTGTGTCCACTAACAGCAGTTTTTGCTCTGAAAGTGTCACTAGGTAACTAAAGTTGTTCTGCTACACTTCTACCCCCCTAAGGCATGATCATCTTATCTGTTGAAATGCTCTGTGAGTTTTATATTAGCTTTTCAATAAAATTGTACAAAGAAAATAGTTTATAGAAATAATGTTATGGTAAAAACAGCAGTTCTAGACCTGGAAAAAAGTACCCTTAAAAAATCCAGTGTGGTTAGTTTCTCCTATAGACTATTGTCATATTGTTGATAACATAAGTCCTGCTGTTCTGTAATTTTGATTGGTCCTTGACAGAGGCATGACAATGTGGAGCATGTTGATGTTTTAAAAGTTGAACTATGTTCAACTGAGATGTTTTTGCACCGAAGACATTGAGCACAAAAACACTGAGCTGCTCTGGTTTTGTTTAGAAAGTAGGGGCTGCCTGTGCAAAATCAAAATGTCAGTGGAAACAGGCCCTGATATATGAGACCTATACAGAAATGCACACGCAAGTTCATGTATAATCTTGATAAACAAATTTTGCACATTGAATTAGGTAATACAGGTGACAGACAGGTTGTAGCATTTTTCAGACAGTAAAGTCACACTTGTTTTCAGTTGTACTCATGTATAAATAGTTTTTTTGCATCAAAACATCACAAGTTTCTTATATGCAAAAAATGTACCTGTTTCAGATTCTGATTAAAAATGACAAGCACATAAAAAAAGGCCTTGGGCAAGCAACACTTTAACGCTAACCACTCCACCAAAAACCTTACTTGACTTTATTCAAGAGGCTACATCTCTATTACCCAATAATTCCCAGGATAAACATCACAAATCGTTGCTCAAGATTTTCAAGTTATTTCATTGAGTAGTTTTATTGGTTCATGAAGTTTTGTTTGTATTATTGCCTTCTTACCTCACAGCAGGCCCCGGGAGTACATGAAGTGGCGTTCTGACTCATGTACATGGAGTAGCAGTCTGAGTAGTTACAGGCAAAAGAGGGACAGCTTATCTGTGTTAGAGAGGAAATTTTCAGCATTAAAAAAAGAAGCATAAGGGAGACAAGTGGAAAAATACACTTCTTTCTTTAAGGTACACTTACCATGCCCATTGAAGTGTACATACTGGTTCCACTCATACCAGACATGCCTGCAGCAAAAAGACAAAAGATGAAACCTGAACATAAGTTTTAGTGTTTTTCACAGGCTAGTTCGCTGAAATATATTATTTTTGAACTGAATCATACCAGTGGAGTTTGTCGGCTGAGTGGAAGACATCATGGAGTTTGTGGAACCGGATCCTGAAGTCATGGAGTTGGATGCACTGGTTCCGCCTGAGACCATTGTTTTGGGAGTGGTCTGGGCCATGGTCATTTTACTTGCTGTAAAAGACGCAGAATTAGTCATAGAATTAGTAACACAGATTGAATTAGAGGAGATAGAAATTGAAGATTAGATAGAAGTTGTGCTGAGGCTTGGCTGTGTGGAGGGTGACGAGCGTCTTGAGGTGCTTGTGGTTTGGGTTGGATTATTTTGTACCTGCAGAAGTGGCAGAGGTGGGAGAGGCGGGAGGCTTATTTGTCGAGGCTGTCGGGCTTCCTGCAGTGGGGGTCATTTTGCTGTTGGTGGGGGTCATTTTGCTGTTGGTGGGAGTCATTCTGCTGTTGGTGGGGGTCGTTTTGCTGTTGGTGGGAGTCGTTTGGCTGTTGGTGGTCATCATGGTTGACTTGGTGGGGGTTGCTGTTGTTGTTGATGTTGCTGTCATGGCGGTGGAAACCTTTGAGGATGAGGCACCAGTGGAGGAGGAAGTGAAAGATGCAGAGGTGGTACTTTGTCCTAATACTGATGGAAGGAGTATTCCTAACAGGAGGAGATGCAGGATACCACTGTGACCTAGCAGTGTGGGGAGCAATTGGAAAATGTGTAAGAGCATGTTGAGAAAAACTGGTGAATAACCCACCCAAGTAATGTATAACCAGCTCATGAATGGAAATGTTAGCCAGTGAGGAGGATTCAGGGGTGCTGGTGCAAGCTCTCTTATCTTCAGCTTCATTCAGGGAATCATTTGACACCTTTTCTCTAGAGACTTTGGGAACCGGTCTCTGGCCATAATAAATGAATTGGACCTCTGGACCAATTAGTTAGCTGTACATTACAGTTAATATCGTTTTATTGACAAAAACAATTTACCACCTGACCCAGGTTGAATCTTGAAAATCTTGAATACCCAAGAAGGAAGTTAAACATAACCTCACACTCAGATGTCATGAAGGTAAAAGCTTTCATGACATTAAAATTTCAGACACAACTGCAGTATTAAGACAAACTTATCAAGACACCAATACATTTTTGTTTGTCGTTTCCATGGGGACCTGCTTCTAACAACACCATAAGGTACAGGTATCCCATTCTTCAGCAGATTGAACTCTTAACCTTGCAGCACTGGTGCACAGTATCCATGCCAACATTTGTATGTCATCGATTCATCAGAGAGCTACAGTCTGGCATCTTTACTTGGAGGACAGTGAAATAGTGTCCCAGAGCGTTGGGTATAGCAGTATTTACTCCTCTGTAGTTTGTTAGGTACCCCACGGTGGCTTAACCTTCCTCCTGTGTTAGCTTTTACTGCACACCCACTATGTTAAGGGTCGGTTTTGACCCATGTCTTAAATCAGCTGTAAATTACAGTAAAACAATTCTCTATTATTCAGTTTGGTTCTCATCTCTAGATTACTTTGTTAGGCTTCATTATCCATGAAAATATTGCTTATCATATTTTTTGTTGTGGGTCTCTGGGCCTTTTTCTGTCAGTATACCCCTCACACAGACATCTATACTGAATTGACCTCATATGACTGGACATACCTGACGTTGTTTTTTGTGCAGGTAAAAACATGGCAAAATGAGAACTTCCTAAATCTCACATGATTGGAAGAGGATCTGACTGTCAGTGTGGTGCCTGACAGTGCACTTATGATTTCCTGTTTTGGCTCTAATTATTAGATATTGATCTAACCAGGTCAACAGTGACCCAAGACAACAAGTGCGATAATTTAATAAGAGCATTTTATAATTTAGTCAATTTAGTTTTTTAAATTTTTATTTTGTTGAAATAGAGGTTCCTGACAAAGTCAAAAAGTTTTGATGCAAAAAAGCCAATTCTCGAGTTGTTCTTTTGAGCATTTAAAATCAAAAACAGGATGTTGCAGACCCTAACATAGGAGGAGGGATAAATTATTACCGTGATAACACACATCGGTGCGTTATCGGGGTAGTATGAAAGTATATGTAAAAATTGACAGTGATTTAAAAAAATCAAACACACACATACCTGTAATAGAGGCCATTGTCACACCAACAGGAAAAGTGAAAAATTTTTTCCCAGCCTGTGATGAAGTCATCCTGTTTAATCTTTTGAGAGAAGGAAAAAAAAAACATTCAGTTCACATGAGTGAGAAAAGTCCAGCTTTGAATATCGGTGAATTTTAATGATGTTGTTATTGTACAATTTAAGCGATTTCTTTATGCTTACAGCTCTCTGACTTGTGAAGTGCTAACCCCCTGTTATCCATCTGTGAGAACTTTTTTTTCTCTTCTTTTTATTAGTGAGAGTCATCTTAGGTCTCCTCTTTAATTATTCCCTTGAAACTGGTCTGGTAATTGTTTGGATGAGTCACTCTGTAAAGGTAGTTGAGCTGTAGTTTTTTTAAAACTTCTATCGTCCTTAACAAAGACATTTTAAAGCACAATGACATTTTTCAGCAGTGGTCACCCCTCATAAGGTCACTCCTGCTAAATTTAGTCTTTTGGAGCGGCTGAGGATTATATTTTACAGTATGTGTCTCTGTGTGTGCTGGGGTCTATCAGTGAACTCAATTAAAGCGTGTTTGTTCCTTGTTCAGTCCTCTTGGGAGGACCGCTGAGCAGCACGATTTGTTTTTTCCCCTCTCCCTTGGATCCCAGCCTGGGCTCCTCTGGGCTCTACACCCTGGAAACTGAGAGACAACAGTAGCCATTTTGGCTTTCCAGTCAAAATGCAGAGTTTACTTGGAAAAATAAATCCCATGGAGGATGCTGAATTTGGTGTGCCAAGCATCAAAAGTCCTGTTGAGGTGCGAAATCCTCATTTTGAAAATCACACCAGTCGACTTTAAACTTTAAACTCTGAAAATGTTCATCATGTGGTTATGATGAGTCATGCATTTAATCATAAGACTCCCTGAGTGATATACAAAAGCCTCGACTTAACCTGAAATTTGAGCAAAGCTGGTCATTCAAAGGGAAATTTAACATTAAATCACTGTGAATGTGTCACATCTCTGAGCCGAGGAGAGGCTAAAATTCAAACACCTGATAGAGTCATGTCAAGTTTTGCTTTTTAATCAGGAAGAACAGAATAACTTTAGGACAATGGCTCTTAATTTGGACTAGAAAAAGGACAAAATTGAGTCATTCTTTGATGGAAAAGTTACAGAAATTATCACACTATTTGGGGAAAAATAAAAGGACGTCCTGGATAGACTTTACATTGAACCAAGTGGGTCTATTAACCCTGTTAGTAAGTCACCAATTAGTTTATTTAGAAGAGAACATACTGGAGAGGTTAATGTATAACACACACTCCGGCAATTCTCTTCTGTATCATCTTGGTTACAATAATACAACTGTTTTTGACCTGTACCACCCTTTGATTCTCCGTGCACTGACACAAAAACTCGATTTAGCAAAACTGACACCATGCGAACATTATTCATCTCTCTGTTTGGTACATTTTATTATATAGAAATCCTCTTACCTGATCTGCTGCAGTTGAGCTTTTTCGTCAGCTGTGGTTGAAATGAATGGGCTCTCTCTGTCTGGCGTCCCCTTTCTCTAGTGCTCTCTGTCACCTCCCCCCATCCGCCTCCTACCTGCAGCGCTGTAGTGACAACCTAATAAGTGGAAACTCTCACCTGCACCACTTTGAAAAGGAGGAGGAGGAGGTGAAAACCTGCTGTTGCTGGGCAGGTCTTAAGATGCCTCAGAATTAATATTAATATGAACAAAAATGATGTTTTCACAACAAGATGACTCAGTTAGGGCATTTTCTGTTAAAAGTCAAAGCACCTAATATATGATAATAAAGTTTTTACAGGGTAAAAATGTTGATCGGGACCTGGATTTGGTCAAACCAAGAGTATCAAGTAAAACAATACACTCTTTAAGTACCCAGAGCTGTCAAATGTTCCTGTAATACCACTTCATTGTGTGTGTCCGCTCCACATAAAAGACTATATTATGTTACAATTCATCACTGTGCTGGGTTGCTATATTGAAAGCAAACTAAAACTGTGCACCTAGCAATTACAGATTTACCAAAATAGCTCAGTGGATTAAGTCTGTGCTGGCCTATGAGAGCACAGGTGAGATTTCAGTGCCCTGTGGGGCTGATTGTATAGGGAAACTCCTGGTTTCTGTTTAACACAATGTGAAATCAGACCCCCTCTCTGCCGGCTATAAAGCCCCCGCAGGACTACAATTAGCTCTTTGTGGCCAAGAGAACGTAGAATTCTTGGGCACGACACAAAAGGCAGTTGCTCGATTAAGGTGACAGAAGTCCTGCCTTGTTTTCATCCTGGTTGCCTGGTAATGAAATAAAATACATTTTATCTGTGTTTAGCTGATTCATGGTGTCGCTTCAAAACATGCACAGGGGATTAAAAGTGATTCCCAACAATCTTTCAGTGGTTAAATCAGCTCTGACTCTGAATAATACTTTGAAAGTAGATTTATTGTCATTATCCAGTAGGTGTAATTTTGCTGCAGTTACAGGAAGCACTGTTGCTGATTATAATATGTGCAAAGAAGAGTTTCATAGAGTCAGCCTTTCACATTTAAAGCCACACTAACCTAGATTGGGGTGGCTTTGAGTTGATAACTTTGAATAGATTTTAGGAACTTTTATTTATCACACAATTTTTCCTCTTCTGTGCACCTGCTTTATGAAATTTGTGTAAGTATATTTACTACTATTGAGAGTACATAGAAAAAAAATGCTATAATTTAATGTTTCAAAAACTAGCCTATTTTTTAAACACCAGTAATATTTGATTTGGGGCTTTAACAAGGGCAAAAAACCAATAATAGTGAAGGATTTTGAAGGCAGATTTCCGGGGGGTCATGCTACCCCCTGGTGAGTGCTCTGGACACACTCCTGAGCTGGAGGCCAGTGAGGTTACCACAGCAACATTAGTATAACATTTCTTTTGTAGCTTTTGGGTTCCCAGAGTAACAAATCAAATGATTATTTATTCATCAATAAGAAGTAAAAGAGAGAAAAATCACCAAGGCAAGATTATAGTGGAAATATTAGGTACACCTTAGTTAGATGAGCCTGTGCTATTTTGATAAAACAATTTTTAAACAATAAAATACTTTTTATTGAAGTTATCTGACAACAAAGTAATTTATCTCATTCGTTTTCTTGAGTGAGGTCTGCATTTCTTGGTTGTCTGACTTTGTGTATAACAATCTCTTATATTAGGTTTGAGCCAAAAATCAATGTAAAACCTTTAACTATCAAGGTGCAATTTTATGTCATTGTAACGCTTCTTTTTGTTGTCTCATCTCTTACATGGTGCTTTAAACTGGTGCATTAAATTGCCCCACACTCTGTTAGTACAATTCAACCAAAAATCCTGCTACACTTTGGCCTGTGAACCCAAACTATCAAATAACATCCAAACATTGCTGGTATTGCTGCATGGGTAAGAGACGTTCATATAAGAAAAACATGTTTGGTAGTGAAGCAGTTAAGCTCAATATTATGTTTTCACATGGGGCAGAGAAAACCCCCTGGTGGCTGCTCTGGCTGTGTTAATTTTCTGTGTGTTTACCTGTGATAAAGAACAATAGGGCATGAATTTGAAGTTTTATTTTCAAGGTTATGACCTCACCTTACAAAAAGTCCCATGTGAGGCATGTTTGGAAGGAGTTCAGCTTTTTAGATTTAGCCAGACAAAGAGTGAGTGACTATGAGAACAAAGGCATCATTGAGAGAGTTTTTTTTGTAACTGTGAGATTGTTTGTTTTGCATACTTGTGTACTGTGTTTGTATGAGGGTATGACTCGTACTGAGACTGTTTTTCTGTCTTTGTGATGGCAGATAACATACACAGCAAACCTGAACAGAAACTACCTATAGAGGCTAAGCTCATCCGCTCATTCCTACACAACAATTAACTGTACAGTATATATAACCTCGAGGCTCATATTTCACTGTGTACTCAGCTTTATATTTGAGATAAAGGGCTTTTTTAAATTAGTTAGTTATATGATACAAATGTTAATGCCAACAAGGAAATCTTTTAAACAAATCGTCCGTGGCAAGTATCGACCAGAGGAAGCTCATAAAAACAGCAGTTTCTGAATCAGTGATATCAAGTCAACAACTTTTATTTGACTCTCAAAACTTCACGTATTCAAATCAGTAAAATCTTTGTTTGCTGAGAAGGATCTGTAGGCCAACATATTTGCCAGTGCATCCTTCTCGTTCAGCTCCTTAGAGCCTCCTAATGATGCGAAAAATCGCACCATGATAGAAGTACTGTATGACTTAGTAAGAAATCCTCATTTGAAAGTTTTGCCTTGTAAATCTTGAGCACAGGTCAAACAGCAGGAACATAAAAATTGTTTGTTTTAGCTTCAAGACTGAGGGAAACATAAAAAAATGGTGCAAAACGACTAACCAGGATAGTCAAGTCTGAAAAATAATCAGAGAACATTTTAGAAATGATTAATCTTACTAAGTTTGTTTAAATAACAATGGCCTCTTTAGAGTAAGGGCTTGATTTTGACTCAAACATGGCACCAAAAGGGGTTCATTGCTTTAAAAGCGTATTTTTGTGTTTCATTCATCTAACATGAGTGATGATTTTCTCTTTTTGCTTCCTTTTTTTTCAACCATGTCCAAGAGTGTGTAATCTGAAACCCTCCAGTTTTAATGTTTCACCCAGTGTGAACAACATAAATGTGGGAGTAAAAGTTAAAAAGACAAAACAATGTTGACATTTGGGTGATTAGAGCTCCTATGAGGAATTTTGTTCTGCTAAATGCAACAAACTGCACTTTTAAAGTGTCGTTCATGATCGGATTAAGGTTTGAAATTGATGTATTTTTTATGCTCCTTTCAGCTCACTGTAGTCCAGCTGCAGCAGTGTCTTCCTACTTCCTGTTGCTGCCATGCTGTAAAACAACAACTCTGCAGTGGACAAAGAAAGTGTTCTAAAATGTAAAATAACAGAATTTTAAAAGCAGGACTAAAAATGTGTTGTTAACGATTACTTTTTGAAATTCAGTGACTGACTGAATCTTACAAAATTGGACTCTTTGTCAGCCCCCATGATGACTTGAAGCACTTAACAATACTCCAAAAGTTGCATCACATTCAATTCAAAGAATTAATCTCAAGCTTGGATAAAATTGAACACCTACACTTGAATCTCATTACCAGTGTTTCATCTAAAAACTAATGTTGCTTTCGTAGAAGCATATTCAAGAATTGAAATGCGAGCTTATTTTTTGGTCACCCTCGTAGCTCGGCTCTCAAACATGAGAACAGACAGATGCTTTTTTCTTTAGCAAAGGAAACAGTTGCACTCTTTGTGAATACTTGTTCTCATTGTTTGCAGACAGGGCTCAGCAGACCAAATTAAGTGCCCTGGACGTAACTGAACTGTGTTAATACAGGGCTAAGAAGATTAGACCAGATTTACCCTTTCCAGTATTCGTCAGCGGCAGTGTTCACTCAGACTTTGATGCATAGCGATGGGTCAATGAGACCTGAGCACCACGATAGCACTCACCATGGACTAGGACATGGACCTAATGAGCTGAAATGGAAGCTAACATTTCTTTAAGACCTTGGATTGCCACCTCCTCCCATCCTAAAGGGATTCTGGCGAATGTCAGAGTCCAGCACCTTCTGTACATCCTCTAATAGTAAGCTTCCGTCTTTGTTTCCTATCTTTGTCTGTAATCTGCTTTTATGTCGTAGTTTTGGCATTAACATAGAGCCAATATCATTCCAGCAACCTTAACTCACTCCAGTTATTCTCATTGACAGTACCTCATTCATTCAGATTACCACAATGTGAAGCGAACATGCTTTAATATGACGGCATACATCCTCTGGACTGTGTTCACATGGACGTTCAAAGGGCTGCTGTGCACCTGCAGGTACCTGTGGGTGAGTTCTTGCTTTGTGAAATGCTGACATTTGTATTTAAATGGGGATAACTCACCCATATCTGGTGTTTGTAAGGGTTGGATTTTTACAGTGATCGTAAGCCCTGTTCATTTGCATTGCAGATCTGCCCGTACAACGCAATCAAATTCTTGCCAAGGAAACAATACATTACAGAGGGAACAAGCCGACGGCAGAAGAAGCTTGTGGGTAAGGATCATATAACCCAGGACAAACATTACTTCATAAAATCTGTACACTCAACTGATTAGACTTTATTTAACTGGATTATATGTATTTAGGCAGGCTGGTGTCCTCTTACTCTATGAGCCTTTAAAGATGCATATAACTTTTTTAATGAGGCAACATGAAAAAAAAGGTATATGCACCTCTGACATGCTTTATAACAACCTGATCTTATTGGCTGTACCATCTTGGTGACTACTTGTTTCTGGTAGGCTGTTACATGTCAACTAAAGTGATTAACAGTGGGCATGTAACCAAAAATTGATGGTGTACATTGGTGTTATGAGTTAGTCGTAGCTAGTCTGCTTTAGCTGTGCACAGGAAATCAGTCAGTGTGGAGCTAAACGTAGCCCAAAGCTATAATCCTGGTACCCATTTGGAGTCCCCTCTCAATGCTTTAGCATGAAGCCATATCTTTGAAACCCTGTCTTACAAGTATGATTCTAAACAGAAACCTTGTTCTCACCAAAAGTCTTATCTGAAAGTTTGTTATTATGAACGGCTGGGTAGGAATCTCCAAAAACTTGCCTGTTTCTCACTGAGTATATAGCATTGTCAGATGATAGCTCACAGGTCCCAAATTGCTGTTTACACAACCGTTCATTTGTTTACAAAAATTCTAACACTGATTTTATGATAATAACATAGCTAGTTAGCTTACTCGTGTATTTGTTTGCCTACGTCTTCACTATGTTAAATGTACACAATGCTGTTGATTTGAAATCCTGCTAGCTTACTGTTAGCTTTCTAGCTCTTTGCAGACTAGCTACTCCTGGCAACGTTATTGCTGAGAACTAGCAAGTTCCTGGAATAGTATATTGTGTTTCCATTGTTTTCATGACTTTTTCAGGTATTAGCCAGGATTGTTAAGGTCTATTTTCATTCTTTAGAGAATGGCCACAGTACTAATGAGATAATGCCTGAAGAGATGCTTCCACAGCGTCTATCACTTCCTAACAATAGAGTCTTTATCAGGTTTTATCCTTTCTATTTAAGTCTATTTTACTGCAAGTGCTGGAGTAAACCAACAACAACTTGTTTTCTTATCGAGTTGATGGCGCCAAAGGTCCATCAGCATCCCAACGTGTAAGTAGAGATATGATGTGATTACCTCATCTGACTTTCCTTGCCAGGTCCTGGAAGTAAAGGGACTGTATCCATACCAGGAAGCCCTGACCGTACCACGGCTCTGCACAAGCGAATAACCAAAACTGAGAAGGAGATTCTGTCACTGAAGACCAGGTTTGCCTGCGAGAGAGCATCATGGGAGAGGAGGTTTGCGTATCTGCAAAGAAAACAAGAAGAACTACATAACCAGGTGCACTTTTAAAAGTGTTAGCAAGTGTTAAAATTTGGATGTCTTCTGGTTTTATCGTTATCTTCTGTCCTTCTCCTCAGGTGGTCTCTCAGGCTGGAGTGTTAGTGAAGGTGGGGAGTTTTGATGACAGCGCCTCAGCAGTAGACAATGGGGAATTATATGAGGAGTGTCCAAGTAAATAACATGAAAACTGAAGCAGTTTTACGCTACCATGCTAGTGGATTCAATAGTAACGCGTGCTGTGACTCTCCAATGAACAGGAAGTTTCCCAAGGCTAACATACCAACGCAGAGCATCTGATATGTCAGCAAGAGGCACCACTTATACTAGCAGTTTGACAGCCAGCCACTTATCCTCATATTCGGCTTTGAGCCCAAGACCATCCTCTGCTGCATCTTCAGTTACCAGGTATGGCCTTTTTTTAGAGATGGTCCGGCACAGCTATAACTCACAACTTGTTAGCACAGAGGCTGGAAACAGGCAAACAGCCAGCAGCAGTATTTTCCTGGAGTCCAGGTTGAAAGACGACTGCTCACAGGCAAGTCCAACAACAGACGTCTTGAAAAACAACCCTAAGTCCTTTATTTTCGTGCGGACAAAGGACAAAGAAGATTTGCAAATTAGTGACCTTTGTTGTACCTTGTGGTGGATTTTGTTACCTTTGAGGGAGCGAGGCTACCTTGAACAGATCAGTATATATTCCCAAAAAATGTCAAACTTAACTGCAGGATTTTATATGTTTCAAAACATCTTTAAAGTTCAGATTTACATATTTAAAATTTTCTTTCAATCTATTTTATTTGTATATTTTTAGCAGACACTTCTGCCCTTCATATATCGACTGTAACCTTCTGTATACTTGTTTTACAACTGACTGGTCTCCATTTTGTCCAGTGTACGGTCTTGGAGGACACCCAAAAGCCCTCACCGGGTTTTTGTACCACACTCCCCCATGGACCTGGAGCTGGGTCACCGTGTCAGGATTATGCTACCTTCTGGGAGAATCAGCACAGGAACTGTCCGTTTCCTCGGTCACCTGCAGGGGGAGGCAGATCTCCATCTTGGGGTGGAGCTGCAGACACCTCATCATGGGTTGACTGATGGCAGCCACGGGGGACACAGCTACTTTGAATGGTAACAACTCATTTTCTTAGTGTGTGGACACAGTCTTTGTGTAACTTTGGGCTGTTTACCCAGAGTTTATGTCTCCTCTGATGACAACTTACTGAGCAGATTTTCAAAGAACATTTAAATGAACCTGCAGATGCTGTGCAGGGTCATCTGTTGATGAAGTGCGGTTTGTTACACAAATGAAATTACACACAAGAGTCTCTAGGTATGTACACATGACACTCAGGTCCTCAGGTATTTAACAACCAAACAATGCCTCCAGGAATACTTGTGCAAATCCTGTGCACTTAGTGGTTGAGGTGAGTATGCAAATCTCAGGCTGAGGTAAACCCGGCAGGCTTCAGCAGTTTAGAAGTGGGGTGTGTGCACTTGAGATATGAGGTGTGAACGTGCCTGCAGCAGTGACAGATCGGACTTGCTGTTGAAAAAAATAAAAACGAAGTGTGAGTATTTTCTGGATGACTTCTTTAGAACTACAGTATCCGACACATAGGTGGGCCAGAAAGTACCTAAAATCACAAAGCTCTGTCTTCAGTTTCACTTGAGTTTAGACAACCTCAACCATCATCTTAACTTGAACATTTTTTTTCCTGTTTCTGTGTTTTTCAGCCAGCCTGGTTACGGTGCATTTGTACCATTCCACAAACTACTAATGGCCTGGGAATGACAAAAGTACAGACAACTGAGCTTCACGCTTGGACCAAGTGATGCAAACAGTAGTTAAAGCTACAGATTTGATACCTTATCATGTAGCAATGAATCTTTGTCATAAAATACAAAGTTGTGTTTTCTGATACTGGCAATAAAAATCCATCAAAGCGCTTCTTTGTTTAAGCTCGAGTGTGACGTTATGTAAGACACACAGACGGTGGGATTGCTGTTCTTTTGTTGACTTTGTTGGTGTTAGCGTCAGTTTCTAAAACAACATATCTCAGTTTCCCAGCAATGCTGAATTTCCAGCACAAGTCAGGCTTTGTTAAGACAAAAATAACAACCACAGGACAATACACATGATAAACACTGCCAACAAAAATGTGGTAAAGCCACATGAGGTGCTAAAATTAACAGTACAATACAGCTACAGATAAATGTATTCTTAACGTGTGAAAATTTAGCCGCAAGTCACCATGATACAGTGCTTGGGGCTATGGTTATAATCCTCATAATTCACAATATCCTGAGTGATTTGGTGTCAATAAAAGTCATGGAATATATAGTTTTAAAAAATGTGATTATGTGTAAAATGTCATGGGAATTCAACAACTCTTAAGTGGACAAAAAGGTTCACAAGCACCTATACACAATAACTCACAGGGTGACCTTTCCTCTCACCAGGAAAAGCAGAACAATTTTTCAGGCTTGCAACATGAGCTGCAGTGGTAAAAATGTCAAAAACTAGGACAAGCCTTAAGCAAACTCCACTTTTTTTTAATTTTATGGTGATGCAAGTGTGTGTGTGTGTCATGTTCCCCACTTCCCGAAAAACATTTGAGGAGGATGAATGAGCCATTCAAAGAGTGATTCAAACTTTAGGAGGAAGTACAGCAGACACAGGTTACATTTGTCACATGTTTTAATTCTTTAGTGACAGCTTCAACATGGATTTTGACAGGAAATATTTCAACTTAATTTAGAAAAGAGCATAAATTAAAAGACCTCATGAGAACAAAGTTCCTCATACTGTTATACTTTCTTTTTTTTCCACAAAGTAACCTAAATGCACAAGTTTATACAGAGCTACAGCAATACTTGATCTGAGAACATTTCGAGAAACTGACCATCAGCAAATATCTTCTGCTTGTGTCATAGTTGTTTCTCCATTTCCTGGTACACTTGTGATTTACTGTAAACCTGGTCCTTTATAAATACTGTTGCTACACCTCAGAGATAATATCAAACAGCAGGCTGTCGTGGAGAACTACAGTGAAAATGAAAGAAAAACGAACACTTCGAACTGACTCATTTCTGCATGAGAACTTGTGATCTGGATAAAAGATTAAAATACATCATAATTGACACAATATGCATCAACAGTTAAATCTCTAGAAACTCAGTCGTGATTAGTTTTAATCTAGAGGCAGGTTCATCCGAAACATGGATGACATGGTCACAGTTGACAACAATGTCATACATACGTATATACACTCAGCTCAGGAGAGCAAATGACACTTCCATAATGACACACTACAGACTGAAACATCTGAATGATTGGCTTGTTAAAATCATGAACTCCTCAGAATATCCCTCTCTGAGCCTTCAGGTTGAGGATCTCTGCAGCCAGTTTCTCTGCATCCATCAGGTGCGGGAACATGCCCATGACCGTGTCCACCTGATGCGGGTTGAAGATGGCTTGTAAATTCTTTCGCAGTTCCAGCCTCTGCTGATCAAAAGCAGCGGATGAAGCTTGTTGTTGGCCCCAGGAGTGGTAATGCTGGTCTTTGTGGGAGCAGCAAGAGTTGTGAGAGTGTGGGGGCTGGATCAAAGAAGGCAAACTGCATGATGACCTGGCTTGGGGCAGCCCTTGGAAGGGGTCCGACCAGTATTTCAGCTGATGATTCGGGGCTCCATGGTACTGGAGGTGGTTTGGTAAGCTCTGTTGTTGTGCTGCGCCATGTGGGAACATGTGAGGAGGATAGGTGTTGAATTTGGTTTGTCTCTTTGACTCCAGGTTTTGATGGTGTTGCTGAAGACCTGATGAAAGCCCTGAATGGGGACAGCAGGTGTGATTTTGTTCCGAATGCAAAGAGGTATGTCTGGATCCAGTGAGGGCACTTTGCTGCTGGGGCCAGGGCCTGTGAGAGTTGCTGTTGCCATGCAAAAAGTCAGAGTACTGGTTCTCATAAGAACCAAGACCAGAATCCAGGTACTCCCCAGAGATGTTGGAATAGTAATGATTGGACAACTGGTGCAGCCCAGGCCACTCGCTCTGACACTGGCTACCTGTTGCTGAACATGACGTATGATTTGGACTCTTTCTGGGGTCCTCCCAGTACAGCTGTGTATTTTCACTAACCAGACTGGGATGTGATGGACTTTGCTCGTCTCTTTGGTATTCTGGATCATGAGAACAGGAAGTGGCATTACGGGTAAGTTCAGGATCAGCATGAAACTGTCTAGGCGATGATCTGGATTTTCTTTCTTCTTTTGTGGTGGAAATTTGGGCTTTTTCTCTCAGTTCATCAGCCAAGGACAGGTAGGACTGATTCACCCGCTCAGGATGGTAGAACTTACATTTGATGCCGTAGGTGCATTTTTTGTCTGAGGACAACAAAAAGGACATGCAAGTGTTTTAAGTCATCTTAGTTGAGAACCACATGACCAAAAACTCCCAAAACATGACAGTAAGCAGTAAGGTTTGTTGTATTATCTTACCGTAGGGACAGAGCTGTCTCTTTTGCTCTGTTGGCAGAGGCTTCTTCCTGAGAAGGTTTTCAAGACTGGGGCCATGACGCCCAAGAGGGTCATCTGGAGGCATAAACCTGAACATAAAGGAATACATTTGTCTTGTTTATACATAAACTCTGTAGATATATTCTCCTGATCTGAAGGATAATATCAAATCGTGCATCCTTGGGTGCACAAAAAGTTGTTTGCTTACTTGTCATTGACAAAAGAGTACATGAGGAGTCTTTCCTCGATGCACTTCTTCCACTCGGGTCTTTCTCCCTGGAGATCCCGGTAGGTGTCATTGGATACGATGACCCCCTCTGACTCGTAGGCCAACTTGACAATAAAGCGGTCATCATAGCAAACCACCCTCTTTCCCCCAACACGCCGCGATGGAGTGAAGACCACTATTTTACGTTTTTCAAGCTCCAAGAGGATGTGTTGATCTGAAGTGAAAACAAGCAAGAGTCAAACATGAGTAACCCTTCACAACTGGATTTTAATCTTTTGACATTTTACAATCCTGATTCAAAACTAATAATATGCTAGGATAAAACAGATTATTATGGTTCTCAAATCATTAATTGGGAGAAGAGAAGACATGATATCAAGTTTTTGAGCTAAAAAGTTTTCTTGTTTTGTGCAAAAAATATACTACTTTTAAATTTGCCAACAGCCAAGCGATACAACTGGGTATAAAGAGGCGATGTGTGAGCAAAAAGTTTAAATAATGTTGGTTAGCGAAGAATTTGGGGAAATCATCAACTTAAATACACAAAATCTGAGTAAATCTGTGCAATAGAGATAAGTATGAAAAACAGCACTGGATGGTAATTAACACTTCATTCAAAACAGACATGACTCTGTAGTGGAAATCACTGCATGGATTCACATTCACTTCATAAAATACATTTTCTATGAATGCAAGTCAAAGCTTTAAAACACACAGAACTCATGTTAAGTTTTTTTTAAATACATTGTGGACATCACATCAGTACAGACTTTCAGATATGTTGGCCACAAAGGATCATAGTTGGGAATCAAACCAATGACTGCTGAAAGGAGGATTATTGCCTGTATACATGAGGAGCTAAGACCACTCAGCCTCATGTAATTGCCTTTTTAATCAAAGTTTTTATGTAAAGTTTAAAGACACGGAAATATGTAAATTTTGGTCCATCTATGCATAAAAATGAGAGGAGTATTTCTCAAAGCTCACTCAGTCCCTCACAGAGGAAAAAAGTTAAAAGGAAGAATTTAATCAGTCAAAAAATCTTGTGCCCACAAGACACCAGGTGACGCTTTACATGTCTATGGCTGATCCACTGATATCCTCTTTGAACACTTCCAGACACTTCACCATTTGAGGGCCTCTCTGCTCTGTCTTCACTTAACTCTTAGCTCTATATGATCTCTTGCTGTAGATGATTGTCAGCAGTTAACCACGCACTACATGTAAACTAGGTGTGGAAGAAAAAACACTGCTGGACTTCCTGGTAGGGCTTTCCCATGAACTACTGAAGGCTGATTATTTTACTTCCTTGTTGGTGAAAATAGAACCTTTGGATTACTCCACCCCGGCTGCACTAAAGGGTGATGACACATTAGTTTTACACCAGTGGTCCTCCCTTCATTATATGGTTGTTGTTGGAGCTGTCAAAAGTTAGTTAGGCATGAATAGTTTGAAAAGATGAGGATAAGCCTGAATGAAAGGTGGCTTCTCTTCTCAAAGAGACTGTGAAGTCTGGGAATGATAGAAATCTAGATTGTCAGATACACCTTGAAATAAAGAGACTTGGCAGCAGGAAATACATGGCTTTTTATTCTTTTCCAACTGATACTATCTCTACAGCTCTTACTGCATGCTCACTCTTACTGCTGTTTTGCTTTATACTGAAAGGTATCTAAGAGACTAGTTGGGTAAACTCCTATTTCACAATCTTAACTGTGTTGCCCCATAAGTTTGGCATGACTTCACTAGTTCTTCACCTGAAACATTATCTCATGGTTACCGCAGGAATGAACCACAGATACAGGAATAAGCATGCCTCGAGCTACAGTGGAAGAGGAGACTGAAGCCGTTATTGTATCACACTTCTGGGTAAACGAGAATCTCTAGGGAAATTATAAGTAACAGTTCCAGGAATAGAGGAGTGTTTCCTGGTGATTTAAAGGAGTAGTTCAACACTTTGGAAACCATCCTCCCTTTGCCAATACTTCATGTGTTTTGTATAGACATAAGTTTTGGATGGTTAAATGCTTCATAAACGAAGTATCATGTGTGAAATGCATAATAGCTTCCTGTCCTCAAAAGCCACCCCTAATCCCCCTCCAGCAGGGGAGTGTTTCGATATAGAAACTGAATCCTAACGCTATTCTCATTTCTAAACAATTTACCCGCACAGGTTCACATCTGAGTCTTTTATCAAAGGAAACTCAGTGAAACTGGACCAGACTGTTCCTTGAGTGTGACTCAGACGAGATCAAAACATTTTGGTTTGCAATCCGGGCATTTTTATTTCCTCAAACGATTAATATCATGTACGGTATGCATACTGGCATCTAGGCTAGATTTTGAAGGCTGGCACTTCCTCTTCATGGGCTGCTTTTGGAGAAAATGTAGCCCTGTTTTTTTCCAGTGCAGAGTTACTTAGTTAGGTAAGAGCAAATCTTTGTGTTGTGAAACTTGTCAGTGACTAAATTAGTGGAAAATGATAGGCTGCAGAGCTATTGACCTCACACCGGTTTACAAGCTAGCTTTATAACACACTAAACTGGTTTGAAACATTAATTACTAAACATACAACAAAAAGGAGAAATGAAATGATCTAAAGTCAGTGTTTGAATGTTGGGATGGTAGCCGACAAGTTCACTTACTGTTTGGTTTGTTTGAGTACATTATAAATTGGCAAAAAAGCTTTGTTTAGTTCCTCTGAGCCCAGCGCTGTGTCTGACTTTTAGCCAATCAAAATAGGTCCTTGTTACTTTTATCAAAACCAAACCTCACTCATAAAAAGCTCATTTTGGTCTCCAATTGCCCATAATATTACCAATTTTTTGTGCTAGGTAGTAACTGCACAAAACAAGAAGCTGAGTTAGCCATTTGAGTAAGTTTCTGGAAGTAAGCCTTCCTGTTTTTGAATGAAGTCATTTCTCTGTAGCTAATTTAATCACGTTGTGTAGTAGCATTACAGTTTTTGTCACTGATCTTGCTACATAAACCTGTTTCTGCTATGACTGAGAGAGGTTTGTGCGGCTGAAAGAATCATCTGAAGCATCTCTCTGTTTCCTGCTGTTCATTCTTGGACCCTCACCTGTGATGGGGGCATCAGGTCGGGGCTGCTCTTTACGCCAGGCGGGAACAAACACCGTAATGGTTTTATGACCCCTGTCCAGGAAGAAATTGACTGCCAGCTGGATGCCTCGACATGAAAACACTTCCTTGTTGCCATGACTGTAAAAAGAAGCAGGTGAAAGCAGGCGATGGTAAGTAATTGTAACAGTAAGAGATTCAGTTAATTTGTGTAAACACCACACCGATCCCCTGAGAACTTGTTGTATAACACCTTCTATACCTAATGCAAGGTGGAGATTTCTGAGGTGTGTGCCGAGAATTTGCATATTGTAGCAGTGGCCTTCACAAAAACATGCACAGGCAGGGCGGTGAACGCCCTTTTCAAACAGTCAAGTGAGATGGTATAAGAGAAAGATGCATGCTTCAGGGTCAAGGTTGAAGAACAACATGACAATGAGTGCCGACAGCTTGAAATGTGTTATTTTACAGGTACTTTACTGTCTCTACGTAAACAAAAAGAGTTATGGGTGTTAAGTTGCTTTTTGTGCACGTACAGGGATGGATTTATGACTTAAAAACAATAAAAAGGGATTTTAACTGTTAATCTGTGATCCAATAAGTGAGAAAAAATAAAAATAAAAATCACCTCATGGCGACATTGCTGCCATCAATGACAACAGGTCTCAACTCTGTGTCTGTAGCTTTCCAGTCCCCAGTTTGTGAAGTGTTTCTGCTGGGTCCAAGGACCCAGCTGGGAGGCAACAGAAGGTCCTTTAGCCCCGTATTTCTCGCATCGCTGTCATCACCAGACACGCAGGGTGCTGTGCCGGTCCTGCACCGGACCAGCTCTCCCAGCACCGAGTTGGTGTCTGTGTTTAGTCCCAACTTCTTCAGGGCAGACTTCACCTCTGCTGCAGAATAACCCAGTTTCCTGAAGAAGTCCACTCTGAGCTGCAGCTCCTCGGTGTCGGGTTCGAAAAGGTCTAAAGCTGAGCTCTGGCTGAGGGGATCCATCCTGGAGCATCTGGGCCACTTTTCATCAGCATAGAAGAAATGTTACACAGCTGCAGGGTGTCACTGATTGACTGTCTGGGGAAAGGTGGCAATTACAGGGAAAACAAGTTTATTTGACATGATGTGACCCAGTGACATAAACGTTCCACTTTTTGTTTGACTTAACCCTGAGGATAAGCCATCTATCTATCTATCTATCTATCTATCTATCTATCTATCTATCTATCTATCTATCTATCTATCTATCTACAGCAGTCTGACATACATATCCTCAGTTTTAATCTAGCACAGTTGATTTTTGAAAACCACAGCAGATCCACTAAAACTATAAAATACAAGCTTTTACTGAAGTTACGTAACTCCAACCTGCTGGCTCAGGATTTTAAAACAGCTTACTGAAGTTTTATTGCTGTTTATTGTCCACATTGGTTTACCAATCAGAACTAAACAAGGCAAAACTATTCCCTATTAATAATGTAAAGTATAGAGGGTTGAGAATGTGTGAGCAAATGAGCAAAATAAAGTTATTGAGGATTTAAATGAGTGAAGCAAAATGTAAATATAATGTCGATATTTTACAGCAAACTGGACATATTTTTGATATTTTTTGATTCACAAACACAGTAATAATCCAGTTGAGTCAATATAGGTAGTAATAATAAAAAACTAATTTATTTTCTCACAATTTGACTTATAGTCCAACAGGGCTGGGACGATATGCTTTTCTCCTGATTCTATTCTTCTACGATTTTTTTGGATGCCAATTCGATTAAAATTGCGATTCTACGATATTGACGATTTTCTGGATATTTAGTCTGCATTTTTAACACCAGTGAATGATTATGATTGTCTACTGACTATTTCAGGAGCCACATTTACCCCCCAAATACACATCACATGTAAGTCAGTTTTTAAGATTTATTCTTTAAGAAAAAAATCGATTTTTGAACATAAAAATCGATTTAAAAATTGTAAAACAAAAAATCACGATACTTATGTGAATCGATATTTCTAAGTCTTTTTTTTTAATCTCAATTTGACAAAATATGCCACAATTTATTTATCAAATAAGCACAATTAAGTAATGTGGCTTTGTATTTTTGGCTAACTCCTTATGTTTATAAGTAATACCAAAATAAAAATAACATGTCCAGCTCAGTATCACGATAATAAGGCCTGTTTTTGTAATGCTCAGTAAAGTTTGCTCGTCTCTTATCCTCTTCAAGATAGACTACAGATAACTAAACATAACAGTAAGAAATGCTACGCTGATCTTTGTACTTTAAAGTAGCCGTACAAGTGAACAGACTTGACTAATTTTACGTGAAACGCTCGAAAACAAGTGTCAAAATGGACTTTACCTCCTCCTCCTCCAAACAGGCAGGTAAGCTGTCAACAAATCCTCGAGATCTCTTACCTTCTCTGTTCGTCTCTTCCTCCTCTCGGCTCATCTGTCAGCCACCAACTCGTGTTAATGTTTCCAAGTACAGTAACTTTGACACAGTTCCGAGTTTGTTAGCGCCTCCTCCCTCCCTCCTGGTAAAAAAAAAAGACGCGAGAAAAGAAAAAGAGGTTTCTTTCCTTCTACTTCTTCTCTTCTTCCTGCTGCCGGGCGCATGGCAGCTTTGAAGAATTTGCATATACTATCAGAGATAAGATAAAGTGTTCCCTTTCCTCTGGCTGTCACTCAAACACGCCGTCCTGCTTGTTTTTTGGCCTTTTATGTTTGTGGGTGTGATTTGTGTTGTCTTTGCTGTTGTTGGTTTTCCTCCAGGCAAATTTTCTGAATACATTCGCAATAAAAGCGAGAAACAAAATCACTGTGTATTTGGTGTGTACTTAAGGTATCAGAAAACACCCAGAGAAGTGTAATAAAGTTAATTTTTAACTTTTATTGTACTGTAAAAGTACAATAAATAACAGTAAAAATAAACTATTTCAGGACACGAACACACGGTTAAAGTCCATGTTGACGATTTTAAAGATGCGATAGAAAATATGATAAAAAATATTCATTGGGTTGTGGAAAAACACAAGATGAAATTGGGGTGAAGTAGAAATTTTGAGACAGGAAAAACACAGTGTTGTCTGGTCTTTAGTGTGTTAGTTTTCACTGAATATCCCCTGCTGTTTCACACATGCTAAAGGAAACCAAAACAAGCAATAAATCAGGGGCAAGACGCCCCCTGGTGCCAGTGGGTGAAACTTCTACACAAATAACATCTGTTTGTAATGCACTGTGATTTTTTTCACAATTATTTTGCTCCATCGAAACTGTATGAGATATTTAAATATGGTCCAGGATAAGCAATTACATTCATACAGATATTAGGGGCGTTTTTGAGGGGTGGCCAGGGATGGCTATTTGCTTAGATCAGGGATTTACGTCAAATACACTATTTTTGATTTGCAAACAGGCTGTGTATTTTCTATCATTATATACATACATTATAATTTTACATGACATGATAAAACGTTTTTTTTTTGTGGCTGTAAAAGATTAAAGCTAACAAGATATGATTGTTATTACTGTTATGTTTCTTTGAGTAAAAAGAAAAAAATATTTCTTGTGTACAATGTTTGATTTGACAAAGTTAGTAGAGATAGAAAAGGTAATAAATGATAATAGATATTATTTATTTATGTACTTCATGTGACCCCTGCAAAAGGCCAAAAAGGCCTGAATCTCCCCAGTACCTCCTTTACCTGCAGTTTAAGAACTAAACCATTTAAAGCCTTATCCCATTAAAGGAGGCTTCAGGCTCATTAACCTGTTTAATTGGTCTTTTGTATTACTTGATCTAAAGAAGACTTCCAGGAAAATCAAATGGGATAACAGTGGTGAGACCTGGTAGCAAACAGAGGTGGAATATAACTTATTACTATCATTCATAGTACTGTAATTAATAAGCTTTTTTTGCGGCAAATTATTCAATAACTTTATGTGCGGAGTCAAAATCATTTCACACATACATGCTGTTGGTTATAGTACAACATTCAGTTTGGAAAAATTACATAATTACAAGAGCACATCTTAATCCAACCAATCCCAACACCATGGGACACTGCTCAGGACTGAAGGTACATTTCTAACAAAGTACTATTTTATTTTACCTGAGTAGATATACTTACTTTTTGGTGCAATAAAATCACCTTCTCTGCATTTCTTTTAATCCTAATAATGTGCATTAACCCAGCTAACAGCACATGAGGTATGACAACTTCTGTATATTTCCATAATGATGTCTTATAAGCAGGCAAATTTCATGCTGTGTTGTTCCATGGTCAGCAAAATAGAAAGTGAATTTACTGCATCAAATGAATTGTTTGATTATAGTATTGTTGAACTTAAAGCTGCTGAGAGGTTTTTTGACATTTAAAAATCGACTAAAATTCAGATTGATGCTTCTTTTTGATATAAAAAAGCAAACAAGACCATGAGCATCAACATTGAGGATTTATACACAGCTATTTTCAATGCCTGAAACTGGAGCAAGGGGTGGGTGTCAGTGAGGCCCTTTTTTTACATTCATAAAAACAATATTCATAAAAATTATGCACTTGACCGTCCAAAGTCAGCAGGATAAGATTTTTTTGCCAGAAGACTTTCCAAAACATGAGAAGGAAATAATAGGCTAAATCTGCTTTGTCCACAGGGGGGCACCAAAGTTGACAAACTTAGTTGGAAGCAACATAGAAGAAAAATGTCGGAAACTATTGCAAAACTCTACAAAACAAAGTACAACTTGAATGAAATTTATTTACATTGGTGTATAAATCCATATTTGATAGAGTAGGTATGAGATAACACTTACAAAAACAAATAGAATAATGATTACGTTTTGAAGTGATAGAAAAGATGTATAAGACAAATAAAGCAATCACACAACTATAAACACTATGATTTTGATTTGACCATGACTGTTGTATATTTTTGTCAGGGATGAATCTGGAAATGAACTTAGACTTTTCTGATATCACATTATATTTGCTGTGGGACATCACTTCTTTTTTAATCCATGATTATCATAATAAAGCCTAATATTAAAACGTCTGCACTTCATCCGCAGTTCACAGACACCCTCCTGGTTGTTCTGCTTTTACACACTAGATGTCAGCCCAGCTCCATGCTTTCCTGTTGTCCGGACTCTGATGTGGAGATCCTGGAAGATGTTGGCTCCAGCTTCAGCAAGCAGGTGGTTAAGTTGTGAAGTTTTATGTCCGCGTGGGCGCATCCATGCGTGAGTGCATGCATTTGTGTGTGTGTATGTGAGTGTGTATTTTGTAAACAACCCTTTGTGTACAGGGTTAATGGCACGGTCGAGCTGGGTTCACACTGCGTGCAGCTGGTTAATGGCATATACAGGGTTGAGTTCCGGAGAGTGGAGAAAGTAATCAGGGCCAGTTGCCAGGCGGTTGCCTCCTCTGAGGGCCCACACCACCGGTCCCAGGTGTCTGCAAGGCCTGATATTACTGCGGGGCAATGAGCTGCAGCCAGCAACGATGAGTTGGAGGTGAACACACACAAACGCACCCATGCACAAACACACATCCTGACAATCAGATTGAAAGACAGAATGAGACAAAAAAAAAATCACACCTTTGCACAAGTGTGTTATCCAAGATTTGATGTGTGTGAGTTTAAGAACATTTTACTGTATCACATCAGGTTGGAGTGACGGTTTTATAGTTATTTTATTGAATTTAATTTGTAAACACCCCTTTTAGCCGACAGTGGACTGCATTGCGTGTATTGTTCATAATTTACAGCCTGATTATGCTTAAGGGCATTATTGGCATCCGCTGAAGCTATTGTTCCATAATGCAAATCTTGAACATCCCTGCCAGTCCGTGTACCCAAGATTGAATGAGATTAGTGCAGATTGGCCACTGTGAACATCAAACTCTTACTTCTTTTACATCTCGCAGGGAGGCATTACCCTTCTCAAAGGCATATCTTTTTCCTCCAGGCAGGTGTAGTTTGGCAAAGCTTGTTAAACCTGCGACAGTTGATCAAATATTCAGCCAGGCTCATTGTGCTGCTGAGAGCTTTTTGGATGTGGTCGGGGTAGTGCTGTGCTGATAAAACCAGCTTTGTAGTGCCTCAGCGCTGGCCTCGCCTTTTGCTATTCCCTTTTGTTGACTGCCCGGGTCAGCCGTCTGTCAGAGAATTTAATTTTTGTATGATTTCTTTTAAAGGAACCAACAGCGAAGAAAAAGGCAGCCTTTAACTGGAGTAATCCATCTTGCACCAATGGTGTCAGAGTGATTCACGATTTCCAATTTAGCCATGGTTTGAATCTAAAGTAAATCAGGCAGGACGGCTCCACCCTTTGTGCAGCCGGACGACAAACCCTCAGTGACAAGAGCCTTCAAATGAACATATCCCCCACATTCATCTTGTTCATTTATTACTTCAGACACCCCGCTGCTTGTCCTACATAGATCAGCAAGCAAAGACCTCTTGACATTGTGTGTGAGTACAGAGGAGGTAAGGCATTAAAAGTGACTAGGTGGCGAAAGCATTGCTATAAGATTGGACAAAAGAGCTATAGAAAAGAGAGGGCCAATCTTTCGAGGCCGGGTTTAATTAAATTTGCTTTGATTGGTGACAACTTAATTCCCCGAGCAGGATGTGAGTGTAGCATGGCAATATAGTGACTACTCCAGCCTCCTATCCTTACCCAGATAGATTCTGTTAACATTTTTGTACTAATCTAGGCACTGCGTATATTTATCAACCTTTAATCTGTATGAAGATTACAAGAAAAACATGCAAGTTAAAATGTTAGGAGTAAAGAAACCATCATGACTCGCTATTTTTACACCTAAATAAATCATCTTTTTGTATCTATGTTAAAAGTTAATAGCTAAAGAGATTGAGATGTCCCCTGAAAATTGAAAATGAAATTGAGTTTATTAGTATGAGGACCATGACAATCATTTAATCTAAGTAAATTATTGTGTTTAGCTTTTTTCTCTGCCCTTAAATGGCCTAAGAAAAAAAAAGCTTAATGAAAATCAGTCCGTGGGTTCATGCACGCTCCTTTTATTGCATTCATGTTACAAAAGGTAATGATGCAAGAAGAGAGAAAACCAGGAAACAGGTCTTTAAAGAAGGGCGGGCTTTCTTAAAAACAGAATGCACTTCTAATTGAATAACCATCTGCGACTCCATTCAGAAGTATTTGGTTTAAAATATAGTTATTCATTTATAAAAGTTATAAAGAAAATGTGTAAATCTGAATGGAAATATCTACCAGCCAAATGTGTCGTGGAAAATAAAAATTAGATAACAGATCAAATTCTATAAAAGTCTAAAACTGTGTGTGGTGACTAGTCCGGTGTGTGCCAGTCCAGTAAAAGACTTCAGCAAAGATAGCCACCATTATCACATCTGCCCCCTCGGGATTTCATCTTGCTCCTCGCTCCCCTAAGCAGAAATAAAAGTATGGATCAGATTTCATAATGGAGGGATGATTCCTGGGACAAGCTTGTGAGTGAGCAAATAAGGGACTTGACATGTAGTCTATCTGTACAATATAATCCCTATAAAAAAGGATTATCCTCGTTAGCAGGCAGCCATGCAGCTCCTTTAGTTTTTGCTTCGAATGAAATAATCAGTATTTAATGTAATTGACTTGATAATAAATATATTATATACAAGCGCAAGAATACAACATATTATGAAATATTACTCTATGACAACAAATAAGGCATTACAATATGATACTGTATGATATATGACCTGATATGTGATACTGTTTATCTTTGCACTTTATGGTGCGAACTGTGAATTTCTACACAACATGATAGGATATGTAACAGAGGGGTATAGAACCACAAAAAAATAAACCATCTTACTTGAATTGGACTCAAATTGGATTCATACTATGATTCCATATTACTATTCCATGATTATTCTCTACAATCTATAGAAATGTGAAATGGTACGATAAGATCTGATACAAAGTGACATTATGAAATGTAAGGATGATATGTGAAATGGAATAATACCATGAGTATGATATGATAAGATCTGATACATTATGACCTTATCTGATACATCAGGATTTGGCCCAATATGATACGATAAGGCACCATGCTTTGAGACAAGCTATCAAACCATATGTTGGATTTTCACTGACCTAAGAGTATATTTTTCTGAAACAACATGAGGTGTTGCTTGAACTGCGTATGGTCTCGCCAGTCATAGATCATTTCACAAACACGGTCTGTATAGGATTGGTACATACCATCAGACATGCTGTGGTGCAATGTACTATGATGCAACATCATTGGATGTGCAACATTAGGATGTGAGAAGGCAGACACGAACTTACATGGAATAGTATGACGCAAAGGGGTCAAATAATGTACAGCATGATGCAACACTGTGTGTCAAGACACTGTGCATTACAATGAGATATGATATGAGTCAATTAAACATAATAAACTAATATATGAAATTAAGTTACGCAACAATACCACACAATATAATAAAAAAATGGTATGTTGCAGCGAAATGCAATTTAATTCAATTAATATAAAATCTACACAATATGAACCAATACTATGGAGCATCCTATGAAAAAAAGGCAATTCAATTTGATTTAATATGTTATGAAATGAACAAAAATCATATGGAAGGATGCTGTAGAATCTGATCCAATTCAATCTGAGCTGATACAATACAATAGATAAAATAAAGTTTGTTGCAATAAGCTACGACCAGGAACTGTGCTGTGTGATATGGTTCAGTGACATACAATACCATACCATATTATGCTATTTGATACAGTGATACAGTCAGTATGTTTACATGACACTTGAGAAAACGGAATTATTGAATTACTCCGATTAAGACCAGACAACTGAAGTGCATGTAAACACCTTAGTCTGACTATAATCAAAGTTTAAGAATCCCGATTGGAGTAGGAAACTCTGATAAAAACACATGGATAATGTGTTGGAATTCAATTTTCTCTACCATGAAACCGGCGTAGTCGGAGTATGATTGGACAATACATGTGCACGTGCGCCACACCCCCGTAACCCAGAAAAAAATATCAGCGAAGAAGTGGCACTCTCACACAAGCAACTGCAACATAGCTGAAGCACAAAAGAGTCCACTTTTGTAAAGACGAGGAGAGCGCCATTATGCTTTCCCTCCTGAAAGAAATGGACATTTTTAAGTATATGGAAGGTCAGAAACTGGAAGACCAGAAACAGCGCCACTGAAAAGACCCATATCACCCCCTAGTTTTGGGGAGGAGGACATGTTAACGTTAATAATTCAATTTTCTCAGCTGCATGTGGACGCAGACAAGAAGAGAAGTCTGATTCGGCGAAATACAACAAATTATGAGCTCTGTCTGATTAAGCTGTGCATGTAAACACACTGAGTGTAATATGACTAGATACAACATGATACAACACAATATGATATTGTACAATAGGATACAATACCATATGTCACGACCCGATCTGATCCGATATGACCGGTATGATACGATACAACCCGACATGACCTGATCTAATCTGATACAATATGATACAGTACAATATGATACCATACCATACAATAACGTATGTCACGACCCGATATGACCAATATGATACAGCATGGTATGATTCAACATGATACAAAGTGATACAATACAATAGGATGGGATACAACACAACAGGATAGAATTTCACACACTTTACAATAAAGTGAGACACTGTGCGGTATGATGTACTTGTCATAACTTTGGGCAAATTTCCCTTCAACTAAAACACTGACCACAATTAGCTTACTTCACAGTACTCCGGGTAAACTGTAGCTTTAAATAACAAACAACCATGCAAACAGTTGCTTGAACTACATGGGGTCAAGTCAGCCATAGATCATTAAAAAAAAAAAACTAAAAAAAATGCTGTGTATAAGTGTATCAGTCCAGCTCTTGCAGGTGTAACCTCAGCATGAAGCCCCTGACCTCGACCAAGAGCACCAACAATGTTCTGATTAATTTCTCTTGTCAGTACAGGTCATTTAGGTCTACCTGTTATTCTGCATATTACTCATAACTGCCTCAGCAAAGAGGCACACTCACAGGGACCCAAGAGGACAAACAGGTACAATGTGTATGGTACAAGTGGTCACACACAGACCCACAAACATGGTCAGGAGGACACACACACACACACAGAGACACACAAACAGAAGTGCTTCCACTGCCCAGCTTCATACAATTCATGCTCAGGCAGCCAGGCAACGCTCCAAGGTGTTCATTACTATTGATGTCAGAATCCACAACAAGAAGTGATGGCTGAACCTCCTGCAGCCTGCACTGTTTAAAGCCCGGCTCCTCTCCCACAGCTGTTGCTCCCTGTCTTCACTTTGGAGGGGAGACTGTGATGATTAATGCACTCTCTGCTGGGATCTCTTGGAAAGAACCCGGAGTTTCTGCTGAAGTGTTTCGCTCATATTGCGAGGATTCAGTCTCACAATGCTTACACTGTGGACCAACGCTGGAAAAAAAAAAAAAAAACTGCATTAAAATTGAAAATCGTGATGGTTCCACATCGGACAGTGGTTTTCTAGTTTCTATATCAGTTGGATGCCTGTTTGGGCTGAATAATGCCAGGAGTCTCGCAAGATTAATAATGATGTGAAATAGTTTGACTGTGTGATTACTTTGATACGCTAGTTTTCCTTAGAATTGTTGTTGGTTAACCAGCAGATAACACACTTAGTTGTTGTGCTGAATGTTGGAGATAGCGCTCATCCTAGAGAGTGCAGCTGTTCACTGATTCACTCACTATCATCAGTGCTCTTATCATGACAGCCTGCAGGTTTAGCTGCTTTTGTAGTTAATTAAAAAACACTCTACTACAGATTATTATAACCCCTTAATTCATCTGCTCTCATGATATGCAATAAAATAGAAGAACAGATGTTGGTTTTATTTGAACTAAAAGGTGCGTTTAATTAGGTTTACATTCAAGGACGATGAAACCGTGGATACAACAATGATGACATTTACCCCCAATTTTCAACGCATCCGGAACAGCTCTGATCCAGAACGGAGGCGATTTTTGCCGTCCGCCATTTCCTACCGGATCCGTTTGTGAGGCGAATTTTGAGGCGGATTACGGACTGGATTACTGGAAAAAATAGAACTATTGTAATCAGCTGTGGAATCCAGCGATCCGCAGTGGAACAGAAAGAAGCCGGTGGAAATTGACACATTAACTTGAATGGTTACGATCAGTTGTGATCGGCAGATATGGCCTTTTCATAGCTGTTTCAGAAGCAGTGGAAATTGGGGGTTAGAGCTCCCCCTGCTGACTGTCTGCGGTATCCTTTTTAAAACCTGCCTCTTCTATTAAGGAAAAGGGTCAAACTACATGTCTAATAACATTTTTTCAATGCTTTCTGTCAAAGCAGTTGCTTCTTATCATTCTGGTTTATGTGCACCTTTGCAGGTTTTGGAGAAGTTGTGTTTTAATTCCATCTTTAACTCTGTGTAGCTGGAAGGGTGGTGGTAACAGATGGTACAAGAAAGAGCTACACATCTGCATAAAAACTGCACATTGCAGAACACAACAGACATCTTTTCCACTCTTGTATACCATATACTATAGATTTTTAATAACACAGCCATAAATGTCTCTGTGGCCTAAAAAGTGATTTAGCAACATGACTGGATCTCTCAATGGAAAATTCATTATTTCTAGAGAAGGTTCATACTTTGATTTGAGGGTCAAATCCTGTCCGGTATTTCCAATCACTGAAAAATGGAAGAGTAGCAGTGAAACAGAAGGTGAAGGTACATATGAAAAGCACATCGGCGTCCATATATGAGTGTCATGAGTGGTCGCTTATCATCTTGAACATGGGAACTACATGACTCTTGATTTATCAGCCATCTAAAGTGGATAATCTCTGTGAGACCCAATAATAAAGGTTTGATTATGTCGTCTGGATTGATAGACTACTTCACAGACTGGTTCAATATGCCGCCTCTCTCACTCTTAAATGTGACTCAGCATTTTAATTATAGTAGGACAAACACTGAAGAGAAAAATCTATCCTGAGTGTTAAAAGGCTCAAGTGTGCTTAAGAGGTTTAGGAAAAATAAATAACAGCCATCAAGCTGAACTGGTGGTTGATTTTTCTTCCTTTCCTCTTTTTTGTCAGTTTATACCCACAGGGTCATAGTGGGGTGTTGACAGCTCTTGTGCTCCTCTATGTGTGTGTGGACATTAGTTTGCTGTCAGAAGTGCTACCATGGGGCAACTGTTGCCATTAGCTGTTAGATTTCTGATTCACACCCAGTGGGAGTGGGCTCTTGGGATCCAGCTTGCCAGCTGGCCCAAAAAATCTTCAGTGGGCTTTGTGCCCCTGTTTGATCTGCTCTGAACAAACTGAATCTGTGTGCTCGCTTTGTTTTAAGCATTTGACCTTTCACTAAAAGACAGGGTAACTGTTGACTGTTTTCTTTAGGATTAACTGGAGGTCTTTAAGAGAAATTTCTTAATTTTTGATTATTTAAGATAAGCTTTCAAATAAAAGATGAAGAGACATTTAATTTATGGACAAAAAGAGAATTCTGACATTCAACAACTTTATCTGGTACGCGTATTATCCATCCACTCAATTATTCGATTCAAGCTAGTGAACGAAAAAACGAGTCAATATTTTGTTTATTTGTTTTTCTGTTTTATTTACTTTTTTGTTTTCGGGTTATTGATGTCCCCATTTCCCATGGTGACTTTCGACTGTTCGCACATGTGCATTGTGCAACAAAGTAGCCAACAACATGGACCAAAAACTCGCGGCCAGAGCGGTAGAGAAAGGCTAACCTGTTGTCATTGAGATGGACGCATCCTACGTATTATTCAAAGCCGCCAGGAGGGTCACGCTGAAGGAGGAAGATATGACTGTAGAAAAAATTACAACCAGAGCTCTGCTACAATGTAAGATTTTGGCGATCGAACCGCTCTGACGCATCTTTCGCCATGGTAATTGTCCCTGAGGATCATGGGAAGACCATGGTAGCCTCCATGCACGTTTACTGAAAACAGGCGCACTCAAAATCAATAATTGTAAATAAGATTTATGATTTTGTTTTCATCTCTATCATATAATCTGTTTTGAGCTGAAAATACGAAAATAAACACTAATACAGAAAACAAATAAACAAAATATTGACTTGTTTTTTCGTTTTCTAGATTGAATGGAATAATCAAACGGACAGATAATACATGGACCTTATCTGACTAAATATTTTGGATGTTAAAAAAAAGTTTTATCGAATTATTTTTAGCTCATCCTTTCATCTTAGTTTTACTTATTTTTTTGCAATATCCATACTGTTACTAATGTGAGTTATTGGATAGTGACAGTGCAAATTAATCAACATATCAGCAACATGCTTCATTATAAATTAGGCTACTTTTCACAATAGCTGGATTAGACTTGTTTTTCATAATTATATTTTCAATTTTATTGCCAATTCATCCTCTGGCTTGGTTTTATTTTAGAGGACACAATGTAACACAGAACAAATCTTACTGCCATGAAGGATAATTGTTCAGTCCAGTATTTCTCAGTGTTGTAATCATGCCTTGATTTTGTTTTATTTTGTAGTTCCTCTTGGGTTTCATGTCTTGTGTTAGTCTTGTCTGTGTATTTCCTCCTGTTGCTTCTCAGTGGTCTGGTGTTTTTGGTTTTGTACTTTTTCAGATTGAATTTTTTGGAAAGTTTGTTTTATCCTTTTTTTTGTTCATTAAATTGTTTTTGAGTCTGAATTTTGGGTCCTCCATTTGTGACACTTACTGTTATCTACCAACAAAGAAAAAAATACGACTGTGCTTTTCAGCAAACAGGGGAGAAAGTACAAAGGACATAAATATTAATGATATTTTAGGCTGAGAGGAATTCTCCTCACAGAGCACCGCTCACTTTTTAATAAGAGATAATTTACAAATATAAGCTGGTTGTGCAAATCTGAATAAATCAACAGATAGAGGGAAAAGGACTCTGACATGGACATTTTTGCCACATAGTCAACAGGAAGGGGTGAATTGTGCCTGGTCTTCTTACTGCTTATTGATTGGATATCCCTGGTTTTGCTTTTATGTTAAGATTCTTATAAATGATATCACGATCCAGCAGACACAAACTCTCTGCACCCCTCTTTTCCAAATACTCTATCTTACCGATTGACAAACTCAATGTCTTTCACTCTTGTTTGTTTGTCCATAAGTTTATTAATAAGAAAGAAGACCTCCCTGAAACTTTCCCAAACTTTTTTACCTTTTCATCCGACCCTCACCGGTACTCAACAAGACAAAATGGACATCTTCAGTTACCTTTCTGTTGAACTTCTTGTCATCAGTCAAATATCACTTTTAGAGGACAGAACTGTGGAATAATCTGGATGCATGGATATATCATCCTTTAAATCTTTTAAAATATCATTAAAATCTAATCTAATCATATCTTAAATACATCATTATTTGTTATGATCATGTTTCTTTCCTTTTTACGTATACTTTTATCGTCTCTATCGCTGGTTGATGATTAGTCTGTGTTCTATTTATGACAATTTGTATCTGTTTGACCGTTCCCTAATCATTTTATATTTATAACCTGTCTATGTCCTTGTTACTTTGTCTTTTGCACCCTATGGGAGTAATACAAAATACAAAGAATTAATCCCTGTTTTTGATTTTGACTTAACAGAAATTTAAGAGCAAAATCAGGTACTGTCCACTTTAGGAAGGTCTGTTTCATGAAGCACCGGTGCTATACGAGCAAAATTAACATTTAAATCAATATAACCTTCTGTATTTTAACATACAACCTTCTTTGCTGCTGTGTAATTTTCTTTAAAGATACAGAAATTAAAAATGTGTAAAGTACAGATTAACTTTAGGGAACATTTGTGAGACTGTCTGTGTAAATTGATGGTTGTAAATCTATAAATGATATTAAACTGTTGAATAAGATGGCAGTGAGAATCAGGGAGTTATACTATGAACGAGGGAGTACAATAAATTAAGTTCTCTAAATGTGACAACTGACTCTCTAGCAGCTCCATTAAAAAGGTCCCTAAAGAACGACACAGCACCGTTCCCACTCTGCGGGCTAGTATCATATGTTTGACTATATGTGTGCATTGGGGGTGATATTGTGTGCACTGGGGGTGATACTGTGCGATTTTGATGAGCTGTAAATCACTTACATCTGCCACTGAGGAAAAAGCTTAAACCGCTAAGAGAAAATGATGCTTCATTTTTATTTCCCTCCCTCCCCCGCTTGGTTTTCCAGCAGTTTTGAAGAGCTTTTAACCTCACACCGGGCTTTGTTTTGCTCTCCTCAGTGATGTGTAAAAATGTAATTCTTTCTTATCATGACCCAAACATGCAGCCATTCATCCAGCTGCTGCCAGGTTTTATTTGCTCGGCTTCAGTTCGCTTGTCAGCCTCATGCCATGAATACCTGAGATGGAATTCTGAGTGGTTAAACACAGGTAGTAATTCTTTGTTTTTTTGTCTTCTAATGAAAAATATTACCATACAATACTGTGCACATTATGTTGTTTTTAGCTCCGGGGCTTAATAGGGTGATCATTTCTTGTCATTTTATTGCCAAGAACTTTAATAGAATTTCCGGATAATTGCAAAAATGCTAATGGAAATCAAAGCTTTCGGAATGTAAAATTGCAGAAAACAGAGACGATGAAGGCGGATGAATCACTAATGGTAATAGTATTGCTAATATCAATGAGAGTACAGAGAGAATGGCACATTAGCCTGTTTATATGCAGGGAGCATAAATGATCCAGAAGACAGAGGGAGTAAATCACATGAGAATCAAGATATTAGTGAGAAAACTCATATCAAACAAATTGATATGATGCCCGGGAAAGCAGAGTCAACAATGAACACCCGTGCTGTGCAGGAGGCCCCCATCCACATGACAATAGCAGGCTCTGTTTCTGTGAGGAGGGAAAATAGGGAACAGTTCAATTACAGCATACATGGAAAGGGCATCTCTGCAGCAGGATTGATATGTCATTCTAACAATGTCCAATTAAAAAGGGAGAATGCTTCCATTATTCTTTTATTAGAATACCCTTCGCCTCAAACTGCACCCAAAGACACGCTCACTCGCGGTTAAAGGTGAGAGTCCATCAGGCGTGAAATGACTACAGCACGCATAAAATAATATGAATTTCCTCGTGGCCTCAATAATTTTGTTTGGCAATTATTTTGAATGTGTATATGTGTGGGTGTGAGCATGTTTAAATGCTGGTAAAACATGCAGAAGAGGACTTTATGGTAGTTCTATTTCTGGGACTACTTACTGTATGTCTGTGAGTACCATGAGGCTTCAAGCGCTGAGGACCAGAGAAGTGGGTTTGAGTGTTATTTATTGGAATAAATTAAGTTAGAAATTCCTCATAATGGGAAGAAGACAACGTATATCCAACATACTTGAAGTCTGATTCACTAATAATTCAAACTAACCAGTTCCAAATACAAAACTTCCTCATATTATCTGTTTAAAGGACGAAAATCATGTCTCTGTCAAGAATTGCAGCCTGCACACAACGGTACCAAGAACTTCAGCACAAGATAAGCTGCAACAATGATGACTGTAATAATAATTATGAACTATTTGTCTAGTTGAAAATATAAAAAATTCACTTTTAACTAATATTTTGAGTTATTTTTCAACATGATTATACTTAGGGGGACATTTCTAACCCTGCCCTCACCCTGTGACAGCTAGGCTCCAGCCCCCCGTGACTCTAAATGGGATAAGCAGTATAGATAATGGAAAGCAGTAAAAGATAAGGGATGTGCCAGAAATTATCAGGTTACGACTACTCTTCTATCTTCTTTTTAATGCTCTTTCACTGTTTTATAGCGTTATAAATAGAGACAAGCAGGGACTGAAATTCTGGTAGAGAAATTTGAAGTTGTTGCCGGCAACTTTACATATTGTCAGCGCCCTAGACTTTATATAGAAAGGACAGCGTCTGCCTCCTTGATGGGTGAAGCCGCTCCGAGAACAGCACCCTCTGGTGACGGGCTGCAGTATAGGTCATAAATCCCGCCTCCGCCAGCAAAGCTTATGGAGCTGTGGACAAACTTAAGAAACTTGTTACACAGAATATACATTTTTCTCCCCCCTGCTTGCGATGTTAACATGTAGTTATAGTAAGACTGGTTTGTCCTCAAGTCCCCTTTTTTCTGTGCAGCACCATTTTTTAAAGTTATTAGGGGGTTCTTGTTTTCTATGATTGACACCTGATACAGCCTATATCGTGGTGCATATCACCACGAAAAAACCTAACCACAGTCAGTAGAGACGTTAGCAACAACTCTGAAAGTTGTTGTAGCACTATCAACTGTGGATTCAAAGAAACTGTTTTTTTGTCTCCTCTTGAATCAACACTTCTGGGTTTCTAATTTACACAGTACTATTTCACCAGACATATCAATTATAATAAACCACACCTGTAATATATAACCCATGGAGCATATTTTGGGGAAAAGTTGTTTCATCTCTGATAGTTGCAAAGAGTCAGATCAGTGCTCTGTGTATGCATCTGAGCGTGTGTGTATGTGGAGTTTCAGCCATGTATCTCTAGTGCTTACACAACACTATAACATAACATGAAATCACACAGTTCAATACAAAGTTACACTGACAGAGTATCTGTGTTACAGCACGACTGTATGTATAAGAGGTTTGTGACTGATATTTTTCTACTTTTTACAAAACAAAAACTGATTGTTGTCAAATTCAGTCGATAAAAAATGCTTAAAATAATAAGTAGGCTTAATATTTTAAACATGAGATATATATATATATTTCAGTGTGGTGTATGAAAAATGATACAACAAGCCTACAACGGGTAATATTTACAGAGTTTAGTATCTCTCTGGTGATGGTGCTGTCTGTCATACTCTAACAATGGAATTTGCTCTGCTATCCACAAGGGGGGAAAAGGGGCTCCAGTTTATATGAAAATGAAGCGTACTGGAGTATCTGCTGTGTAACTGGCATGCCATGAAAGCAGCACTTATGCAAAGAGAAATGGCCTGCGGGGTCTTTAACCATGACCCAGTTCAAACTTTGCGGGAGGCAGGAAAGCATTTCACGGCTTCTCCGCTGCTCGAATACAGTGGAAATGATGGAATACATTACTGCCAATGGAGGACTCTGACCTGACACATAAATCAATGGCAATAAATATGTGCCCGACAAATCTAGAAGAGATGGGTAGAGCATTCTGTTAGTTCCCCTGTGACTGTGGGGGAACTAACTAAGTGGGAAATAGCTCAAGTGCTTAACAATATGGAGAAAAAAATACAAGCTGATTGAATCTGTGCACTCCCACTCCACCAGCCACCCCCTCCAGCTCCTACTTTGGACCTAATTATCCCGTGTAAGCAGCAGCCTGGGGATAAGCTGCATCTGAGTACTCAAAACTGTCTGTTATACCTCACAATTTAAACCCGCGTAACACTGGTTATCAGCATTTTCCTCCCGCTGCAAGCCCCCCGTCCCTTTTCTGGAGAGCATAATTGTCTTGATACGCTCATCACGTATGGTTTGAAATGTTGATTCCACCTTAATTATCTTCCCCAGGGGTCATCGCAGTGACTTCTTCTGCAAAGTAAATAAAGCAGCACTCCATCCACGCAGTCTAGCCTGGCAGTGTTGGCTTTCCCCCCTCCAGCCGAGCTATTTTAAAGCCGAGCTGAAAATGAAATGCCTCGTTTGCCATAATTAAACAAGCCACCTTGACACATTTCAACAATTAACTTTTAATCGTTCATTTCTCCCTAAATCAGAATCTCATGGCTGACGTTTATGACTCAGTCTTCTGTGTGGCAGGGGCAGAGGGTCAGTCTCATCAAATGAAATCTGAAATGAATCATGGGAGGTAATTGAGAGCGCAAGAGGGGGGCCGGACGCTTCTGGTGACCAAATATTCTGTCTGAGCTGAGCGCGATTGGCTGCTGAGGCATCAGGTGTTAAAAATGTCTGAGTCATCATTTTCACTTCAGAGGTTGTCAGCAGTTTCATAAATTGTCTTAATTTGAGATAATTGGCAATCCTGCAAACAAAAAAAGCTTGTAAAAAGAAATACTGAGCCAAATTTATTTATTTAGTAGGGTGCTAAATAATGATAAAATGACATGAAACCAAAATTAACAATAATGATACGTACACTATATATGCGCAGGGGTGTTACCATGGGGTGCCCAGAGCTCACCTAGGGTTGGCCACCCTCATCTAAAAGAACAGGTGAGGAACAAAAATGCAGGCTTACATCCAACCAAACATCGGATGTTGAAGGGACATGCAGATCAACAAGGACCACATCTAGATGTCAATGCAACGTGCAAAAAAGGTTAGAAATTTTGACATCCAAATTGGACCTTTTTTAGACATTGCTCTGACGTTTAGAATTTGGACGTCATCTGATCTGGATCCAAGATTAAGATGTCGTTATTGGACCTCTTTTAGACACTGAGATGTCCAAATTTGTACCCCATCGTCGAAAAAATACGTTAAATAGATGTCATTTCTATGTCGCGTTGCGCAGTGGGATGCTTTAATGATAAAAAAAAAAGGTTATAATGTCTAAACACAAAATACACTGACATGAAAAGCTAAAGCCAGGTTGGACCTACGCTGTAGCATCACCTTGGTGGCTGACACGATCATGAACATTACATACTTCTGCATTGGATTAAGGAAAACAAAAACCAAGTGAGTGATTATGATATACAAAATAAAACATGAAACAACTAAGACACACAAAAGCACCATGTGAGGAAAATACAAAACAAAACAGAAGAAAAATAACATATAGAAGTGGGGCAACTTTGGGGATACTCACATGAAGAATCAATATAAGACAAACATACTTGATCACGTCATTCTCCTTTTTTTCTAGATAAAAAAGAAATTGTGAAAACTGAAATATTACAACCACATTCAAGGTTTCTGCCTGTTAAATGGAATTTTTTTCCTTTCATTATAACCTGCTGAATTCTGCAAAGTGCTTCACTCATGTTGGTTTGAGATGGGTTAAATCTTTTTCCATCTCGAGGTTGGGTCTTTTGTAATATATCGAACAATGGGTTAGGTCTAGACTTGTTTTTTTAGAAATCATCTTGGGACAACGACTGTTATGATTTGGTGCTATATGAATAAAAATTGAAATTGAATTGAATTTATTCCTACACAGACAAAAGAGCAAAACCTGCCCAGCTTTATCGAGGCTGGGAGTTACACAAAAATTTGTTATGTTGTCAGACGGACAGAAACTTGCGAATTTTGGGCTTCAAAACTCTTAATGTGAAAGAAGAGACGGTGATAAAAGCCTACTTTTTGGTGTGGTTGTAACCTCTCCTCCTAAAACTGATTGATTTAGTGAATTTTAATAGGTTAAATACTGCGTGTCTCTGTCTCCCTGTGTGATACTGACTCTTGTATATGATCCGTCAGACAAAACCAGGTGTTTTCCCGCTCCTCTTTTCACTGTTTGAAGCAAACTCCCTTGTACTGAATCCTCTCAACAAAATCGGCAATGTCACGATGCCTTTAGTGAATGATGAAAGCAAAGAGAAAGCAGAGTTCATATTGACGTTCCTATCTGCATACGTCTCACTCGCTCTTTTCACTGCGGAGAAAATTAAACGTGAAGTCGAACTCAGGACATTTTTCTACACTGAAAACGTAATTACACTTCACTTACCGCAGACAGCCCGGCACACCACTCTCCACATTTCAAAGGCGAGTCTCTGCCGGCTGTGTCATAACTTAAGCATTTTAGCAAATTTAAGATGATTCACTTCCCTCTGTTTTGACTCCCAAGAGCAACAGCAGATAAATACAGTGAGATCAACTTTATGTCTCAGGAAGTCTGTGTTACAGAGCTGATGAGTCACTCGGTTGTTTCTACAGCATTTGTGAGGCGCAAACAGATTGTCACATTTATACTGTGAATTGATGTGCAGTGTACGGTGGAGAACACAGACTCGCATGGCATTACCACTGTGAGCAGTGTTTTTGTGAAAGCGCTGAACATAGTAGCATGATATACAGTCTAATTTAGGTCCTATCTGTGTATCACTTTGTAGCACGAGCAAAAATAGTGAAGGAAGACCAAATGTTGCAGATTAAGACAAAACTAAATAACACATTTTCTTACACAAGTTATCAAATCAAAACTCAAAACACATATGTTCCAAATCGCATATTCCCTTTAATTGTCCATCTCAATACCTGTATGTTGTTTTTATTTATTTTATTTTATGTGTTTTAACTGTGTTCTTAATGCCTGTACAGTGTCCTTGGGTGTCCAGAAAGGCGCTTTTAAATAAAATGTATTATTATTATCACAAGCAGTGTTTCTAGTGCCTCTTCTTGGAAATTAACATTATTATCAGGAATTGAATTCTCAGTATAGGTCTTATGTCTGTAGGGTAAATATTCAACAAAATCAGCAGGTTATCACTGAAAACAGAGAACCCAGCTTATTAAAAAGGGACAAAATCAAGTGTACCGCTCCTTGAGACTCTAGAGGCTCCACTCCAAGCTACATAATATAGCTTGATTATGAAAAAGCAAAGCAATTCTGCAGCATTAAGAGTAAAATAGCAAGCTGTAGATACACATAACACAGTCATTATGAATATTTGTCAGAATTAGACTGAATGCTAGCTGAGTTAAGTTAGTTTGGGGAATTTCTATTTGCAGGCTACCCCCAGCTCCATGTTTAGGCTACATTACAAACTACTTTACTCTATATTTATAGACTACAGTGCTAAGTATGAGGGCCTGTGCCCACTGACAGCGTTTTCTTTTTACTGGTGGCATCTATTTTCAGTACAAAGCAATGAACTTCAGCTTTTTCAGAATAAAATCTGATGCATACAAAGCATTTTTAAACAGACTTAATGATCTCTAGCAAATGGATAATAAGATTGAGGTTGTGGGTCTTGCCAGCGCCAAATGTTGCCAGTGGACACAGGCCCTAACTCCCTTTGCCCTGGGACATTTATATAAACATTGTACTGACAGGCTACTTTTCATACTGAGAGAAATTTACAAACAGGGATGTGTTTTGCAGATTAATAACTCAGAGGTTTATAAAGCCAAGTTTACAATTAGTAACATCAGTGGTAACTGAAAATAATCCATTAATTTCCAATATACTGAAGCCGAATTTAACTTATTTTAATGATTTAATGAAGATTTAATGTAGGATTTTAATATTTTTAAGAGTATTTTCATATTGTAGAACAATAAAATAAACTCAAGACAAGAATCTGAGGTACCCACATTCTACTTTCTGCACTTTTTTTTTGACACACAATATCTCTTGTGTCTGAGACCAAAAGATTTTTACTCCAGGGGTCACTGATTGCAAGTTAGAAGTTCAGAGTCTTTTAATGACCCGGTCAGCTGTCTAGCAGCTATAAAAGAAAAGGAGGAAACACTGTGGAGGCATAAAAAGCACAGAGACTAACCCCACCTGCTGACTGGTGCTACTTCCCGAGCGAGAGGGAGGAGAGCAGGGGGCAAATATGGCCCCGAGACAGAGGGTCTGTCACAGTGTAGCCAATGCCAGGCTGATTTCACGCTTGATGTCCCCTAGAGAAGAGAAAGATGTGCCATTACTGCCTGCAAGTACCTCCACCACCAATAGGGGTCACTCTGTGTTTAGCAAAGAAAAATCAAACTCACCAGCAGCTGATGGGAGAACTAGTAAGCAGAGGGAGAGACGGGTAATCAGGATGCTGCATGGATGGAGGTGAGTTTGGAGGGAAAATTACACTGGTGAGAGTAGGTGGTCAAGGGGGAAATGACACAGGAGATGAGTGTGGACATTTTGGGGGGGGAGAACAGATTGATCCAGGCAAATTAACTAAACCCCAGTCAGATGGACAGGTACAGGAAGACAAAGAGACAGATCGGCAAACAGACAGGAGAGGGAAAGGGAACGGAAGAGAAAAAAAAAACAAGATTGAAAAAGTGGAAGTGATGGAGAGACTCCAGTGGGTGGATACCATTTGGCACCAACTCCTCCACTGTTTTGCTTCTTGAAAACTGGTCAGTGAACGGACTGGAAAGTTCCAAAAGATTCCTCCAGCTCAGTGATGGCTATGGCGCTGTGATCCTCAGGGAGTGAAAAGGATGGATTAGTCCATTTTTATTGCTCGGCGAACGCGCCCAACAGCCCTGTCTGCTCATCAATCATTCACAGTATAGTCCTATTCCCCAGTAAGCTGCCCCCTCGTCCTTTTCTTTTCTCCTTCCTTATTCTCTTTTTCCTTTTTCAATTCTTCTTTCCTTCTGTCTGTTCTCCATCGCTGCTCCTCGGAGCCTCAGAGCACAAGTTGAGATACATTAAAGATGAATAGTGCGCAGATCCTCCCACAGGAACCCGTCTTAAGTTTTTTGGGAGTGAAGTCTGTTTCGTTCTCTTCTCTCTCCTCCTCTCTGCATTGTTTGGACTTGAAGTGAGAGTTGAAGAGTGTTTTCAAGGTAACCCTCCTCCCAGACAATTAGCAGCAGCTTATCAGGCATCCAGCCAAAAGATTTTACTCGCAGTTTAACAGCCGAGAAAACTCCTCGTTAGAGAATTGCACTTTTGTGTACCTGTTTACAGCTCTAATCCAGGTTGTCTGGCTGAGAATAGAGGAGAGCTCTGAGCTTGTAGTGGCCTCTGGAGACACGGCAGGGTTTCCTACAGAGCAGATAACACTCACCACATCCTATGACTTTTTAAATGTAGATTTTTCTAATTTTTGCAAGGCCATCAAACATAAGCAGACAGGGGTATACAAGGAACCTAAGGGATAATGTAATTTGTAAAGCCCTGTTTACTTTAAAATATTGAAATATAAGTTAATTACTAGAAATATAATCCATGTGCCATGCTGGGTTGTGGTGGAGTACAAAGAGCTGGATTGTCACAGAGTCCTACTGCTTACAACTTTATTTAACATACTGTATTTCAGTAATGCTGAAATCACTACATTTGGATAGTGTTCTGCAGGATCCTTGCACATTTTTTCGGAAAACAAATGAAATAATCGTTTGGTTTACTTTAAACTTTTACACTAAATATTCCTAAAATAAAGTTGTTGTTGCAAATTAGTTTGAAAAGCTGAACGACTTGTCCAAAAGTATCGACCCATATAGAAAATAAGTAAGTCATTTCTTTTTCAAACATTAGATTGTAAAGGTTTTCAAGTACAAAGTTGTTCACATGCCTCTGAAACTGGATGATTAAAAGAGAGCTAATTCATAAAAACGTAAAAGAGGATGACTATACACATCAAGCCTGTGATTTTGTGACTTTCCGGGAGGGAAAGGCGCATCAGGGGGAAGACTTTTCCGGGGGGAAAGTCCCGCCTCCTTCGCCTCTGATTGGCTATAAAAGCTGGAACCTTCACACACTCAAGCCAAACGGTCAGCACTTATAGCCAGTACCAGATAAGCACATGAAACTAAGGTAACAACCGTTAGCTTATGTTAGCCCAGATGAAAGTGAAAACAAAGACGTTTAGCAAACTGTTAAAGCACACAAACCATCGTCATGTAAGAGATCCGATGCTATGACTCTCCACAAGCTGTCCTTCAGGTTGTTATCTTTGTAATGTTTGTGCACTCTGTTCTCCGACACGTAAACAATCAGCTGGTCGGCCATGTTGGATATACCGGTGAATCTGATGTCGCAACAACACGCTATCTGATTGATCAGAAGAGGACACACAGAATGCGAAACCATGATCTGAAAAAATAAATGCCGCAATATTGCAGAAAGGGAAAACGTCGCTGATGTGAACGCTTGTAATGACAGGATACAGGTTTGAAAAAAAATGTTGCCGTCCAAAATCATCGCACGACAGAAACTGTCCCGGTGTGTAAGGACCTTAACAGTAGACCTCTGGGGTCTGCAGGTACCCATCAACTGGATTAAGGTAAAGCCCACTTGGCCAGCATTAGCCTCCTTTTTAATATCTACAACCTTTGCACAGATTAATATAGTCCAACCCAACCTGTGTGTTTGCTCTGCAGCATATCTTTTAAGCAGGATTTTCATCCACACCAAATACAATTAAAAATTAAGTACGCCAATTAATTTCTCTGACACCAATGAGTAATGAAAGCCAGCCCATTAGGAATAATAACCTGACACTTTTTCAAGATCAGTCCTTGCTGTTAAAAGTCAGACAGGCTGTCGTGTGCCTCTCTTTATTTCTCTGTTTAACAATATTTTTAGCTTGGTCAGAAAACAAATTAAAGCTTCTTCTCCACTCAGACACCGGAAAGTCATTTCACTGTTCCCCCCTATTTATTCAAGGAGCAAATGAATTCTCCATGCAAGCCACTGTGCAGTCTCCTCTTTTTTTCCGACAGATGTTTGAGTGTCTGCGTTGCATCCTGGGTAATTAACCCTGGATTTCATTCGACTAAATTTGGATGCTCCAGATTCTCGTCAGCACTGTCGTGGGATCTAAGTGCTAGCACGCAGCACTGAGGTGCTTCCTTATCTATTTTTGATTCCTGCCAACCAACAAAAATGATGTGATCTGAAAATGATATGGAGCAAAGCAAGCTGGCGCCATGGATACAGTCACGGTCCATTATTTGATTCAGCCAGACTTTTTCCAACCTGTTAAAAACCTCCATCCCCTCGTTACCTCTGCTGAACACACAACCATGTTTCCCAGATTTTCATATGTTTTTCCCAAATTGTGATTTATGCAAATTATTTTTAAGAAGTGTCTGTTTTTGGAAACATCTCATAAAATCAAACTCACACTCTAAAAAGCAGCATGCACTTGTTATAAAGACCTAAAGTGTACTCAAAATAAGTGAGAGAGAGTGAGTGGATGTATGTGTGTGTGTATGTGGTTTGGCTAGAGCTCTCTTGTGCACAGTTAGGCTACAAGAGCTCCCCATGTCAATATTAGTGTTTACATTCACACACTCAGCTGTGACTCAGTTTGGTACTTCACAGGATGGATGGTTAATCTGGCCTCATGTCACTCCTAACACTCTTTGCGACTGGCTGGATTTAAGACTAATGACTCTGTTTGTGTCGACTGGGAGCTGCAATTAATTCGCCACAGTGTTTGTTGGGGGGTTGGGGTGGGGGGGATTCACTTACTTCAGAGACTCTATGAATAAGCCTACAATGAAAACATGTTAAAGCTGGCTAACATTATCATATCTGACTCTAATCATGCTCTAAACAGTCAAAATAATCGTTTTTCTGATTTAACAGTCATGTACTCATCTGAAAACTTTGAAAGAACATGGCTCACAAAACTGGAAGAAAAAAAACCCACTTTGGACAAGAGGACAATGAAAGCTACAAATCCACACAACAGATGCTAGACCCACATGTACTTTACATTTGTGCCTCTATTTTGATGTCACACCCTAAAGGTCTCTAAATATGCTGTTTGGTGTTGGAAATGTTAATATTTTTATCTTTGCATCTTCTTTGTTGTGAATGGAGCTGCTGCGTTTTAAGACTGATTTTCAAACTATGACGATTAAATCGTACAAATCAATGAGCTCTACTTTTTGATAGCAATTATACTGAGTCATACTGCATTTACTTGAGAATAAGAAAAAACATTTTTTTATTACAGGATAATTGTCTCATAACTGTGAGATAACTTTTTTGTTAACACAAATTCTCAGTTTTTCTAAATAAACGACATAATTATGTTGTTTATTCATGAAAACAGGAAATTTTCCTTTCTCTCTCTTGTTTTCTGTTGAATGGATTTAATTCGCTTTTGAACGATTACCTCATGTTAAGTTTTGATTTGATAGACGTATTGTTCTTTTTTTAAATAAATAAACGAACAAGAAAGCAAGAAAATCAAGGGAATTATTGAGTTTGGAATAAATTTAAATTTAGTGAAAAATGTGTGGCATCAAACTGGACTATTGAGAACACTGCGACACATGCCCATGTACTACCCACCACATACTTCGAGATTATGTACTACATAGTAACCACTAAGTTAGCTGCAGTATACAAACATGTGTCTCCTTTGTGTCATTAGACTTCTTCAAGACAATTTCCTGTCCAAATCCAAGCTGCAACCTCCAGTTTCGATATAAGAAGCTGATGCAAAAGTGCGAACACTGCTGCCTAAAAGAAGCGAGTTTTTGTGAAGTGCATTTTTCTTTAAGATCTTGAGGTTACGAGGTTGGGAAAATCACTGTTAAACCTTACTGACAGGTGAGTCCGTTGTACCTGTTTGCGAGGAAGCTAAAGGCCAAAATCAACCCTCTGGCCTCATGATTGGTTGACTGGTTGTTCGGCTGAGTCAGTATTTCCAGTTTGGGGACGACCCCAGAGAGGATTTAAAACTCTGCCTCCAAAACAAACAATAACAATGTCACTGAGACAACATGTATGTATTATCCAGTCTATGTCCCAGCCATAATTGCTAAGCTAGCACATCCATTGAGCTGTTTATAAAATTTAACAACAATATACTCATGCTTATACAGCTGAATGTATTTTTGACAATAAACAAAACACTTACTTACTTACATTTGTACATAACTTGTTGCTGGCTGGCAAGCTCTGTTGTATAATTTGCATTTCCGGGTGGTTGAGTATGACTAATGGGGTCCGGTCTCACCCACTATTTCCCCACATCCCTGTTTGGGTTCAGTCGTAAATCTCTACTTAACACAGTTTTAATAAATCACTACATGATACTTCACTGTGTTGAACAGCAGATAGATTTCACAGGTGACTCTGTAATGGCTACGATGGGGCATTTTGCTCCTTAAGAGCCATTTATTTTTCTAAGGAGCTACCAGAGGCTTAATCAGAGCCAAACAGAGAGCGAGTATTAGACAGAGATTTAGTTGATTATTTGGAGGAAATTTGTTTGTTACTCACGAAACAAATGCCAATGTTATTTTGTGCTGTTTACAAGCATGTTAGCCTCAAACTTAATATGATTTGGTAATGTGTTTGAGTTTAATTGAGAGACTGTTCAGAGCAACAAAAGAAAAAAAAAAAATTAGTGTCCTCTTTTTTTTTGTCGTCATTTGTATGTGGAGTTAACGAGAGCCTATGCTTTTCCTTAAAGGGATATTCTGGCGTAAAATTAAGTTAGGGTCAAACACACTGTAACACTGAGTTAGACACCTCGTCGAGAGATGAATGTTGCCGACCGCTTGCTTCTCTAGTTATATCAACTTTAGTTACGACTGCACAATAGCAATTTACAGAGCCACGCGCTCAACCAAAATGCTACAAATAATGATCAGAACAGCACCTAACTTCATCAACAGTACACATAGGGACCCAGCCATAGTATTAGCCACCAAACATCTTTTTCGCTTTGCCTAATTTCTTTAGCAAAGAGACGAAACAGAACTCACCTACTCTCTTCCAGCAGCCGCTTGTTTGTACAGAGAGCCCCAGGTGAGT